ATATTTCCGCGTATAAGTTACAATCTTTGAACTTGACAGAACACTTGAATACACAAAACTATTCGTTTTTTTGTGCTTTCTTTCTACGATGCTCTTTTCGAAACGCCAACACAGCTCTCATCAGTTGTTTCCTTCTTTTTTCCTTCATCTTCTTCTTCTTCTTCTGTGTTGCTGCCTGTTCAATTTTTCTCTCAAATTTTCCCATTAACCTATACCCTATAGGTTTTTGTCGTTATTGTCTTTTTTTTCTCTCATCTCTCTTTTTCTCTCTTTTTTTACAAACATTTTTCTTGTCAATCGAAGAAGATGAAAACAGTTTTCAATTTCGTATGGAAACGAAGTGTAAAATTCGGAAAAACGGCGCGCTTGCAAAAAAAAATTTGTCACTCATTAACATCTTTGTTTTGTTTTTGCTTGAAAAACATCAAAATGTTTCGTATCACAATGTTATGTTTTCTCTTACGTTTTTGCTTTCCCTCGTTAGCAAAGGTTAATTAGAACAAGTCAAAATGTTGCTACCGTAGTTGTGTCTGTCCAATTATTTTTTGTCTCGTCTATGTTGCTTCTCATAAATGTCGCACAAAAAGAACAACTTGTTCAAGAATTCATGAGTGATAAAACTGCACAAAATAGTGCATGTTCTACTATCCTTTCCTTTTCTATTGTCTATGTTTCTCGAACAAATGACTACTGTAGTGAGTGAGTGAGTGAGTGAGTGATATTATGTTTTTCCTCGAAAAAAGACGAAGAGACTGTGACTAATCAGCGACAACAAATAATGGTTCAACATTTTTTTTCCTGATTACGATGAATTTTTTTGTAAATATTTCAAATGTTTTAGGAAGTTTTACATAAGATTAAATTTTTATCGTTATAAAGTCCTTCAAAATTCCTATTGATAACATTATGAACATTTTCCGTAATTTTTTCAAATCATTCATAACTATCAAAATGAGTCTTGTCGTGTAGGAACTAGAAAATGGTATATCAATTATTTGAAGACGCCTAATACACTTCTTTCGAAAGGTCAATTAAATTATCCTACCGTACTTTATGTATTCACAAATTATTCAAACAGTTTTATAAAAACTATATATAGGGAACGAATTCATGACATGCAACATCAAACAAAAAAAGAACCCTCTCCGTTTTTTCTTGTTCATTTTCTTCTTCTTCTTCTTATTCTTATTCTCTTCCAGCCTCAGTGAACTCTTCTTCTTCTTATTTTTCAATGTTGTTTTTTTTCTGTTTCAGAGAAGGCAAAAAAGAAAAAAGATATGTATGTTCGGGGTTTTGTTGGGTTGGGTTGGGTTACATGTTCCCCCCTCCTCCCTCCGTACTTTTTTTCCCATATTATTTTTGTTCTACACTGAACTTTTGTTTTTTGTTTTCTTTTACAAATACCTAGTTTCTGGTCCCTCATTTTCCCGTGGTCAAGCGAAAAAATGAGAAACATCTGATGGTATGGTATGTATGTATGTATGTGATAACAAAGCTTCGTGTGCATTTTTTCTGTCTTTTTTAGAAGGACGCTTGGCAATTTCGATTATTTTGTGTATGTGAGTGTGTTCGTTATCTAGTCATGTTGACGTGTGAAACTACGATAATTTTTGATTTTAACTTCGGTTTTTTGTTGTTTTTTTTCTCATATTCTCAAATTTTGAGTTCCCACGAGAACGTTTTTCTCTCTTTTACTCTCATCTTTTTTATTCTTCTATCTTTTTTTTTGTTTGTTTATTTGCGTTCGTGGGTACGTTGATTGGATAGTTCAAAAATCAGGGTGCGGTTTTTTCTCTTAAAAATTTTGAACTTGAATCTTAAAATGGCAGGTGCAATTTCGCTCAAACCTTTTTTAAAATTGATGATTCATTAATGTTGTAAAACCAGAATTGTTTCTTATTTTCTGAAATAAAATCTAATCTGAAAATTGAACAAAGTTCATTCACAAGCTTCTACATTTTTGAACAAGAAAAAAGTTCTCATGAGAACAAGGAATAATTTTTCAGTTCCAAAAACGTAGTTAATATTTGTTCATCTAAAGGTGTTCTGTTCTGACTGACAAAAAAATGTTCAAAAACTAAATAAACTTTACGAACAATAGAGTAAAACACAACAAAAAACAACAATTCTCTCCCATTTTTTTTTCTTGACAAATAGTATAAACTGCGTTCTTACGTTCTTCATCACCATTTGAAAGAAAATAAAAAACGAGAGAGTGTGATAGTAAAACAAACAACAGTTTTTTTTCTATTCTTGGCTCTAAAAATCTGAAATGAACAATTTTTGATACTGATGCTTTATTTTTTAATCTTTGAAATGTTCTTTCTACCTTCCTTCTTATGAATCTGAAAAAAAGAAACTAAACTAATTAAATTTGTATTTTGATTGGATTCAAGTCTCTATGAAAAACTTGAAAAAATTTCACCTGTTGTTTTAAAAATCAAATTTCTTCCTCATTACCCTTCTCATTTTTTTCAGAACTCTGAATGAAAATCACGAGAAAATGTTAGTTATCAGTTAGATTGATGTAGTATTGATTATGTTCCAGAAAAAATACACTCACACAAAATAATCACTATTTCGAAATTGCCCCATTCCTTCATGTGACTGACTTCCGAGTTTTAAATACTTTTCTAATAATATTACTGTAGGTTTAAAAAAATGCATTTTGAATTTTGTCAATATAAAAATTAAGTCAGCCATTGTGGCGCCGTATTTTTTTTATTGATAAGTGTTCATCTCTCATTAGCTATCCTAGCAGAGGTTTTTCTGACATTTCAATAATTGTTTAGTATATTTCAAATGTGAATATCATCTCAGCAGTTTAAAAATTAACTAAAACTCAAATATTCTTCTCAATGTTGTAGATATCAATTTCAGTTCAAATAATCTTCGTCATAGTTTTTTCTAATTCATCTAACTTGTTATCATTTGATGATCTACAGTATTCTTCAACAAACTACGTCATATTTTCTCTACTCTTATTTCAAACAATATATATTTGAAACCTAACATCACTCACTGTATTTCTATTTCTTCCTCATAAAAATTGTGTAATGTGCAGCAGTAACCCCTCTACAATAGCTGATAAAAAATGTTTGCCGAGTTAGCAAAAAATAAACTATTATTTTTTGGTTGGTTCATTCACCTCTTAAAAAATCCTCATAAATCCAAGATAAATATATAATTTTATATGTACCACCATCAGACAAATTTGTATAATAATTCACACGAAACGCTATGGTGTGAGAATGTCTTCTCTTCAAACATCGAATTTTGTGTGTATGTGTTCGTTTTTTTTTCTGCTTCTTGTTGATTTTTTGTATGTATGTTTGTATGTGTGCTTGTCTCAACTTACAATTTTCCATTTTTTCTTCCAATTTTTGTGTTGCTTGAAATTGTTTCTTATTTCGTTTTTTTTCTATTTCCTAGAACTATTTTTGCCTGACTCACTTCAATTTCTATTGTAACACAAAACATGTATGTGTTGATTTTTCCATATATTTTTACATGAAATTTTCTTTGTATTGCGTATACCGTAACCTTTAGAAACAAATTGATTAGAACATTTTTTTCCATGTTCTCTTAAATAATCAAGAATATGTTGAGTTAAGTTGAATGATAAATAAACAAACATCGTTTTTTTCATATTCTTTTCAATTCTTCAAGAAAAGGTTCTAATACAATATGAAATAATAAGACAACCAACCCGGTAAACCAGTTTTCAAATATATATTCGCGTTTCTTCTAATTTTCTCTATATTCTTTGATTTTCTCCTTCTCGCCCCCAAATACTATATTGTTTTGTTCTGTTTTGCAATTTTTTCTTGATCTGTTTTTTTCGAAATAGGTTTATTTTTCTCGATGTTCTTGTTTCTCTGTTAGTCTATGAGAACGGATCAATGTTGTATACAAACATTAAATCGCAAACAATTTCATTGAAGAGTAAAATTTTTCAGTCTGAAAATAGTTTAAAATTTTCAACTCATTTCCCAAAATTGTTTGATTCAAAAAAATTGATTTTGGTTACCCTCGATAAAAACGTTTGTATATTTGTAAACTGTTTCAATACAAACAATTTTCGAATCAAAAACCACGATTACTATAAACAAATAGTTCTTTTTTGTGTTTTGAGCTCCAATTTTTTTTGGTTTTGATGTCAACTTTTTTTTTTCAAAAAAGAAGAAAAAATGGATTTCCAAATCATCTCATTAGCATTTCCAAATACTTTCCGTTCAAAAAAATCCAACTATATACATATTGATGAGATTGTTTGTTATTGTATTATTTGAAAACGATTAACCTTGATGATTACCAAAATTTTTGTAAATTTTGTTGTTTTGTTTTGTTTTGATTTTTATGTAATTCTGGTTCCGAAAATTCAAAAATTCTTCACTTAAAAGATGTAGAGACCGTATTGCTATTCGATTTTTTCACACCGTGTTATGTTTAGTGTTTTATGACTCTCAATTTTATTACAATTTTAGTTTCGTCAATGGAATATAGAAGACGTTCTCTTCTTTTTCTTTCATTTGTTTTTTTTGTTGTTGAGTGAATAATACTTTTTCTCGGAATTTATTATCTTTTCACGTTTATTTTTTCGGATGACGCACACACGTCAAAAAAATGTCACGCGTGAAACAGAAATCCGAATTATCATATTATTATTCAAGAAAAAATATAGAGAAAAAAATAAGAAGCCTCTCGATTCGTCTTGATAATTAATTCGTCTTTGTTGCCATTTGACTTTTTTCACACTGCGGTCGTTTTTGAACTCTTTCATTTTGTTCTGATTTTTCTTTTTCTCACTATTTTTATTCTCGAAACCATCGCTTACGTTAACTATTGATTGATTCTAAAAAAATCAGTATTTAATTTTAGGTCCTGTTTAGGAGGACCGGTGGTACGATATGCACAACTACTAGCAAGTATTCAAGCAACTTCCACATGCAGTACACGCGTCAGGAAGTTTGCCAAAAATCGTTCCCGAAATCATCTCGATGGAAGATCAAGAAGGCAAATCGCCGAAACAAGTGAGTTTTTTTAATCTTCGTAGCAAGAAAAAATTTAATTCAAAGTTCAGAAAAATAAAATATGGTAACTGTCTAGTTTTTTATTCCCTGAACAATTTATTATATTCTCATAAACACAATGATTATAAATTAGAATTATATTTTCAAAATAAAAATAAATAAGTTACAGTAACCTGTTATCATTGTATATATTTCCAGACAGCGGCCATTCCACTACAATTGTTGCCATCGGCAACAACAGCATTCCGTCAACATTTATCACAAAGTCAAGATGACTCACCGAGTAGTTCATCACGTAAGTTGAGCAACAAATTTTGACCCACTTTTCAAAACAAACAGTTTTATTTTTTTCTTCGTCGTTATCTCTCAATCACAAAAGTGACGTATTTAGTAAATAGTCATATATGAGTTTTGAGATCACATCGAAAAGTATGTAGTTTGTCACGTTATTTTATTCTAGTTGGTAGTCCGGAATTAGAGAGGATTTAATAAAAATAGAGTGGTATGTTGTTTATTTTTAGTTTTTAGAGATTGAAAATTGGAGATTTATCTTTGAACTTCTCTCTCTCTCTCTCTGTTTTTGTGACCTATACATTTATAACGTATGAAGATGTTTTGAAATATTATTCTTTAATCCTGAATAGATTTATATACTCAATTCCAAATGAAATTCACTCATCAAAATAATTGTATATTTTATAAAATATTGTCCCCTTCTTATATTCTCCATCCTCTTATTCAACAACCAAAATTCTATTTTTACTTCCTTTCAAATGTATGTAGTTTGATTTTTCGAATTAAAGGGGGCAATTAGAAATATTTTTATGAAAAAAGGAAAAATATTACAGTAATCCTGACATGAGAAGCTTATTTATTTCAACAAGATTTTCGGATTTTTGTAGATTATCAATTTTTTAAATTGAAAATGTACACATATAAGCTTTTGATGGTTTGGTTTTAAAATGTGAATAATTCAAATATCCCGACAATTTTTTGAACTCGTTTTCAGATTTGTCATTAATATTTGAAAAATTAACAATCTTAATTCGAATACAGTTTCTAAAAATATAGTAATTAACATCTGAAACATTTTATGGTTTCTGTATTAGATGAGCAATCAAATTAATCTCATTTCAAAAGGTTCCTCTTTTCATAATCCGTAATCTCAAACCACGCAATCTAATGAGTTTATTGCTCAAATCTCACCTATTGATAAGGTTTCAAAATCCGTCATGTTTTCGATAATTAGCCATCGGATTATCTTTGAAACATTCTAGACTATAATCTACACTCCATCCCACCCCAAATCTTTTTTATTCTCAAATATTTTTTATTGTTGTCTAATTTTTTTCCTACATTTTTTTTTTTTTTTTTGACAATTGGTGAGTATGCCCGGATTTTCGCTTGGATAGGTGTAGTGGATAAAGAGAATAAATAATAGAAGAAGCGAGTAAATGTTCCGTTTTTTTGGATGGAGCGAAACAAAAATTGTCTACGTGTTTTTGTTGGGGATGATAATTGTTGAGATTGCAGAATTACCCACACCGGCTGGTCCGATCAACAACAGCGCGTTCCGTTTTTCATCATCAATATATGCACCAGATGTTATTCGAAGTCTAACTAATCAGAGGCCGTCTTCACCATCTCAAAGTAAGATTAATTTTCGAATATTGAAACTGGAATATTGAAAAAAACCTTGTTGCACTTTTAGCTTGAAAAAATCAGAAAAATAAAGCAGACACACATTTTCAAACTATTGATTTATCATCAAATCATTACACAACAACACATCAAAAATGTTCTGTGTAGAATTCGCTCTTTTTAATTCCATCAAAAATATATGATTCCCCCAAATGTTTTTTGCAGGACGATCCGACGAATCATTGTCGGCGCATACAAGTGTTGGCGGTAGTTCGAGCAGCTCAGTGTTGTTGTCCGATTGGGTCGGACATCGCGTTTTAGCACGGGTTCCGCCTGGTGTTTATCAACCGGGTTTTATTAAAAATGTCATCAATCGAGATGTTATTGTGCAGTTTGATGATGGTCGTGAGGCACGCTACAACAATGTTATCAGCGAAGAAAATTTGACTGTTATTATCGCTGATCAGGCTCCAAGCCCAGCTGACGTAGGTTTTTGAGCTGTTTCTCAATGTTGTTTACATAGATCAAATAGTTTTTTTTTTCTAATCTTCTTCCGCTTTTTGAGGATTCTTCACATTAAAATTTATACGTCGAGAGGATTACACCCTCGTAAATTATCAGATTATTAAAAACAACATTTTAATATTATTATTTTATAGCTCAGGGTCGCGAGTAAAACAATTGTTGCTGTACGCCTACCATTGGAAAAAGCTGAAACAATATTTCGAACTGCTGAATTTTTAACGGCAACTGGAAATCCACCAAAATATTTGATTCGTGTTACAACTGCTGAATACAGTAGTACTGTATCACGAGCAAATCTTCGATTACTTCGTCCACCGTGGTTTGAAGAACTTCCACATATGAGAGAATTCAGGTAAACAAAGCATTTAATTGTTTGTTACGATGATCAAGATTACAAATACTTTTAACCTATAATTATGATTTCCTACTCATTTCAAAAATCTCTAGTTTGATTTATTATTTTTTCCAGTAGCAACCTTTCAACACCTGTGATGACATCGCCAATTATCGCAAACGGAAATGGCAATCAGCATTTTCCAATGGATAATAATATGTTTTTACTTGCAATACAACAGCAACAAAGGCTACATCAGTTGCAACAACAACAGCATCAACATAATCACGCGGCTGCGGTTGCGGCAGCAGCTGCAGCCGCAATCGCAATAGCAGCAAGTAAAAATACAGCGTGAGTTTTTTTTGCATTCAAGGTATTGATATTTGAAAATAATATCAAGAACATACAACGTATAATTATCAGTATTGGAATAAACCTAAACCACACTTTAGTTTATACCCCACTCTCAGAAACCACCATTCCTTTTTTTCATTAAAAAGTCAAATCAGAAATCTCTTTTTTTTTCACCAAAAAACCAGCATAATGAACAATTACCACGACAGGTGAATTATTTTTTTTCAAATGTCTTCAAATGTTCTGTTTTAATTTTTCAGATCAACATCCTCCAATGCACAACAAACACCTGCCCAAATCCAACCACCCCCACCTTCAATATCAGAACAATCAAAATCGAAATCCCCTGGTGATGCAAGTGTGACAATTGATTCAGATGATGAGCAAGGAACATCCAGTCAGGTGAGAGGAAGAAAATCATATATTATTTAGAGAAGAAAAAACGTTTTCAATACTCTTTATAATTATGACTTTTCGGCTTTTTATGAGAAAAAAAGATGAATGTAAACCACAAAATTGATGAGTTGACATAATTAGACCATATTTATTTTGTATTTGTACAAAATATGTATATCTTTTCTTGTTTTTTGGTTTGCTTTACTAGAATCTGCAAAATGTAAATTTTAAATAGTTCTTATTTGTTTTATTTCGAAATATCTGAACTGTGACAAAAATACTCTAGATTAACTAAATCTTCTGAATTTTTGAGATTTTAAGTTTTACGTAAAAGAATAATCTTTGAGTTTTTCAATTCTTCATTTTTTGTTTATTCACTATAAAAAATCTTTTTTTTTTTCGTTCATTTTCTTTGTATCCAATTAGTTTTTTATCAAAAAATAATTAATAAACTGCGTGTACAGTAAATTTTGGAAAAAGAAAGTAAAAATGATTTTCAGTCAACGTCAACTATTGAAATAAAAAACAAAACTCGCCGAGTAAATCCCAAATCTTTTGAAAAATTACGGTAATCCTTATGTTATGCTGCTAGCGGCACTACTAGTAACTATTCATTTATTCATATAAAGAAGATATTTATTTTGTTCAGCCTGAACAAAAACCTGACTAACGTCACATTCTTTTCTTGATTCCAGATATATTTTGTTTTCATTTCAATTGTCTTTCAGTTTGATTCTCAACAACAAAAACAGCCGTCAACATCAGCGATAAACGAAACAACTTCTTGTGCATCTTCAAGAGGTATTTTTGTTCCACCCCAAGATTCTGGTTCCATTGAAGATAATTCGGATACCAAACCAATCATGTTTCCACCGGTCAACACGTCTACTAGTTCTTCAAAAGCATTATTAGATCAGGTTTGTTTTTCATCCCTAATTTTATCAATGATGTTTGATATTTTTAGCAGCGGTTTAAAAAAGGTGAAATAGTGACATCACCTTGTGGAATTCGAAAAAAGTTCAATGGTAAACAATGGCGAAGGTTATGCTCGAAAGGTGGATGTAATAAGGTAGGATTTCAAAAAGTTCAGAGCCAGAAAAAAAGCGTAGGAATAAATTAAAAATCATTGTCTGGCATTTGTTAAAGAACGGGTGAATTGAATTATGCAAATTAATAAGAACAAATAGAATACGGTTGAATGTTCACAAAGGTTTTGTGAAGCTGCATCTTGAATTTTCATTTGAAGCAACTTTGTTTATCTATCTATAAACAAGATTGAATAAAAAATATGTAGTTTTGAGAATTTTGAAGTGAACATTTTTGTTATGTCATTGATTTGTGAATTGATGTTGGATAGGCCTATCAAAATTTGAAAATGTTTATCCTAAAATACGGTCCTTGTTAAGAATGACAGGTTTTTGATTTTAAAACGACTCGAAATATCGCGAAAGTATAGTTAGAAATTTGTGACGTAATAAGAAAATCATCTGATAAAGTATAATTTTCAAAAGATTAGTAGGCTTTGAAGGCATTTGACACCTTTTTTTACTAAAGCTAGATAATGTTGTCAATTGTATATACATATATGACTTCAGTTCGACAAGAGTTTCAAATATTTCTCACAGTTAGCCCCCTTTTTCAAATATTCATATTGTCGGATAAAAATCTAATATTCATCATATGAGATCATTGAATGAGGTAGAAAACACTAATCCACAAACCCACGCCGATGACATAAAAAACAGCGGAAATTTAATTAATCTGTTTTCAATGTTTCATTCACCTTCCTTCCTCATTGTGATGTTTTTTTCTATTTATTTGTTCAATCATCCAAAATATTTTTTATGATTCAAAAAATCAAAGAGAGCACTCGGTTAAATGACACATTTTCGTTCTTCAAAAGTACACTAAAACTACGAATTATCTGTCAATAACCTTTAATTTTTTGAGAGAGAAAAACATGAAATGAAAAATCTCCGAAAATATAAAAACTGTTTTGAAACATGTGATTTTTTTCATCATCACAAGATTGTATTCTATTCATTCAATTCATTCATTTTGTTATGAATCAAAGTACCGAAGAAATTGTTTTTTGTTTTTTTTTGTTGTAGTACTGTAATTTGCCGAATTCACAAATGTTATAGTTTGATTTCAATTTTTACAAAAAAAAACTTTTTTCTGCCCACTTGATTCGAAAAATGAGAAAAAACGAACATGAATTGAATGAATTCACTCATAGCAAAAAATATATGTAATCTGATAAGATTAATACTGATTACATCACGCTAGTGTTTTTGTTTCTGTTCGGAAAAAAATCGAATTTTTTCGGAAACCAAAATTTTCGATATCATTCAAAATTTGATATCACAGACCTTTTCAGTTAATTTTGTTCAGTTCTAACATTTTTATTGAGATAGATTATTAGATGTATGAGGGGTGGAAAATTTAAGGCAATTTACATGCATTTCTCAATGTACTGTATATTTTGCACTTTTTCTGACACCAAAATGCATTATTTGTTTTTATTGGTTTTTCAGTGATCTAAAAAGACATTTCTACGCAGATTTTTGTAAGAAGTAATCAATGTTCGCAAAATTATGTGTTGTGCCTTATGAAATGCACTTTTTGAGTTAAAGTTCAAGAACAGTTTATTCTATTTTCTGATTCGATTAATTAAATATGCAAATTCATATTCATAATTGGTTTAATAAGATAATAAAAATCTATATAATCCCTTAAAAAATTTGTCATAACTTGGTGTTTTTCTTTCATTTTTTTTTTCTGTTCTCAATCCCCATTTTTTCAGGAATCTCAACGTCGAGGGTATTGTTCCCGCCATCTTTCTCTCAAAGCAAAACCACAACACAGTCATTTGATGGAACGAAATTCGCCAAGCAGTTCAACAGGTAAGAAAGAGTGCAAAAAATTCTAAAAAAAAAACCTCCGGCAACTAACAATTATATTTGAAAATTGCATGATCAACAAAAAAAAACTACCGTACCTCTTGCCAATCACATTCATTTCTTTATTTATTTATCATCTTTCACAAAAGGGGGACCAGAGGTGTTTTTTTTTGTTTCATCAAACAGATACATATTTTGTATTATATTGTTTTGTCATTGTCTCTTCGTTAAATTTAGAAGTAGAAGTACATGATTCATTAAGTGACAAAACATCAGTCTGAATAAGACTATTTAACTATTCATTATTCAATTAAACACTGTCATACCAAGCTTTTCTATATTTTAACTACAAAAAGAAAAAAAAACATAGAAAAAGCAATATCCAGAATAATTATTTTTGTGATACATTTTGTTTGTGGGATGATTTAAATTTCCGCTTTCGAGATGTTTCTATTTTCAGTTAACTTTTTCAATTATCATTTTTTTTCCCATTTGAGCGTGATGATGTGCGGATGATGATAAAACTAGATAAAAAGTACTTCGTAGTCATCCTAATGTGTCAAAACTAAAAATCAGTTTTGAGGAAACGAGGAGAAACACATGTTTTTAGAATTAAATGTAGTTTTTCACTAGACTGGATTTCTCAAAAAATCTTTTATGAAATAGTTGCTTTTTGGATTCTATATTACAAAAATGATAGAATATCTCGAAACTTATCTCGGAACGTTAAAAAAAAGTTCAATTTGATTTGAGTTTTTTTCATTTGTGATTGAGATTTGGAACAACATTTGACTTTCAGATGTTTTCACTAATTTTTTGAGTAAAAGTTCATATTTGAGCTGATCAGCAGGATCTTTCAAATATTCACAATTTGGACAAATTCCCTTTATTTTGAAATGTTTATAATTTTTTATATAACCTTCCCACGCTAATTTGTTCTTCTATCCTCACAATTTCCCAGGAAATTTATTGTTGTTGAAAACATTTTTATAAGGAAAAAATACTGTTATTTACATTTTTCTAAAACATTATTGATTGTCAATACCTAAGTTGCCGCCGGATAACCTTTAACTCAAAAAAAGAAACAGTCTATTTATTCACCGTACCTCCTGTTTCTTTATTACTCATCAAATATTCATTGTTTTCATTTCCAACATAAACAACACTGAAAATACCACAAGCAAACAAAACCTTTCCCGCATTATCAGGTCATAACATCAAAAAACTTCATCCGACACACATTTGTGTTGTCATTAGTGATTCTTATTGTGATTATTAATAATATTATTTTTATAAATAGCAAAGTTTGACTCTTCCTCTTTTTTTTCCTTTTTTTCCATTTACGTCAAACCGCAACTAATTATACATAATATTTTTCAATGGATAGAAATAAAAAAAATCAAATGATATTATAATTTTATTTCAATTTGAATCATTTGAAAAACGTTTTCCTTCTCTTTCTTCCTCCATTTTTTTCTGAAAGTTCTCCACTTTTTAAGGAAACATGTGTGAAAAAATGAAAGGCATTTCCGTTTTCATTTAAAATAGTCGCCATTTTTATTTGGTTATTTTTTTAGGTATGGATTGGACAGATGAAAGTACACGAACAGATGTTGCTGAAGTTGCCAACAAAATATTGTCTTTAGGACGACGCCCAAATAGTGAGCTTTTTTCCATTTTCTTTTCATTTTTTTTTTCATTTCACTGTACGAAACGAAAATTTTCTCGATTATTTGTAATAGTATTATACTTTCAACAAAACGAAGAAAAAACTAACAAGAAAAAGAAAATAATCATGCAACAAAATTGAAAAATGTTCTATTGTTGTGATAGAGTTTTTCTTTTTCTTTTTGTTGAATACGGCAACAAAATGAGAATTTCTTGTAGAATTAGTCATGGTGAAGGTGCAGGACGGCATCGAAACATAACAAAAACACTAGAGAAATAGTGATAATAAACAATTGAACAAAACTATTGAAATGACAACGATTCAATAGGAATACATTTTCGTTTTTCTTCGTTTTCTCATTTTTATTTTTCATTTCACAATTTTTTTCGTTTCCCATTTTCGTTTTCAGCAAAAATGATCTGAAAAAGGAACTTTATATTTTTTAAATAGTCCTATTGAATTATGAATTTAATTTGAAATGAGAGAGTGGGAGTTAGATTTATATATCTCAAACTTTTAAGAACGTTACAGTACGTTGTGAATACGCTAAAATTTTCCATCAACTAGAAAAACTTCAACTCTTCACTTGATTCTCAGCTTTTACCGTCATCCTTTCAATTGTGATATTCTGAATCAGCTCTTCATTCAAGGAATAAAAAACGATAGATATTTTCTGATTTTTAGACAATAATAACTCTCTGACTACAAATTTTATTTCTGATTTATTATGAATTCCATGAATAACTACAGTAATTTCTATTTTCCCGAATACTAATCATTCAGACCACACTATTTTTTGAGTCTACGTATATCTAATTAGTTATATTATATCATACAAACATTGTTTTCAGATCAAAACAAAATTTGACTTTTTGTTTTACGTAGTTTCTTTTTTGAAAATATCACAAACGTATTTTAACATCATTCTATTTTGAGTTGAATGAATAAATAAAGAAAAACAAATTATCGTTCATACAACCCACACAAAACCAGGTGAAATTATTAAAACTTTTATCTATCATATGATTTCATTTCTTTTTTGAGCTTTAAAGGCGGGCTTTTCCTTATTTAGAAACATTTTGCTTTTTTTTCAGACAACTTATTCGGGCGTGCCGACCCTTCAACATTTCTCCCAACTTCAGCTCCACCTCAAGTTGCTAACACATCAACATCAGTATTTCAAGCCAAACTCAATCCATTATCTGCACCTCCAACATTGTTAGCTGTTGATAAATCTGGTCTTCCCCCACCACCACAGTTTTCAGTAAGTGACACATTTGGAAAATATTTATGATATCTGTTAAATGACTCTAAAAATTTGTCTTCTTTTGCTACAAAATTTTCAAAATTGTATTGTCAAAAAATAAGAAAATCAGAATCATAATTTTTTCTCGGATTCTGAAATTGATTTGATTTGCGTGTTTTTCTAGTACTCAAAAGTGATTCTTTTTTTTTTGAAAATGAGTTCAGTGAACATTTTTTCTATAATTACGGTAATGACGTATGCAATGAGAGAAGCTGGGAAAAATAGAGAAAGAATACGTGTAGTATCCGCAGGAAATTACTACGGATGTGCAATTTTAGATTGATACTAACAAGTTCAATGCACTTTTTTTAAATATTCGTTTGTCTATCTTACTGTAGTCCAACCCATTTACGGATTTTTTTTCTGGTTGATAAAACTCGTAGCATAAAACTTAGATCAAAAGAAAAGGTATGTTTTTTTGAACATGTTCATTATCCTTACCTCCCCAGAGACATATTATCTGAAAACAAATTCTGATTTTAGTCCGTGAGTTTTGTTTTTGTCCTTTCTTTTGTTCTAATCAAATTATATTTTCTATTTGAAAGTACAGTACACATTTAAATAAGATTGAAAAGAAAAAACCAATGAAATTGCAATTCTGAAATCCGAGAAAGAATTAGAAAAAATTCTCACGACTTTTCGATCCACACTCTCACTTCAAATTCAGCTGTTTTCGATTACACATGCTGATTTTTCCTCTTCTTGTTTCACTTTTCCTGTTTAAATTATTTATGAACATACTTTATATATATGTATGGGCGTTTCAGATTTTGTCTTCAAGTGTTAAAGTTGAATTTTTTTTTGATTATGATGATAAACACGGAGAAAATGAGATAGAGAGATGCAGAGTGAGAGAGAAAATAGAGGGGGCTTTTTTTGTGAATGCTTGAAAAAATGTCCGCTGCGAAATGGCCTTTTCAAGAAATCCGATACTCAAACATTGCTTTCTATTAAAATGCGATCTCGCTGTGCTCCTAGTTCTTTTTTCCCCCATTTTTTTATTCCAAACAACATCCTCCGCATTATTCGAAACTACCCCGAAACATTTCAAAAATTGCTCATTTTTCAGGTCGAAAGAGCACAACAACTTCAACAGTTGATGCAACTTGGCAACGTGCCACATTTCTCACAACTTCATCAATTGTTTCCTCAACTCATGCAAGTTCCACCAGGTCGACGAAGGTTGGATGAAATGTCATCAGCAATAACAACAGCTGCCAATACTGTTTTTTGTCCACCATTGTCTTTGCCAAATCCGAATGCCAATATTTTTCCACTCAATCCGGCACTGATCTCTCAAATGGCTGCACCATTAATACAACAACAGGTTATTTTTTGAGAAATATTTTTAGAGTCACCAGATTTTCTTTTTATTTTCAAAAATAACTTTGTCAGAAGAAGATAATTCTTTGAAATCTCGATTAGGCCTCACACAAGCATTTAACGCCTCCGAAAAATGTACTATTTCTAAAACAAGGAAATGAAATTGGTTTACATTAGGATTGTGTAACAAGATATTTTTAAGGCATACTAGTTTTATTACTATTAGAGTTGTATTTTCATCATCAGAGAAGTTATAATTTTTTTGAAGAACACAAGGCATTGGCAATATTTTAATTGTTCTGTTCTTGTTTATCAGAATAACATATCAAATCTCAATTCTAAGCAATGTAGTGCTTCTGATTATAAAAAAGTTTTATAACAGATAATATATATTTTTAAACAAAAAAAAGGATAATTTTAAAATCAACATTTCAGTTAATCAATATTTGATTTTCTTCTTCAATCGCATACTAATTTTTCCAGGCGCAAGCAATGCTTCAACAACAATTGGCTCAACACAGTCAAAGCAATAACAACAATGTGAAACAAGAAATGAGAGAAGTAAAAGAAGAGGAAGAAGAAGAAATGGATGAAGATCAAGAAGAAGGTACAGAAGACAGTGATGGTAATTCTTAATTCTATATTTATATCTAACTTCAATTTCATTTTTAGATGTGAGTGTTTGTCAGAAAACCGACTATCGATCAGATGATGATGATAGTCCTGGAGGTGGTGGAAATGCGGCGTCATCGTCATCATCAGGCGCAAATCCTAACGGGTCTAGTTCAAGTACGTAAATTTTTTCTTGATTCCTCATAATTTTTTCAAAAAATATGGCGTTTCACGCCTTTTTTTTCATTTATCACAAATTTCTTTCAGATAAATCAGATAATCTTCAACTTTTGACGTTATCCTCATAAATCTTATAAAAAAATATAGAGAAATCCACAAATTTACTATTTTTCTTCCCACTCATTTGATAGAACGATTTTCTGCTCTCTGATAGAACAAAACAACTTTTTCTTACTATGTCTTTTCAGGAGAATTTTTATGAATTAGTTATGTTTCCAATCAAATTAATTGAGAATTTTTTGTTGCAGATTTTCAAATTAACGACGAAGGCGGTTCCGGCGACAATAATAACGATAACAATCCATCTTCAAGTTCGCACAACTCTGCAAATCAAGAAGACGAAAAAGGTAAGTAAAAGAAACATGTAGTAAAATGTTGCTATGATCAGAAGTTGACAAATCCCTATCCGATTACATATGAAGTATTAGGTGGGCGAATATAAAGCGCTGTGATTTTAAAAATTCATATATTCGTATTTTTGGTGTCTAAAAAAACAAAGATTATTTGATATATAAAAACAGGTGATCTCTAATCATTTTGCTTTATTTCCTGTAGTCCTTCAGTAAAAATAGATTTTTCAAAAAAGTTCTAAAGCGTAGGTATTCCCGTAGTAATTCAAAGTTCAGATGTTTGAAAACGTGTTATTTCAAGGTTTAGGTAAGTTCGAACTCAAAGTGTGTCTCAAGTCAGAAACAATGAATTCTGATTGTTTCTAGACATATAAGTTATTTTCAAAGTTTTTTCTGAAACATTTTCCAATTACTTAAAGAGCGAATTCTTAATTCATTTTTCAGCTAATTCTAAAATATCATCATAATTTTCATTGAACGTCATAAAAGTCAACATCATTCATAAACGTTCGCACATTTTCCAAAAAAAAATAAAAAGATGATCGTTTTATCTCGACTCCAATTTGTTTTTCATTCATTTTTCTCTTTCCCAAAACATCCATCCTTCAATCAAAACATTTCAAAGTTCAATAATTTCCAGAAGAATTCAGTCAATTATCAATTGAAACACACGATATGAATGTGCCATCTCTACCATCACAGGTAAACTAAAAATTATTTGTTTAGGAAATTCTAAAATGAAACATTTTCAGCCTTCTTCAAATTCAATAGCAAGTGTGAATTCTGCATTCAGATCTCCAGTTTCTCAAGGTTGGAGAACATTTTGAAAATAATACATAGTAAATTTTTTTAGTAAAAATGGAATTGAAAGATGAAGATGAAATGCAACAACAACAGAATAAAGATTTTTGCGCTGAAATCAAGCAAGATCCATCTCTTTTGTTCAAAGAGCGAAGACGGTCAAAAACATCAAACGCAGATCATGTGAGACGTCCGATGAATGCTTTTATGATATTTTCCAAACGCCACAGACCTTTGGTACACCAAAAATTTCCAAATCGAGATAATCGAACAGTTTCGAAAATTCTTGGTGAATGGTGGTATTCATTGGGTGCTGATCAGAAAGCAGAATATCACAAATTGGCGACACAAGTCAAAGAAGCACATTTCAAAGCACATCCTGATTGGAAATGGAGTAGCAAAGAAAGAAAAGGTCGGACCGATTCAGCAAGTTCTACACCAGCTGCATCGACACCCATCAAAAATACAAATGTCTTCGATTTTGATCTTCAACACGCTGATAGTCTTGCAAAAGCTTTTGTTGATGGAACGGCACTTCTCAGTCCAATGACACCAATGACACCAACATCCAGAAACTTTTCAAGAGAATCTGCGCATCAATTTGATCTATCAAGTTTGCCACTTCTCAGTCCGAGTTTGTCCACAATTTCGATGGGCTCATCAAGCATTTCGTCATCTCCAGCAACATTTGATTTCGATTCATATAAATCAAATGTAAGTTTTTTTTGCTTGACGGTTCAAATTCTGTCCCTGTGCCTGTTGTTTCAATAACGTGTGTTTTTTCAAGTTTTTTCCACTTGTCAACCGCTCGTTCAACTTACCAACTACCCAAGAATTCTACTCACCATCATCTTCAGCCTTTCGTGTTTTGGTGTGTTTTTTTTAATTGCTAAAATGTCTCTGATTTCATTTTCCTTCCTTGTTTTAGAACAATTCAATGTTGCCTGAAACAGTAGCATCTTCTCCATTGGCCAGTATTCCAATGCAATTTTTCTTGAGAAATCAAGGATTCATTTCACAAGTAAGAATTTTCTGAATTTAGGAATTGATTTAATTTTGGTTTTGAACTCAATCATATTCTAACTGCTTTTTCACCCACTTATGACTAATTCTTAGACACTTCCTGAACCAATTGCTATGTTACCTCAACTCCAAGAAAAATTGGAAAGCGTTTCGTTTGCTGAGAAAATTCAAACTTCACCAAATATTGATGTGGTTACACCAACAGCAGATATCATAAGACCAATTCCACAATTCCTACAACCACAAAAAGAATTCATTTTGCAACCAACTCCAGCTCAAAGAGGAATCACAAAAGGTAACAAAAAAGAATGTTTCGCAGCGAGCAGGGTTCGAACCTACGCGGGCAATGCCCAATAGATTTCAAGTCTATCTCATTAACCACTCGGACATCGCTGCATGTTTCAATGAACACTAGATAGAATGAAATGTTTGAAACAACAAAAAAAACTCTGTTTCTTTTCTTTTCATTTCTCTGCTTCACTTCATATTTGCTTTCATTTTTTAGGACAAAAACGTTCATTGCGAGATGATAATGAAGATGGGAATAATTCTTCGAAGTTGTTTAAACGAGATGATCAGCAAATGGATCAAGTGTTGGATCGAGTTGGATTTTCACAAAAGTTCGCCAAACTTCCAGAATTCACACCAATTGTAAGAAAACACTTTAACCACTTACTACTCATCACACAATACTTGATAATTTAGAACTCTGCGCCTTTATTGACACACGATATTGTGCCGGCATCACCATCCTTGCCATCACCTTTCACAACACCCGGGTGTCCGCCAGCGCACACTGTTTTCTTCGGAGCCAATTTTAATCCAAACTGCTTTTTAGATCAGGTAGAAATATAATAATTTTTATGATAGAAATCTGAATTCACGAATATTTCTTAGACACAAAATGTTTCAACACCAAAAGCTATTCACAGTTCTGAAAAATCGGCAACTAAAAAATTATTGGAAGAACGACGAAGACTTGTTTCACAATTTTTGATTGGATCTGGACTTTTCCCAAACTGTTTGTTTTATTTTTCTTCTCAGAAATTCGGGGAACAATAGTTATTTTTCTAGCATTTGAAACTGACAAATTCCAACGAGATCATCATGACATATTTCCAACAAAATCCTCACTTGTTTTGAAAATACGCGAAGTTCGACAAAGATTGATGTCAAATGGCACCGAATATATTGTTGATGAAAAATGTAAATCAGGTGAGCTTGGGAACAATTAAAGGCATGGGAAAGTAGTTATGCAATATGAATAAAAAAGCCTAGAGTGAATAAGTTTAATAGAGAAACGGGTATTTTATATTGAAAAAAAAAACAATGAAATTGCAATATCCTTAATTCTAACGTATTTTTTCCTAAATAACATATAAACCTGACCGAGCCAGGATTAGTGATGACTTCAAAACAATTTTTGAAATTTTCCAGCAATCTATGACAAATATCCATTATCTGATAGAATGGATAAACAAACAAATAGCAACACAGCATTTTCAACTTCTTCTGATTTGGTGGATATTGGTGTTTGACCATGTTTTTCTTAACTTAGCTTTAAATTCATAACACATTATTATTCTTTTTTGATTGTTCATTTTTTACCATTTTCCTTCTTTTTCATTTTTCTTATTCCTTGTGCATATATGTTCTATGTATCAAACAAACTCCCCCTTTAGTCACTTGCCAGCTTTTTCTATCGAACAAATAATGTTAGATTACCAAAACAAAAAAATTCATGTGTTATTTCTTGAAAGCCTTAAAGGCGCCTTTCCTTCATCATATATTTTTTTACATTTGCACCTAGTGAGACCACCGCTGTGATCTAGAATTTTATTGTGTACGGACAACTCGTTTTCTTTTCCAATCCTATTTCATGCTTTTACTTTACTTATCGTGTCACATTTTTATCTGTATTTTTTCCCGATTTTTATCCCCTTTCCTCTCTCCCACTCCCAAACCCATCCGGTTAAAAATTGAACCAACTTCTTGTCCTATAAAGCATGCCATAATTTTCCATATATAGTAGAAATTGATATTAGCATTGTTTATGTTTCAAACTTCTGGCACTTTTGGTTGAGTACACAATTTATTTATTTTTTCGTCGATTGTAGAAAATATACTGTAGTTTCAAAAACAAATTTCCTTCAGCTAGACATTTTTTCTTCTTCTTCTTCTTCCCCAAATGTTTTTTTTTCGATTTCATTGGTTTTGCTTTTATCCGCATATAATTTTAATTATTATTATTATTATTCTTGATTCCAAATATTTTCTTTAATAAACTATTCAAAAAGAAAATGATGGAAAATTTCGTCGACCCACTCAAAAACAATTTCAGAGATGAAAAGAGATTATTTCCAGGGATTTAAAGTGTGATAGAAATGCAATTTGATTATATTTTTATGCCTGCGTCATAAATCTTTTCGAATGTCTGAACTTTTATATTTGATGGGATATAACAAGACTAATACAATAACAAAATCAGTTGATGTTTGTAAATCGAAATGCTCCGGTACTGTTCGGAAATAAATGGTTTTGAAATTCAAAGAATTCAGGAAAATTACTTTACAGGTGAATGATTTTCGTATCTAAGCTGCAGTTACATACAGAAATGAAAAGTCTTTGCATCTTCCAGATCAAGAAACAACTCAAATATTTATCTCCGAACTGTTTTTTTACATGATAAAGTAACGTTTTATTCAGGTTTCTTTGAACTTTAAAAATAACATTTTTGTGTAGGCGAAAAAATCATTTATTTATACAAATCAATTTACAAAATCATCTCATTTTTTACCATATCCATAATTAGCATAACCATTTCCATAACTATTTGTATTACTGTATTGATTACCATAACCGTTTGGAACATTTGAGTCGTATTGATTCGTACGATATTGACCATTTGAAGAAGAAGATGCTGTTCCAGCACCACCATATTGATTATTATTATTGTTCATATTGTTATATCTACGATTATTTCCATTATTTTCATAACTGTCATCTGCACTATTATCATACCCTCCATATCTCATGTTTGAATTATAGTTGGAATTATAATTTGATTGTTGTCCAGCTGAACCAGCTTGTGAATTATCATAGTTATTGGTATTTCCGGAAGATGAAGAAGATGAACCCCAATTAAAAGTACAGTTTGAACATTGACAATTTGCTCCGCTACCATTACCACTTACACACTGTCCGCTACTACAAAGCTAAAATCAATCAATTATTTTGTTGTTATTCATCAAATAATAAAAAACTTTATCACCTTGACTTTACACCATGCTGTGCAGACTGGATCGCTGACAGTATTCACAAGACTACTTGTTGTGCAGACTGATACACTTTCAATTGATGAAATAGCGATGGCAAAAATAACGAATATTTTCAACATTTTTCTTTCGGTGGCAATTTGAGAGTTTGTTACCGTTTTATAGATCACAATATTTGCCAAGTTGAGTAATTTTTATTGACTTTTTTTCCTACTTTTCTCAAAGTTCGACAGCGAATTTTTTTGTTGAAAGTGTTTATTTTTGTCACACAAAAAAGATCAAATCGGAAACACGTCGTTTTGATGTATTTTTATGAAGAGAGTTCAAATTTTCGAGATAGATTTGATTGAAATAACGAATTTATCCACGCGATTTGATTTGCAGCTTACTAAAGAATGATGTAGAATTACTGATTGTGAATGGAGGAAAGAAAAGCAAAAACTCACATAGGGATAGTAAGTTTCTTCTGAATTGTTTGAAAACTAAAATGGATATAATAGGGTCAACTGCAGGAAATAATGAAACTGCAGCACCTGTGTAATTTATAAGGCCGCCAACTTCAAATTCAAATAATGGAAAAATGAAGAAAAAACCAACAGGAGTATACATTGTTATAAGAGGAATTGCGGTCTAAAAAAGCAAAAATTAAGGAACACGTGTGTCAGTCTAGATTTTTCATCGAACTTATTGAATTTTGTTTTGTCAAAAATCAGAAGTTAAAAAACCCTATTTATAAACTACATACAATTTTGGCAAGGTAAACAAACTTATTTGAGCATTAAAACGACTCACTTGAAAAGTCAAAACTCTGAAATATTGAGAATGCAGATATCTTGTTGTTCGACTATACTTGTATTTATTTTTTTGGAATTGAACATATGATAACAATCCGCATGTTAAAATAATAGATAATTGAAAGAACATCATAGAAAATAACAATCCAATGGCAAATAATTGATCTAAATTCCAATATGTCTTACCATTTGCATCACGACTCTAGAATTTGCCATTAGTCTATTCACAATTAGAAAGATTTCTGTATTACCTTGAACAAAATATAATAAGCCACAATTTCAGAAATTTCTTTTCCAAAAATGTTCATGATATCATTACTGAAAACATACATATGGATATAAATTGAAACAAAAAAATATGAGACAAACCCATAATGTAATTTTTTTTCCAAATTGCCTTGCATAAATGTTGCCACAACAGCAGCCCAAAAAAATGAGCAAGTTATAGAAAATACAGCAGAGTTGATGAAAATGTGATTTGCAAGTTGTTCCATACGATAACCACTTAATTTTTTAAGGTATATTGAATTTTCAATGATTCTGAAGAACGAAAATCTCACCCACAAATAGAAAAATATCGGTATAAAAATTGACATGAAAGTAAGGAAAGAGTTGTTGCAAATGTACAGCAATATATTGGAATCAACACATATGTAGTAGCATGATAATTTTGAAATATTCCATCTGAGAACATCATCATTGATGGTCCTTTCATATACATTATCTAGAAAAATAGCCAAACTTTTGACAAATTTGTTCGAATGCACGTACCGGTAGCACCACAAATTCAATAACTGAATACATCATTTGATAAATTGAATAACAAATCATCAATTTTTGCCATTTGCCAAAATGTTTACTCCTACTTGAGAAACATAAAAATATGAAGAGTGAATTGGAAAACAAAGCCACAAAAAAAGAAACATTTTGAATTATTCCAACCACCATCATATCTAAAATTTGTCTTTATTCAAAAAATAAAATATTTCTTAACATGAAGCTTATTTACAGAAAATATGAAAATACTCTTGAATTGTATTAATAAAAACACAATCAAAATATAAATACTTCCGTAAAATCAAGTATAGAAAAGAACAAAAAAATAAAAAGAATGAATGAATAAAAAGTTATCGCTATCCAAAATTTAATTCACTATTTTCTCTATATAATTGATTTATTCGCTAGGGCAAAACAAGGTAGACAAGAAATCAAATATTAATTGGATACATATGAAAAACCTTAAGAAAAACACTATTGGAAAGTTGAAGGATTCTGACTAGAAAATCAAACGGTTTTAGATCTTTTTTTTCAAAAATCTTGGTGAAGCTTTGAAAAAAATTTAACACATATTAGAGCTCTTTCCAATTTTATCGTCATTCCAAAGTTTCGGATTCTGGTTTCCTGCAGATTATACAAGAAAGGATTATGAAAAATAACAAGAACATAAGAAATGTGCAGCACACAAGCCTCTTCGACCTTAACATCAGACGGCGAAGAGGCAGTGATGCTTCTTTGCTGGACATTGAATATAAAACCTAAGCCTAACCTACGCGCCAAAAAGGGTGAAAATAGAAAAAAACAGAATAAGGAAATATTATGGTGATTATAAAACAACATTTAAAAAAACATGAAGAGAAGAAAGCGACGTATTGTTGGAGATTCAAACTACTCAGCACTTGACTCTGTAGACTGACTGTACAAATTTCGTTGATACTTTGTACGGAAACGGGGAAGAGAGAAATGCACATAAGTAACATCCGTTTATCTACAAAGTAGCTACAGAACAGCAACGGCGTGGCTACGGATTCAAAAATAATATAGAGCGGTCACTTCACTTAATTTATGTCCGCGAATTGTGTAGCTACAGCAAAGATACGCTGTACGTACGTTTTCATCTCTGATTGTGCAACGCTTGGCAGCTCTCGTCATCATTTAATGTGTGGGTATCAACTATTTAGCAACTGTGTAGCTACGAATTTGATTTTTTTCGTAGCTACGCTGAAGATAAAATGAACCTACGTTTTTCGGGAAGGTACAGCGTTCATCCGCTGTATTCACAGTCCTCCAATTTGTACAGTCAGTCTACCTACGGAGTCAATTTGCTGAGTAATATATTCTCATCCGCATATTTTTTGATATCCCACCAGTTTATCTTTGTTTCTCTGCGTCTCTCTATCACTCTGTCTCTCACCTCGGTATATAAAAGGGACGTCCCTTGTTCATTTTTTGTCCATACGTTTCTCCAGCTCGTTGGTTGCTTGTTCTTTTGAAAACAGTGTATTACCTTTCATTTTGACATAGTTTTCTATAATATTATCAGTTTTTTCTCAATTACAGAGATATTTTACAGTTTCTTCTAATTAATCGATATTCCTTTGCTTTCAAATGTTTTTATTCATTCATATGTATATTTTTTGAAATCCCACCAGTTTATCTTTGTTTCTCTGCGTCTCTCTATCACTCTGTCTCTCACTTCGGTATATAAAAGGGACGTCCCTTGTTCATTTTTTGTCCACACTTTTCTCCAGCTCGTTGGTTGCTTGTTCTTTTGAAAACAGTGTATTACCTTTCATTTTGACATAGTTTTCTATAATATTATCAGTTTTTTCTCAATTACAGAGATATTTTACAGTTTCTTCTAATTAATCGATATTCCTTTGCTTTCAAATGTTTTTATTCATTCATATGTATATTTTTTGAAATCCCACCAGTTTATCTTTGTTTCTCTGCGTCTCTCACCTTGGTATATAAAAGGGACGTCCCTTGTTCATTTTTTGTCCACACTTTTCTCCAGCTCGTTGGTTGCTTGTTCTTTTGAGAACAGTGTATTGCCTTTCATTTTGACATAGTTTTCTATAATATTATCAGTTTTTACTCACTTACAGAGATATTTTACAGTTTCTTCTAATTAATCGATATTCCTTTGCTTTTTTCAGTCAAATGTTTTTTATTCATCCATTCACATATTTTTGGTATCCCACCAGTTTATCTTTGTTTCTCTGCGTCTCTCACCTTGGTATATAAAAGGGACGTCCCTTGTTCATTTTTTGTCCACACTTTTCTCCAGCTCGTTGGTTGCTTGTTCTTTTGAGAACAGTGTATTGCCTTTCATTTTGACATAGTTTTCTATAATATTATCAGTTTTTACTCACTTACAGAGATATTTTACAGTTTCTTCTAATTAATCGATATTCCTTTGCTTTTTTCAGTCAAATGTTTTTATTCTTTCATTCGCATATTTTTTTGATGTCCCACCAGTTTATCTTTGTTTCTCTGCGTCTCTCTATTACTCTGTCTCTCACCTCGGTATATAAAAGGGACGTCCCTTGTTCATTTTTTGTCCACACTTTTCTCCAGCTCGTTGGTTGCTTGTTCTTTTGAGAACAGTGTATTGCCTTTCATTTTGACATAGTTTTCTATAATATTATCAGTTTTTACTCACTTACAGAGATATTTTACAGTTTCTTCTAATTAATCGATATTCCTTTGCTTTTTTCAGTCAAATGTTTTTATTCATTCATTCGCATATTTTTTTGATGTCCCACTAGTTTCTCTCTGTTTCTCTGCGTCTCTCTATCACTCTCTCTCTCACCTCGGTATATAAAAGGGACGTCCCTTGTTCATTTTTTGTCCACACTTTTCTCCAGCTCGTTGGTTGCTTGTTCTTTTGAGAACAGTGTATTATCTTTCATTTTGACATAGTTTTCTATAATATTATCAGTTTTTACTCACTTACAGAGATATTTTACAGTTTCTTCTAATTAATCGATATTCCTTTGCTTTTTTCAGTCAAATGTTTTTTATTCATCCATTCACATATTTTTTGGTATCCCACCAGTTTATCTTTGTTTCTCTGCGTCTCTCACCTTGGTATATAAAAGGGACGTCCCTTGTTCATTTTTTGTCCACACTTTTCTCCAGCTCGTTGGTTGCTTGTTCTTTTGAGAACAGTGTATTGCCTTTCATTTTGACATAGTTTTCTATAATATTATCAGTTTTTACTCACTTACAGAGATATTTTACAGTTTCTTCTAATTAATCGATATTCCTTTGCTTTTTTCAGTCAAATGTTTTTTATTCATCCATTCACATATTTTTGGTATCCCACCAGTTTATCTTTGTTTCTCTGCGTCTCTCACCTTGGTATATAAAAGGGACGTCCCTTGTTCATTTTTTGTCCACACTTTTCTCCAGCTCGTTGGTTGCTTGTTCTTTTGAGAACAGTGTATTGCCTTTCATTTTGACATAGTTTTCTATAATATTATCAGTTTTTACTCACTTACAGAGATATTTTACAGTTTCTTCTAATTAATCGATATTCCTTTGCTTTTTTCAGTCAAATGTTTTTATTCATTCATTCGCATATTTTTTTGATGTCCCACCAGTTTATCTTTGTTTCTCTGCGTCTCTCTATTACTCTGTCTCTCACCTCGGTATATAAAAGGGACGTCCCTTGTTCATTTTTTGTCCACACTTTTCTCCAGCTCGTTGGTTGCTTGTTCTTTTGAGAACAGTGTATTGCCTTTCATTTTGACATAGTTTTCTATAATATTATCAGTTTTTACTCACTTACAGAGATATTTTACAGTTTCTTCTAATTAATCGATATTCCTTTGCTTTTTTCAGTCAAATGTTTTTATTCTTTCATTCGCATATTTTTTTGATGTCCCACCAGTTTATCTTTGTTTCTCTGCGTCTCTCTATTACTCTGTCTCTCACCTCGGTATATAAAAGGGACGTCCCTTGTTCATTTTTTGTCCACACTTTTCTCCAGCTCGTTGGTTGCTTGTTCTTTTGAGAACAGTGTATTGCCTTTCATTTTGACATAGTTTTCTATAATATTATCAGTTTTTACTCACTTACAGAGATATTTTACAGTTTCTTCTAATTAATCGATATTCCTTTGCTTTTTTCAGTCAAATGTTTTTATTCTTTCATTCGCATATTTTTTTGATGTCCCACCAGTTTATCTTTGTTTCTCTGCGTCTCTCTATTACTCTGTCTCTCACCTCGGTATATAAAAGGGACGTCCCTTGTTCATTTTTTGTCCACACTTTTCTCCAGCTCGTTGGTTGCTTGTTCTTTTGAGAACAGTGTATTGCCTTTCATTTTGACATAGTTTTCTATAATATTATCAGTTTTTACTCACTTACAGAGATATTTTACAGTTTCTTCTAATTAATCGATATTCCTTTGCTTTTTTCAGTCAAATGTTTTTATTCTTTCATTCGCATATTTTTTTGATGTCCCACCAGTTTATCTTTGTTTCTCTGCGTCTCTCTATTACTCTGTCTCTCACCTCGGTATATAAAAGGGACGTCCCTTGTTCATTTTTTGTCCACACTTTTCTCCAGCTCGTTGGTTGCTTGTTCTTTTGAGAACAGTGTATTGCCTTTCATTTTGACATAGTTTTCTATAATATTATCAGTTTTTACTCACTTACAGAGATATTTTACAGTTTCTTCTAATTAATCGATATTCCTTTTCATATTTTAGTCAAATGTTTTTATTCATTCATTCGCATATTTTTTTGATGTCCCACTAGTTTCTCTCTGTTTCTCTGCGTCTCTCTATCACTCTCTCTCTCACCTCGGTATATAAAAGGGACGTCCCTTGTTCATTTTTTGTCCACACTTTTCTCCAGCTCGTTGGTTGCTTGTTCTTTTGAGAACAGTGTATTGCCTTTCATTTTGACATAGTTTTCTATAATATTATCAGTTTTTACTCACTTACAGAGATATTTTACAGTTTCTTCTAATTAATCGATATTCCTTTGCTTTTTTCAGTCAAATGTTTTTATTCATTCATTCGCATATTTTTTTGATGTCCCACTAGTTTCTCTCTGTTTCTCTGCGTCTCTCTATCACTCTCTCTCTCACCTCGGTATATAAAAGGGACGTCCCTTGTTCATTTTTTGTCCACACTTTTCTCCAGCTCGTTGGTTGCTTGTTCTTTTGAGAACAGTGTATTATCTTTCATTTTGACATAGTTTTCTATAATATTATCAGTTTTTACTCACTTACAGAGATATTTTACAGTTTCTTCTAATTAATCGATATTCCTTTTCATATTTTAGTCAAATGTTTTTATTCATTCATTCGCATATTTTTTTGATGTCCCACTAGTTTCTCTCTGTTTCTCTGCGTCTCTCTATCACTCTCTCTCTCACCTCGGTATATAAAAGGGACGTCCCTTGTTCATTTTTTGTCCACACTTTTCTCCAGCTCGTTGGTTGCTTGTTCTTTTGAGAACAGTGTATTGCCTTTCATTTTGACATAGTTTTCTATAATATTATCAGTTTTTACTCACTTACAGAGATATTTTACAGTTTCTTCTAATTAATCGATATTCCTTTGCTTTTTTCAGTCAAATGTTTTTATTCATTCATTCGCATATTTTTTTGATGTCCCACTAGTTTCTCTCTGTTTCTCTGCGTCTCTCTATCACTCTCTCTCTCACCTCGGTATATAAAAGGGACGTCCCTTGTTCATTTTTTGTCCACACTTTTCTCCAGCTCGTTGGTTGCTTGTTCTTTTGAGAACAGTGTATTGCCTTTCATTTTGACATAGTTTTCTATAATATTATCAGTTTTTACTCACTTACAGAGATATTTTACAGTTTCTTCTAATTAATCGATATTCCTTTGCTTTTTTCAGTCAAATGTTTTTATTCATTCATTCGCATATTTTTTTGATGTCCCACCAGTTTATCTTTGTTTCTCTGCGTCTCTCTATTACTCTGTCTCTCACCTCCGTATATAAAAGGGACGTCCCTTGTTCATTTTTTGTCCACACTTTTCTCCAGCTCGTTGGTTGCTTGTTCTTTTGAGAACAGTGTATTGCCTTTCATTTTGACATAGTTTTCTATAATATTATCAGTTTTTACTCACTTACAGAGATATTTTACAGTTTCTTCTAATTAATCGATATTCCTTTGCTTTTTTCAGTCAAATGTTTTTATTCATTCATTCGCATATTTTTTTGATGTCCCACTAGTTTCTCTCTGTTTCTCTGCGTCTCTCTATCACTCTCTCTCTCACCTCGGTATATAAAAGGGACGTCCCTTGTTCATTTTTTGTCCACACTTTTCTCCAGCTCGTTGGTTGCTTGTTCTTTTGAGAACAGTGTATTGCCTTTCATTTTGACATAGTTTTCTATAATATTATCAGTTTTTACTCACTTACAGAGATATTTTACAGTTTCTTCTAATTAATCGATATTCCTTTGCTTTTTTCAGTCAAATGTTTTTATTCATTCATTCGCATATTTTTTTGATGTCCCACTAGTTTCTCTCTGTTTCTCTGCGTCTCTCTATCACTCTCTCTCTCACCTCGGTATATAAAAGGGACGTCCCTTGTTCATTTTTTGTCCACACTTTTCTCCAGCTCGTTGGTTGCTTGTTCTTTTGAGAACAGTGTATTGCCTTTCATTTTGACATAGTTTTCTATAATATTATCAGTTTTTACTCACTTACAGAGATATTTTACAGTTTCTTCTAATTAATCGATATTCCTTTGCTTTTTTCAGTCAAATGTTTTTATTCATTCATTCGCATATTTTTTTGATGTCCCACTAGTTTCTCTCTGTTTCTCTGCGTCTCTCTATCACTCTCTCTCTCACCTCGGTATATAAAAGGGACGTCCCTTGTTCATTTTTTGTCCACACTTTTCTCCAGCTCGTTGGTTGCTTGTTCTTTTGAGAACAGTGTATTGCCTTTCATTTTGACATAGTTTTCTATAATATTATCAGTTTTTTCTCAATTACAGAGATATTTTACAGTTTCTTCTAATTAATCGATATTCCTTTGCTTTCAAATGTTTTTATTCATTCATATGTATATTTTTTGAAATCCCACCAGTTTATCTTTGTTTCTCTGCGTCTCTCTATCACTCTCTGTCTCTCACCTCGGTATATAAAAGGGACGTCCCTTGTTCATTTTTTGTCCACACTTTTCTCCAGCTCGTTGGTTGCTTGTTCTTTTACAAGGCACTTATTCATTGTTTTTCATAGTTTTTCTTTCTCGTCAGGTTTCTTGAATAAGAAAAACTTCAAATGATGTTTTTGTTTAAAAAAAAGGTTTTCTTGTGATTTTGCACATCTCCTTGCGCTTTTTGGACTTTGTATTTGAAATATTTACGATTTATTAAAAAGGCAGACATGCAAAATTAAATTTTCAGGTATTCAACAATGCGCACCAAGGAGTCAAAAAGAAAGCCTAGACCAAAATCACTCGAAGCAAAGCCCCTTCCAACGATCATTTTACCGCTTGCAGATTTGGACCAATTTGTGGAGTCGCAAGCAAAACGAGGAATAATTATAGAAATTCATAAGATATGTAATGCATATCGTGTGACAAACCTACATAAAAAGGCGCAGTCGATCATCCGATCATTTCATAATTCTCCAATTATCATGTCAACAGAAATCAATTTTCGTATGCCAAGAAATATTGTGAAAGTATATGATGTTAAAGGTGGTAAAGTTACATCTACCGTAAGTTTGATGAGATTCATTAGATATCATTCATCTATTTGCATTTTCAGATAGTTTCACGATATTCGAGAACAATGAGATATGACGATTTAACAAGTGAGCAATGTTCTAGCCATATCTATGTCGGCGAAGACTTTTGGGAGTATACTGGGGAATCGACATCACTGGAAACGGCGAAATTGGGTGTTCGAGAAAATGATGCTGACATATCATTCGTAAATTTGATTGAAGCTCGTAGAAATTATTTTGCTGAACTTTGGAACAGACAACAATTGGCTACTTGGCCACCAGCCCTCGAAATAAATTATTTGCCTGCAAGAACTCTAAAAAAACATCTTCAAAAATTGAAATCAATTTTTTCAACCCAACGCAAAAGCAAAGGAGCATTGAATGATTTAATACCAAGGCAGACAATTCACCCAGGAAGTTCTCAAATTGATGTGCACGAAAAGAGACGTTTAGCTCTAGAGAAGAAAAAAAACGAATCGAAAAAAAATGATGTCAAATCAGATGTTATTATCGGAAAATCTTCATCTTCATTCGACTCTAATTTGTCACTAACAAATACGAATGTGAAGGATACTAAAGTTGATATTCTGAGCGAGAGTACTAAAACATCAACCAGAAAGGTGAGTTTGATTAGATCTGAATACAATTTAACACAATATGTTTTTAGATCAAGTCAAGTGACAGTAGCGTCGAGAAATCAAAAAACACCAAAAGTCGTCAAGATATCAAGAGAAGAAATGATGTTGAGGATATAATAGAGGTTAAACGACAAAAAACAAACAAGAATAGTTCAAATGAGAATAACGATGCTTTGATCGAGAAAAAATTGGATGTCTCACACAAGAAGACTGATAAATCGATTGAAACTATCAGAAAACGTGCAAAATCAACAATGCCTTTCAAGAATTCAAAAGATCGACTTAAATCGACATCAAAACAAACTGTGTTCGATATGAGACAATTTGACTGTTTTGTTAAGCAACAAGCAAGAAGAGGGATTATTATTGAATTTCACAAAAAATGTAATGCTTATCGTGTAACAAACCTCCATAATAAAAAGCAAACAATTACACGGAATGATTCTCCAAATATTACCACTACAACAGTCAATTTTGTTATGCCAAAACATTTTGTGAGAATTTACGATGTTGAAGATTTTGATTATAAAACTATCGTGAGTTTGACGAGACTTATTGAATATTAAAAATATTTTGCAAGTTTAGATCGATTCAACGCATGAAAATGACAGCGAAAAAGATATGTGGGAGTATACTGGGATAATGAGAACAAAAGTATCAGTTCAACAGGCGAAATTAGGCATTCAAAACAATGATGATGACAAAACTTTTGTCAATTTGATTGAACAACGCAAAGCTTATCTTGATACAACTTCAAATCACATGGAAAAATTCGAGAATGCATGGACGAATTATCAAAACTATGTATATAACGGAAACGATTTTCACCTATTAACCTCGGTGTTTTCCTTCCAACGCAAAGATAAGGGAGTATGGAATGATTTGAAACCGAAATCGATGTCAACAATGAACAGTTCTATCAAAATGATGACAAACAGCCAACAAACGAATCAGAATGATGACAAACAGCCAACACCAAATTTCCTACCTAAAAATGGAATTGAATCAGACGAGGATTTGAAGGATATGGAGGAATTTTTGAACTCATTCTTTGTTAAAACAACTGATAAATCAAAATTGTCATCAGAGAGAATTGTTGGAAATAACATGGTGAGTTAGTATTATAATTATTAATTGATGATGATTCAATTTTTTCCATTTTAGGTCCATTCTACTCGTTCAGTTGGTCAGGCTTATGATGGACACAATTCGTCCTCCTGCACTTCCAGTAACTGCATCGACTGTCTCAAAATCTATCCCATCGAGTGGTCAATTATATCGGCTGCACATAATACCATCGAGGATGTTGAAATAACTAATATTACTCCCATAAACCCTTGTGATCAATCAGAATTGCCAACACAAAATGCCCTTCCTGAAGATGAATTTGAAGCAAACGAAGATTTTATGAACTCCTTCTTTGCTAAAACAACTGGTCAATCAACATCGTCATCAATGGAAACAAAATCCGCAGAAACTGTTGTCAATAATACACCGGATATTATTATTGTTGAGAAAAATACACCTGATATTATAATTGTTGAGAAAAATACACCTGATATTATAATTGTTGAGAAACATGTGGTGAGTTAATATTAAAATTCGTAATTAATAATGATTCAATTTTTTTCATTTTAGGTCGATTCTACTCGTTCAGTTTGTCAGGATTATGATGGGCACGATTCCTACTCTTGCACTGACGCTTACTGCTTAGACTGTATCGATGTCACTCCCTTCGATTGGTCAATTACGCCGACTGCATATAATGTCATCGAGGATGTTGAAATGACAAATTTTACTCCCATGAACTCTTGTGATCAATCAAAATTGCCAACACAAAATGCCCTTCCTGAAGATGAATTTCAATCAGACGAGGACTTTCTGAACTCCTTCTTTGTTAAAACAACTGGTCAATCAAATTTGTCATCAATAGAAACAAAATCTGCAGAAGCTGTCGTCAATATGAGATCTGATGTTAGAGTTGTTGAGAAAAATGTGGTGAGTTGATATTGTAATTCGTAATTGATGATGATTCAATTCATTTACTTTAGGTCGATTCTACTCGTTCAGTTGGTCATGATTATGATGGGCACAATTCTGACTCCTGCACTTCCAGTAACTGCACCGACTGTCTCAAAACCTCTCCCATCGATTGGTCAATTATATCGACTGCATATAATACCATCGATGATGTTGAAATAACAAATATTACTCCCAAAAACCCTTGTGATCAATCAAAATTGCCAACACAAAATGCCCTTCCTATAGATGAATTTGAAACAAACGAGAATTTTATGAACTTTTTCTCTGTTAATACAACTGATCAATCAGAATTGTCATCAATGGAAACAAAATCTACAGAAGTTGTTGTCAATAATACACCGGATATTATAATTGTTGAGAATAATGTGGTAAGTTGATATTGAAATTAGTAATTGATGATGATTCAATTTATTTACTTTAGGTCGATTCTACTCGTTCAGTTGGTCAGGATTATGATGGACACGATTCCTACTCTTGCACTTCCAGTAACTTCGACTGTATCGATGTCACTCCCTTCGATTATTCATTTTCATTGCCTGAATATTATGCCAAATCTAACTCCCAAAATGTAACTCCCAAAAACCCTGGTGTTGCTATTCAATCTCAGACAACAAAACGGAGAAGAGTTATTACAAAAAGGGTTAGTCTTAGATTATAATATTAACAAGAATAAAATGAAATATGTTGTTTTTTTTAGAATTCATCTTCAATTGAATCACCTTGTCCACCCAAAAAAGCAAAGTTCATATCGGCAAGTGATAAACCAACAACATCAGCACAAAAATGTGAATTTTTCAACGACAGCCAAGTAGGTTCTTACAAAAACGAGAGCCAAATCGAAGACGTCATCTTCCTCGATTGATTTATCCGATTCTGAAGATTTGTAAATATTGTAATTATTTTTAGTGAGTTTTAATCCCATAATTATTTCTTATTATTCATTTTTTCTCATAGTTTTTATCGCATTCCCCTTCGAATTGTACATTTTGTAAATAAGACCCCAGCTTTTTCATTTATTGATAATCATAATATTCACCTATCATTTTTAGTTTATAATTATATTCATTCCCAATCATTCACCTCATATTATTTCATATTTTATATTGCATGCCCATTTTTGCATTGTACACTCTGTAAATAAGACCCCAAATAGATTTAGTTATCATCCTAATCATTTCTAGTTTTATAATAATTATAGTTTTAATTACATTCTTAAGCACACGTTTATAATTATTGATCTCTAATACATATTAATTCATACATATCAATTTTGGTTTTTTATCTGATTGTTATAATAAAACATTCTGAACAAATTGGGTTTCTTTTTTCTCAAAAATTGTTTGTTGTTATTGATATGGGTTCTCATTGTCAGGAGATGTTAGCACATTTTCAATTTTCTTCATTTGTTCCAGAGTTTCTAGTCACTTTGAAACAAAAAAATACGAATTGATCGCAGTCTTGAAAAAACACAAATTCGTTTATTCTCCCAATCAATGAACAGAGAAAAAAACTATGGGAGATTACTGATGATCGTTACGAAATCCCCGCGATTTGAAAAGTTAGTTGCTCAAAATCTAAAACTGTTTCTGATAATTTTTTTTTTGAATTTGATCAATTCATTGTATCTCCTCACATCACTTCTACTAATTGCTCTTTGAAATGTTATGCTTACTAAAGAGTATTATTTACAGATCATCATATATTTTTTCAAGGGCTCTTTCATTTTGACATAGTTTTCCATAGTATGATCAGTTTTTCTCACTTACAGAGATATTTTACAGTTTCTTCTAATTAATCGATATTCCTTTGCTTTTTTCAGTCAAATGTTTTTTATTCCTTCATTCTCATATTTTTTGAAATTCCACCAGTTTTTCTTTGTTTCTCTGCGTCTCTCTATTACTCTCTCTCTCACCTCGGTATATAAAAGGGACGTCCCTTGTTCATTTTTTGTCCACACTTTTCTCCAGCTCGTTGGTTGCTTGTTCTTTTAAAAACAGTGTATTATTTTTCATTTTAACATAGTTTTCTATAATATGATCAGTTTTTTCTCACTTACAGAGATATTTTACAGTTTCTTCTAATTAATCGATATTCCTTTGCTTTTTTCAGTCAAATGTTTTTTATTCATCCATTCACATATTTTTGGTATCCCACCAGTTTATCTTTGTTTCTCTGCGTCTCTCTATTACTCTGTCTCTCACCTCGGTATATAAAAGGGACGTCCCTTGTTCATTTTTTGTCCACACTTTTCTCCAGCTCGTTGGTTGCTTGTTCTTTTAAAAACAGTGTATTATTTTTCATTTTAACATAGTTTTCTATAATATGATCAGTTTTTTCTCACTTACAGAGATATTTTACAGTTTCTTCTAATTAATCGATATTCCTTTGCTTTTTTCAGTCAAATGTTTTTTATTCATCCATTCACATATTTTTGGTATCCCACCAGTTTATCTTTGTTTCTCTGCGTCTCTCTATTACTCTCTCTCTCACCTCGGTATATAAAAGGGACGTCCCTTGTTCATTTTTTGTCCACACTTTTCTCCAGCTCGTTGGTTGCTTGTTCTTTTAAAAACAGTGTATTATTTTTCATTTTAACATAGTTTTCTATAATATGATCAGTTTTTACTCACTTACAGAGATATTTTACAGTTTCTTCTAATTAATCGATATTCCTTTGCTTTTTTCAGTCAAATGTTTTTATTCATCCATTCACATATTTTTGGTATCCCACCAGTTTATCTTTGTTTCTCTGCGTCTCTCTATTACTACTCTCTCTCACCTCGGTATATAAAAGGGACGTCCCTTGTTCATTTTTTGTCCACACTTTTCTCCAGCTCGTTGGTTGCTTGTTCTTTTAAAGCAACACCCTCGTATAATAGGCACTTTCTTGAAAAAAGCCCAAATGTTCTCAAATCTTAGATTTAGCTTAGTTTTACTGTTTTCTAGTTCGGAGAAAAAAATCCAAAACGTTTGAATAAGTAGTCACCGAAATATGGAATCCCATTGAAAAACTGAAAAAACTCAAATTCAAACAACGCGGGCTAGCGTCAACGCGGAGTCTCGTTGTTTTCTTTTTTATTTTTTCGCAAAATTTTTCCGTTTTTTTCGGAAAATGACAATTTGCATGGAAAAAACTGTTTTCTGGGTATGAAAAAAATAAATTGAAGAAGTATAAACACGAAGATTCAATATTTCAGACGAAACTAAATTTTTCAATCGAAATTGTGTTTTTTTTAGTTTTTGACCAGAATATGCAATATAAAACTGAAATATCATTGTCAAAAGTGAAAGTAGAGATAGTTAAGGATGTTCAGAAATCATTGTTATAATTTATTTCATTGTTTTTAGTGAAACAATTCACTTTTTGTTGAAAAAAGTTGAAAGGGGTACTGTAGCACACAATTGTCGTCACAGTGTTTGCACAAATGTCATGAAATTGCGGATCTGCACAATCTGCAGGCGATTTTCAAAAAAAAATAATTTTTTTTTTCAAAATCGGTCAAACTTGATCGTTTTTGAGTATTTCTTTTTCATATTTCTTGTGAGTATAGCTGAATAGGTTAATTTTATATATTTTGGTGTTTTAAAGCATTTCGCAATGGCCTTATTATACGAGGGTGTTGCTTTAAAAACAGTGTATTATTTTTCATTTTAACATAGTTTTCTATAATATGATCAGTTTTTTCTCACTTACAGAGATATTTTACAGTTTCTTCTAATTAATCGATATTCCTTTTCATATTTTAGTCAAATGTTTTTATTCATTCATTCGCATATTTTTTTGATGTCCCACCAGTTTATCTTTGTTTCTCTGCGTCTCTCTATTACTCTCTCTCTCACCTCGGTATATAAAAGGGACGTCCCTTGTTCATTTTTTGTCCACACTTTTCTTCAGCTCGTTGGTTGCTTGTTCTTTTACAAGGCACTTATTCATTTGTTTCATATTTTTTCTATATCGTCAGTTTTCCTGAATGAGAAGTACTTCAAATGATGTTTTTGTTAACAACAGGTATTCTTGTAATTCTGCACATCTCCTTGCGCTTTTTGGACTTTGTATTTGAAATATTTACGATAATCAAAATCAAATTTTTAGGTGTTCAACAATGGCACGTACCAAGAAGATGTCAACAATGAACAATTCTATCAAAATCCCAAACGTTGATAATTTGTTGTTGGAAAGTAGAAACAATTTATGTGATCAATCAGAAATGCCAACACAAAATGCCTTACCTGAAGATGAATTTCAATCAGACGAGGATTTTATGAACTCCTTCTTTGTTAAAACAACTGATCAATCAAAATTGTCATCAATGGAAACAAAATCCGCTGAAGTTGTTGTCAATAATACACCGGATATCATAATTGTTGAGAATAATGTGGTGAGTTAATATTAAAATTCGTAATTAATGATGATTCAATTTTTTTCATTTTAGGTCGATTCTACTCGTTCAGTTCGTCAGCATTATGATGGGCACAATTCCTTCTCCTGCACTTCCAGTAACTGCACCGACTGTCTTAAAATCTCTCCCATCGATTGGTCAATTATATCGACTGCATATAATGCCATCGAGGATGTTGAAATGACAAATTTTACTCCCAAAAACCCTTGTGATCAATCAAAATTGCCAACACAAAATACCCTTCCTGAAGATGAATTTCAATCAGACGAGGATTTTATGAACTCCTTCTTTGTTAAAACAACTGGTAAATCAAAATTGTCATCAATAGAAACAAAATCTGCAGAAGCTGTCGTCAATATAAGATCTGATGTTAGAGTTGTTGAGAAATATGTGGTGAGTTAATATTAAAATTTGTTATCAATGATGATTTAATTTATTTTACTTCAGGTCGATTTCACTCGTTCAGTTGGCCAGGTTTATGATGGGCACGATTCCTACTCTTGCACTGATTTTAACTGCGTCGACTGTCTTGACATCTCTTCAATCGAGTGCTCAATTCCATCAACTGCACATAATGCCATCAAGGATGTTGAAATGACAAATTTTACTTCCAAAAACCCTGGTGTTGCTATTCAATCTCGAACAACGAAACGGGGAAGAGTTATTACGAAAAGGGTTAGTCTTAGATTATAATATTAACGAGAATAAAATGAAATATGTTGTTATTTTCAGAATTCATCTTCAATTGAATCACCTTGTCCACCCAAAAAAGCAAAGTTCATATCGGCAAATGATAAACCAACAACATCAGCACAAACATGTGGATTTTCCGATGACAGCGAATTGCCGAGAAGTCCACCAAATATGAATTGTCATGAATCGATTCTTTTTGATGAAATTGATGATGTCACCATTTCTCTCAATTTAGATTCAACAAGAGAAAGGTAAACTATAAAATATACTATGAAATTATATCAATTTTAATTTTTTCTAGTGCTACTCCTCCTTTGGTATTGCATCAAGCTGAAATCGTTCCAATTGAGCAACCAAACCATAATGAACCTGGTATTATCAATGTTCGTCCTAGTGTATCAAAAAATATGCCAACGTCTTTATCAATTCAAGGAAATGCTGATATTTTTGATGAAGTAGAGATTTCTCTCAATTTAGATTCAACAAGAGATCGGTAAGTTATCAAAAATAAAATGAAGTCACATAATTAATTATCAATTATTTATAGTGCTACTCCTCCTTTGGTGCTTCATCAAGCTGAAATTGTTCCAGTTGAGCAACCAAAAATCAAGACAATTGTGAAGGGTCGCCCTCGTGGAGCAAAAAATAAGCCAAAGATTGTGAAGAAAAACGAATATGGATTTGATTCCGAAGACGAGTCTGTAAAACAAACAGTTAGTTATGATGAAAAGCGTGATCTTGCTTTGGCAGTTTTGAAGATGGAAGTTAGTCAAGTTCGTCAAGTTATCGAAATCTTGAAACACCGTGGATTCCAAAATACTTGGATTGAAACTCAAAAACATTTGATTTTTGACTTTAGTGATTTGGATAATGTCACCTTTTACGAAATCAAATCGTTCAAGAATTACGAGGAGGAAAAAACTGAAAAGAAAAAACGATTTGGTGAGTTTTTTTATTATCAAAAATATCAATTTCTTATTCATTTCAATTTTTCAGTTAGCAACGATCCAATTGTATGTCAAAAAAAGATTGAAGAAATCACCAAAGAGATTGCAAAAATTGAAGAAGAACAAAAACGTATTGAAGAAATGGAAATTAGTCTAGGTGGTCTTAGTTCTCGAAAAGATTGGAAAACAGGAAGAAAGAAGGTTCTTACAAAATCGAGAGCAAAACCGAAGCCGAATCCGAAAACACAATTGCAATCAAAATCAATCGAAAGTTCTTCAACTACTCAACAACAAATTAATGATTTACCAAATCATCTGAACTTGTCCGAATCTTCTTCGTCATCTTCTTCGAGTGATTCATCCGATTCTGAAGATTTGTAAATATTTTTTGTGAGTTTTAATTCCATCATTATTTCTCATGATCCATTTTTCTCTCACAGTTTTTATCGCATTTCCCTTCAAATTGTACATTTTGTAAATAAAACAACCACTCATTCATTTATTAATAATCATAATATTAGCCTATCATTTCTAATTTTTTAATCATATTCATTCCCAATCATTCACTTCATATTATTTCATATTTTATAATGCATACCCATTTTTGCATTGTACACTCTGTAAATAAGACCCCAAATAGATTTAGTTATCATCCTAATCATTTCTAGTTTTATAATAATTATAGTTTTAATTACATTCTTAAGCATGCGTTTATAATATTTGATCTCTAATACATATTAATTTATACACTTTTATTTTTTTTCTGATTGTTATAATAAAACATTCTGAACAAATTGGGTTTCTTTTTTCTCAAAAATTGTTTGTTGTTATTGATATGGGTTCTCATTGTCAGGAGATGTTAACACATTTCAATTTTCTTCATTTGTTCCAGAGTTTGTTGATCTCCAGAGTTTCTTGTCACTTTGAAACCAAAAAAAAAACGTATTGATCACAGTCTTGAAAAAACACAAATTCTTTTATTCTCAATGAACAGAAAAAACTATGGGAGATTACTGATGATCGTTACGAAATCCCCGCGATTTGAAAAGTTAGTTGCTCAAAATCTAAAATTGATTGTGTATAATTTTTTTGAATTTGATCAATTCTGTGTATCTCCTCACATCACTTCTACTAATTGCTCTTTGAAATGTTATGCTTACTAAAGAGTATTATTTACAGATCATCATATATTTTTTCAAGGGCAAACAATTTTATATCAGAACTTTGATGTTGAATGAAATAATAAAGATAGTTGAACTTTTATTTGTGATTTCGATTTCAGTAAATAAATAAATTTTTTCAATATTTTTTAATGACACAATAAATATACAAAAATAGATGTTTAGGCATTGGCTGTTTTCAAATCTTCAATTGCTCGATAAACTTCACTTGTTGGATTCATTAATTCGTGAATGTATTTGAACTTTCCTCCCTGAAAATAAAAACATTGTATAAGTGAACATTTTTCGAAAATAAAAATAGAATTATTATAATCTGATTTTGAATAATCTTCAGAACAAATAATACAAAATCTGTTTTGATCTACTTATATAAGAAGATTAGGGGAAACATACTTCCTTAAAATCTTGAACTGTATGCCCTTCTCCTCTCAAGATCCATTTTGTTGTCAAAAGTCCTTCAACACCAACTGGTCCTCTTGCATGAATTCTTCCAGTTGAAATACCAACTTCAGCTCCAAGTCCAAATCGATATCCATCAGCAAATCTTGTTGATGCATTATGGAATGCACAAGCGCTGTCAACTTTTTTCAAGAAATGTTCAGCAACATCGTGGTTATCAGTGATAATTGATTCAGTATGTCCACTTCCATATCTGATAATATGAGCAACAGCTTCTTCAACATTATCAACAATCTCCAATGTGCATTCTAATGCTCCATATTCGAAAGATAGACTTTCTGCTGGTGGTGGAGCAAATTTGAGGGCAGATGTCAATTTTGGACCAGCGTGAAGTTTGACACCTTCAGTTTTGAACATACTGCACAAATTATCAAAGAATGAAGTTGTTGCGAGATCTTTGTGAATAAGAACTGTTTCAACAGCATTGCAAGCTGATGGATAGTCGCATTTTGAATCTCGAACAATTTGAATTGCCATTTGTTCATCGCATTCCTTATCAATATAAACGTGACAAACACCTTCAGCGTGTCCAAGAACCGGAATTCCTTTGCTTTTTTCTTGCATTTGTCTGACAAGTTCTGATGATCCACGTGGAATCACAAGATCAATACAATGCTGAAATTATTTCTATGAAGATTGAAAGAAACTGAGAAATCAAACAAACCTTCAATTGAAGAAGTTCAGCAACATCTTCTCTGCTTCTAACCAAAGTAATAGCATCTCGCATATCAAATCCATGAGTTCCAAGAGCTTCTTGAACAATACTATGCAACATTTTGTTACTTTCATCAGCTTCTTTTCCACCCTTCAAAAGAAGTGAATTACCAGAAGCCATTGCAAGTGACGCGACTTGTGGCAAGCAATCTGGTCTTGATTCGAAAATAACCATCAAACTTCCAATTGGCACTGTCACTTGTTCTAAAAACAAGTTATCCGCAACTTTGACTTTTTTCAACGATCTTCCAACTAATGTTTCAGCCGAATCAGCAATCATATTCAAACCAGAGTGTAAATCTTGAAGTTTTGCTTTTGTCATTTTAAGTCGGTTAAGAAGTTGTGGTTCAAGTCCTGAACTTTGAGCAGCATTGATATCAAGACGATTTGCTTCCATAATATCGTTTTCACGAGCAATCAAAAGACCAGCAAGATGTCTGACCATTGCAGCACGTTCAGCATTTGATAATGCAGCCAATTGTCTTCCAGAATCTCTACATTTCTCAGCAACTTCTTCAATTGGTGGTCCTTCATATCGTTGAGTTCTACAGAACATTGTTCCACTCTTTTTTCCAGCAACAGCATCAGTAATTGCATTTTGTGCCAAACCATTTGTAATCACAGTTGTCACACCATTTTCCAACGCAGTCACACAGGCATTAACCTAAGAAAAAAAAAATAAAATTTTGTTTTTGTTATTGATCTTTGTAATGAGAAAAGCGTGTAGTTTAGTCGAGAGACTAATCCGCGAAGCTCATATTGACAGCTCAAATTTGTTTTGACTTGCATATTGCATATGTATATAGTTTTAAAATATACATACACATATACGGGAAGAAATTTAGTCAAAATCAGAAGATCAAAACATTGGCTGACTTACTTTACTTTCCATTCCACCGGTTCCAAATTTGCTATTTGCTCCGAATGCAACATGAGCGTTTTCAGATGGAACATATGTGTGAAGAAGACGGGAACCTTCAAGATCTGGTGGCCCAGTGTAAACACCATTAACATTTGAAAGAATGATAAGAAGCTCAGCTTCAATTTCAGCTGATAAACGAGCAGCAAGTGAATCATTATCAGAAATGTGCTGGAAAATGAATATATGTTGAATTTGAATGTTGAAAAAATAATGAAAACAAACCATATTTAATTTTGGGTCTGGAGCAACAGCATCATTTGCATTAACAATTGGAATAATATTCAAAGAAAGAAGGCTCTCAATTGTAGCTTGAAGATTTTTTCTTCTTTGTGGATCATCAATATCTGGTTTTGTGAGCAAAACTTGAGCAACAGTGATTCCATATTGTTGGAAAAGTTGCTCATACAAAGACATAAGTCCTGGCATTCCAGATGCAGCACATGCTCGTTTGTCAGCAGTCATTCCAGAAGGTCCACTAAAAACAATTTGATCAAATTTTTATTTATTCTTTATTTTTTCATTTTCTGTTATATTTTGTTTTCATTCTCGATTAAAGATCTCAATTTTCATTTTTTGGAACAGAAAACGCCATGTCACATTTTTGAGATCTTGAATTCTTGTTATTTTTTTGGATTACTTTTAATCATTTATTCTATCTAAACAAAATCGGATTTTATATTCAGTTTTTTTTTGCAATTGAAAAAAATATGATAACATACCGTAGTGTTTGTCGCATGCTCATACTCATAACTAATTCTTGGCGAAGTTTTTGTCTTCCAAATGCGACAGCTCCAGATGAAACAATCAACATTTGTCGGCCAGATTGTTGCAACTCAGAAACCTAGAAAAATTCAGTTTATCCAAGTTTAAAGAGCAGTTTTCTTAATCCACAGACCAATGAGTTTTCAATTTTCCCCCCACCCTCACTATGTGTTTTGTTATGATGCTCAAACGGCTGAATTTATTTTTCTTCCGTTTTTTTTTGCTGCTACTTTAATATTTAAATGTCCTTTTGTGCAAACTATCTCTTCTTTTTTATTAGGAAAAGGTTGAAGCAGCTGAAGATCATTGGACATCAATTTTATAATGAGAATGTTCAAAGAATTTGAATTAGTTTGACATTTGCGGAACATCAAATTGACAAACTTTTGGTTCCTTTTTTGATGCGTTCGTAAGATCAAAAAGACGCGGAAATAAAATAGATTTTCAAAGTTCTTTTTCTTGTGAACCCACGTCATTGTACCTAATACCAAAAGGTTAATAAAATAATAAATCAGTTCCTGAAACCTAATCCCTATTTTTTTCATTGTTTTGATCCTTGAATATTTGATTTGTTCTGTTTTTTTTCTCACCTGTTCAACAATTGATGCCAATCTACCAAGCGCCAAACCACATTCATCTTCTCTTGTGATAACAGCACTTCCCAATTTGACAACAACTCTTTGAGCTTTTTTTCAAATCTGATCTTGTGTTGATTAATGGATGTTTTTGACGTGTTTTTGTGCTGAAAACTTTTTAATTTTGATTCTCATCTAAAACATTGTCCTCTGTCTTTACTATCTATCTTGACCTCATATTTTTTCTTATCTATATATTGAAAATTTATACAGAAAATTGATAATAGAAATAATAATTTGAACTCACCAAAAATTACCATTGGCATCGCCAACTGGAACAGCTCCAACTGATGGAATTGGGCTAACTTTTGAATATGCAGTGAGAGCAGAAGTTCTGGTTTTGATCAATTCAACCTGAATATGTTTTGTCAAATGAGTTAAAAATGAGTTATTGACTTACTGAAGAAGGTTTCAAAATTTTAGAGTGTGAATATCTGAGAGATTTGGCAGCATATTGTGTAGCTCGAAGCATGATGAAATGTGCTGAAACAATTATTCAGAATCGCTTAAAAATCAAATTGATTATGAGATATTGCGCAATATTGTATGTTTTACACAAAACAGAATCTATACGAGGAACAAAAGAAAAAAGAGACGTGCAAAATATTGAAGTCTATAGGTTTTCGAAACAAAATCCGGTTTGCCACAAGTCCTCCATGTTCAAATAAGGAAAGATAATTAGGTTTTATATATCACTATCACTTCTCTCTTCCCATTTTTCTTTGAAATAACATCAGATAAAATGATACACCTTCCACGTATTCAATTTTTTCTCAAAATCGCCCGCTAAAAAGTTGGTGTGGATCTGAACTTTGTGATTGGAAATAATGTGAAGATCATGTGGTAAAGTACAAATGAACCAGAATGGTCAAAAATAAAGATTATTTAATGGTGATAAGATTTTTTCAACGATTCTTGAATATTTTTTTGAGATAGAAGACGCGTTCTTTGATACTGGGACTGAATTACTAGGATAGAAAATTTGAAGCAAAAAATTTCGTAGCCTAATATAATTGTAAAGAGTGTTCGATAATAATCAATGACTGTGCGAATTCACTAAAAGTATAGAAATAATGAGGGAATACCTATTCAAAAACTTATCAGAGACTACATTAAAAGTGCATAGGTAACAAATTAAAAATTTAAAATAATGAAAAAAAACCACATTTGTTTTTCTTTACGAAGAAGTAGTGGTTGTTCAAAAAGCATATGATATGAAGTGACCAGGACACTAATAATAAAAATAAAAGTAATGTATTCTTCTGATAAGATATCGACTCCGCCTACACACCAAAACTAATTGACCCAATATTATCAATTATGACATTGCTCGAGGCAAAATTGGACGGTAACACAAAGGAATTGAGTGCTCTTTGATAGTTTTCGAGAAAGATTTTCTTTTTTGGATTTTGGGAAGTGATATGATTGTTGTTATTGTTGATTTGAATAGACTTGATTTTGGCACGTTTGATCTGTTTTCAATGGAAAATGATGCGAAAAAGTACGCAAATAGATATATATATTTAAAGCAGAACAAATTCCAGAACATTTCAATTTTGAATTTCAGCGTTTCTGAATTCACACCTTTTCGGTCTCAAAAAAAAAAAGATTTTCCGGTTTTTAGGGTAGTTTTACTAACTTGTAAATAGCCGAGGATGAAGTCTCGGTACTCGGTCTTACAAGGTAAAAATGTTGAACTGTTGTTTTTTTTTAAGTTTCTTCTCGAAGTTGCATTTTTTAAAAGTTTTCATTGAAATGTTTTTATTCGACAAATATACAGATCTGATTTTATTTAAAAATATAGAAAATTTTCAGTTTTTCATAATTTTTAGTTTTTTTTCTAAAACATAGATCTTCTTGATATTTTCATTTATTCTGATCGTTGAAATGTGAGGTTTTTTGTTTGAGGAAACCCAACTCTCAGCGGACTGTTTTTCAGTATGCAAAGATATTTAAAAATAAAATTTTTCTAGTTTTTCATTGTTTTTTCATTGATATCATTATGTACTATAACTTTTTTTTTTGAGATTTGTGATTCTGAAATTTCTGATCAGAACTTAATAACTTGAAAATATGATTTTTTTTGTGGATTTTCATTCATTGTCTAATTTTTGTATTCTTCAAAAAGTTTTTTTCGAAATTCAATATTACTTTTCAAACCCAGTCCCCGATCTGTAATAGTCTGCAAAATCTGATGTTTCAAGAAAAAACTTTGATGTTTGCAATTTGGATAGTTCAATTCGAACAAAAAAGTTTTAATCTGCCATGCTGGATGGATTTGTATTAACATCACATCATAATTTGAATTGTCTAGTAAAATCATTCTTGCAGAATGTATTTTTTTTGTTTTTACTACCACTATGTATTACTCACAATCAGATGTGTTCGTAGAATATTTTTAGACATTGTTTTGCAAATATTGTTTGTATTTTTGACAAAAACAGTGTTGCACCTGCCTGATTTCGTCAATTTATAGATTGGTCCCTAATCCACATGTCTTTTGCAGAGCAATTGAGATTGAAACCACGTCATGTTTTGTTACTTTTCAAATTTAATTGTTTCTTTTTCTAATCCATTAATCTCTTGGGTTACTGTAGCAAGTATTTCGAAGAACTCAAAATTTTGAGTAAAATAGATTTTTGTTAAAAATGTGTGAACTCCTTAAAAAAATACTGAAAACTTTTTTGAAATGAACGTGATTTTTCATTTTTCGAAAGTCAATAACCAAATATACATCAGTTGTCGATTTTGCAAAAATATCTGATTTTCTGTATTCGTAGAAAACAGGCTGTGTTTTTAAGGATTTGTCAAATGACGTTGTATATAAAAACCAGACATTCAGACTAGATTCATTTACTCACTTTTTCATTGTTCTGTTTTTTTTCTATTTTAGACAATCAAAGGTTGCGATTGATTATAATTATGAAGTTCTAACCTTGGAGATTAAATAAAATTTTCCCAAAGTAGTCTCAATAGAAGTCAATTGTCGGCTTTCCTCTCTGATCCTAAAAAAACAGAAAAAATGTGATGAGTGTCATTTATAGAAGTTGTCAAACACGGCATATTGTAGTAGAGACAGAAAAAAAATGCAAAACAAAAATATAGATCAGGAATATTTTTCAGAAATTCAATAGAAAACACCACTATTTTTGAATTGTACGTTACCAAAAGAGATTCCAAATACAAAAATTTACAAATTGATGCAAATCATTTCCTGATAAATCTGACTAGATTATTTTCGAAAATACCATAGTTTCTGTTTTTTTCTACCCAGTTATCGAAAGCAGTTTTCATGTTTTGATTCTTGATTTTTTGTAAAGAAGATCTCTTAAATGTATTTGTTTCCTCATTTCTCATCATCGTATTATCGTATTATCAAAAATGCAATGTTTCCGTTACGACGTGAAAAAACATCATTTTATGCAATCTTTTGGTTGTCAAAAACGTGCTCTCTGTTTCCTGTCTGATCTTTGCGATCGCAGATTTCTGAGAAATTGAAAAATTATACACTATCCGGATTAATCATTTATTTAAATTAGAAAATTGAATTGAAACACAGAACTTTCTTGTTTATGACCTATGAAATTTGGGTCACGTCAGTTTTGTTATTTTTTGGTGTTAGGACACAAAAAAACAAGTTCCGTAATAGTTCAATTCCTAAATGGATCCATTTCCGTTTGACTCAAATTTGTTTTTAATAGATGTGTTGACCTAGAAAAACAACGGGTCCATGAATAAATAAGTTGGATAGATAAGTGATGAGTTGAACAAAACATATTGAACAATGTCAACTAGAAAAAAGTAGACTTTTTAAGAGCATTAACTGGAATAGTGAGATGCATTGAGAAGTGATGGATGCAATTCTGAATAATTGTATATGTTTCAAAAAAAAAATATAACGATTGGTACTACTGTAACCTACAAATTTTGGAACCACATTATTTTTTCAAACTTCCAAAACAGATAATTTCACCACTGATTTGATTGTTAAGTGTATTTCGATCTGTGATATACATTCACATTCAAAAACGTTTTATTTTCAGAAAATCATTAATTTCTGAAAGTTTGATAGAAAACATTTCAAATTTTTATTTTTGTCATACACTGGGAATTTTCTTTAAAAAAAAATTTGGCGATGTTGAAGATATAACATGCAAATTTCGGAAAATGTATGACACATGAATGATGTAGTTTCAAATAATTGTTTTTATAAACTCATCAATTCGAAGTGAAAATCATTTCCCTGTTTATGAACACGGAACGAAGATATTTCATCCTTTAAAATCAAATATCATTCGGCTTTTCCTGTGATGATTTGTTGAACAACAGTGCGATAATGTGGGTGTATTTGCCTGTAACTTCCTTTTTTCTTTCAAATTTTGTTGAATTGCTATTAAAAACAGGATGCCCCTATCAAGTTTCGTTCCTCTTTTTTAGATCTCTCAAAGAACAAATTACGTATTGGTGTTTTTCTTGGAAAATATCAAATTCAAAATCACTCTTGTTTATTTCTTGATCTTCTGAAATAGAGTGTGGGTAGCCAAGGTTTAGTTAAATTCTTGGTCTGTTTTTGCCAAACCAGGTGAATTTTTAAATGCTTTATATATATCTTGAATTTATAAACTGATGATTAGCAGATGTTTCTTTGAGTTTATAATTCTTCGAATTTCGAAACTATCATGTTTTTTGTCATTGTTGAACAATGATTTTCAAACAGGGTTTCTTTTATTTTTTAGCAGGTCAGAAAGAGATTTTTGATTAGTTATCTTTCATCTGGAGGAAATCTGAAATGGAAAGTACAGGAAATCTTCAGCATATATAATATCTTTTGGATCGGGCAGATCAATCAAATTATTTTCATTTTGGTTCTGTATTTTCGCTTTCTCTTAACACCGACTTCTCTAAATTTAGTTTTCATATTTACTTTTTGTGAAATTGTATTGTATTGTGCTTCTGACCAGAAAAAGTATAATCATGTTTACATTCATTTCTACAGAAATCCTTTTCTTCCTACTCGTTCAAAAATTAATCTAGTACTCCAAATAGAAAAGATGATGAGGATTTCAACTATTTTTATACAATTCATTCAAATTTATTTTCAGCTCTTTTGGTATTCACCAATTCGCTCGTACTTAAACCACGCCTCTCTCATTTTCAGCTCACTTTGAGTCATTTTCAACTCACATTCAATTTTTCTGTTTTCTTACTCACATCTTCGACGTCAACTTTAAACGATTATTCATATCGGAACGTAATAGGTTCTGAAAAGGTTGTGACTTTTTAACTTCAGCTGTCTCTGGAGACATTAAAAAGACTCTCATATCCCTGATCCATTCATTTCTCGCCTCTCACAAGATTCCTCCTACCTATAACAACTATGACGTGACATTTTTTTTCGTGTTGTTGGGATTCTCGCCCGCCTATAAATGTAGTTCCGAAAAGAGGTCCAGTATAAATTGTTTTAATTCATTCATGAATATGTATTTTAGTTTTTGATACCATTATTTATTCACCCCACTCAATAGACTGAAATGAAATGACGAAGTTTTGTTATTTCTTTTCTTTTTAGTTGAATAAGGGAACGGCAAAATTATAAGGTGCATTTTCCAGACATTCGGAACGAGATAATTGTTTATTTGTAAAGTCTCAAAAGATCAATTGTTGTTTTTTTAAAGATCACTTGGCTTTCAAGGAAGTATATGTCTAGGGTTTTGTTTATTTATCTCATGAAATTTGAACAATTTAACTTTTATTCAATAAGTATGACAATACAGTATACTAATTCATCCTCCTACTTTTTCTGATTGCTACCAATTCAAGATATTTGTCAAGTGTTTTTTTTTTAGCTTCCTGCCAAAACAAATTATCTTATAAAAAAAGAGTCTACTTCCAAAGTTCTTTTTCGAACTCCGCCTCATATCCATATTCAATGTTGGTTTTTCATAAAATAATATGGGCGGAGCCAAAAAAGAAAAATTATACGTTTTGTGTTGTGCTTTTCTCACTACTGTAATTCATAAAGTATATATTTTCATGTCAAAATTCACTTGTTGCAGATATCCAGCAAATATGATCGAGCGAATTCCACAAAGAACAAATATTCTGTATTTATCATTTTTTGTATTGGTTTATTTAATTTTTGAAGCTGTGTAAGTTTTGCAGTTTTATTTGTCGTTTTTATTACCTAATTCTTTTTAGACAAATCCCAATGAGTAGAGAAATTCGACCGAATTTGAAGCCTACACTTTTTGAACCAACAACCGAATGTTTTCATAAAACAATCAAAGAAGCTGAAAACAAGTATTCTAATTTTGCTGCTTATTATAATCGGAAAAACACCACACATTATTCACCAATCACACCATTTCATCATCAAGCTCTTATCGAATTAACCGTATGTTTTTTATGCTCAAAAATCTTTATACCTTAGTTAATGATATCACCTAACAGACATTACTCTAAATTTCATTAAATAAACAACTTGGAATCAAATTATCTTCAGTTGAGACAAATGTTTTGATTTTTAGGAGAAACAAATAGTTAATGGAAATGGAAAACAAGTCACATTTGGAAATCAAAAATGTAATGAGAAGAAGAATCCTGTTATCACAAACGATACTCCATTGCGTGAAAGAGCATTGTGTAAATTTGAATATATGTTGAATTATAATCCAAATAGATTGCCAGCCGCATTAACAGAAGCTAAATGTGTTTGTCCAAGACCCAATTCAAAGCTTGTCGGAAGAAGAATTTTCAAATGTCAAGAACTAAAATATCAGGTTGGTTACAAAAACAAGTTTTGAAAGAAAAACAATTTTATTTTTAGGTTCGAGTTTTGCTGTGGGATGAAGCTTGTCAAGTATATAAAGAGCATGTTGATACAATATCATTGGCTTGTCTTCCGGTTATTCAAGCAGCGGCTCCAGCTGATGCTGATGAAGCTTATCTATATGAACTGGAAGCCGAAGTTCCAACTCGATGATGATTTTCCAACTCACATTTTTAATCACGTTGTGTCATATTTAATAATTACATATTTTTTCAATCATTATCTATCTATATATATTTATTTATGTTTATTTTTTATCTAATAGGGAAACAGGTTTTGTGAAAACATTTCCGGGAACTCTATATTTTGTGAAATCTATGATAGCCAAATCATTATCGCACTTATTTTTTTCGAATTGTGATATCTTCTATTTATGTTTATACCAATTTTCAATTCAACAATTTGTTTGAATTGAGCAAAAACATTTGTACGAACGATGACATCAAATTTATCCTTTTTTTTTCTTTTGCATAATTTATTAAGAACCCACTCATTTTCCCCTTTCCCGATGTTAGAATGTTCAAATAGTTTAGACATTTCCATTTTTAATGAAAACAAAAATACGTTGTGATTTATTTGCATATATATTTTTTTATATCACTAGATGCTTTATTCTAATCTTTATGGGTATTTTGTTAAATTGTCTCATTTCTGAACAAAATAAAATAGATTTTAATTATTAATTGTTTATTTATACAAAGCAAAATAAAATGCAATATTCCCTAAACCATTAAAATATCAGAAGATGGTTCAAATACCCCAAACTTTGCAAGTTCGCATTTCTAAAAAAAAAGATCATTAGATTTTGTAAGAACTGAAAGCTTACATTATCAAAATCTAGTCATTTAGTTTTTTGAGATCGAGGTCCGAGCACGAAAATATAAATATCTAAAAATTCGCAGAATTGTCTGCAAACCACTGTGCAATAAACAAATAATGAGGCATAACAATAAATCTGAAACAATATATTTTATTTTTGTTTGTAAATTGTTTGTATGCTTACTGTTGCAGCCCATAATAAATAATATTCGTTCACAGCATAATCGTAATATTGATTGAGCATAAGAGCCAATGGTCCAACATAAATCCAATCCCACAAGCGAAGTTCACTTTTTGACATATGGGCAATTACTAATCGATTTGTTGCTTTAGCACCTGAAAAACTCTGAGGTTGCAAAGTACACACATCTTCAAAATCTCATTTTCAGTTTTATAGATCAGAACTGCTCTCAATTTGATACGTATTATGAAGCCATTTTATTTCAAACATTTGGCTTCATAAACTATGCAATTTTTTGAACTACAAACCAAAACATTTCAAACCCACCCACAGCTCCAAAACACAGTGAAAATAATGTGATATGATCATCAAAAACGGATGAATTTGTTTTACTGTAGATCATCATAAATGGTAAAATAACCATAAGTAATGGGAAAAGTGGTGAAAGAACGGATGTTCCTGCAATTGTTGATCCATTCTTTCCAACACCCCCGCTAAATATAACAATCATATATCCGCCAATTTGATAGATGGAGACGAGAACTGATGTGAAAATGACAGCATGTTTCAAAGAGTATCCAAATCCCTAAAAATAGAGAATAGGTGTGGGTGTTGTGTTTTTCTTTGTTTTGTTCTGTTTTGTTTCGCATCAATTTCTGGTTTCGAAAAGAAGACTTACAATTGATGTTTCCCAAACGTAGTTGCCAAAAAGAGCAGTGAATAAAAGAACGCTGATGACGGACATTTGAGCTTCTGTGACATCAAATTTCGAAAATCTCAATTGTCCAGTGCAATATGTTGACCAATGTGCGCAATAAAACATGATAACAGAAATAACAGAAACAGCCAAAACTCCATTTGAAACAGATCCAAGGGACATAGCATAACAAATATTGAGAGTTACAAAAACTTGTGTCATGCTATCACATCCATGGTCAAACAATTCACCAAGTGGTGAACTTGAACCTGTTCTTCTTGCTTGTTTTCCATCAATTGCATCAAGAGTTTGATAGAAGAAAAGACCAAGAGCAGCTTGAACATAGGCCCACCATGGTGCCTAAAAAAATAAAAAAACTATTTTATTGAAAAAAACATGACATACGTAACTATCACTTTTAAGTTTTTTCTATTTCCTGGTTTTTAATTCTTGAAAGAGCAAAGAATTTTTTTGCAATCAGCATATTTTGCATACTAGATTACGAGTTGTGAGTTCAAAGTTGTAAAGTGATGTCATTTGTTTCTTAAATTTTAAATCCAAATGCTTACCGGCTCAGTGGCTGAATATGAAAATGATGATAGAATAAGAACTGTAATCAAATTGATAATCAACCCAATTAACGTGATCAAATTTGGTGCAATCCACATTGGGCAAAGTGTTATCACAAACTCCCACCATCTGTAAAATTACAGTGTATTTAATTTTATTCTCATCCTCACAGTAATTTTTGAACACAAAAACAACATTCAAATTCATGACGATTATCCCACCTAATTTATTCACTTCCTGATTTTTAAAAGCTCATCCAAGTTCATTATAAGAGCAAGAAAACATGAATGTAGTTTGTCTTTATGTGTTGCTCTTTTGATTTCCAAGAGCAAGGATAACTATGTGGTAGGTGGGGAATCATGCAAATTTTTTGTACTTATTTCAGACTAGATTTTTGCTTTCAATAAATGACTAACCTTTTCATACATAATTCGTCTAGCCAACTATTATCAACTGCGGAATATTTATGCTCTTTCAGTCGTTTTAATTCCGCATCTGTTAATAAAGAATCGTTCTGGAAAAAATATGTTCATTTTTAATTTTGAAATTGTATTGACTACCTCTAAATATTTTCGGGATATATTACAAGCCTTTGACGAGATACAACAACTCATCTGAAATTAGAAACAATATTTAAAAAAATTTAAAAAGAAAAAATGCAAATCAATTTTTTGAAGACAACAAAAAATGTATAAATTTATTAATGTTAAAATAAAATATATAAATATAAATATACACAAACATACAATTCGTTTTCTCTCCCAACAACGGAAATAAATGTTACCGGTGTGAGACTATATAAAATTGAGAGAATTAGAGAAAATGTATGTCTATCACCTCACACTTTTTGGTGGTCTGATATGAGAAAAGTACAACTTGAAAAAAAAATCACACAGATATTTCAACGTGATTAATTTGTTTGACTTGCTTTTTGTTTTTTTTTGCCATCTGATGTTTTAGAAAATACGTTTTTATTTCTGATTGATAAGGAGAACAAAACTCAGATTTTATTGATTTTTATTTTTTAATTTTTAAACTTCATTCTCCAGCAAAAATTCACATTACATCATCGAATCAAAGAATTATGTCTTATTATCTTTAATACAATTTACGGAGCAAAATCTTGTAAATCATAAATCTGAAGCTACATTTTCAAACACAATGGGAAAAAAACAGAGAAATAAAAGGGGTCAAAAAACCATGTTGGGTGGTCAGAAATTAATCGGTTTTTGAAAATAGTTGTTGAACTTTTAACCAGACTCGTTTTTTCTCAAAATCTAAAATTAGTGTTTTAAGAGAAAAACGGACGGAAAAATGTAAATGAGTTTTTTTTGCATTTCAATAGATTGAAAACAAAGGGAAATAAGACCGTGGGAAATTGAGAAAATGAAAAATTAGTGATGGAAAAATCACAGAAAATTCTGGCAGTTAGATTATCTATCGATTTGATCTATAAACAAATCGGCCAGAAAGAATCAAAGTTTTAGATAGTGAAAAAAGTGCAGAGCAAACTAAAAACATGGGACAACGTGTAGCAAATTTATCAATGAAGAAAGAATGTTTGACGAGAAAAAAATAATGGCGTGATAAAACTTTGGAACCTTGGTATTGTTCTCATTTTTGTGACAAATTGGGCATTTCAATCAAAATTTTTAGACAACGGAATGAAGAAAGAATGAGAAACGGAACGTGGAATGGTTTGATGAGAAAAAAATTTTGATTACACTGTTTGTGGAGGGGAAACACGGAAACCAACAAATATTTTTCTTGGAAAAACTGAATAGGATTTTTAAAATCATAAATGTTCAAATCAAATATACAGAAACTTGAAAAAAACACACTTCCAATGGTTTTTAAATGTATATTTAGGGTTTCACAAATTGGCTACACTAGAACTTAAATATATTCCTATTGTACTATCGTTCAATATTTGATCTTACTACCTTTGTGATTTTGCAAAGACATAACTCACATAAACATTTAGAAACCAAGATCTAAATTTTTATTTTTGATGAAAATTTGACCAAAGCAAATATCTGTAAACAAAAATTGGAAAATTATGTTAGCCAGTGCTTAGGGATTTATGTCAGCTAGTTTTGAAACAATTTGTCAGGTTAAACTCAAAGTTTGAACTTGGCGTTGTTCCCATTATTCCATCACACAAACAGTAAGTGTTCATCACAAGAATATAAAAGATCTTTTTTTTCAATCAGCTCTATTCCCAAAGTCTTAACACTAATTTTCCTATCAAGAAAAACTTGCCTATACAGTATTCCTAAGTTTCGACCTGGTTACAGTTTCGAAAAATGTTTGTATCTTGTGGTTGTCTAGTTTGATTATTTGCACATCAAATGTCCAAAAATCAGGGTGCTCCTGTTTCTTTTCAGCTTGTTGACATACCATTGAACAAACCATTTACAGTAGTTTGTATTCATCATACATCAGGTAGTTTTCTGACCAAATTGTTTCGAACTTTTTTCAAGTGTTTCGGGTTCAAAAATATTCCTAATTCAGATAATTTGTAGTCAATTCAAGTTTTTTGGTCACTAAATCAAAACAATTGGATATCTTGAATAATTATAAAATTGAATTAATCCCACACACAAATGTTATATGTGCGAAAAGTTAAAAATAAAGCTATTAGACAATTATGTTTAGCGATTTTGTGCATGATGTGTGTGTTTTGATATTAATTTTCTTTTCGAACAATATAATTTCCTTATTATGAAACTAGAGAATTTCTCTGAAGAAAAACTTGCGTTGCTGATCTTATGGACATGATCGCAAAAATAAGTGGCAAATATTTAGTATGTAAATCTCACCTTTTTGTTGTACCTACAAACTGAACAAATACAAAAGTTTATATGTTGTAGCGAAACAAATGAAACTTTAAAATAGGTGTTGTACTATTTTTGACAAAAAAGTTGCCGAATATGGTCTAGAGTTCAGCAAGTTCATAATACAATTCGGATTTTCTGAGAATACAGACAGCTGAAAATTTTTGATAAAACTCCAAACAAGGAGTGTGGTAAATGTTGAGCTTCTGGTATGAAAAATGACGAGAAAACCTTTTATGGAAATTCTCGGGAAGAGATTTGTTTTAGACATGACACATTTTTAAAAGTTTATAAAATCAAGGGATTGGAAAACTCAAGTATTAATCTGTCAGTCGTTACAAATTATCTATATATATTTGTTTGCTATCCATAACTCGAAATTCAAAATTTTCAGCGAGTCTTCATCAGTTTAATAGTTTTCTACAAATCACTAATATATCGGAAACATCTCACATCAATGTTTTGAACTATTTGAATTGTTTGTCAACGCAACAAAACGTGTACTACTAACCAACACTCTTATTTATGCACACTATTTTATTTTGCGCAAAGTTCGAGCAAAATTGGCATGCCGTTGTGTACTCATCTACAAAATACAACATCGGGAAACACCTTGTAATCATCATGAGTTAGCCCAACCTTCTCAATATTGTCTCGATATTTAAAGTAGCGTATTGGCGTATAGGCTCCATTCTTCGACAAAAAAGACTGGCATTTGTCATTTTGTCAAACATTTCGTTTCAGTGTTTCCTCGTTTACAACCTAATTCTACTGTATGATCGTAGATCTCGGAAAATAAAACGTTACTTTTTCTAACATTTCATTGAATTTATATCCAATGATAATTATTTATGAGTACAAATCCCTAACTTTTGTATTGAACTGTTCAAGGTATAAAAATCACATGTGAAGAGTTTTGGGGTGCAAAAAAAATATGTTCTCAAAAAATAAATTCCAGCTCGCTTTCAAAGTTTCTGAAATAAGCTATCAGGTGTTAAATGTAAAGTAAAGTCTTTTAGGAAAATCAACTACTACCATCAATCTTTAATTTTCTATGACTTCAAAATCTTTGAGTTAGATTACTGTAAGTTTTTAAGTGGAAAAAGCAAGATGCTTCAAAATGTACTATCATTATTGTTCCAAATAAATCAATACTTATCATATATTCAATTTTCTAGAAAAAGTATAATGTACTGTTCCTAAAAATGAGAAGCATCTTCTTTCCTTTTATTAATTGCTAATTTTCTAATATCAACATAATATTATTTTCCAGGTGAATATGCCTGAAAACGATCAAAATCATAATCGAGATAGAGACGAACGACATTCTGAACGGAGTACGGTAAGTGCCAATTAATAAATATTTGTTAATCGAAACAACTCTTGAGTAAACATCACTGAAACAAAGTAAATGTGATGTCTGCAGGTTCGAGCACTTCCTGCACTTGCTATTTCCGAACCAAAACCAACAGGAACTCCAATCACATTTCAAGATGATATTAAATCAATTTATGCACCGAATTTATCAGGTTTCGAAATTTTTTGGAATTATTTGTTTTGCAAGTAAGACAATTTCCAGAATATTAAAGAAAAAAATTTATTTTTTAGATCTAAAAAGAAACAAGAAGAACCAGAAGACGTTGTATCATTATTTGGACTTGTAAGTTTCATTTTTGAATCTATTGAAAAAACACAATAAAAAATAAATGAAAATGACTTTAGTTTCGATATGCAAAACCATGGGATTATTTTCTTCTGTTCATTGGAATTATTTGCGCAGGAATATCAGGAACATCTCAGCCTGTATTAGCTGTTGTAGCGTGAGTGTAGCCGGAAAGTTTACGAGAAAAATATGAACATTTCGTGTTTTTAGGGGTCGAACAACTAATGTTTTAATTGTATATTCTCCACGAACCAAAGAATTTCGAGATAAAGCGAATGAAAACACATATATATTCTTGGGCATTGGTATATTTATTTTGATCACAAATTGGATTCAATATATGTGTTTCAAACAAGTTGCAATGCGAATTATGGCTCAAATTAGGCATCGATATATTTTTGCAATTTTAAGACAAAACGCTGGATGGTTTGATAAAAATCATTCCGGAGAAATTTCTACAAAACTTAACGAGTTAGTAAAATATACTTTTTTTGATAGATACAATTTTCTTGTATTTTTTTCAGCAGCATGGATAGAATTTTTGAAGGTATTGGAGACAAATTTGGTCTATTAATCAGAGGATGTTTTATGTTAGCTGCTTCAATTGTTGTTGCTTATATTTATGAATGGCGACTTGCTTCAATGTTACTTGGTGTTGCACCTTGTTGCATATTTTCAATGGTTTTTCTCTCGATGAAAATGAGATCAACGACAATTAAAGAAATGGTTGGAGTTGCAAAAGCTGGAAGTATTGCTGAAGAATCATTGATGGGAGTTCGAACTGTTCAAGCATTCAATGGTCAAGAAGAAATGGTGAAACGTTATTCTGATGAGCTGAATAAAGGGAGAAAAATCGCAATCTGGAAAGGGTTTTGGAGTGGATTATTTGGAGGAATTTTCTTCTTTTTCCTTTTTGCCTTTCAAGGAACAGGTTTCTTGTATGGAGCATATCTAATCAAAGTTGGAATTATAAAATCTCCAGGAGATTGTTTCACAGTTATTATGTCAATGTTGATGGGATCATATTTTATGGGTCTGATTGCTCCCCATGCTATGATTTTGTTGAATGCAAGAGTTGCTGCTGCATCGATTTATAAAACAATTGACCGTGTTCCAAAAATTGATGTTTATTCAAAGAAAGGAAGCAAGCCTGATAACATTGTTGGAAGAGTTACTTTTGAAAATGTTCACTTCCGTTATCCAACAAGACCAGAAGCTAAAATTTTGAATGGATTGAACTTGACAGTTGAACCAGGAACATCGGTTGCTCTGGTTGGACATTCTGGATGTGGTAAATCAACATCTGTTGGATTATTAACTCGATTATATGAACCAGAAGGTGGAAATGTTTCAATTGATGGAGTTGATGTTAGAGATATTAATTTGGAATATTTGAGGAACATCATTGGAATTGTTCAACAAGAACCGATTTTGTTCAACGATACAATTCATAATAATTTGTTGATTGGAAATCCAAACGCAACACGAGAACAAATGATTGAAGTTTGTAAAATGGCAAATGCTCATGATTTTATTATAAAAACACCAAAGGGTTATGATACTTTGATTGGTGATGGAGGTGTTCAATTATCTGGTGGACAAAAACAAAGAGTTGCGATTGCAAGAACTTTGATTAGAAATCCAAAAGTATTACTACTTGATGAAGCAACTTCAGCTTTAGATGCTCAATCAGAAAGTATTGTTCAATCTGCTTTGAATAATGCCGCAAAGGGAAGAACTACTATTATGATTGCTCACAGATTATCAACTATTCGAGAAGCTGATAAAATTGTTTATTTTGATAAAGGAGTTATTGTGGAAAGTGGAACACATCAAGAGTTAGTTCAACTTCAAGGAAAATATTTCGATTTGGTAAAGGCTCAACAATTCCAAGCAGATCCAGAAGCAACTGAAGAATTTGAAGAAGAAGAAATTGATTTGAAGTAGGTTTTTTTACCTGTTTTTTTTTTCATAAGATTAATTTTTAGTGCTCCTACAATTGCAAGTGGAAGAACTTCACGATTCTCATCTTTCACTGGATCACATGTTTCCGGATCTGAAGCTTTCAAACGGGGTTCTATGCGATCTTCTAGACAAGACGCTGAAAATGATGTGTTTGCTGAAGAAGTAAGAAAAGTTATGGAAAAAGATGGACAAATTACAGCAACTGTTGCAGATGTATTCAAACATGCTCAAGGTATGTATATACATCACAATAAACATTGTATTGAACGTTTCAGGAAACTATATTTATTTGTTCCTCGGAGTTGTATGTGGTTTGATTCGTGGATTGGAATTGACAGCATTCGCACTTTTGTTTGCTTGGGTATTCGAAGGCTTTCAATTCATTCGAACTGGTGATTATGGTGCAATGATGCATAGAATGGCAATAGCTGTTATCCCATACAGTCTCACTGGTCTTGGATGTTTGATTTTCCAATTTTTGAGTGTAAGAAAAATTGAAATCTTCCATAGAGTTCAATGAGAAAAACAAAAAATTTTACAGTCTATATTCTTTGCAATTGTCTCCGAAAATTTATCATTACGATTCCGTGTTCAGTCATTCAGAAGTTTATTATATCAAGATGCTTCATTCTTCGATAATCCAGCTCACGCTCCAGGAAAACTGATCACAAGATTAGCAACTGATGCACCGAATGTCAAAGCGGTATACATTTTCATTGAAAAAATAGACTTTTAATGACTAAATTTTAGATTGTTGATACTCGAATGTTACATGTTCTTTTTGGAGTATCAGCTATTATCGGAAATATTGTTGTTGCATTTGTTTATTGTTGGTATCTTGGAATTCTCGGAACTGCTCTAATCGTATTTTTGGCGGTTGTGATGATTGGTTTGGCTTATAAAATCACACTTTTGAATATGGAACAAGTGAAAAACGATGAAGCTGGAAGAATTGCTATTGAAATTATCGAAAATGTAAAAACAATTCAATTATTGACAAGAACACAAACATTCTACGAACATTACGAACAATCATCCAAAAAACAAAAGAAATCTGAGTTTAGAAAGGCTTTGTACGAAGCTTTCAATTATACATTCACTCAGTCATTCATGTATTTCATGATGTGTTTTGTTTTCTCAACTGGTATTCGAATTATATATCAAGGAAACAAATCCCCACAAGATACTTTCCAGTTGGTTTTTTGTTTAAATAAAAATAAAGTGAAAACCAAGTTTGCATTTTCAGAGGAATTATTGCTATGCTTCTCGCTGCTATGGCTGTCATGAACTCTGCACAATTTTTCCCAGAATTTGTTCGAGCAAATAGTTCAGCTGGTTTGATGTTCAATATCATCTACAGAAAACCGAAAACTGGTGATGTTATGGAAGGAACAAAACCCGAAGTTAGAGGAAATATACTTTTTGAAGATGTGAAATTCTCATATCCACAAAGACCACTTCAACCAATTATGAAAGGTTTACAATTCACTGCTTTACGTGGTCAAACAGTTGCATTGGTTGGTCCATCTGGTTCAGGTAAAAGTACTTGTATTGGAATGTTGGAAAGATTTTATGATGTTACTGGTGGAATACTTCGAATTGATGGTGCTGATATTCGAAGTTTATCCTTACATCATCTTCGAACACAAATGGCACTTGTTGGACAAGAACCGAGATTATTTGCTGGTACTATTAGAGAAAATGTTTGTCTTGGTTTGGAAAATGTGCCACTTGAAAAGATCAATCAAGCTTTGGAACTTGCAAATGCTAATAGATTCTTGGCAAATCTTCCAGAAGGAATTGATACAGATGTTGGAGAAAAAGGTTCGAAATTATCTGGCGGACAAAAACAAAGAATTGCTATTGCTCGTGCCCTGGTTCGAGATCCTAAAATTCTTCTGCTTGATGAAGCAACATCTGCTCTTGATTCCGAGTCTGAAAAGGTACTATTTCTGGAACATTGATCATAAATAAACTCTAAAATTCTAGGCTGTTCAATTAGCTCTCGATCGTGCTCGTGAAGGACGTACCTGTGTTACAATTGCTCATCGTTTGTCATCAATCCAAAATTCTGACCTCATTGTATATATTGAAAATGGAAAAGTTCAAGAAGCTGGAAATCACAAACAACTCATGCAAAAGAAAGGAAAATACCATAATTTGATTCAAAAACAAGATCTTGCCGTATAAAATGTGACATTTCAACAATTTCTCCTATGACAAAAATATTTTTGTACATTCTTTTCCCAAAAGGAAAAACCTTATGCTTGTATAATGTTGATATTAGTTTTAGTATTGAAATAAAACATTTCTGATCCCTTTAAAATATTTTACTCACCTATTGATCATGTTCTGGTAGTTTTTTAAAAGATGATATTTGTCATGGTTCAAACAAGTGAAAAACGTTAGGAAGCTTTGCGTTTTTTTTTTGTCTCAAAAACCAATATTGCCTAACATTGTGTTTTCCTATTTGCCAGGTATGTTCGTTTCGCCTGCTGACCGGACGGCACGGCTGCCGTTGGGGGCGTGGCCTTGCTGTTTCCGGCCGTTTAGCCGAGGAACAAAACAGCAAAAAACGGCAGCCGCGGATGCCGGCAGGCATTTCGGCATTATTTCGAACAATTTTATGAAATGACATTTTCATTTATAAAATAACTTATTTTTTTCAATTTAAACATGATTTATAGCAAACAAGAATTCAATATAATATGAAAATAAAACACATTCTAGAGTTCATGAAAAAACAGAAGTGAATATATAAAAGTGTGAACAATAAAATCTCTAATTAGTTCTGGAAAGTTCGTAACAGATAAACAACTTCTCCAACAAATTGCACTCTAATTTTCTACGATTTTCTCTATATATATTTCGAAGTAAACTGAAACTTCTTTCTGTTGAGCTTTCGGAGGCTACTATTCCCATCACTTTTCGAGCTATATTATATAATTGTGGGAAATTATGTTCATTAGTTGGCCAAAATTCTTCGACTTCCAGATGACTTTGTAAAGTCAAGAAGTGATTGTATTCAATTTGTAACGACATTTTGGGAGATTCCCGTCGCAAACATTTGGCCAAAAACGAGTCAGGCGAATCATAGCGAGGTCTTGATGGTGGATTGCCATTCATCGAAATGTTTAAAATGTTGGCGAGTTTTTCGAGAGCATTTTGTGCACGACTTTTCAAATCAAGATCAACCTAAGTAAAAAATTTGATTAACTGTCAAAAATTCAGAAATTTTCGGAAAATCACCTTGAGTGCATCAATATCAGCCTGTAAAGTTTGCGGCCTCCGTGGATCTAGCATATATCCTAGACAATGAAAGTCGGTTAAATCGTGAATGTTGAAGCGCAGTGCTTCGACAGCAGCGCTGGCTAAACTTCGGAGTGTTTCATCATTCGACAACTTTTGCGCTTCAAAATGTTTCAGCATTCCTATAACACATGGCACAACAACATGGATTTGTATTGAATCGCTCTGAAAAATGCATAAATAATCAATATTTAGATATTTTTGAGGTCTTACTTGGAAAAATACACAAAGTTCGTCGAAAATTTTCAATGTGCTAGTTATTGACCGTAAAGTTTTCATATTTTGCGAAACTTTAGTTACATCATCCGCCAAATCGGGTTCCATCATATATTTGAATTTCAACAAAACATCTGCATTTTCAATTACACTATCAACAACTTTTTTATAAGATAGAAAACGTGTTTCGACATGTGTTTGAACTTGCTTTGGAAGTTGGGAGCGGATCTGTACTCGTTTTTTCTTCTTTAAACAACTGCAATCAAGAACTTACATAAAACTTTTTCTTGATATTCTTCATCAATTCATTACAATCTTTCAATGTTGATCGAACATCACATAATTTACTTTTATCCTCACTGCTAAGTTTTGATTTTGAATATGGAACTGTTGTACGATCTGCAATTATATTCATCATATGTGCGGCACAGCGTATAACTGAAAACAAGAGTTGAAATGTTTTTTCAATGGTTTTCTCTTACATGTGATAAAATGATCTTCTCCAGCCTTCCGATTATAAGCAGCTGCATCAGCTATCAAAAAATAATCATTTAAATTCACATTTGTGATTTCCATGTTCTTCAACTGTTCTTGAATAAGTTTTGCTACCTGGAAAATGTTCATGCAATGTTTAAAAAGTGAAAAGTATACTTACAAAAACAGATGTTTTTGACGACTCATTCACCACTTGCATACACATGGGATAAATTTTCATTTCCCAACTCTTTCTATTTGTGTTTTGATCGGTCACAATTTGCACGAAGCTAGATTTTAAACAGAAAAAATCTGTGTGATTTCTACCGAAATCACAAGAAAATGACGCCATCTTTGACAGGATCTCAGGCTTCAAAACATCTCTAACTGCCTTTATAGCCGCAGTCGCCTCCTTCTCCACAAGATCTCGAATTGACTTTCGTTTAGGCATTATCTTCTCGAAGCAGTCTTCCGATAAATTATAATTGATGTTTAACAAATCAAACACTAAATCTTTGAATGCATCATTTTCCACAACATTGAGCGCAACTCCACTTTTCAAAATATATTTTGTTATAATATGCTGAATGGTAGATTTTTCTAATTTTCCTTTCGAACTTTCACCAATCAAAGTTTCGCCCATCGAATCAATATTATTTTTCTTCTTATCCATTTCTTTTATTTCACACTCTCTTCTGTGAACTCTGAAAACAAAAAATAATCTAATTGTAACGAAAAACTGGAATATAACTCACGATGCTTGCCCTCCATTTTTCGAATAAATTTTATAGCAAAATCGACAAAACACAAATTTTGTAGTGATTAAACTTTTTCCATCAGTTAGACATAAATCCGGCATGGAGTCGAAGTTGGCAGGATTTCGCGCCTAAATTTGAAAATAGAGGGAAAAATGTCATAAAGTCACTGACCACACGATATCCATTAACAGGTTGTCCAGGAGTCTCATCATTTCCTAACATCATAATCATGTGATGTTTTTGCAAATCACCAATTTCGCATTCCACCCAAATTCCGGAATCTGAAACACTCGGCGCATCGAACAATTCATTGGTTGACGGACTCGGGCAGTTTGACATTTCTAGAAAACAATTTAGACCATATATCATAGTGAAATACACGGGAAAATATGAGAATAATAGTTGAAAATCGATATGATGTATGACACCGAACTACCAATCGATCAAGTTTTATCAGAAAATGAATTATTTTACTGGAAAAACAAGGAAAATGGTTTTTATCGACTTTTCAAAAAAACAAAAACAAAAGGAAAAAATAATTATCATCATCTCTGCGTTTGTTCGTCATTTCTGGTGTTTGTTGCGTATTTGATTGAACACAGTAGTCTGAAAACTGACAAGAAAGTGAGAAAACATATAATTTCCATAGAAATTACTGAATTAGCAAAACGGCAAAGCCGGCATTTTGGCACAGCAGCCGCGGCAAGCTGTTTAGTGTTGTTTTTTCAAAACGGCAGCGGCTGCCGTTGCCGTTTTTGAAACGGCGAACGGCCAGCATTGCCGGCGAAATGATCATACCTGCTATTTGCCAAAGAACAAAGCGAAAAAACGTTGTCTTTTCTTGTATCGTAGTTAGTGTAGTTTGCGTAGTTCTTATGTAACCTCTTTGCTCTTTTTTTGCCATTAAAGTTGTTGAACACTCGATTCTCGCTTTCGATCGGTTTATTTATACACGCCGTTTTTTCGGTATATTTGATCAAAATAGGAAAGTTGTTGATCAAAAATAATCCAAAAAAAGTGACAGTTCATTATTAATTTGAGCAAATATTGAAAAATGAAAAAGTGGTACAAGTTTTTGTAACAACGTGTATTTGTATTATATTTAGAAAAGAGTAACAGTTTTAGGTGTATGAAATGTAGTCAAACAATCACTCGTTGGCAATATTTTTGTGATTTTTTGAGAAAAAATGTGGTTTCAAACGAGCAACGAAACATGGTCTCATTAGAAAACCACATTTAAAACATTTTGGATAAAATAATCCAAAGTAAATATAAAAAGTATAGTTATTTATATCGAGGTGGTTTCAAATTACAACCAATATGTTCGACTATTGGAATGTGACAAAAAATTTGAAAAGGTTAAAGTTTTAGTCGGAATTCAAAATTTTGATAGATTCGGACCAAACGCAATAATTACAGACTTTTTTGCTATTCAAAACATAACAATTCGAGAATTTTTGTTGACATTATTTTTGAAACTGATGTGGTGATTTTTGAAAAAGATAAATAAGCTCTAGTGATTCAAAATGTTGGCTTTGAAGAATCCTGAATTTCAATCTGAGAAACCAAATATCAGAAAATCACGTATGGAATTCCTAGTAGATTCTCATGCATAGTTTCTAGGACAATGTCAATTTTGAACAAAAATGTTGTGCTAAACATATGTTTTTCTAAAAGAATGTCTCACAGTTTTACAATAATCCATCGGATAAAATTTCTCATGTCTCACATTGAATTATAATTCCGAAAAATATATCTTCAGTAGTTATGCGAAACTCTGCCACATTTTTTTCAAAATTGAAAAATATTCCCCCAGTTTGCTTTTTTGATAATCTGATTCTTTCCTGTACTTTACTCATCCTCCAATATTTAATTTTCGCAACAAAAATATCTCTCAAAATATTTAACATCAGTCAGAGACCACGGTCTCACTCACAAAACCTACATCAAATATCTTGTACAAAGATCGGAAGTGCCAACATTCACTACAGTAAACACAACACAAACTGATCGACTGATTAAGATCAGCCCTGAACTAGTCCAAACATAATTCTCATCATTTGCTCACAAATCAGAAATATATCTCTGCGTCTCTTGTATGTTTATATTAGCTCCGAAAGTGTGTCGGACACGCAAGAAACATCGTATTTAACAAGTTACATTTTGATTCCTTCAACCCAATTGGCACCGCCCCATATTCTTATATTATATAAAGCCAATGTGCTACTTTTTTTATTATCATTCATTTCTTCACTTCACAGCTTCATTTATCATTTTCTCTTTCAAATTTCATGATTTGTCTGTTATTTTTATTGTTTTTTTTACAGTTGTCGAATGAACGAATAGTATCAAATAATAATGCCGCCTAAAGATGAACCCGATTCTCGGGAGAATCGTCGACCTTCTCAGCGAAGCACAGTTCTTGCAATACCTGCATTAGCTGTTGCTGAGCCGAAAGATGAAAATCCTCAAATGACATTTAATTATGTCGATGAGGATGATCAAGATAATATTATGTATACACCATCAACATTCGAAAAAGCACTTAATTATCTGCTATGTAGAGGTGATCTTGCCAATCAACAACTCGAAACAAAACCTGTCACTATTTTTGGATTGTTTCGATATGCCAAAAAATTCGATTATTTTTTATTGTTTATTGGAGTTATTTGTGCAATTATTTCTGGTGTTTCTCAACCAATTTTAGCTTTAGTATCGTGAGTTTTTTTTAATAATCAATGTTTCTAAAACTTATTCTCTTTTCTTTCAGTGGTCGAGTTACAAACGCACTTCTCGTGTATTCTCCAAGAAGTAAAGAATTCAGAAACAAAGCCAATGAAAATGTTTACATTTTCTTGGGTATTGGTGTTTTTGTAGCAATCACAAATTGGATTCAATATATGTGTTTCCAACATTGTTGTACTAGAGTTATGGCTCAAATGAGACATCGATATGTATATTCAATTTTGAGACAAAATGCTGGATGGTTTGATAAAACACATTCAGGAACAATTACGACCAAACTGAACGAGTGAGTTTTTACACCCTTCCGCAACGACAACGACGAAATATTTAAGAGACGGTTAGAGAAAAAACATTTGTCAATAGGGCAAACATTCATTGTTTAATATCTAAAATAGTTACCTCAAACTCGCTTGCCAGCGCTTAATCACGTCTCGGGGAAAATGTAGCAAGTTGCTTTAATTTTTTTAAAGAATTTTGAAAAACTCACTTTTCCTCCAGTTTTCCTCGTTTTTGAAAACCATTCATATAAAATTCGCCTCATCAATTGTTTCGATATTTCCATCATTTTGCTGACGTTTTTTTTTCTGTAAAATAGAATTGAGTGAAATCTAAATAAGTACTCCAAACTAAAGAAAAATTCAAGAATGTACATTTTTCGTAAAACTACTTGTTAAGGACCAGTACTAGTATGAAACTATCGAAAATCAACTAAACTTGTGTTACTTGTACTAGAAAAATTGATAAATATGAATTTTACAACAAGCTTCATTCAAATTCATGAAAAAACAACAAAAAATACGTGAATGAAAAATTTCCGAAAAACAAACACAAGAAAATAAAAGTAAAAATGGAAGTGCGCCCTATTGAAAAAAATAGCATGTCTCGCACTAGTGCGCTCTCTCAAAAATGTGTGTGTGTGTGTTTCGTCGTTGATGTATTATTATGAGACTAAAAGGGTGTGTTTTATAATTTGCAATTTTGTGGAAAACACAATTTTAAATTTATTCAATTATAGCAATATGGAAAGAATTCGTGAAGGTATTGGAGATAAATTCGGAGTTCTTCTCAGAGGATTTGCTATGCTTATTGCTGCAATTGTTGTTTCATTTATTTATGAATGGAGATTAGCCTTAATGATGCTTGGTGTCTGTCCAATTTGCTGTTTATGTATGTCACTTCTTGCCAGAGTGAGTTTTTTGCACATTCAGTTTGATGAGTATTTGAAACAATGAGAATATTTTCAGCAAATGACAACGACAACCATTAGAGAGTTAGGAAATGTTGGTAAAGCTGGAGGTATTGCTGAAGAATCATTGATGGGAGTTCGAACTGTTCAAGCATTTAATGGTCAAGAAGAAATGGTTGGAAAATATTCTGCTGAATTAGATAAGGGTAGAAAAATTGCGGTTTGGAAAGGATTTTGGAGTGGATTATTTGGAGGATTGTTCTTTTTCTGGTTATTCGCATTCATGGGTACTGGATTGTTATATGGTGCATATTTACTAAAGGTTGGAATCATCAAAACACCAGGAGACGTTTTCATTGTTGTTATGGCTATGTTACTTGGATCTTATTTCCTTGGATTGATCTCTCCACATTTAATGGTTTTGTTGAATGCAAGAGTATCAGCTGCATCGATCTATCAAACAATTGATCGTGTTCCACACATTGATCCATATTCGAAAAAAGGAAAAACGCCACAAAATGTGACTGGAAGAGTTGAATTCAGAAACGTTCATTTCCGCTATCCAACCAGAAGAGATGTGAAAATTTTGAATGGATTGAATTTGACAGTTGAACCAGGAACATCGGTTGCTCTAGTCGGGCAGTCTGGATGTGGTAAATCAACCTCTGTTGGATTATTAACTAGATTATATGAACCAGAAGGTGGAAATGTTTCAATTGATGGAGTTGATGTTAGAGATTTGAATATTGAATGGCTTCGAAACAATGTTGGAATTGTACAGCAAGAACCAGTTTTGTTCAACGATACAATTCATAATAATTTGTTAATTGGAAATCCAGATGCTACACGAGAACAAATGATTGAAGTGTGTAAAATGGCAAATGCTCATGATTTTATTATAAAAACACCAAAAGGATATGATACTTTGATTGGTGATGGAGGTGTTCAATTATCTGGTGGACAAAAACAAAGAGTTGCGATTGCAAGAACTTTGATTAGAAATCCAAAAGTATTACTACTTGATGAAGCAACTTCAGCTTTAGATGCTCAATCAGAAAGTATTGTTCAATCTGCTTTGAATAATGCCGCAAAAGGAAGAACTACAATTATGATTGCTCACAGATTATCAACTATTCGGGAAGCTGATAAAATTGTATTCTTCGAAAAGGGAGTTATTGTTGAATCTGGAAATCACGAACAACTTGTTAAACTTGGTGGTCGATACTTTGATTTGGTGAAAGCGCAACAATTCAAGGCTGATCCAGAAGCAACTGAAGAATTCGAGGAAGAAGAAATTGATTTGAGTGAAACAGCAAGTCAATATTCAAGAAAGTCATCAATTAGAAGTTCAGTCAGATCTGGTTCTGAAGCTTTCAAACATGGAAATGCATTGAATGACTCATTTGCGCTCTCAGTTCAATCCACGAGATCAGCAAGAACTGATGCTGAAAATCAAGCATTTGCTGATGAAGAAGCAAGAATTATGGCAAAAGATGGACAAATCACAGCGGGCTATTTGGATATTTTCAAAAACGCAAAAGGAAATTATCTTTACATATTTTTCGGAGTTGTTACTGCTCTTATTCGTGGATTGGAATTACCAGCTCTTGCTCTTCTGTTTGGTTGGGTTTTCGAAGGATTCACTTATGTTCCATATGGTGGAAGAATGATGCATAGAATGGCAATGGCTGTTATTGCTTTTTCTGCTGTTGGTGTTGGTGTTTTAATTTCACAAATTTTCAGTGTAAGTTTGAACCATTATTATATCACGTTATTTTTTGAATGTTTTGTTTTCAGTCTGTGTTTTTCGCTATTGTCTCTGAGAATTTGGCAATGCGATTCCGTGTTCAATCATTCAGAAGTTTGTTATACCAAGATGCTTCCTATTTCGACAATCCAGCTCATGCTCCAGGAAAGTTAATCACAAGATTAGCATCTGATGCTCCAAATATCAAAGCTGTAAGTTATCTTAAAAACAATTTATTGGGAAATTAACAAAAACTACTTCAGGTTGTTGACGCCAGAATGCTTCAAGTAATTTATGCACTTGCTGCAATTATTGCTTGTATTGTTATTGGTTTTGTTCGATGTTGGCAAGTTGCAATTTTGGGAACTGGTCTCATTATTTTGTTAGCAATTACGATGGTTGGATTGGCATATAAAATCACTCTTCTTAATGTTGAACATATCAAGAATGATGAAGCTGGAAGAATTGCAATTGAAATTATTGAAAACGTAAAAACTATTCAATTATTGACAAGACAAGATATGTTTTTCAAACATTATGAAGAAGCATCAAAACAACAAAAAAGAAATGAAGTCACAAAAGGAATGATTGAAGCTGTCAATTATAGTGTTTCACAAACTTTCATGTATTTTATGATGATGTTCACCTATGCTCTTGGTATTGCAATTATTTATGAAGGACACAAAAGTTCTGAAAAAGTTTTCCAGTATGTCTACTTTTTTTCGCAGATTCCAATGTTTTTTATTTTCAGAGGTATTATTCCAATGATGTTGGGTGCTGTTGCTGTTATGAATTCTGCTCAATACTTCCCAGAATTTGTTAAAGCCAAAACAGCGGCCGGAATGTTGTTCAATATCATCTACAGAAAACCAAGAACCGGAGATGTTATGGAAGGATCAAAACCAGAAATTCGTGGAAACATACTTTTTGAAGATGTGAAATTCTCATATCCACAAAGACCACTTCAACCAATTATGAAAGGTTTACAATTCACTGCTTTACGTGGTCAAACAGTTGCATTGGTTGGTCCATCTGGTTCAGGTAAAAGTACTTGTATTGGAATGTTGGAAAGATTTTATGATGTTACTGGTGGAATACTTCGAATTGATGGTGCTGATATTCGAAGTTTATCCTTACATCATCTTCGAACACAAATGGCACTTGTTGGACAAGAACCGAGATTATTTGCTGGTACTATTAGAGAAAATGTTTGTCTTGGTTTGGAAAATGTGCCACTTGAAAAGATCAATCAAGCTTTGGAACTTGCAAATGCTAATAGATTCTTAGCAAATCTTCCAGAAGGAATTGATACAGATGTTGGAGAAAAAGGTTCGAAATTATCTGGAGGACAAAAACAAAGAATTGCTATTGCTCGTGCTTTGGTTCGAGATCCTAAAATTCTTCTGCTCGATGAAGCAACATCTGCTCTTGATTCAGAGTCAGAAAGGGTGAGAAACGAAAAATCAAAAAACAATATTCTTCATGAAAATCATTTTCAGGCTGTCCAAGAAGCTTTGGATCGTGCTCGTGAAGGACGTACCTGTGTTACAATTGCTCATCGTTTGTCATCAATTCAAAATTCCGAACTGATTGTATATATTGAGAATGGTAGAGTGCAAGAAGCAGGAAATCATTCACAACTAATGCAAAGAAAAGGAAAATACTACAATCTTATCAAGAAACAAGATCTTGCAATGTAAGATTGAATAATTGTAAATGTTGCTTAAATTGTTTGTAATTTCAAAGTTGATTGTTTGCGTGATATGTTTCTTTTCCCTTAGTTTCCAATTTTCCAAATTTAGAAAACAACTGTTTTGATTTGAAACATATGTTTCATCCGGGTTTCATCAACCACCAATTTCTATAATTTGATTGTAACTCTAGAATGTGTCATTTTTTGCCTTTTTTGTTCAAACCAAGTACATAATAAAACCTTTTGATGAAAAACTGTCGCAGATCAGATACAAAACGGACATCAAATGTAGTAAACAAATCAAAAACTGGGTGATAACTTTGTCGTATGACATTGATCTATAAACTAACCAGCTTTATCAACATGTAATAACAAGTCTGAACTGATCCAAGCAACGCAATATGCAGGTTTTTTGCTAATCTTATCGATATTTTCTTCAATAATTCTGTTACTATATAAAGAGGACTATGCATAAAATGAAATATCATCAGATCATATCAATATTTATTCAATCAACATGAACATTATCTCATCATTCTTCCGATTGTTATTGATTACTCTTTTTGCATTAACAATGATTGAAGCTTGTGCTCCTGGTGGAGGAAAATCGAGTGGAGGTGGCGGAGGTAGCTCATCCGATAGTTCGGATAGTTCAGCAAGTGAAGATATGGTTACTGTAGAAGCTTCGACTGTGTCTGTAGAAGTTACAGTAGCAGGCTAATTAATTTTGAAAACCACAATCATTTAATTTTTTTGGTTTGTTCATTATACTCACTGTTTATCTTCTCAAAACTATTGTGCAATAAAATATTTATTCTAAATTTTTTTAAGTGTCAATGATATCTTCTGACAATCTTCTGACAATCACAGCCCTGCAAGCAACAAATCATTATCTGAAACAAAAATTCAAATCGTCAAAATAATTCTCTCCAGTAATAATGCATTTTGAAGTTGTTTAGAATAACATAGCCCATTCATGAATTTTGGCTCAAAAAACAGGATTTGTAAAACTGGAAAATTTTCCAGTTTTACAAATTTTTGACCGAAAAAAAGGCTTCGTATATTTTTTACCATTTTCGTCAATTATCTTCATAAATTTTAAAAATCATACCTAGTGGATATACATAGAAAAAATGCTTTGGCTGGAAATCGAACCAGTCAAAAATTCTTACATTTAGATTTGAAGGCAAAGTCACGTACAACTCGACCACGAATGCCTACGTGAAAACCTGTCCATTTTTGTAATTTATGATTTATGAAATAAAAAAATGCTAAAAATGGTTTTTCTTCGAAATTATAAAATTTGAGAATTTTTCTAAATGTTTTGCATAAGGGCGCCACCCCTAGTTGTACAAGAGAAACTACAAGAAATATAAAAAGTCATAATATAATAACTTCTTTTTTGATGGTATAAATAAAAAATAGAAGGGTGATTATAAAATGAAATTAATGAAAAAATAAAAAAAGGGGAGACAATGTTAGAGAAGTAGAGTAAGTGAGAGAGTGTGGAAAATGAAGAGAAAATTAGTGAGAGGAGTAAAAGGTAATTATTGATCGAGTTAGGAAAGTTGTGGTAGAATTTAAAAATGTTTAATGGTTTGTTATTCTATCAATTGTTTTTGAAATCCTTTTTTTACAAATTAAACAATTTGGGCCTTAATTTTAAACAATGCATCATAATAGTAAGTATTATGATGCTTCACCTAAAATTTTATTTTTCAAAGTTTGATAGTTTGAAAATCAAAATGCTATGATAATGATAGGAAACACAAAAAAAATGTGAAAAACTACAGATTAGTAAGAAGTCAGACAATAACTAGTTTATTTGTGATATTCGACAGAAGTGATAAAATTGATAGTAGTACATTTGAGAACGATTTTTGAACAAGCGTGTTTAACTGTTACTTGTTCAAAATGTGGTAGTGAAAAAGTGGTTGTCAATTAAGATTCAGAAGAATTGTTGTTTCAATATAAAATTTGAAAAAATATTGATTTCAAAATTATCAGAAACTAAGAAAGTTTATGACATTCAAAAAGATTCATTTCAACATCGATAAGCTCTGAATGCATCTTATAAAAAAGGAAAAAGGAACTCAATGTCAGGTACATATCATCAAACAATTATTTTCACAAAAAGTTCATCACCTCCGAATTCTAAAAATTTTTTCTATGAAAAAATAGGAATGGTTAATTATTTCATTTGAAGTTGGGAAAAGATAAAAAAAAGAGACCGACTGAGTTCTAATTTTCAGACAAATATAGGGAAACTGATTAGGAATTGAATCAGCGACCGAACTTTGGAAAACGAGCCATTCAAAGTATTTTAAAACTTACTCTTGGTGATACAGAAAAATATATTATTTTTATCATCAGTTATCGTAATTTAATTTCAGCTAGAAGCAATGAATAAAAGTTCAGTGAATCAAAAACATGAACACAAAATCGGCCTAAAGTCATAATGTATTCTAATCAGATTATTATCCTTATCATCTCTGTCACAATCTGTATTATTTGAACTACAGAACGAAGAACAGGAAATGTTGGTTTCTCAGTATTTCGTGTTAATCTGTGTAGATTGACATGGCTAACTCCAAAAAAACAAGATAGAGCTAGTTTTATTTGATCTTATCAAGTGATTAGAATGCCAAAAACAACCGAAACTACGACTATATAAACTTGGCAGTTTTTGTACTCCAACTATATCATAGTTGTTCATTCAATCCAATACATTCCAATCAACATGAATATTCTCTCTTCTTTCTTGAGAATTTTTTTGATAGCTCTTTTTGCATTGGCGATGATTGAGGCGTGTGCTCCTGGAGGACGTAAAAGTTCATCTTCAAGTGGCGGCGGCGGCGGAGGCGGGTCATCTGGAAGTGGATCGTCTGATAGTGGATCATCTGGTAGTGGGGGATCTTCATCATCTGGGGGATCTTCAAGTGGTGGATCATCTGAGCCAGATACTGGTTCTGCAGCTGAAACTACTGCTGCTTCTGGATCTGCAACTACTGCAGCAAGCGAAGAAACCACAAGTGCTCCATAAAATGAGATATTTTCATTCACGCCAATATCCTGGTGATTTTTTTATTCTTAAATAACTAATACTTTGTAAAAATTCAAATTGTTAACGTGCTGATATTTTTATTTTTAAAAATTTTTTTGAACAATTGGATAAATAAATAAAAGTATTTTGAAGGTTTTTTAGTCTTCGTGAGAATGCGAATCATTTGATCCAGGAGACGAAGCTGCAGATGAGGATGAAGAAGAAGAAGAAGAAGATGCTGATCCAGATCTACCTCCTGGAGCACATCCGTTTGCAATTGATGAAACAATGAGAATCCATAAAATAACTCTGATGAAATTGTAAATCATGCTGTTGACTTGATTTGATTATGATCTATTTTTCAAACCCTTATATAGTAAGTACATCTCATACAAACCTGATTTACGATGCGAAAATATGTTTTTTTTTCAATATCATAACATCAATCATTTAATATCCAAAAGCATGATTTTTGAACAACAAACAAACTGTAAGACAACATTTCGGAAAAGCATGTTCCAGTAAAAAAGTTCCGATTTTGGAATTTGAAAAAATATATGAGTAGAAAAAAACAAAATGAAAAAGAGAGAATTATATTTTTATACATGGCTAAAAGCTTGAGGCATGAAATACACTCAAGGAAATGTTTTATGTCTTTTTGGCTTTCTAAAAATATTCAAGCCTAATTTCATAGATTCGAATCTATATATGTATTGATTTTTTCTAACCATTAAGTTATACTATATTTTATCTGAATTATTTAAGATAATGAGTCTGTAAGAGTTCTAGTGAAAAAAATTTGCTCAAACATATAATTAGATGAGTCAAGGTGCACTTTATAATGCATGACATATATTAGTTTTGTATTATTTTTTTCAAAAAGAAAGGTTCCACCGAGATTTGAACTCGGGTCGCAGGATTCAAAGTCCTGAGTGCTAACCGCTACACCATGGAACCGTACGGAAAGATGCCTTTTGAAAAGCTGTTTTATCAATAGAAACATTTGTATTGACAAACATATTGTTTTTTTTGTTCCGCGTTTTTATTTCATTCATCTGTCAATCAAAGACCAACTATTGTCAAAACATATAATTGAAGAGTGGGATTGTTGATAAAACGGCTTTCGAAGAAAGATGCGTCGCACGGTTCCATGGTGTAGCGGTTAGCACTCAGGACTTTGAATCCTGCGACCCGAGTTCAAATCTCGGTGGAACCTTCTTTTTTTTATAAATACAATAAAAAATATTTTTTTTAAATGTATCATGATTCGAATTTTAATTGGCTATTAGAACTTATTTGTTAATTTTTTTAACAATTAAAAGAAGAAGAAGAAGATGTTTGATGTGCAATAAATTTAATAGTTGAATAGGAGCCAATCAACACAAAAGAAGCGTCGTTCACAAAAATTCTTTTGGAAAGAAAGACAGATGTGTATGTATATTATTGGTTTCATAGAAATCAGAAATTCAAAATGAGTGAGAGAAAAAAATAGTTTCCCAAGAGAAAAGTATTCTTGTATTTTCTTCTCCTCTATATTTTTGTTTTGGTGTAATATCAGATTTTCTATATATTTTCTCACAAAGTTTTCATAATATTTTCAATTTAAAATGTTGTTTTGTTTTTATTTTTCTCACAATAATAAACGAGAAATTTTTAATGTAAATAAACTAATATTTTCTTGTGAAAGGAGTATCGCGTTTTCATTTCTTATATTTTTTCCATTTCGTGCATTATACTTGTCTCTACATCTACCAATTATGCTTTGCTCGTCTTGTTTCGTGAAATTCATTAATAATTACATAGTGTCTCAAAAGAAAAATATAGGTTTCCAAATTTTTCATTTTCATTTTTCATTTCCATTTTCATAAAAAAATTATATGAGGAAAAAACATAATCTATCTATTTGAAGACAAAGTCAAAAATCCTTTGCGCTAAACCCATATTTTTAGTTGGAAAAAAACAGTTGTGCGTGAATCTATATTTATTTTTGATGAAAATACGCAGATAGAAAAGATTAGTGCTTACTGGAGATTGATTTGTTGGCATGACAACCTCACCTTTCCCCTCCCGTTTTTTTTCACTTTATTTTTATTTTGCAGATAACAACATGGTGTCTGACAACCCGTTATCCGATCTTGATATCTTCGACTTCACCTACACGGAAAGAGATTTTTACGAAATTGCCAAATGGTCCGAGTTTTCTCAACGCTATGGAATTGACTTGAACATGGATGGAAGTGTTGATCCATACATTGTTGATCTTGTTAAGGTACCTTTTGATGCAAATGGACGAAAAAAAAAAGTTTTTTTTTTGCTTTCAGAAGGAACATGAGAAGAAAAGAGTCAAGCCAGAAACTCCAAGTCTCGATTTTCTATTCGCCAAAATGATTGTTGCAGAAAGATCAAGAATCATGACCAAGGCTGATCTTGCAAGAGAATTCAGGGAGAGAGAACTCAAAGTAAATAGAAATTATCTAGAAATTAATCACAGAAATATACAATTTCAGAAATCAAACAAAAAGAAGAATCGCGGCGCTGATTCATCGGTCCCAGATCGATCATTCTACTCATCCGACCAGTGTGTTCCATATTTTCTTCAAAAACAACGCGAGATTGATGAGCTCTGCCGCATTCTTGATAGAGTTTGTCTCAAAATCATCCTCAGATTGTTATCACTTAAAACATTTTTCCAGGAGCTTGGAATTCAACGTCATTTCTTGCCCGAACTTGGTAGAACTAGACAACAAACTGCCGCTAATCAACGTCCAAAAAGAACTATTCTTGGAAGAATTCAAACTAATGGACAACACAAATAATCGTTTTTATATTCAGTTTTTTTGTAATCAAATACTCAACAAACACAAACAAAATAACAAAAAAATGAATATATATTTGGGAATATCAGTTATTTGGCTTTAATTATTTTGTTTTTGAGTTTATCACCAATAAAGTATTTTAAATGGGAACTGTGGTTTTATTTTTAAAAAAAGGGAGTCAGATTTCTCGATTCAACTCGAACAGATTTTGAATCGTATTTAATTCTTAAAAAATATTGGAAATCTTTTAATAAAGAACGGTGATAAGAATACAATTACCACTTCGATAACGAGTTCAGATATTAGAAAAAAATTTTCTAAAAAACTTGCGGATTGGGAAATGAGTACGCTAATTCTATTATTAATTAATTCAACAAGTTTTGAAAGTTGAAACATTAAAAAAAAAATGTAACTTTCCGGAAATTATATGAACGCTATGATTTTTTTCAAAACATTATTTACCTAGTTTCGTTTCCTTGTGAAAAAAAAAGTATGGGCTATTTTTCGTGGAATCTATTGTCTCGCAAAAGTTGTCAATTCTTTGAAGGTTTAAAAAATTATTGCGTAATTCAATTCTCGGAGCACAAAAAGTTGTGCGAAATAAGTTGTGAAATTTCGAGAAAAAGTATACGTAGATATTTAAATATTCTTTTGAAATACATAATTTTTGACTGACATTCTTTGAGTAAAAATTATTTTGTAATATTTGGTGCTTAATTTTTGAATGCACTCATATATTTTTCTCAATATTCATACTTCATAAATACATTTTTCCTATCCGTTTTCCGGAAAAATCTGTGGTTTTTGCAAAAAAAAACTAATAGAAAAAACAAACAAAAAACCTGGCTTAGCCGGCAAAACAATTTTATATGACCCCGGACAGCTCCTATTCATCCAATGAATATTCTCTTTCTCTCTCGGTCTTCTTAATTTCTTCTTCGTCGTCATCATAATAATAATAATAACCAAACTATTAACCTACGTCGACTAAAAGTACTTCCCTGTCGACCAAGTGTTTGTCTTTTTTCTCCTTCTCCCTTTTCTATTAATCTTCAAGTTGCAAAGCGCGCTCTATCGAACTAACTTGTCTTGTTAGTGTGTTCCAACAAAATACTCTCGTTTAATTTTCTTATTTTTTTGCTTTGGTTTGCTATTTTTGTTGTGGCTAACAAAGATTTATAGATAAAATGCTTTATTTTTATTGGGAATGCTATATATACATGTATTAGTATTCAAATTGCATTGTGCCTAGTTTTTTTTTTTTGAAATGAGTCAGTTACAAATCTTTTGTTAATATTTGTTGATTTACAAAAGGATACCTTTTTGTATATTGATTTTATGTTCTCATACTCTCTTTAAAATGGAATTTCAATCGTGGGAACCTGCGCTAAAAAGTTGCAAACTAGGGCAATGTTTCTTGGTTTTTTTTTTCAATGAAACTTTTTCATTCCCATTCGAAAATATATTATGAATTTACAGATAGATTTGGTCGATTGAACCTGCATGACGCAGCCGAGTTCAAAAGTTCGAAATATTGGATCAGCGTGTTGTTTAGTGCTCACAATCACAGGTGAGCCTTTATCTTGTCAGAAAAATTATGAAAAACACATAAGCAAATGTCATTTTTGCCACGAAATTTCTCAGTCTTGTCCGTTTTCGCGACGACCGTTTTATTTCTGTCTTTGTACAAACAATTCGGACATATTTTCTCATTTTATTCCTCTTCACCCCCTCGTCCTTTTTTCGTTGTTGTTTTTTTCTTCATTTCATCTTGCTATTCATATTTCTTCAATTTATTTTTAAAATATTGAATCGATTTTGTTAAAATAACAAAGTAAAAGTGAAAATGATTAGTAACAGCTATATTTTTAGTGAACAGCTAAATTACTTGACGAAAAAAGGAGAAGAAAAGTGAAAGATCAATAAATATCGAGAGATATAGGCTTGTATATACGACAACAGAAACCTGTCTAAAATGTCCACTACTTTCGATTTCTATTTCGGTTCCTTGATTCACTTCTACTTTTTCTATTTTTCAGTTTCTCATGTCTTATATTAATAATAATTTATATTATATTCAAAAAATCATATCAATTTTTTGACAACATTCATTTTTCAGCCATTTTCATGCTACTCTTCTGGGCAATTTTTCTGGCTCTTCAACCACGACTTGCACAATCAGATGGTGGTTTATATGATTCAAATGATCCGATTTTAGAGTTAGATATTAATACTTTTGATGCAGCCGTTTACGGAACAGTGAGTTTTCTTTAGATTTTTCAAAATCATCCAATAAAAATTGTATTTTTTCAGAAGAAAGCGCATTTTATCGAATTTTATTCCTCTTGGTGTGGAGCTTGTATAGGATATGCTCCAACTTTCAAAAAATTCGCCAAGTGAGTTTTTTCTTTGTAAGATGCATAAAATATGATTATCTGAATTTCAGACAAGTCGAAAAATGGGCGCCAATTGTTCAAGTGACTGTTGTGAATTGTGCGGATGATAAGAATATGCCGCTTTGTAGACAACACGGTGTTAATTCTTATCCAACTTTGAAGGTTTGTCACAAATTATATATTTTTCAATAGCGAATCTTGAATTTTTCAGTATTTCAAATACTTATCTGCGAACAAAGATGATGGTATGAAATACAGTGGGGATAAATATGATATCAATAAATTGGAGCACGATATCTCTGGATTAGTGCAGGCTGATGGGCAAAGACAAAAACCTGAAACTTGGCCAACATTCCTTCCAATCGATGAATCAACATCATTTGAAGATCTTGTCAAATCAATTGATGCTACACCATTCTTAGCTGTAATTATTCAAGAAAATCCAGCAGTTTATGGTTGGTCGAATATGATTAATTATAATGGGAATTCGGCGATTAAAATTGCTTTTGTTGCACCATCTCATCAAATTGCCAAGAAATTCTTCTCCGATGATCATTCTCACGCTTTATTATTTGCAAATGGCAACAATGAACCAATTTGGAAAAGCGGGTAAGTTTATTTTTTCAGTCTTTGTATTTAAAACTTTAACGATATCAATCACAGAACAATTGATTCTTGGTTGAATGTTCAAGAAAAAATCGATGAATTGGCTGGAGATAAGATCGGACTTGCAACTGAACCACCACCAAATCTTGCAGCTGTAAGTTTTTTCAAATTTGTATTTTTTTCAACAAAAACAAAAAACATATTGATTAGAAATGGGCGAAAAAGAAAATGTACGAAATTGTGCGACAAATCAAACATGTATTAGTTATGTTTTCACCGGTTCGTGGGTTTTGTGTGAAATCAACTAACTCATCCCAATATTTCTCTTGATTTTGAATTTAAAATATTACACTCATCGGAACCCCTACTAGACACTATCCCAAATGTTCACAGTTCACATAATAAAGGAAATTTTTGATGAAAAAACAAAAAAAAATGATTTTTTCAGCCAGTAGCTGCGTCTGCTGCTTCTCCAACTAATAATCAATTCGAAGTTCAATTGACGGATTTGAAATCAGCGATGAGTTATATGTTATACAAAGAGATTCCAAGACGAGAAGAATTGAAAGATGAACCATTAGGAGCATTGAAAGAATGGATGCATACTTTGAAGAAATATGCGCCAGGAACAACACCAATGAGAAGATTATTTTATCGATTGGATGAATGGCTGCAACTTCAATCTGTGGTTACTGCTGATGAATGGACTGCTAAAGTTGATGAGATTCAGGTAATTTTTTGGATAATTGAGAGCTAAGTATTTGCAAATATCCTATGTCTGGAAGACCTCAGAAAAATTGAAAGATTTTTTGATAGAAATTAAAACCAATTTGTTTCTGAATGCACTATTGTGATGTAAAGTCGCAAAAGTTGCCCATTTTCTCTACACAATTCAACGAAAAACCCACGATTCCCACAACTATTTGCTTTTTTACCCGAAACATAAATTTATTCAAATTTTATTCCAGCAATCACTGGGAAACCCATTGCCAAAGGAAATCAAATGGATGGCATGTGTTGGATCAAAGCCAAATCTTCGTGGTTACACTTGTGGTCTTTGGACTCTTGCACACACAATCACTGTTGAAGCTTATAAACAAGAGAAGCATAGTTAGTCAAAAACAAACATATTCTTTAAAATCAAAAAAATCGATTTGTTTCCAGATTCCAACTTCAAACCAGTTATTGATGTTCTTGAGCCATTCCGCAAATTTATCTGGCATTTCTTGAGTTGCTCTGAATGCGCACAAAATTTCACGAAAGAAGCCGAAAAACAAGAATTACATTTGGTTACCAGAGCTGAAGATGTTTATGCTTGGCTATGGAGAACACACAATTTTGTGAATCAGAGATTATCTGGAAGTTTAACTGATGATCCAGCATTCCCCAAACAACAATTCCCGCCAAAAAGTTTGTGCCCGGGATGTTATGATTCAGATGGTAAAGTAATTGAAGAAAAGGCTCTGCCATTTGTTTTCAAATATTATTCAAATATTAAAACAGACACTGTTGAGGTTAGTTTTCAGATTGTTTTGTTCAAAACACATGACAATTTACAGGAGGTTCCTGGATACAAAGTAGTCGAATTCGAGAATGGTAAAACTGTGGCTGCTGGTCAACGACATCTCAATCCAAAATTCCAAGTTCATGCTGATAAAGTAGATAAGTTGGAACAATTGGACGCAAGTCCACAAAGAGCATGGAAATCTATTGATGGATACGGTAACATTTTTGATTAGTTGATTTGTGTTTGAATGCTTGATGTTTCATTTTTGTAGAAGCCCAACCTTCAAAATCACATTTCTACTTTTTGTGGCTCTCATTGATTGGCATTGTGTTGATTGTCGTCTACTGCAAATATCGGCGGAATAGATCAAAGTTTTGGAAAACTTTCTATTATCAAAACGACTTTAAACTGTGATTATTTTTTCGGACAAAAATTGTTTCCAAACTCTAACATATCCGCTAGACCCATTCTTTGTCCAGTGTTCAATTTTAATTGTCAAATGTCGGGCGCGTGTGTTATATTGAATTCCAAAATTTTTATATGTCACTAACACGAGGTTTCTATTTTTCTCTTCTCATTTTTTTCTCGGAAAAATTGTATATGTATGTTGTGGAATTTCACCGGTTTATCTTAATCATTTCTCTTTCTTCCTCATATTTCTGAATTGAATTTTTCACGGAAAAATACTTAATAATAGTGAGCATGTTGTTTGAAATTACGTGTTTTCTTTAAAATAAATGTTATTGATTTATTCATTAGGAAATTCTTTGATTGAAAGAAGCATGCTGCTTGAAACTATTTTTGTCTGAAAAAATTCACAGATTCCTAATTTTCAATGAGCAAGTCGTTTGTTTTTTAGATGTCCCTGGAATTCTTCACCGGTAAAGCAGAACATCGTCTAAATGGTCAACGAATGAAAGAAGTTTGATTTGATCTCCTATCCTTCTTTTTCAATCTATCCATCTATCATTGTTTGCTACCCTCACCTTCCCACTTCTTTTTGTTTGTTGGATAACTTATTCTATATTATTTATTTAATTTCAAAACATTTAGGAATATGCATTTTCTATTTATGTTTATACTTGTTATTTTTGGAAACGGTTAATGAATGTATATTTGTGTAAAGGTGGTGGGAATACAACATCTATTCTAACATAAAAAATGACATGATTTATTATTTTTAACAGATTTTCGGTTTTTCTAACAATAAATTCTATATGTATTGAAAACGAATCACATTTGGCATAAGAAGTTGTTGTAGATCTATAATTTCCGATTTTTTTCAAAATATCAAAAACATTTTTGAAAAAAATACCTGTGTGAAAATTTCAATTTGATTTTTTGTGCAAAATTTGTTGATTTTATGATGAATATGGTAAACTAAAGTATTCCAATCTTTACAATCATCAAACTTCTGTAAAAGTATTGTTCAATTGCTGAAAATATACCAAATACTTACAAAGTTTTCACAAAATCTTCCGTTTTCTTCTTCTTCTTCCAATTTAATCAAGCAATCATTCAAATCTTCCTTTCGCAACCGAAAAAACAACTTGCAATAATTAACTGAAATTTTGAGTCGATGCTGATGTTTCTCATCAACACAATTTATAAATATATGTTCACATCTATCAAATGTTTTGCAAAAATTATTGATTTGTTCTAGCTTTTTCGTGATTTCTCCAGAAGGAAGTGGTAACTCTGTTAGCTTCTGAAAAAAAACAACAGTAAAAACATTATTCAATAAAATACCTTGTTGCAGTCAACAAGTCTCCAAATATCACAAGAACTACTCGAACCGTTAATGATTATATTTAAAATTAGAAATAAACTTGAGAGAATCAGCATTAAAAATATATTGGAAAGATTTATTGATTTGATTTGATTCCCAGCTTCATGAGAGCAATTAATCAAAATTGATATAAAAAATTGAAGAGAGATTTTATATAGTATTTTTTTTCTATTCAAGAAAATAGACCCTGGGAAAATTTTTACCAATTCATAGAACGATCTTTGTTCTGCCTCAGAAAAGAATGCATGACAAAACCGTTAGAAATAAAAATTCCCAGGTCCAGATTGAATCACATCCTCCTTGTGTTATCGCATTATTTTTAAGTTTCCACCCAGATTCTGAAAAGATAAAAAATGGGCACATTCTCATTTTTTTCTGATTTTTCTATAAATTATTAACCCCCGCATGAGCACACATTGTTAAATTTTATTTCGTTTTAAACCAATAAAAATATGAGTGAGAACAGGTGGGGGTCTATGAAGAAAAAACGTTCGGGTTTGCTTGAAGCTATGCAAAAAATATGAATGAAAATGAGATTAAAATATGTTTTCTATATGTTGAGAACATTTCTTGAATTAAATCTAGTTGAAAAGGAAAACGAGAACCAAACTGATGAAAATTGAAATTTTTGTAGTTGAGCTGAAAAAAAAGATAAAACAATGGGATTTTTCAAAGTGTTCCGTTACCTTGAATAGTTTTCAGATGTTCGATTGAAATTGGTTTCATTAGGAATAACAATCTCATTATCCTTTTCGTTTTCGGTTGGATTGATTTCAGTTATTGGAGTTCTAAAATGTTTTTAAAATTAGAATATATAAATCAAAAATGAACAAAACATACGTGATTTCTAAAGCTGGTGGCGAAGTTGGAGCAATTGTTGTTGTTGTTGTTGTGAAAGCTTCTTCATTCTTGATTCCATAAATTTTTGGATCAATTGTTATAGCCATAGTTTTGCATAATTTCTCTGGAGAAACATACAATCGGTCAGTTGGTTGACAATTATAAAGTTCGTTAAAACTTGGCAATTGCGAAGCAGCAAGATTTACTGAATGTCCAGTTGGATTATGATTAGATTTAATACCATTCTTTTCACCGAAGCAGAATCTTGAATACGTTTTTTCAATTCTTTTTCTTTTCTCCTCATCCGACTCTTTTCTATCTTGAGAAAATTGTGCTGATAATCTAAGTGCATTCATATTTGCCACATCTTCATAAATATATGTATCCAATCTCCATTCTATTGGCATTTTCTGAAACATTTTTGAATTACAGTGAAATAGGATAATAGTCTAACCTGATTATCGGTTTCAGCAAGATATGTTATATAATCAACAACACACTGTTTCTCATTTTGCCAAGTTTCTAATTCAAATGTAGGATTTTCCAAATTGTATATAGAATGGGAAAGTTCATGACTCATGACATATAAAGTATCGGTGAACTGAAATTGTTTATTTTTTCGAATTTTTCTTTTGAAGAAAATGAAATAAACATACAACTTCATCATCGATGTGTACACCACGTCCTAAAACAGAGATAAATAATTCTTTTTGATAATTAAAACAATCTGGTGTTGGTGTTGCAAAAATTGCTTGAAAAACAAATTGTTCAGTGAAATCATTCATATATTCATGAAACAATTTGACTGTTGGTTCAACAGCCGCAATTCGAATAATTTTCTCAGCAAAGTTTGTGAACATCTCCCTGTAATAATCTTATTAATAACTTGGAAAGAATAACAATTTCACCTAGGTATAACTTGTTCTTTCAAACGGAAATATTCACGTTCATATGTTTTCTTAGCTTCTAGCCATTTTTTAGGATCATTGTAATCATAAACAGCAAAAAACACTTTTGTGTCCTCCAGTTGTTTGATCAAAATCGCCCTTTGCTCTGGAGTAAAGCTAGAATATCTCTGAAATTGCGAAAAATTGAAGTCTAGCCAATCTATCCATATAACTCACTTCAATATTTTGAATAAACTTTTTTCGAAGTTTTTCAAATAATGGGTGAAAATAATGGCTTTTCGTTCCTGTTCCTTTAATAGTTTTTACTAGTTCGAGACCTGCTGACAATTGATTATAGAAATTTGCGATAGTCTAAAACAGAACAAATTTTTCAAGTCTCAATTTTCGTGCTTACGTGTATTGGTATCTCTTCCAATGTTTCGACTAGGTTTTTTTCTTGTTGTTCAGGATTTAATCCAAGGAATTCTTGATGTTTTCTTTTGTGCTCTTCCCATTTTACACCATTTTTAAATGTTCGAAATTCAACAATCCAAGAAGATATAAGAGTCAAATTAACTACTTCGAAAACACTTCTGAAAGAAAACATATTTGTAACACCCAGCTTTATTTCTAATTGAACCTTTGACCATATCCAGGGTTGAAATTATATTCTTGTTGTTGTTCGACTTCTAATGAAAGGCTCAAAGCATAAGGCTTTTTAGTTAAATTTTGGGCAAAGGGTTGTGCACAAAGATAATCGAAATAATCGTGACATGGTGAAGAAATCGTAGGCGGGTTCACATTCTGGAAAATTTTGATAAATGACATGTATTTTTTGTGTGTGTTCAATGAAGAAAAACATTTGAGAATGTTTCTAATAACATCAGTTGTTTGTTACTCTTTGTGAAAAGAGAAATGCTGAAAAAAGTGATGGGAAATTCGGGCTGAAAAATGAAAGAGAGTGAGATGATAAAATCGACCTCCGCTTGACGACTATTTTTATGGGATATGATTGAAATGTCAACTGACATTTTCAGACGGTTCGAAGAACTGGAAGAATCATGGAGATCAAAGAAAAGTAGAAAAAACGAGTGGGTAGATGAACAAAAATGTTGTTGAGTGAAATATAGTTTTTTACTTAACTATGAGAGCTGCCAATTTACAATTTTATGGAAACATTCAGAATTAATGCGAATTTTTTTCTTGAGAAAATCTCACTTTTTTTTGGTTTCTGAAATTCAAAGATTCTCGGTCAGCGATTCCGGTAAGAAACCCTTATCACTTACAATTAGTTTTCAACCCACTCTTCCTTGAAACACAATTTTTGATGGATTAGATAGAAAAAAATTGATGACGTATTTTTTGGTTCCACTAATTGGAACAAAGATTGCTTCAATTTTTCATCTGGATTTCCAATGTTTACAATAGAGAATTGGCAGCTCAAGTCCAATATTTTTCTATTTTTCCCTCAAGATGTTGAAAACCTTTAATTTATTTATACTAAAGCCTCAATCATATCAGAAACCAATAGGATGTTTATAAGGTCTATCAAAACTCTCTTAGAACTCACCTCTTCCGATGCTTGGCCAAATGCTATCAACGAAAATACCAGAGCCTGTATAATCATCCTCAATCAAATAAGAGTTTCAAAAGACTGACTGAAACAAAAGAAGTGGATCAAAAGTTAGACTAAGTCACGCCTCCCTTTTTTTGCTGTTTCACTTTTCGTTTGTTCTCAATTCTTTTCTTTTCCTTCCGCTTTTTTTCTGAAACAAAAAAATCTGTTTTCGAAAAATATGAACTTCTCAATAACAGAAAAGATGAGGCACAAATGATTAGTGAAAATTTTTGAGACAGACAAACATAACAATAAATAGAAACGTATGTGGTTGAAAAAATACTGAAATGAAAAAGCGAGCGAAAAATGCATCAAGAAGAAAATGAAAAAGAAGAAAAATGAAGCTATTGTGCTGAAATGTTGTAATAAACCATGATGATCCATACTCCGTTTATCCCATATTGATAAATGATGATATAGTCACACCACAACATGTAATTTATTGTTTGTCTCTTGCTCCTAATGCAACATTTTTCATTATCATCTTGTGTTCCAATACGAGAAAAATTGCTAGATAGTGCAAGTTCATTAATATCAATTGCTATTTTTTCACCTCAACTATACATGTTTCTGCTAGAAGGTTCGAAGGTCACAAAAAATAAGTAGATGATCACAATCCACGGTCATTAATATATTTTTTTAACGACAAACAAACAAGAATCAATGTTCTTAAAATAAGATCGTTTTACACGTCGACTCAACTGATGAAATGGGTTTACGGTTTTTGGTTTTTTCATGATGTGCTACGAGAAAAAAACATCGACTAGAATATATGAAACTCCTTATTTTGTAGATATGAACACGATGTTTTACGGAAATGAATTCTGTCTCACATCCATCGCAGCTGGGTCGACGAGTTTAAAATGGATGTAGCAAAACTTTTTGATATTATTTTTTCTTTTGGTAAAATAACACTTTAATTGTTTACCTGAACTATATTAATTTCATGATCTAGAATTTATATTTTGAAAAAATCAAATGTTTTTTTGACTTCAAAAATGTAATCGACCTTGAAATTTGCGAAAACCTATTTTTCTATTTTCAGAATCACTAGCAGTTTTCGGGAACTTTCCAAAGATCATATGTTCAAACGAAACTCTTGAAAACATTTCAAAAACCTATCCTTCCGTTTTTTCATCTCGAAAATATGTTTTGAAGACCTCCCAGTTGACAATGAATTCTTAGAACTACCGAGAGCCCTGAAAATAATTTCTACTTTCGTATTATTTTTGATAAATAGAGTTTGAAATTGACATTATTTTTACTATTTTAATTCATTTATTATTTGAACTTTGTAGTTGAATCGAACGAATTGAATTCTGAACCAATGAAAAAAGATCTTTACTGCAGGAAATATGTATTCTGCTCTCGTAAAACACAACAATGCAACAGTGTTTTAAAAAGTTATGGCGTCACAAAAAATGTTCTTGTGAATGAATCAGTAATCGACTTTAGTTCTTTAATGAATCAAAATGTTTCCACACAAAAAATAGTTTTGCTCGACTCGTCTCGTTCATATTATTTTTTATAGGTCAAGATAACGTGTATTTTTTATCGAAATTTGTTCGTCTTTCTATTTTCATTCAAGTTTGGTTGTGTTCTATTCTCTTCCTTTTCCTTTTCCTCTTCAAATCTAAAAAAAGAGTGACTGAAATTGAACGAGAAAATACAATTAAATCCGAAAAAAAAATAAATGAGTTTTTTTCTGTGGTTTATGTGTCATGTACGCCAAAAGCTTGAGTTTTTTTCGCATTTGGAGCAAAACAAATTATATTCCGAAAAATGTTATTTTTTTGACGTAATACCATGAAACTTTAATTGAAATAATTCTGACACGTTTCCATTTCTATACAAGCCGTCATCAAAAAATTGAATGCTAAATTCGTAGCCTTTTTCTATTCCATTCTCCTCTTTTCTCTTCATTTTTCATTTTATTTTCCATATTGATTCTTCTCTCAATCTCTCTGTCTCTTGTCTTTAGTTTTATTTTTCATCATCTCTCTTTTTTTCCGACCTCCTAGCATTTTTCTCCCGCAATTGAAATATTGACGGTCTTTTTACGTGACTTTTTTGTTTATAATCTAGTATTTTATGTGTACTCAGGTTCTATAAGTATGCTCATTTCATTGTTTTCATTGAATTTGAAACAATAAGATTGTTTTAAAATCCCAAACTTTCAATTTTTTTTGTTGAAAATCTGTTTTCCTTATTTCTCAAGTTCTCAAGTGTGTGAAAAATGTTTTGAATTAACAAATTAAACAATCAACAGATGGTTCAACAAGACGATGATCGGAATTTTGATCGACCAATGACTTTATTATCCAGACCAATGATTCCAGCAAATATTGAAAATGATCCAGATGAAGATGATTTGTTGTGAGTTTTATTTGAAAAATATTTGATGTCAAAATGATTATTTTTTTTAGAAGAAACTTGTCTACCGGAACTCTCAAATTTCCTGATAATCCAACATCATATACATTCAATTTATCAAGTTTGAATGATCAAGGAATAATTGGAAATGGTTTTTATGGAACTGTATACAAAATGAAACATATTGAAACTGGAAAATTAATGGCTGTAAAACGAATAAGATGTAATAATTTGGAACCAAAAGAGAAACAACGTTTACTTCGAGAACATGACACAATTGTGAATTCGGAAAAATGTGCAAATATTGTCAAATTTTATGGAGCAATATTCAGCGAGGGTGATTGTTTAATATGTATGGAATTAATGGATGTTTCAATGGATCTATTGTACAAACGAGTATATAATGTCAAACATAGTCGGTTAGAAGAAAATGCCATTGGTCATATTGCAGTTTCAGTGAGTATTTATTTTTTAAATTACCTAAAATGTGTTTTTAAAAATTTTCTTCTGACATTGTTTCGTTTAAAAAATGTTTAGCCATTTGGTAACAATTCATTTTCTCCTTTTCAGACAATCGATGCGTTATCTTATTTGAAGGACATGATGAAAATTATTCATAGAGGTATGCATTTTTTCAAATTTAAATTTGTTATCAAAAAATAAATAAGATACTATCCAAAATTCAGACGTGAAACCTTCAAATATTTTGGTTGATAGCAAAGGAAATGTGAAACTTTGTGACTTCGGAATCTGTGGAGTTTTGGAAAACTCGGTAGCAAAAACACATGATGTGGGATGTCAACCATATCTAGCTGTAAGTTTTTTTTTGGTTTTCTGTTCAATGAAACAAATTTTTTTTAGCCTGAACGAATTGCCACTGTAAATTCGAATTATGATGTTCGATCAGATGTGTGGTCTCTTGGTATCACTTTGGTTAGTTTAGAAGTCACCAAATATTTTTTGATTTCATTAATTTTAGTATGAGTTGGCGACAGGTGTATTTCCATACCAAGAATGGAGAACACCTTTTGATCAAATATCAGCTGTTGTACAAAATGATCCACCGTATCTTGAAGAAGGTGGCACATCAAATTTCAGCCTTGATATGGTTCAATTCATCAATACATGGTATGATTTTTGTTTTGATCTTTTTAATAATTTATTGCTTTAATTTTTCCAGTTTAACAAAAGAAGTGGGAAAACGGCCGAAGTATCGTCATTTGAAATATTATAGTTTTTATTTGAGGTATGTTTTTCTAACAATTTTTTCTCAATAAATTCCATCTCGAAAAAAGCTTCCAAAAATGAGTGAAATCCGAGAACCTCTTCAATTTTTCCCATGAAGCAATTTCTTTCTAGATACTCCATTCCTACTGGTTCTACACCGACTCCTGAAATTGAACAAGCTCGTCAGGTTCTCGGCTTCGAAGCAGTGGATACACGGAACCATCCAGTGGAAATTCTTGGATAAATTCATATTTTATCATTTTGAAACAATTTTTATAAGCTAGTACAGTCTTTGTCATATTGATCTCATTCAACGCACCCTTTGTAGTTTTTTTTTCAGGTTTTGTTTGTAAACAGTTGGAGATAATATCGCTTTTTGTTTTTCTCTATTGTATAAAGTTCTATTGCAAATAAAATAATTTATTATTTTTTTCCGTTTAAAAAAAAAACCATATCAAAAATATGCAACACAGAGCACCAAACATAGATTGGTAATCAATTCAACAAAAAATAAACACGGAATTGATGAAATCTTGCCATTTCACATACATATGATTGTAATAATGTGTGAAAATACAACCATAAATCACAAATTTTTGATAGCCAACATTGTGACAAACAAAAGTCATATTATATAGTTAACAATAAACTTTAGTCCACGGTCTTTTAATAATTTTCTGATCATTTTTTAAAGTGAGTACGTATTACACGTACTATTTGTAATTTTATCAGGTTTAATTTTCGTGCAATTTTCTATTACAAATAAATTATTATTTTGTTCTGTTTTTGAGAGAAAAATTTAAAAATATCCGAAAGATGCAATAAACAGATGAGAATAAACAGTATCACAATTTTCTAAACATGGATTAAATATGACTTTCATCGAATTGGTTGCTGATTTGAACCACGAATTTGAGCTATTTGTTGAAGTCAGTACTTGAAATGGAACTTGATCATTAAAATTGTTGAACAATGATATAGATGCTTTCTGGAATTTGTTTTCATAAATATTTCAACCCTAATTATCTAGAACATACGTCATCTAAAGTGATAATTGGAAAACGAATTGCTGCTTTCGAAAATATATGTCCAGAATGGATGAAATATTGACATTGTTGTTTTGGTGTTCCAACATATGAATGCGGATAGTTTGGTGATACAAAACCACCAGTTCCGTTGTAAAAATGCGGAAGAGTACAATCATCAATCACAATTGTTTGATTATTCAAAGGTCGCTTACAAACAAATGGGAATGCACTATTTTCATAGCAACTTATCCATTCACCAGATTCAACAGTCTGTCTTCTTAAAGATAGACAGAATGATTTTCCATAATCCAAATTTTGATATCCAACATTGTTATAATCAAAGGTTGTATTATCTAGCCAACTAATTTTCGAATTGTCATTCATTACTGCTCCAATTCTAATATAATCAATAGATATATTATAAATCATACTGGTTATGAAATAATTCTCTTGGGGAGAATGAATAGAAACTAGGTTTGCATCAAGTTCTTGACACGCTTTTTGAGCGTCATTTTGGTTCATTGGATTGATAGATGGAATATAGCAATCACCACCCATCACAAATTGACAATCGATATCTTTGATATTTGATTCACATATAAAATTGAGTGATGTTGAATTGCAATCTTCACTCAACCATTTTCCAGCAAATGATCCAGAAGTAAACATATTGACACATTTACCAACACCAATAAGAGGATAACCATTTTTGAAGTTATTGTAGTTTGCAGCACTCGTATTGTATTTATCATTCCAATGACAGGAACTTGGATTACGATCAGATTCGCATTGCAATCCCAACCATAATGTATCAGTTCGATTTTTAAACGATGCTGCGATTGCAGAATTATCAATTGAATTTGAGATTGTCAGAAGATTCCCTTTGTTTTGCTTACAAATATTATACGCGTCCCAATATTTTAGTGGAGTTGAGAAATACTAAAAACTATTTTTTAAGTGAGTCATTTTGCAAAACCTACTTTAATGCACTTATTATTCAGTGTTTGATAACCGATTGGACAAATCACAGCATAAAGACCGTTGATAAAAATAAAGAGCAAAATTAGCTTGAGCATTTTTTTTCGAAATGAAAATTTTGATCAGAATTTATATAGGAGCAATATAACAAAAAAGTGACGTGATTGATTGATAACTCATCAACGAAATGTGAAAAAAACGATGTTTGATATGTGTTAAAATGTGTGTTTTGCTATCGCAATTATATATGAATTTTGCGATTTTGGTAAAGAAAGAACGCAAATTCTAGAAATTTGAAAATACTTGATTTGCATTTTTTTATAGCACAAAAAATTATCAAATATCAGCGAGTCTTTTTGATTTCAAAGAAATAGTTACATCAAGAAATTGTTTGAATATTTGTTCCGTTTCCTACATTTAACATTTTAATACTTAAAAGTATTTCAAATTTAGAGGATTGTTTATTTCAGTTCAGTTCAAGCCTGTCAACGGTTTACAATATTTTGCAATTCTGACTTCCAAAGTATTATTCATTTGTTATTCGATATATTATACAAAAAGAGGGAAAAAACCAAAGCAAGACAAAAAACTATATATAAATAATTAATGTCCATTTTGACTCATTGGACGAAGATGATTATATGGAGAGTATGGAACACGAGCTGCAAAAATATCCGTTTTTTTTTGTTCTCCATGTGGTTTTTGTTTTTTTTATTCTATGAAAATGAAATGATTTTTTTTTCACATACTCAATCGATCAACTTTGAAATCGAATGATAAAATTGCATTGAAATCATAATCTCCCGTGTAAAGTCTTGGCAAAATTTGAACATAATATCGATCGCCTTCTCTCAATTGTTGCAATTTAACCCAAGTCTATAAAAATTTAATTTTTGAAAATCTTATTTGAAAAAGTTCTTGTAATTCACCGTTTTTGAATCTTCCATCTCAACTTTATTCCATTTATCTGGCGATATTTCTTTTTGGTTTGTGTAAAGAACAGTGCCCCCTAAAAACGAGAAGAGATTAATTGGATTTTCTTCGCAACATTCCAATGCTCTTTTTTCCAGACGTTAATTAAAGTCTTACCAATAACGCTGTCTAATATATCTTTCGGATATGTCCATTTAATTTCAACTTGTCCTGGAGCCACATTTCTATAGGATAATGAATTTCCTTCGATCTCTTCATTGTCTTCCGTGTCTGTGAATTATACAATTATTTCAATTATTCAATTTGTTCTAGACAACATTTGAAACACGCATACATGCAACAATTATTCATTTACAGCATACAAATTAAATATATACCAAAAAAGTGAGCCAACAAATTAATCAAACGGGTTAAAAATTGAGTCCGAGTTAGTGTTAGACCAGTCTGCAAAAAACATATCTCATCAACAACCAACAGAACAATGTGAATTTGAATAAAAAGTGGAAGTATAGTTTTAGTTTTCATCTCATTTTTTCTGCATTTCCGCAATTCTCTCCATTATTTTTTTATTAATCCTTTTTCTTTTTGGTTAAATCTCCCTACTTGGATTGATTATTAAAATTTCCATATACAATTTTTTCTGTTTCATAATCCAAAAATTGAAATGTTCTTTAGAACTACAGAATAGCTATTCACATGATTGCTTACATATTTTTTGAATCGAATTGAACAAAAAAAATTGTACTTTTTTGTTGCAAGCTACAAAAAATGTTGCAACTTGGCTCTGAAATTCAATAATTCTGAAATTTATTTATTTAAAATGCATTCCAGTTTTGTTGCCCTTTTCTCTCAAAAATGTATGTTTCCTTTATTTTTCTTGTTCCGTTTTCAAATAGAAAAACCTTGTTCTCATGTCAAATATACGTATTTTTAAACCAAACCAAACCACATCAACCAAACTCACCAATTGTTTTGAAACGATAAACAGATGGTGCTCGAATGATAGAACCGTCAAAATTTCGAACATTTACACGAACATAATAAACGGTTTTTGATTTCAAATCATCCATTGAAAGCGATGATTCTTTATTGTTCAAACGAATCACTTTCCATTGAGAATCTGGTAAATCCTGAAAATTTGATTAATTTTAATCTTTCTTTTTTCTCATTTTTTGTTTCTTGTCTCGCGAAAAATTATTTTGACATGAATGTGAAGCCTCCTTCATTTTTTATTGCTTGGACTGGTATTGTACTTTTTTTGACTATTTCTTGAAAATTGCATAATTTAAACGTTTGTCTCTCTTTATTCTTCTTCTTCTTCTTCTCCTACTGGAAAAAAATGAAATAACATTTCGAGCTATCATAGACATAGTGTTATTTTAATTCTATATACTCTTGATTTCCGTTTCCGGCCCACCCTGGTTAGAAAATGTGACTTTTCGTCTTCTACCTCACATAGGAAGAAACAGAAACATATGCAATATTTCTGACGATAGCGTCATTTTTCTTAAACATGTATCTTACTAACTAACTGAAGGATAAAAAAGTCGGGGCGACGGAATCTGAATAATTTTTGGATCTCAAATTTCGTTCCTTCTTATTCATTTCTTTTTGAGAAGAACATATAAAAAACAGACTTTATGTGTGTGTGGGATTAGTTGTTATTTTCTATGTTGTCTATCTGCTCCGGGGGTTCGGATTAGTTCTATGAACAGTCATATTTATTAGTATATCCATGATTTGCAAAAAAGAAAATCACTTACTTTATCTTCACTCATATAAACATCATATCCAGCAACTTTGTCAGTTTGAATATGTCTGAAAATTGTTGGGTTGTTTTCTTTTCTGCTGGCGATTTTTGAAAACATTATTGTGGGAAAAATGACACCCTGTGCAAAAATATTATTTTTTTTGTTTGGAAAATTCAATTTTGTTTTGTGTCTGTTTTTTTGTTGTTTTTCCTAGGAACTGGTCAGTAATTTTTTTAGGCTGGAATAAAATTTGTTCTTGGAAATGCACTGTTTTGAGAATGTTCATTTTTTCACTAGAACACCAAATTCTCGTAAAATCGGACAAGTGATTTTATGAGAAAAGGCTTCATAGTTGCCTAGTTCTCAAAAGCTTCGGCTTACATTTTATTTTCCCCACTAAAAAATATTTTCCATCACTCACGATTTCAAAATCCATTGAAGTTTGACCGAATTGATATCATGAGAATAAATCACATCAACTTTTTGAATTGGATTTGTTTCGACTGAAAAAACTCATATCATTTTTTTCTCACTACTGAAAAACCAAAACCTCTTGGTGTTTTGAATCTGAATTGTCCACTTTCAGTCATAATATTGTTGACAAGTTGAGTTTTGATACGAAGAACATATTCAGTGTTGCTGAAAAACGAAGCAAATTTGTTTCGAAAAACAGAAAGAAGAGAAACCTTTTCAAGTGATTAAGAGCTGCTGAACTTGAAGCACCGTGAAATTGGATTTTTTGCCAATTGTTTTCATCTCCCGCTTCAGCATATTCGACATGGTATGCTGAAAAACAATATTTATTTTATTTTATTTTTTGTGTTTTCATGCGATCATAATAATAATATCCTACCCATAATCCGATTTTGCATCGTTGGTGGTACTTGCCATGTAAGATTGACAACACCTTGAGAAGCTGTTTTGAAATGAGAGCTGATGATGAGATTTCCAATCTCGAAATATTCGGTTTCTGAAACAGGTATGATTTATTTTTCATTTTTCATGCGAATTTAGTCTCGAGAAGAAATCGACTTTTTATGTTAATTTAATGGAAATTTTTGAGAAACGTTCCGATCCTTTTGAAAATCAAACATCTTTTTTCCCATGTTATGTTTTTTTTTCAATTTATTTTCATATTCTGCTTATTTTTCTCATCATTATAAGTTTATTCAAATCTTATGATAGTTTTTTCTACATTTACATAGAAAAGAGATGAAAAAACTGTTTCCTTTTGAAATAGTCAAAGGACACGTGTATGTTGTTGCACCAAAATAACAACTTATGAAATATATATTTGGGTGTTTGTTCTCAATTTTATTATTGTTATTAGCATCAGAAAAAAAGAAAGAAAAATGTAATTTCCTAAAATAAGAAAACAATTCCAAAAATAAATTGAGTTGTTTACGATCATCAACCTAACTTAAAGTTTACCCCTCCTCTTTAAGAGAAAAAACAGAAAAGGTCAATTTCCACAAGTTTAATGAGATTTTGGAAGATTTCTTTATTTCCTCCTCATTTTGTTTATTGCATTTTTCATCCAAACCCACCTCTTGGCATTGTTATTTCAACAATTGCAGCATTTTGAGATATTCTATCTTGACTTGTTGCACTTCGAATTGTCATTTCGTACTTTTCTCCAGATATCATTTTTCCTAATGTGAAACTTGTTGCCGCTGTTTTGATCTGAATTATGACTATTATTTGTAATCTTTTTTTTTAGAAAATAAGGAAATATTTCTTGGAATCACTTTTTTTTTTGAAATTTCAGTGAACTATATTTCACCTGGTGGTCTTTGAAACTCACGTAGTGAAAGATTTTCAAGAAAAATTGTCAGAAAGTAGTAAAAATTTTGAAAATAACATTTTTTCTGGCCACATGGTTCCAAAATCTATCTGTCCTCATTTGTTTTTATTCCCAAAATGATTCCAAAAACATTTCCTCATAAAAAGATTTGTTTCAAATTTACTTGTTGGTTTTGTAAAGTGCTTCCCGATGATGTTGTTAATTGTTTGACGTTCACCAAATAATATACATCTGAAAAAATAATCTTCTCTGGTTTTTGATGCGTTCAAGACCACCCATATACAATTTTCTAGCACTTTCAGCAATTATCCATCTTTTTTATTGAACAAACTATTTCCGTTATGTTTATAAATTATTCAAAAAAGAGTACAATCGTTTTTTTTTAGTCAATTACTACTGCAAAGTGATTCCTGAAAAGCACTTATTGTATAGCTGATGAGAATTCGACTTTTTTGGTGTACTTTTTCTATTGTTAGTGAAATAATGTCATTTTTCTTTACATTAATATATGTTTTTTTTGAAAATATCCACTAGTAAAAAAATAATAGTACCGTTTTGTGCTCCAACAACTGGTTGCCATTTCAATTGCACATTTGTAGGACCAATAATTTTTGCGTTAAATTGAAGTGGCGGTTGGAGTTGAGTCGGGTTAACTGCAATTGGAGAAGCGCCTCTTTTTTGAACTGGCGAAGAGTTCATCTGAAAAAAAGTTGACGTTCTTTTCGAGTGTTTCTCTAATTTGATATTCTTCTCTCTTTTTTTTGACTTTTTTTTGAGCGAGCCGGAAACTGTTGTTATATGTATATACATATATTTTTTTGAGTGTTCCTCGCGGAGTTTCATTTGAATACAAATTTTTTTTCAAAAAAAAAATGAAAAAATGAAGTGTTCTGGTGATTCAGTTGTTGTTTTTTTGATTCTCGAAAATAATTTTTTGACATTTGATCGTGGGGAGAAAATAAAAACAAAGTATGAATATCCATTACTAATGAACGCATTGTTTTTATATGTTCCAAAAATATCTGGTTTATTAATTGTGATTCAATATTTTTATTAAAATTGTACAACTCAAAGTCAATTTAGAAATATACGAATTATGTGTAATTTTCTAAATTAGTTTTCATTCTCAGTTACTATAAAATATTTTCAAAAGAACATTCTCTCAAATTAATTTACAAAGGCTTCCGATTCACTAAAAAATGTTGCATTAGACTTTCGACGAATGAAAACATCAAAAATGTATGTAATTCTTTTTTTTTCTTATTTTAATCATGCTCTTCGTTCTGTCTGGAAATTAAGGCTCTGCTTCTGTTTTTGACTTTTTTTTCCTCTCTGAAAATCATTTCTATTTTCGATGGCCGCCCACAATTTAACTCGCCCTTCCCTCTTTTTCTTGGTGGTTTTTTTCTTCCTTTTTTTAGCTGTTTCTAACTAAAATCTAATCCTACCTTTTTCGTGTTATCAATTATGATTTCTTCGGACCAATTGGTATTTTCTCTTTCATTTTTAATCTGAAAATATTAGTTCTGTTTTCAATTCGAGAAAAAAATGATCACCTGAATTTGAATTTGTTTGCTTTCTTCATATTGGTCCAATGGAATTCGAACATTTGTCTCAGAAGTTCTAATATATTTCCATGATTGTGAATTTTCCGCTTTATGTCTCACAGTGAACACCGCGCCTAAAAAAGGCACAAAAAATCAATTGATAAAATAATTATTTATTTATCACTAAATGTTGAAAAATGTTACCTTGTGAACCTTGCCATTCAACATAAATAATATCAAGTTCTGGAACAATTCGAGCTCTTTGAGTTTGTGCCACTGGATGTGAATTGATCACAAAAATATTTTGGGAGAAAAATAAAGAAAGAATTAGAATAAGGTGCATTCTCAAAAATGAATAGGAATGCAACAAAACTGATATGCTGCTGTTATCTTGAATGATACTGGTCGTAATATCTTTGAAAGTTTAAAAAGTTTACAACATTTTCTCGGATGATTGACTATTTCAACTTTACAACATATAACAATGAAAAATTTGAATTGGACTTTGACTTTGAATTTGAAGTATATCCCTTCTTTTCGAGCTCAACTTTTTTTCTTCCGGGGGGTCGAAGAACACAAGCATAATTTTCATATACTTAATTGGTTTTTAATGCAATTGCAACCGAACCTCAAGTTATTATTTCTCACGTCAGATGAACAGTATTTGCAATTGTTCAGTTCCGCAAAATTTATATATTTTTTGATCAAAATAGGCTCTTATGATTCATCCTGTTATTGTTTTCGAATTGTGAAAAATGGAAGTGATCAATTTCCCAAGAGATGTTTATAAATTACCAAATTTCATGTTCAGAACTTTGATGTCTGCAAAACTTGAAAAATGTTGCCATTTTTTCATCTCACCTAACCCTTTTTCTTTTCAACTAATCCCAAAAGTACCTCTGAGACTTGTGCAGAAATAGACTGAAAAGCTCTTTAGAAGTTTGAATAAGTAATAATAGTGTATAGCATATAATTTATTCGCACAACACGAAAAAAACGTCTTGCAAGTAGGATACACAACAAACACAGTTCGGCATTAGAAACCGATTAATATTTCATATTTCATTTCCTTTTATTTCGAAAATAATGAGATCTACGTCAGGACTTTTTCTCATTGTTTTTTTTCAAAATCTTGTCTTGAAATTTAGTAGACGTGATCTTCACAGTTTTGTTGTTGTGAAAACAAAAGTAAATAAAGATTTAGTTCGATTATCAGAAAATACTCTTATCTTTCAATCGTTACAGATTTTCTTTTTTTGAATTAATGTTTGATGTCAAAAGTTCTTTGGACTTGTTGTTTTTGAAATCTGTAACCTTTATCGACATTCTCGCACTAATTAGGGGTTTTTGAGGGAGAACAAATATGAATTTCACTGACAAGGGAGCCAGCTTGGCATCAAGTTTTTGGTTTTTTGCGGAGCCATAATTTATGTTGGATTCATTGAATTTGAATACAGAAAGTTGTTCGGAAGGGTCCGTTCATTGAAGTTAAAATTTATTAGAATGTTTTCCAAGAAAATTCCATATCACAATTTCAGTAGCAAACAGGAACGTTTTGAAAAACGTTAAGTCGACTTTCCTGAGAAACCTGGAATGTTAGTCGAAAAACTTGAAAAAATAATTTTCTGATAATTCAGAAAATTTTGTAATAGTTTTGGCACAATTTTCCAACGTCACGTCACAGACTTTTCAGCATTTTCAGCAAAACATTTCTTTTGAAGTTCTGAAAATAATCGTGCAACAGAAAAATGTCTATTCTCGTGACTTTTTGCGTGGTTTCACTTTTTTTCGAAATTCCTATGTATATGATTAATTTCCAAATTATACTCTGTCACGAAGAAGTGTTTTCGTAAATTTCGGACAGATTGTGGGCGGAGAATTGTGAATGTAAGAGTTTTTTGCCTGCCTAACATGAGTTTTCATTTATAATTCATAAGAGATTGAATGTGAAAAAAACAATTGGAACTAAAATTATGGAAGGAAAACAACAACTTGTGTTCGTTTGTCAAACAGATATGTATTTGTATATATATTTTTATCCGCACTTATGTTTTATTTTTCATCAATCCCTTCAATTTTGTCAATTTCCTGTTATTTGTCTTAATTTGATGTGTTTTTCTTGTTTTTTAGTAAAGCATTGAACATGCCCTTTCTATTTCTTGTACGTGTTATTTTTCCGCTGTTTTATTCTCACTTTTTTATTTCAGTTTTTTCTCATTTTATTTGTTTATTCCTCTAAATTTCCTTCCTTATTTTTTTCAGAAAATGAATGACACGAATGTGACACCTTTCGATTTAGAAAACTCAACATCGGAGAGAATTGAAATATTTTATCAATTGGCATTTTTTCTCATTGGAACTCCAATCAACGTTGTCGCGTTAATCAAATCTAGTAGAAATGTTCGAGAAGGTGGTGTTGAATCACGTCTCGTTACGCTAAGTCGACAATTACTCATTGCTCATATTATGGTATTATTTGTATATGGAGTTTGGAGAAGTTATTGGATCTATACAATTGTTTGGACACAAGGTAATGAAGCTCAACGTAATTATGAAACTCTAAATCAAACAATTTCCGAATTTCAGGTGATATTATGTGCCGATTATTTAGTTTCCTATGTGCATTACCGTTTCATCTTTGGTCAAATATGGTTGCTGCAATAGCAGTTGATATGCTATGTTGTATAACATCTCCTTTGAGTAGTTATCGAACTGGAGCAAGTCGAGTGAATTGGTTAATTTCAATTGCTTGGGGTTGCGCTATTTTGTGTGCTATTCCAATGACTGTTGTTAGAGGAAAAGTTAAAATTGATGGATATGATCTTCATCAATGCTATCCGGATCAAAATGTTAGTTTTACATTAGATTTTTTCACGTAAAAACCATCTCAAGTTTTCATTGAAAAAAAGATAAAATTTATTTTTAATAAAAACGTGAACTACAAGGCAATCGTTTCCTTTTTGGGTCAGTGATTTCTCTGCGTCTCCTTCCCTTTAACCAATGGCTCTCTGACATGTTATTTCATGAATTGATTCTGATTCGGTGTTTTTCAAAGCATCATTATTCAAAATTCTCACTGGCTTCTGCAAAATCACTCATGTTCTCACATTCAGTTTTTACTCATATTCAGATTTTTTCAGCTGTCTGAAATGATTCAATCTTTATCACCCTAAAATACTCACTCCAAAGTTGTACTTTTTTCAGAAATACAGTCGGGACTTTCTTATTGTCTTCAGTATGTTTCATGTTCTCACAACATTTTATATTCCACTGATTGTTGTTATTATTTGCTATTTCCTAATTGGTCTTTCACTTCGTCGACAAATGGCCGAACGAAGATTACTTCAGGTTGGTTTTGATGATATAATTTATTTAATTTCAAAGAACACATCGTTTTTTTTCTTGCATTCTTGAATACGAGACAACATTCGCGTTATTCGCAATTAATTCTCATGTACTCTTGTACTTGTAGTTTTATTCCTAATTTGTTTTTTTTTTTCGCTTCTTCTTCATTTTCCCCTGAAGTCAAGTTAGGGAAAGAAAATCACGTTTTTTTCTAGGATGGTGGACATGGACACAAGAATTCAAATACCAAAGCGAGGTTTTTGAGAGCATCAATCGCGATTATTTGTACATTTTTCTTCACATGGTTACCATATCAGATTCTTGCACTTTTACGTGTTATTTGTGAAGAAGAATGTAGTGATATTCTGAGTAAACTTAACTGGTTACAAGCTATTATTATCGCGAGGTATAATAACAGCTTTGACAATAAAAATAATATCAAAATAATTTTTTTCAGTACTTGTATCAACCCATTTTTGTATCGGTTTGGAAGTGATCCAATAAAACGTAACTCTCATTATTGTAGTACAATGGATACAGCTGGTAAGGAGGTATGCATGGTGGTTTGTTTCTCTTCCAACTTCTACATCTGGTGGTTTTTCTGTCTAACTTTTCTTTAACTATCTTTTTTACTAACTTTCAACTAGCATGAGCATTTTTAACAACATTTTTTGCACTTTTAAAAAGATTTTCAGAAAAACTACAAGATTTCTACAATCAAAATAGCTTTCTGAACTTGAATATTTTTAGGAAGTCGTTCAGTCCGGAGATCGACGACGTTACGTGAAGTCGAAAATCAACGACTCGATGCTCGAAATCCGAGATGTGGTGCGACTAAAATCAGCGCAAAGCGACCAACACCTGCCGCAAGATACAGTCGCGCAACAACGATACGAGAACAGAAGCGCTTCACAAATCGACTTAAAAACACTAAAAGTAATGAAGTGTAAAAAGAGTGGATCTATTGGTGAACCGGGTTTTTGATGTATTTTCATTTTCTTTTGTACAATTATCCTTATCGATTTATATCTATATAAATAAACTTAATTTTGGTGCTGAATTTGTAATTTATATATCATGATTTTTGTCCAATTTTGTTGATATTTTAATTTTGTACGTATTTATTTGTATCCCAATGCTGCTACATATTATTATAAAATAAACTGGCTTCAATGTGTTTCAATAAAAACATTTTATATTAGTTTTGATAAAAATTATAGCATTTATGTTTTTGGGCAGTGGCAAATAAATGGTCAAAGTTTACATTTTCGTTATCATTGTAAGTCGCCCTACGTAATTTGATCAAATGAAAACACAAATGTTTCTAGAGAATTTTTAGAGAAAAGTAGTTTGAGAAATCGTATGATTTTCAGAATTTTTAAGGACAGTTGAGAGGTAATTATTTTTCAAATTTTCTGATAAGATTGGGGTCATCAGAAATACAGAATAGAAATATTCACATTTTTTTCAACGAATTAGGCGATTTTTTAATGCTTTTCAAAAGAAACATACATTTTCAAAATTATATTTGTTTTGATGACTTTTTCAAAAACTTGAGAATTTTTTTTAAAATAAAACGAAAAGAAGTTTCTAATAATTTATACCCAATGCTATTTTCAAAATGTTATTTGTTAATATTGCTTATTTTTCAATTTCTAATGAAGAGTTGTAAAACCACAGACTATTGTCAATAAATCAAACTATAAACGTTTTTTATTTGGGTGCAATCAACTCTCGTTTCTCTACTCCTCTCATGTCAAAATACTCTCTCTCTCTCTTTATCTTTTTTTCCAAATATGCATCCGAACAGTTTTTTTTGTTGCGGTTTGTTTTTGTTTTTTATCCATTATTATACAGTGATAATTTTTGGCGTTACTTGTTTTGTTTTATTGTGACATTGATAGTTTGATATTGTTTGCAGTTTTATTTCATTGATAACTCTTACAGCATTCTTTGAGAAAGTGATGGTTTCTGATTTTTTACTCCTTTCTACTTTCTTTTTTTTTTGAAAAATTGGTCAAAATTGTCATTATTTGTCGTCGAGATTAAAACTCCGCCCAAAAGTCAAATTGGTTTTTTTCTATGTTGCCTACTGCCAGGGCTTCAAATGAAATCAAATATCCATTTTGTTTCAAGTGATATGATTTCTCTTCTTCTCGCTTTTCTTCTTTTTCTTTGTTAATTTTTTTTTGAAAGTGATAGGTTTCACGTTTCAGGAATCACTTTGACCTTTCAAATCGAAAAGAATGGCTCAAAACGGAATCTCAAGGTGAGTTTTGATATATTATTTTCTGATAGGACCTTTTTGGTTTGCTCTTTTTATTATTTCCTTGTAATAAAATGGAATCATTTTGTATTTCCAAAAATCACGTTCGCTCTAACCATAATAGAATAATAAAGATAAGAAATTCAGTAATCAACTAAAATTGAAAAAATTGCAAACAAAGACTTATTTTTTCTACGAATTTTTCTTTAATGCGACCACGTGTTGTGTCAAAGAAAAGATAAGAATTTTGCAAAGAAAACAGAAATCAAGGAATCATTTTTTTACACAAAAAAAGTTGAGTATTCTTATTTATAGCCACGGTACAACATATGAGAACATTTTGGAAGCTGCTCAACGACCAACTCCACTTGTTCCATTGAGAAAATTGAATGTCGAATATCAAATTCAAAGTGATATTTGTAAGTTTATTTTTCTTATTGACCTTTTCGACCCTTAGCAAATTTGTAATTAGGATTAACCTCTTTAAAAAAAATGAATTGTTATTTTCACAAAAAAATACTCGAAAATAAACTTATTCTATTTTTAGATGTGAAATTGGAATATTTGAACGTTGCTGGATCTTTGGAAGATCGTGCTGCTATCAAAGTTTTCGAAATCGCTACAGAGCTTGGACTTGGAAGAGGAGATGAAGCATTTATCACAGCTGGTGGTTCTACAGCTGTTTCATATGCCACAGTTGCGGCGGTCAAGGGAATCAAATTGACAATTTATACCCCAAAAAATGGTACAGCATTGGTTCAAACTATTCTTGACACTATTGGAACCAAGGTTTGTTTTCATTTCCATTGTTTTTTTTTGTTGACTAATTAATTTTTTAATTTTCAGACAGTTGAACTTGCCGTTGAAAACTATCAAGAAGCTCGATTTCAAACCGATGATGCTGCTCAACAACAAAATGTTTTGAGTTTGAATAAATTCACATCAAATGCTTCATTCGCAGCTAATATGCTCAAAACATCGTGTGAAATTGAAAGAGCTGTTGCGAAAAAATTGATCGGGAAAGTTAACGCAGTTGTTCTTCCATTGAATACTGGAACTGCTGCAGCTGGAATTGCTGCATATTATCGAGGAATTGGAGAACATGGAGTTCGAGTTGTTGGAGTTACTTGCAAAAATAATACTATTCCAGAAATGGGAACCGATTTGAAAGAAAACTTGTTGAAGGTTTGTCTGAAAATCGGAAAAAAACTCAAAATTACTCTATTCATTCTAGGAATACAACGTTGAACAACAAGAAGTTAATGAAGAAGAAGCTTATAAATTCACCAGACATTTGATCTCAACTGAAGGAATTATGGCTGGACCATCATCTGGAGCTGCAGTTTTGCAAGCTATCAAACTTGCTAAAGAACTTCCAGCCGGTTCAACAATTGTTGTAATACTTATGGATGGAATTCGAAATTATTTGAGACATTTCCTTGATGATGATTGGATTCGTGAAAATAATCTCAATATTGTTCCAAGAAAAGATGGACCACAACCAAACAGGTTCTTTTTTCATTTTCATCTTTCATTTTTCTCATTTCTAATCGTTATCATGATTATTTCGAAAACATCAAGGTCATTTTAGCACTTTCGACCCCGCCGTTTTGAAATACGATCCAACTAAATTGGCTGGCGAATGGAAACAAGATGATAATGGAAAATGGACACATTCTAGCGTCGAATTCAACAAATTTAAGTTAGTCTAGTTTATCCAAGGGTTTGTTGTGAAAACAAAAATTGAATTTTCAGCCCAGAAAGACCATTGGTTTTGGACACTGTTTTGGATGCTATCGGAAAAACCCCGTTAGTCAAACTTCAACACATTCCAAAGAAACACGGAGTCAACTGCAATGTTTGTGAGTAAAAATAAAAAATTATGATTGATCCAGATTTAGAAAAGTTATCCAAATTTCAGAGCATTTTCAAATTAAAAAAGTCTCTTAACCTTGCGGTTTCACTGTTCTGACTCATGTCTGAATAAATTTTCAGATGTCAAATGCGAATACTTGAACGCTGGCGGCTCAACAAAAGATCGAATTGCTCAAAGAATGATCGAAATCGCTGAAAAGACTGGAAAACCAGGAAAATTGGTTCCAGGTGTAACTGTTATTGAACCAACATCAGGAAATACTGGAATCGGACTTTCTCTTGCATCAGCTGTCAAAGGATACAAATGTATTATTGTGATGCCAAAGAAAATGTCAAAAGAAAAAGCTTTGGCTATGGAATCACTCGGTTCAACAATTATCAGAACTCCAAATGAGGCTGGATTTGATAGTCCACATTCTCACATTGGAGTTTCGCTTCGACTTCGCAGTGAAATTCAAGACAGTGTCATTCTTGATCAATATTGTAATCCTGGAAATCCATTGGCTCATTATGAACAAACTGCCGAAGAAATTGTTTATGATATGGGAGACAAAAATATTGATCTTGTTGTGAGTACAACAGTCCTAATGTGACAAAGAAAACTAACAAAGTTTTTTTAGGTTTTGACAGCCGGAACTGGTGGAACTGTCACTGGAATTTCAAGAAAGATTCATGAAAAAGTTCCAGGTGTCAAAGTTTTGGGAGTAGATCCACACGGATCGATTTTGGCAGGACCAAATGAAACTGATATTGAATTCTACGAAGTTGAAGGAATCGGATACGATTTCTTGCCAGGAACTCTTGACACCAAAGTTGTTGATGATTGGGCAAAATCACATGACAAAGAATCATTCTTGATGGCCAGAGAACTTATCAGCACTGAAGGAATTCTTTGTGGAGGATCAGCTGGATGTGCTGTTCATTATGCATTGGAAGAATGCAAAAAATTGAATCTTCCTGATACAGCTAACGTTGTTGTTCTTTTGCCAGATGGTATCAGAAATTACTTGTGAGTTTTTTTTTCTGCCTAGATTTTTATCAGAATTTTAAAATTTTTCCAGGACTAAATTCCTCGATGAATCGTGGATGAATGAGAGACATTTCTTGGATGCCTAATTCGACTTTCTCAAAAATTCAACCTTTATTTCCTCATACCTAAAACGTATTATCAACTTTCTAGTATAATATTTGTTGTTATTTACATTGTATTGCTCTTTATTTTTATTTTGTGATCAAATAAAAAACTTCATTTTATTGGAATGGCGAATTTGGATTATTAATATTATTATTGAATGTGGTGAAAACATTTCCTCCTCCACAATTTTGATTATTATTATTGAAACAGCAAACACAAGTTTGACCATCATTTGAGATGAAACCAGTGGCGAATGTTGAAGCAAGTCCAACTTGAAGAGCTTTACCAATACAACATCCTGAACATCTTGATGGATTGGTGTTTTGAGAACATGATGCTGTTCCTTGTTGACCATCAATGGAACCAAAGATTACTGTGTTTCTCGAGCACGCTGGAATTATTTTTCATAAACTCCACTTGATTCAAAAAATAAAAACTCACAGAAACCACATGGCAAAGAGTTTTGATTGTTCTGTGCAAGAACAGCGGTGGAAATAATCAAAAAAATAACTGCTGAATGCATTTTTCTGTCTTTCAATGAAACAAAGTCTTGATTTTTATAGTAAAATAATTGTTTATTCATCATCAATGAATCAAGCGTTTTGTTTTGTTTAATTTAAGAAAACATTCGTGAAATTTCGCGTTTTCTTTCTGAGAATGGGATTGGCGATATTTTTAACACAAATGCACTTTTAGTTCTTCTTGATACAATATCCGATCTCACCTCTCATTTGTCTTATTTTCAAGGAATTTGTGAAAAATATGTCTGTCTCGAGTTTTTATAATATTTCCTATTCGATTTCAGTTTTTGGGATAATACTGACTCATATTATCAACCCAATTTTGATTTTTGTTACATTGTTCAGAATTCAAAGAATACTTGGTGTTTACCGCAAATTGATTGTCATACAGGCTATATTTGGTCTGTGTTTTTCAACAATTGATATTATGAGCCATCCATTTTTTCATTCTTATGATGAATCTTTTTATTTTTTCACCCTCGAGACCTATGGTAATTCTTCAAAAAAATTTATGCGGAATTTGATATTGGTTTACACTTTTTTTCACTGTGCAATGATCTGTTTTATTGCTGTGCAGTTCATTTTCCGCTATCTTGTTGTCAACAGGTTTTTTGAATGAAAAAAAAAATAATTTTAGTTATGCTATATTTTTACAGTAGTGTCCGTATACGTTACTTCCAAAATAAATATATTTATTCATGGTTAGCATATACTTTATTTTTTGCAACAATTTATGATATCAGCGTTTATTTTGGTGGGAAGCTATCAAAAGTTCAGAGAACATATCTTCGCGAGACATTTGCTGAAAACTACAATGTCTCGATAGACAAAACAGCGGGATTCGGTGTTATTGGATACGTCTTCAACGAGACAGGTACTACCAAGTGAGAAAAACACTGGATAGTTTAAAAATTCAGAAACATCGCAATATGATCGTTTTCGAGGAATTGTTGGAGCAAGTATGATTCTTTCAATAATAACAATTCAGTTTTCAATTATGTTTTTTTGCGGATTGAGAATGCGGAGCATTCTTAAAACAAATATTGGTCATCTTTCAGATTCCTACAAAAATTTACAGAAACAGTTTTTAACTGCTCTTGTGATCCAGGTACAAGTATTCCAATCAAGATTTTATAATTAGAGATTTTTATAGATAACTGGTCCAACACTTCTATTTTACCTCCCAACATTTCCAATTTTTATCACCCCATTTCTCGGAATCAAAAACACATTTCAAAGTGGAATTTTGATATCAACTTTCAGTTTGTTCCCATCAATCGATAGCTTAACATTGTTTTTAGTTGTAAATGAATACAGAAAAACTCTCATTGGTTGGTAATGAAAACTCTTGATGTATATAATCAAAAATCAATATTTTTCAGATATATTGAAGCTTCGCTTTTTGAAAAAAGACGACCAATGTGAAATGCGAACATCGGGAGGCCACTCGACGACACCACATTTTGTTTCCACATAAATGTTTTCCTTTTTCCACGTTTTGTTTGATTCCCAATGATATTTTTTTCTATCAATGTTGTTTGATTGTTTGATTTTTTGGAAAAGTGTTGAAAAATTCCCTTGAAACAATAAAATAATTTTTTTCAATTTGAACGATTTTGCAGAATGTGAAAAACAAATCAGATTTTGTCAGAATAATGTATTTGGTGAATGATTCAGGGGGATTTTGATGAAACTAGCTCTTTTTACCAGTCACCGGTCAACAATTAAAACACTTTGAGAAATATCAATTTGGTATATTCTTCCTTCCGGTATCGATTTTGAAAACCAATAATTTTGAGAAAGCTTATCAACCCCTCTATAATATCTTACCCACTACTAAAAATAATTCCGACTAATAGACTAATAATATTTTTTTCAGTAGACTCCGTTCTGTGAAAAACTACAATTGTTCCAGCTATATTTGGTAAGAAAAAAGCCAGGTGTTCACACATCAAAACAAATTTTTATTAGTATTAGTTAAGAAAAAACAATTATTTTCCATTTCCAAAAGCAGTTGCACCACAGTTTGATTTGTTGAAGCAGCAAACACAAGTGCGACCATCGTTTGAGATGAAACCAGTAGCGGATGTCTAAAAATTAAAGGTTTTCTAGATATGAGAAAAAAAAATGAAAAAAGAACCGTAGCAAGTCTATCTTGAAGTGCTCTTCCTTTACAGCATCCTTCACATCTTCCAGCATTTGTATTTTCAGAACAGCTTGCTGTTCCAGGTTGACCATCAATGAATGAAGTGATTACAGCACGGCGAGTACATGCTGAGAATTTCAAACGTTGAGCCGTGAAAATTCTTCAAAACTTACAGAAACCGCATGGTAACGCTTGAGCCGATAATTGTTGAGCGGTGGCCGATGTGGCGACGAATGCAAGAACCAAAAGGAATTTCATTTTTCTTCATATTTTCAGGAAAAACTCCGGCTATTTTTATACTATAGAATATTATGATTCTAAAGATTCAAAAATCAAAAAATCATCAAAATATACGAATATTTTGAAATTCGTTTTCAAAAATATGTTACGCAACATTGTTTGTGCCACAGATGCTACGCTGTAATTATTCTTGACCTCTGACATCATTTTTGAACTTTCCATTTTTAGAAGAACAAAATTTGCGTAACTAAAGTCTAAATCCTCTTCTCTTAGAAGCTAACATAAGGCGATTTCAAGATGAAAGAGACTGATGATATAGTGCACTATGTATTATCTTTTGTGCGTTTTTTTCTGATAAGCAAAGTGCAAGTCTGGAAATAAAAAAACCAGAACAAGGAAATATATATCATTTCTACGGTTTAATAGGAGGAAGTGAAACATAATTTTCATTTTATCCGACTGGAGAGAATGTTCACAATGTTTATGTGTTCTAGTGTTCTTGATTTCCCTGTCCATAAACTTAATAATCAGGAACTTCCTCAATCTTCCATTTCTCCCTTCTTTTTTTCCAAAAAACCGAAAGTCTTGTAGGGTTTTGTAACAAGTTTCAACTTTGCACCCATTTTTATTTGATTGGCAATGACAAAACGTGCCACAAGGGTAAACATTGAAAAAATGTTTGAACCTAACATATGTTTTCAAAATTTAAAAATATTTCGAATCTCTCATTCGTACGATACATTTATTCTTTGTTAACCAAACAGGAACAAAAATATCTTCTCGAAAATTCCTGTGTCATTATTTCATCGTATCTTCTTTATATGAATAAAATTAAACTGATTAGTTGTTAGCCCATAATAATTGATAAATGATGAATTTTTTCAATGAAATTCGAATGATGATAGGAATTTCCCTATTTTCTCACGAAAAATGCGAACATTTCATTGCGATTACGCAATTCGATGAAATAAATTCGAATATTGATGATGATGTCAGTTATTAGATGTTGTTTGATGAATGAATCATTGTCCGGTCGCGTTTTTCTATTTATATTTGGCCGGATAAGTTCGCACTTTATTGTTTGACCATTCAAAAGAACAAAAAACCAAGTACCTGCTCATGAAATTGTCCTTTATTTCGAAATACGAGAATGTTTAGTACTGTTCATCTAATATTCCACCCTCTTTGTTTTTTCAGCCTACATGCTTGAGAAACAAATTGTTGTTTTTTAATAAAAATAAATAATGGGAAGAAAAACAACAATAACAGTTGCTCCTCTCATGAGCCAGGTACGAGTTAATAGTAAATATAATGTTTTTGTTAAGTTTCTGGAAAAAAAACAAAAACATGGAGAAAGTCGATCTTTGAACAATTCAGCAAAAAACGTTTTGAATTATTGAGTGTCTTGCAATTTTAGATGATTATTTGACTCCCTCCCTCACAAAACATAATGTTTCCAAACTTTATTGTTCGAAGAAAAACACAAGAAAAATATATAATTTTGTCAGTCTACGAAAAACAACAATTTCTTGACATTTTCAGTGATAATTAGAAAAGGAATATTCTAGTTATGTTGAAAAGAAGAACCCCCATTGCACTATAGGAGTATTTTCAACACAAAAAACCTCGTTCGAGCCAACCTAAAATGTCCTTATGTTTTTCGCGAATAATAAAACATTATCTAAACAAAATCTTTGAATACATTCACATTTCATTAAACTTTAATTTATTTTTATTTATATTACGTATTTGGCGACAACTAGGATATTTCAGGAAAACGTGTGGTTGTTTAAAAATTGAATCCGTCCACCCATACTAACCAATCATCTGATGTGACGTAAAATTTTAATTTGCACTTTTTTTCGAATTTAACTCATTTCTCTTGTTTGTTTTCGTCAAAATGAAAATAGATATTCATCGGGATAAAATTTCAGGAAAAAAACAACCTTTTTTTCTTACTTTTGAACAGGAAATTAAAAGTTGTATTGAAGGTGGGTGAAAAAATGTTAAAGGATATGAGTCTGGACAACATTTAAATGTCATTTCAAAATGACCAGACGGCTGGTTCTGAACTTTTTCTGAATGTTTTGTTCAAAATGATATTCTGATTCTCCCCCAATGAAACAAAAAACAAAAGTTCATCAATTTTTCTTGTTTCTTGGGTGAAAAGATCCACGTTGTAAAAATGCCTTTTAATGAGAGAATCGGAAGTTTCCAAAAAACTCGACTGTAATTTATGATCTTGTCAAATGAATGGAGTAAACAACTGCAATATAACTTGTATTTAAAAATGAGAAAAGTTCGAAGAATGAAATACAGTAATCCGTGGGTTGCAGAGGAAAAGAGCGATTTTTAGTCAAATGACATCGAGCAGTAAACCTGTTTAAGTGATCACTAATCATTTATTTTCTTTCTGTAATATATTTAAACTTTTAAACTGTTAATGATGTGTTTTGTCAAAATTTTTGTTAAACAACAAACGACTTTTCCCAAAGCTTCTGGTAATCTTCAAAATAAAAAGTTTTCCTTGAAAAAATCTGCAATTCTATGCAAGCCAACGATATCCTATAGTTTCCAATGCTTACTGTCAAATCAAATCATCTATCAACCCAAACTTCCTTTTTCGTTCGAATCACTTCTCTTCCATCAAAGAATGATGAGAATCAGCTGACAGGCCATCCAAAAAGATATATATTCGTTTGTTTTTTAAAAAGTACAACACTCATAGAAAATGTTCAAAAAGAATTTGTAATTAGTTAACTCAATATAGTTTGTACTTGTATTGCGGGAAAAACGAGTAAATAATAGTGAGAATTTTTGAACTTTTAACTAATTGATTTACGGTACATGGTTGACGTGTGAGAACCAAAATGATTTGATATAAAATACTCGTGTCTGATTCGACTGACGTTAATCAGAATTCACCTTGATTTATGAGATCAAATTTGTTTTTTTCGGCCCAGCAATTTTCAAGAAAACAATCCAAAAAAGTTATTTTCTAGCCAGTTCACTAGATATTTTTGATTTTCAAAGTTGCTCATGTTACAGAACTATGTAAAAACCATATTTATTCCCTGAACCAAAGTCTGTTATGGGCCTATGTAGAATAATATTTTGTAATAAAAAACATTTAAAAAACTTTTTTCGACGTTTTTCTGCATAGCAAAAAAAAGGTTTTTTTTAAATTACAAAATATTATTCTGGATAGGCCCAATTGGCCCATTATATCCCATTATAATCCGCCTTCTCTGTCTTTTTTTTCGTAATATTTCGGTATCGCTGCCTCTTTTCTCCGCCCACTTTTCTAAAAAGAAAAGGCAAAGTCTTCATTGTAAGACTCCGCCTTTTTAGAGACTAATCCATCCTCATTTATTCTTTTTCCCAAATACAATATCAGACTAAATATGCTCTCCCAAACAATATTCTCTGTATTTATGCTGACAGTTACAGTATTCTCTCATCCATCAAAGGTAACTTTCTACTGAATTTTTATCTTTTCATCATAGTTTTTGTTTCAGTTACGCGATTCTCTATCATCTTTGAATTCTGAATTGGATAAAAATGAGATTATTCAACCACTTACAATCAAATTTTCCGGTGAAAAAAATCTAATGGTAAATCAAACAGTACAAATCGGTGAATCTTTTGAACTTCGGTGTGAATCTGCTGGAACTCCACAACCAGTGTTTTATTGGACTTTCAATGGAAAAAGAATTCAAGGATCTTCAGAAATGAACATTTACGAAAAACTTCATAATATTGGAAAAGTAACAATTCAAAACGGTGTGACAATCAGTAGATTGGTTGTTCCTTGCGCAAAAAAAGAAGATGCCGGAAAATATCGATGTGTCGCAACGAATGGACATGAAAAAATTGAGAAAAGTGCAACAATCACAATTGGTTAGTTGTTCTTATCAAGATATTGTCTGTAATTCAACTATTTTTAGATGATTCGAAACAGTCATCAACATGTGAAGAGAGTGAAACAGAAAGCCCAAAAATCATTCAATGGACAGACGCTCGTTTTGAGAATGAATTAAACACAGTTCAATTAATGTGCAGAACAGACTCTCCAGCTACCGTAGCATGGTATAATGACGAAAGAGAACTTTTGAATAACAAACTCAACCATGAGGTAAATTTGTTATTTTGGAAATCAAAAGATCATTGTTCTTTTTTCAGGTTTTGGCAAATGGTGATTTGCTTATCAAAAATGTGAAATGGGAAAATATGGGTGTATATACTTGTGTTGCTTCAAATGAAAACGGTGAAGATCGAGTAGAAGTGTTTTTCTATCCAACAGCCGCTGAATAGAAAAAATAATAAAAAAATGAAAAAACCCAAAGACTATTTATTTTGTACTCTTTGCTTTCTATATTTGTGGACCAATACAACCAGCCGACTGTTTTTGGTCCAAATATTTACATATTCTTAAGTGCAAGGGGTGTCTCGCCCCCTACTTATTTATATCGGTTTTTTTATTGTATCTGTGATCTCAATTGTTAGTTATATCCCCCTCTTTTTTTCCCGCCATGTTTTCTTATTTAGAAAAGGTACTTAGAAACAGACACAGTGCAATAATTAACTAATTAACTATTTTTTCTATTTGATATCAACACACACACTCTCTCTCCCTACAAACACCATGTACAAACATATTTTTCTGATCTCAATATTTTGATACTCCTTTTTAATCTTTTTCAACGCTTTCAAAAGAAATTGTCTTAACTTTTACCATACCACTGTGAGTGCAAAAAAGCGACGGGTTGATTTGTCGACTTATTTATTCTGAATGATATTTTGTTTTGAATTGTATCTAAAAAGAGGATTAATGTTAAATATAATAAATTTTCATGTTCTAATTGTTTCAAAAAAATTTCAGAGAAACACTTTCACAAGACAACGCTTAGCATCAAAGGAAATTGCTTGATGTACATAAGGGTCCAAAAATCGCCAACAACTTTGACACTCCAAAAAACAAGCAAAAATAGAAATAACCACAAAGTATCCAAAAATAGTCAAAATATTTCTATTTCGAAATTGCGCATTGCTCGAAATTCTCCTGAAAGAGTGCAGAAACAAGCATGTGACCTATTTTATGTGACGTATTCCGTTTTTTTCTTCTTTTTTTGGTCACTCTTCACTAACAACTTATTAAAGAATAAATGTATTCTAGGGTGCAAAGTATATATACACCATATGTGGTAAAATGTGTGAATTGGGTGTCACCTACAGCAAAAATCTGTCACCTTTTTTGTTTTTTAATTATAATAGAAAGAATAATATTAGCACCTTGTGTTGAATCCGTATATTCTTGAGAATGTCCTTATGGTGCGCATTCTGCAACCATTTTCTTATTTTATATTAGATATCAAGGACTACATAAATATATTAAAAAATATATATTTTGCGGGGAAAATAACATTTAGTACAGGAAAACAAACTGTTATATTTTAATTTCCTGAACATCGGAGATATTCTGGGAGAATTTTCATACATATAGTAAAATGATAAGGTTGATTAACTGGTTTGATTTTGCTGGGAAATTTAGAGTAAAAATGAAAGTTGATTGATTATACACGATTGACCGATATTGGTAAAGAACAGTTCCGGATTATTATACTTGTACATATAAATGTTCGGAGAAAAAATTGGTATTCAATTTGGATAATTGAGAACAATTGGTAGACACAAACCACAAATTCAATTATTCTTCTTATTCTACGTCATTCAAACGGTATAGACAATGGAAGAATTTGCTGGTTGATCAGCTAGAAAAAACATTGAAAATTGGGACATCCATCATTTTTGCCCGCTAAAAATCGCACGGAAACTGTTTTATCAATTTCTGGAATTTATTATCTTTTCATAAAAGATTCCATTCTCATTTTTCGATCTATGACCAAAAAAGGTTTCCGCTGGAAGATTAATGTATTTTTAGAGCTATCGACTTGAAATTTTTTCAGCTCGCCAACTCGAAGATTATTTTTAGATAATTTCGTTTTGCTAATCTTATCTGACTAGAAATAGCCAAATTATGTGGGATTTAATGATTCTTGATATGTTAATCTCTGATTCGGAAAAATTGAAATGAAGTGGGCATAAAGTTTAACCAAAAAACGCACGTAAATCAATTTGTTTCATTTTGAAGAACTGAAAAAGGGATTTTGCTAAAAACAAATGGTTTTCAAACCCTATATCATCATTGTTGCACGTGTTTTATCAATTAGTTGAAACCAAACAGTTCAACATTTTTTTCTCAAACAAATAAGTTTTGATTTCATTCAAGATTAGGGCTGGATTGTTCAAATTATCCTCAAAAAAGCATAACTGATGTCATAAGTACATTCTTCGGAATGACAAGAAATGCTAAATCCGCTTATGTATCCTACAAGGTTCAAAGTTAACAATCAAACATCGGAACTTATTATGATTATTATGAAAAACATGGGGGTTGTTCAGTTCAGAGATACGTATGAACTTGGTCTTAATCATTGTATTATTTTAAATGAAATTAATCCAAGTTATTGTTGAATCGGGGAGCAACAGAAAGCAGAATTTCAGACACAATAGGGTTCCACGTTTTATTTGGAGAACATCCGGATTAACTTATGTTTCATCATGATTAAAATAGCAGAGAGCAAGAAACATTGTCATCGGTACATTTCAGGGAATTCTTCTAAATATAATTTAAGAAGATCTTTGTGTCAACTACAACACATGAATTAATTGTAGTGAAACACCGACTTTTAAAGATGAAATCTGGGTTGTATCAATTGATAGTGTAATACCACGCCAAATGATGACAAATAAATGGCTACAGAAATCTTCTAGTTTACAGCTTTTCAGATTTTTTTGAACTTTGAGAAGTGAACTGATGTCTTCAAAAAAATCTGCCAAAATCCGGTTGATCATTGAAAAAAACAATGATCTAAAAATAAATATTGGGTATCTAGCGTTTCATAAATCAAATCAAATCTGATCTCCAAAACAGAGTAAACCGTAATAATTTTTTTGTAAAAATTCAGCTGATGAACCATCACGTGTATACAAACAAGATTGATTAATGCTATTGTGGTCATTGTACTTTGCAAAAAAATGGATAAGAATTGAAAACAAATCTTGTTATTTATTATTTATACATAGTATATCTTCTCTCTTGTTATTTTTTTTTTCGAAAAATCTACTTTTCATTGTGACGTACACTTGAAAGTATACAAGAAAAATGGGTGAAAAATATTTCGAGTTACAACAAAATAATAAATATCTTTTTAAAAAATGAACTTTTTTGATATTGATGGTGGGGTGTGAAATTTCCCTACGAGTCAAGTAGAAAAATCACTACAAAAAAGTTAAGAAGGTTGGGAATTGTCAGAAATTATGATTGAAAGATTGATTGATTGATTGATTAATTGCACATTTTTCATCCTTGTTGCAAAAACTGAAAATAAAAAAAATGTTCCAATTGTCATCTTTAATGTAAACTTACGGCCGATGGAATTCTCAAAGGTTTTGGTATGACTGGATAACTTGGAAGAGTTGAATTATTTGATGAGTCAGAAATCTGCAAAAAAACACATATTTTTAGCAACAATTTAATACGTCATTCCAATTGTTGCAATGTTCAAATTAATTTCCAATCAGTCACATGTTTTGTTCTATCTAAATATTTCAAAAAAACATGTGCGCGTAATTCTTCTTTTTCTTTCTTTTTGGGTACAAAATGCACTTTTAATTTGAGTGAACATATTATACGAAATTATTCGAAATGTGTCGTATAGGAAAAAAAGTTTTTTGTGTTTCGCAGGAATGTGATGACTCATCAATACGTTACGGAGAAAAGCGAAAGGAAACGATAATTGAGGGGTTTTCCCACCTTTTCGATGTATTTCGGCGAACGATCTGGGGATTTGAGATATGATTGAATTTCATCGAATGCTGATGTTTTCTTGATAGCCGATTCTGATTTTATCTGCAAAAGAATATTAACAGATTTTAGAGTATCACATTTTTTATTTGACATGGACATAAACATAAACATAAACATATAAAAACACAAAAAGTTATGAAAAAAGTCAATTGTCTGACAGAATACTACATGATCGATTGATTTTCCAATATCTATTCCTCGTCCTCTTCATCTGCCACAACCTCTTCCTAAAACACAAAACACATAAATCAAACAGGAATTTAAGAAAGTACCTCAACTGCAGCTATCAATTTTTCATAAAGTGCTGGTGGTGGTGGAACACCTGGGAAGCATGGATGAGCATTTCTCTAAAAACACACACAGATAAACATTTAAGACAAAACAAGGCAGGACAAGAAAAACACAAACTTTATCAAAGACAGAACGACGTTCACGGAAGTTACGACGATCAATTTGACGATCATATTTGGACACAATTTGAACTTTTGGCTGAAAAAAAAACATACTTCGTTAAAATATTGTTTGCGTTCGTTGAAAGAAAGATCGTCTTTTCTTTCGAATTTAGAAATCATTGGGATTTTTGGCTGAAAAAATGTTATTGATATATATGACAAGGGTTTTTGGGCTTCAAAAACATATTATTCGTTCTAGATTATTTTGTGTGAGATCTTGATCTTATAATGTTGTCTTACTGGATATCTCGAGTTGCCAACTTCAGCTGGATCAATTCCTTTTTTGAGAGCAGCGTTTCGAGTCACTTGACGTTGACGTTCGTTCAACTCTTTCAGCTATAAATAGTTTCAGTTTGCGATTTTTTCAGACATACTGTATGAAACTCACATCGTATTCCTGTCTCTCGTGACGTTTTTCGAGATCGTACTTGTCCGCCTCGAGTTTGCAAATTTTTTGATGCAACTCTTTGATCTTGGCTTTGAGCTCGGATGCTGGAATTTCCGAGGCTTCCAGAATTCCTTTCCGAATGCTTGCCATGAACGCCTGAAAGTTTGAAAATTTTCTTACTATTTTTCCAAAGAAAAAATTAAGCTTGTTAGATGAAGCATTATAAACTTAAGAAAATAAATCAAAATGTAAGTAACTGAAAAATTAACACTTTGAACAAACCTGGCTTGGAAATAGAGCGGCGCTAAATGTTTTGAAAGTTAAATGAAGGAGTGGGATATGAATATTAGGATGATTTCTAATTTTAAATAATTTAAAAAAGTAAGTAAACGTACTCGTTTCGCTTCGTCTTGTTGATCTTTGGTCATACCCATTTCTTGCTTGGCTTGTACAATATTACCAAATTTGTCGTTCGAAGTTCCTTTTTTCGGAATGGTGAAGTTTCTAAAATAATTTTGCAGAGGTTTCAATGAAAAACAATTTCGAAAGGGTTTTTGTTACCTTCCGGTGCCACCGGCTGGATTGAAACCTCCTCCCATCAATTGGTTTCGTTTGTTCTTTTCTTCTTCTTTTTTACGCTTCTCTTCTTCGACTTTTGCTTTGCGCTCTTCCTAAAAAAATTTAAATTTTTTACTGAAACACACTGAAATTTGAAAACTATTTTTTATGTAATATTTGATTTTTGTTTCAGAACTGTCCAGTTTATTTTGAACTCTGCACTCTAATATCTATACAATTTTTATAGGCAAAATGTTAATCCAGGAAGTAATAACAAGAAATCCTTCTCAAACGCATTTCAAAAATATGTAGTCTAATCAGCAAAGTACACTCATGTTTTGTTTCCGTGATTCACACAAAAACCACGAGTTTAGTAATATATTCATTCTAGTTTGTGATCAAACTAAAAAAAAGTGCACTCGTCAGAAAAACATGAGGTTTCGTGGCATTTTCAAAATTTGAAATATTGCGTGGAATGTTTACGGGGATTAAAACTAAAGAAATAATTTGATTGATATCATTTTAAATATAAATGAGACTAGAAAACATTTTATCTGATAAAGTAGGGATTTGTCTCTGCAAAATGATTGTCTGAACTTTGTGAAAACTATATATTAACGTTACTGAAGATCAATTTTCAAAACAAAAATACTCCGAATTGAAATCCATTACAAACCTCTTCTTGACGACGACGATCTTCAGCGGCTTTGCGACGTTCTTCCATCTCACGTTCTTCTTGTTCACGTTCAAGCTTACGACGTTCTTGCTTCTCCTTCAATTTTTTCAACTCCTCCTCCTCTTTTTCTCGTTCGTTTCGACGACGTTCCTCATAATCCATAAGCTTGGCCTGTTGATCTTCTTCAGCACGACGTTTTGCGGCCTGAAATTGAATTGTGTTTTGAAAAATGTTGACATTTAACAAGTATACTCACCGCCATAGCGCGTTCTCCCTCAGTAAGACTTCCATCTTCGTTTTCGGTGAATGATTTAGTTTTGGTTCTCTCTTCCGATCTTTCATATGAAGTTTCGACCTCAACTTGCTCTTCTTCTTCTTGCTCCTCTTCTATTTCCTCGACCTCTTCATCAGAACTGAAAAAAAAACACAATTTTTTCTCAAAATTAACAAAAAATAGGGAAAATGTTTGATTTTGGGGGAAACTATGGGTATAGCTATAACAAACCCCTTTCTGCGCCATTTTGGAATCCAACGAATAAGTCGACGACACGGTTTCATTCGATTTCGATGTTTTTCAAAATCAACACGTTTCAAATCAACTTGGAAATCTAACCAATGTCGTCTTGGTTGCGCTTTCTTTTTAATTATTTGATGATTCAATTTAATTGGTCTGATTTCTCTAGAAGGTGTTGGAGATCGCATTCGAGGAGTAGATCTTTGTATGAATCGAACTTGTGGTTCAGGGCTCGAACATCGATTCGAAGAAAATTGTGCTTTGAGAGCTCGAATTGCATGGAATGGAGATAAGGCGCGGATGATTGCGCGTGGACGAGGAATGTGTTTTTCGGAATTTAATCTTTCAATCAATAGTTTATCTGTTTCTGACAATTCCGCGAAATTTTGATGTTTTGACTCGTAGTTTTTAAAGGCTCCTCTAGGCTTCGCGGATTGCGCTAGGGAGCCATGCAAGTTTAAATGACTTGCTGATGTTTTTGATGGGGGTGGTCGACGTTGTCGAACTATCGGTGGAGGATCTGGATCTGGCGGTCGAACAATCCGAATTTGTGGAATTGGACTACCCGTTGGTGATGATGGACAAAAATCTGAATACGGTGCCGAAAATTCTTCTTTGATTGGTGTTGGTCTTCGACGAATCGCACCCGCTCGACGCAAACTTGATTGTGGTTGTGGAATGACTTTTGGTTTTGGTTGAATCAAAAATCCTCCAATAATTGGAACACGTTTCAAACCGTTCTTAACATTTTTGAAGTCTTCCATTGCTTCTGCTGAACTTTGTAAGAAATATTCAGGAATCTTGAGGCGATTGACTTTTCGAAGTTCCTTTTCTTCTTTTTCAAGTTCAACTGTGAATGCTCGATTGAGTCTTCCAATTTTGGGTTTCGGAAGTTCTTGTGTTTTAGTTCTTCTAGGTGGAGGTCTCATCATAAATGCTGTGATATCCAAAGAAACATATGCAACTCTTGGTGGAGCTGGAAGTGAAATAATCGCTGAGCATTTCTTTGGAGCTCTCTCAGTCATCCTCAAATTCAATCGAACATTTTTCTCAGCAAATGCATCTTTGGCGTGCAGAGTATAGAAACTGCAATGTTGGATTGATATTTCAGCGGCACTCGGAATGACGGTTTGCTTCTTCCTTCTTAAACTTGCAAGCACATTTTTCTGTTGAACTTTGACATCTTCGTCATAAGTTTTTCTGCGCTTTGGAAGCACTGGTTTCTTAAATCTATCATTATCACCGGCACTGAAACTTGCTCGAACACGAAGAGGTTGAGTAGATTTATCTGGTAAACTCTTCTCGATTGTTTCTTTTTGTTCTTTTGGTGGGCGCAAAACTTTTGAGCAATTAGTGTTTTCATTTTTTGGCTTCTCATTCAACGAAACTTTTCGCAAGATTTTCTTAGCTTGTTCCAAAATTTTTGGAGTTGGAGCAGCGGGAAGTGTAATCGAGACAACTTCACGAATTTTTGATGGAAAAGTCGCACGAGTATTATGAATATCAATATCATTTTTTGATTTTTTGAAAGCATTCAATTCTTTCGACTTGGTCACCGAAAATGTACATTGGTCAGGTTGGCAAGGAGATAAATATGATTTTGATGCACTTTCTGGTTTTGCACTACCATTCAATTTGACATCAATAGTTTTCAACTGTTCAGTATATGACACTGCGATAAATAATTTTTTGGGATAACGATAAATGTGAACCACTTGAATATCTTCTTCTTCTTGTTCAAAATGGTATGTTTCAGATGTTTCCACTTCTGGAATGACAGGTGGTGCCGGTGGAACTGCTTCTGCATTACTTCGATCGCTATCATTATCAGTTGATAATCCAGAATCACTAGAACTACTTGGTGTTCGAACACGACGATATCTTTCTTCTCGGATAATTGGAATCTCTTCCCATGCTCTCAAATATTTTCTTTCATCATCACTATTCAATCCACGAGATCTCAACAAATCATCAACTCGATTATGCGCAGCAAGCAATCTCTGCATATACTCATTTTGTGAAACATCTTGTGCATCTGGTAAAGTATTGCGATTTGAAGTTGATGCTGATGTAGATGGACCACTTCCACCAAGCCCATAACGATTTTCATCAATTATAGAAGTTTTTCGAATTGATGCGGAAGAAGATGGGGCACCACCAAGTTCGGCCTCAAACTGCGCATTTTGTTGTTGTCTGCGTTGCTTGAGGAAGTCACTTCCTACTGATACCTTACGTGCCCCACTACCATAACGACCAAGAAGACCTAGTGTCTCTTCATCACGTGTTACCCTACTGCTACTACTTGGACCTAAATCAGGTACCCTACCAGTAATACTACTTGATCTGGTCGGAAATAATCGAGCTGGTAATGACTCTCTGGCACTGGAATCACGTTGGAACGGATTTTCTCGAAATTGAACAGAGGAAAAATCTGAACGTGATCCAAGACCAGATGAAGTGATTGACGAACGTCGATAATTTCCGGCCGAACCTAATTGAGATGATGAACTACTGTATGATAAAGAGCTAGATAAATTGGAGGTGGAGTTGAAATTTGAGGAAGAATACGGAGAAGATGAATTAAAACTCGAACGCATAACCTACTATTGTTCTTCCTCGTCGGACATAGTAGCAATATGACGCTGAAAAATGAGCATTTATTTTGTGAGCAACGTATATTTTGACTTTTTTTGTTTTTCTCTAATCTTACTTAACCTTATTGTTAACTTATGATAATTACTTAAGAAAAAGGACCCTTTAGAGAGAGTAGGACACCTCACGCGCAGCTAGAACAACACCTGCACAGTCGAAACTGAAATAAATAGACGTATGTTAAAAGTTAAAAATAAAAAAGTGCAATAAAACGAAAATCAAAGGCTACGCGCGGTGTGTAATGATAGGGAAGATCCGGACGCGAGTACAGTACCCACACTAGAACAAATATTGAGATCATTTGGCAAAGATGGCAACGATCAACTTTTTTTTGAAGTTTTCATATGATCACTTGAAACTATTAGTCATGGGAATTTTGTTCGAGATGATTTTTAAGGTTGTAGTGGATAAGATTTTGAGGTGGTGACTTATTCTAACGAATTTTGATTCTAGTTTTAAAAATATTTTTCTATGTTTATGGGTTGGAGTTGAATCGAATAATATTGTATAGAAAAACATGAAAATTTTTTGATAATTAATCAATGTAAGATTTGAGATGAAAAATGTAAACTCAAACATACAAAGAAAATTATCTAAATTATACATGATTAACTATATTAAATGACCTAACCCCTAACCTATCCTTAACTTGAAGTAATATTTCATCTAAAAATTATTTTTGTTTTATGAAAAAGTTACCTGAACTAGTGAATAACTCAAAAGTGTCTAGTAGACAATAGTGATAGCAATATCAAAATGCGCGCGAGCGTCTCCAATCGAAAGTGGGTGGAGAGAATAATAATAAATTGTGAGACGCTGTTTAAGAGTGTCTCTGTCAATGTGTGCGAGGAGCGCGCATCTGTGTGTCACCAACACACAGTTGTTGCCTCACAGCGCAATATTCTCTTTGCGCATTTGATTTGCTTTTCTCCCCCTATCATTACACACCATAGAGCGGATATAAAGTTTATTTGATGGATTGGATTGGTTTGAATGACTTGGATTGAGCCAACAAACAGAGAAAATATGAAAAAAAAAGTGTTGAGTTGAGTTTAATAGAGTGAGAAAAAGAAACTGGGGTTTGAAATGGATTGAGGGATGCGATAAAAGATTTCCGAACTTTTTTTGCATTCAAAGAAAAAAGTATCGATGATAAGTGCATATTTGAAGAGGCATTGGGAACGGATGAACCATTTTTTATGGAATTATAAACAATGACGAGAAAATGTTGTAGAACATGTATCTGTAAAATAAGAGATGGAAAATCGAAACATTTGGTAGAAATCGGATAAAAAATGTTGAGACGGATCAACAAACTATAAATAAATTCGGTTCAAAACACAAATCTTTTGTAAGAAAATGAGAAAAATATAGATTGCAAATAATTTCGAAGAAGAAATAAAGAAATATTCAAATCAAAATCAAGATCCAATAAAAAATTTTCAGTTTATTGAAGTTGAATGAGTTTTTAAAAGTTTGTAAAACTCTATAGCCCATTTTTCATGGATAAAAAACATCTTCCTCACATTATTCAGTTATTTTTGTGAGTTAAAAAAAATTATGATCAGTTCGAATACCTATATAAAATTGACAAATTTTCAAAATATATGTAACTTCGGAACATAAAAATTTTGTGAAAATGAGAAACAAAATGAAAATATTTTCCACCCAGACAAGTGCGATATCTAAAAACGTTCACAAAAAATAACAGCTGATTGATAAAGGGTCGTTGTTGTTTGGAAAAAAGCAAAAACAATTTCAGAAAAAAAGCACCCACTCATTCATTCAGCCAGTTAGTCTATATACTTGCAGATAAACGTTCAATGTTTTTTATCTGTCACCAGATGTCCCCAAGGAATTAAAGCTCATAACAACTGTTCATGTTTTTTTTCACATTGTTGGATATTAACAAAAATGTTTTCAATTGAGGATATCATCGGTGGTCATTTGGTTGAGTTTTTTTTTGGAGGAGAAAGAGACGTGTTTTTGTTTTTAGGTCAAAGAAATGCTTTAAAAATGTTTGGAATTTTTCGAAAAAAAAATCGAAGCAATTTATTGGGTAAAACGCAGAACAGGCCCCCACCCATATCATTTTATGCCCCCGATTCGGAACTATGTTACAGGCCCCCGCGCGGTATTTTCAAAAAACAAAAATTTATGGAAAAAATAACGAAACAAAATTTTTTTTTTGACCTACCCGCGAAAAAGAAAGCTGCACGTAGCAAATTTTTGTTCAGAAAAATTGGCAAAAAACTAATCATTCCGATTTTTAATTAATTTTTTTTCATTGTGGGGACCTCATCTAAGACAAATTTTTTAGGTGGGGGTCTCAACTAAGACGAATTTTTTAAGGTGGGGGTCTCAACTAAGACAATTTTTCAAAATGGGGGCCTGAACTAAGACGATTTTGGGGGCCTGAAACAGAGTTCCGAATTGGGGGCATAAAATGATATGGGTGGGGTGCTGATCTAAGATTTAACCTGAGACCGTAGATGAGGCCCCCTCACTCATTAAAATTATCTTAGATGAGGCCCCCACAGTTAGTTGAGCCCCCCACTGAATAATAGACCCCCACCCAAGATGAAGCCCCCAAAATATTATTTTTTCACTGGGTGGGTCCAAAGTGGGGGCTTCTCCTGGGATGTGGGGACCTGAATTGGGGTGGGGGCCTGTTCTGCGTTTTACCCTTTTTATGTTTTTTATGTTTTTATGTTTGGAATTTTTCGAAAAAAAAATCGAAGCAATATATTTCTGGAAATTTTATGAAATATCTAGAATTTCAACAGATAATCGGAGTGAACAACATATTGCAAAAATCTGCCTTTATGGTTTCTTTCGATTTTCTGAATAACTGAAACGTTGCGATCTACAGAAATCATTAACTTATAATTTCCAGGACAAACTACAAAGATGGATCAGTTGCTCAACTTCAAGAAACATCGATTAGTGAAATAAATAAAGAAAACTAAACAGGTTTTGATTAATTTAGTTAAATCAAATTTAAAAAATACGAAATTTCCTTTTTTGAAAAGATTCTGGCAACACAATATTGGATCATTTTGAGAAAAAATTATCTTAAATTTAAATTTCTTTAGTTACACAGAAATTTTCTGTGTGTAAAAATCTTTGAAATGTTAGAACAAACTCCGAAACTCGCATAAAAACAAGTTTTTGTAAAAAATCACTGAAAAAATATGAATCGATCACAAGACAGATACGTTCACTTTTCCACAATATGAGCGAAAAAAAAACGAGAAACCGTAAAATTGAACACAATGTCGAGTGTAAAGCACTATGTGATTACAGACCTCCTTGCTTCTTGTCAAACAAATCCAAAGTGCTTTGCACACTAATTTTTTGAACAGAAGATTCAAAAAACTATATATTTGTGATCTGGAGAACAGAAAAACACCGACTGAACTGAACAAAAGAATGCAAAAATTGAAGAATGTGAAAAAATTGTCGAACGTCATTGGACGAAATCTGATAGCTAAAAGCAAAGGTTATCAGAAAAAAACATAGGATACATTCAACAAAAAAAACGTACAATGAAGAATGGGCCGTCCAATGTGACCAGTTGCTTTTTTCCAGGAAACAAAATGACTTTTTCTTTTGAGAACATATATTTGAAACTATACTAATTTACACTTTTCAAAGAAATGAGATGGACATTGGTCATTTGAACTATGAGATTCCTAAAAGTTTAGCCACAACTAAAAAACTGGCTATAAAAGCCACTGAAAACGCAGAGTCATTGAAGTTTTAGTAAAAGCAAAAATTTAAGACACCCAAGAAAATTGCGAAAGTTCTAACTTTCTATTCGAAAAATTGAAAATTTTTTAAATCTATCTTTTTAAAAAAATATAAAATTTTATTATCCCACAGGAGCCGAGATGGATTTTATTTCCAAAAATGAATTAAAAAAATCAATGATTTAAAGTTTTTTTCAAAAAAAAGACAATCAACTAATTTCGAATAAAAAAGTGTTTAGAATTTAAAAAAAAATACCTTCCGGTGACCCCGCGGTCTTGCAATATCTATATCCTAATTCAAATTTCAAGATAAGATATTTGCGAAAAAAATCAAAAGATTGAAAAATTGAAAGCGAAAAAAAAATTGAAAGCAAAAAAAACAGAAACATAAAAGTGGACTGATTTTTCGTTGTACTCAAAGCAATTTCGGAAAATGTTTAGACGACACAAGTGTGTGTGAAAATTCTCGGTAAAAAATGGTGCTGAACGTCATAACAAAATACACAAAAGCTCAAATGTTCACAGACCAACCAACTTTACCAAAAAAAAATTTTGTCGAAAAAGTTTGATTTGACGACGAAACAAACTCGTGTAGATGATAAGTGAAGGACTTTTCCGCAAAATGCAATCAACTAGTGAGATATTGAAAATCTTGTGGGTTGACAAAAAAACAACAGAGAAGAGCACAAGACGAAAAAAGTCGTTTATTTACCTTATCCCAAAAGTTTTTGCTACTGCAGCTTCTTTTCAAAGACAATTCTCAGTATGACCGGCATAGTTCTGTCATCTTTTTTTGTACGGAAAAAAGTTGATACTTTGATGTTATGTTTACTGATCAAAAAGTGAACGAGATGAATTGGGATCAAATGAACAAGTGATAATTATTATATGTGTAATTATTTCAAAATTCGAAAAAAACAACAACAAATGAAAACCAATTTAAATAAAAGAGTGTAAAAGAATTTTCAGAAAATAATATGGTTCAATTAATTTCAAAAATGTGGAAAATGTCCTCACAATGGAAGTAATAAGAGCTCTGACAATAAATTCCAATTTTCATCTACGCTTGAACTCAAAAATTACCATGACCTCCTTGCACAGCTTCAACGCTGAAAAGGTGGTTTCGATTTTGAGATGTTAATGAAAACAATATCATTTTCAGTTTTTCTGAAGAAGAACAAGCAATATATATCACACAAAATATTTCAATTATGAACAGAATGACTGAAAATCAACTTTGGAATAGATTAATAATGAATGCTTTAATCTTGATGTACTTAAATATATAGTTAGAAATGTCGAGGTTCTCACAAAAATAAAACTGAATAAAACATTAAAACTGTTAGACACGGAAAAATCCAAGACTTACTCGGCCAAAAAACGACATAGCTCGGGGCGACTCGCTACACAATTTTCGAGACTCGTTTTGTAGCGAGTTGCCACAAGCGCGCCTCAAAAGTGGCGAGTGCCGGGCAACTCGCTACAATTTTTGCCCATTTTTATAATCATGGTTTTTATGCTTTTTTTTCGGGATTTCACAGTGATTCATTGATTAAATGGCCCATATAAATGTAGGGTAATAAAACTATAAGTAGATCTACTTTTGCTCCATAGATACAGTTTTTGAAAAATGCTTCTGGACACCCTCCGAGAGAGTGGATCGGGGCGAGAACGGGGCAAGTTGCTTTACGCTCGGGCGAGTCGCCCCAAGCTCGCCCAAAGAGCCTCGGGCCAGTCGCCCGAAACGTGTAGCGACTCCGCCCCGGCTGGTAGCGACCTCGCCGTTTTCTGCCCGAGTATTGTTAAGTTTTCTTTTTGAGTTTTGCGGCATATTTGGATATACTCGATCTTTTTGTCTGAATCTTCTACAGATGTACATTGCCGCAATGAAATACTTACGAACATTCATTTTCACCTATTTTTAATACTACTTTTTGAACTTCAATGTCAATCAAACCATTTGCCTATCACATGCTTTCGATAAACGGCTTTGCGGACGCATTTTTCATAATCGAAGTTTCTTTATCAAACTTTTTTCCAGTGTTTTATATATTTTTTTTGTTTCGCAGAAAAGTCTCAATGATTCACGTATGTTGTTTTTGCTTCCGAGCGTTTTTTCGCTTCATTAGTTATACTTCTTCATACACACGATTCTACATTTTTTATAGATTTATGAGCTTTCCAAGTTTTCAAAAAAAATGCACACTTCTATTTCTTCGCCTGAAAAATTTTAATTAAAAACTGAGAAATGTGTACATACATAATGAATATTCATGTAAACTAAAACTAAGATTCATTTGAATGCATACACATATATTTTTGAAATAAAAATTCCAAAAAAAAATATAGCACCAATAAAACTTTAATATGTTTTCAATAAAAAAAGTGTGATCACGTGTTTTGTTCATTTTGCTAATATTTTTGCGTCTCAGAAAATGCGCTGACAGCTAGCACGCGAGCCGGCAGACGGCCGTCGAATTCTGATACTAATTTGCCAGTTTGCTAGCTCGCAGACAGCGCCTGCTAGGTTCTGCCAGATGGCCGCGAGGTTGCTAGCTGGCAGAACCTAGCAGGCGCTGTCTGCGAGCTAGCAAACTGGCAAATTAGTATCAGAATTCGACGGCCGTCTGCCGGCTCGCGTGCTAGCTGTCAGCGCATTTTCTGAGGTCCCTTTCAAATTGTAAAGAGTCGAAATGTTTTCCCTCGTGACATGTATGCCAATTATAAAAATATCCCCAACAACTTTTTTCTTTCCCATTTTGAATGCTAAGTCAGACATACAAACACATACATACGCGAAATAATATCCAATTTAAACATCAGCTGATCTCTAATTCTCGCAATATTCTGTTCTTTATTCTAATTCTTTCTCCTTACATGTCTCTTTGTTTTCGCTCTCCGTCTCTTGTTTTTATATTCACTCTCACCGGTCCGCTCTCACATGATAGAGGTCCTTCTCGCTTTCTCTGACCACTCCGCGTTTCTATATTGATCCTTTGTATTCTAATTTTCATTTGTTTTGTTTGGTTTTATTTCATTTTATTTTGGTTTCACACACATATATTTTCATTTTGCACTCTATTTTCTTTTATCAATAAGAAAATCATTTTTGTTTCAAAAATGTCTCTCAATGTCAGCTCTTTCAAATCAAGTTTCATGTGAACATCATATGATAAAGAAGTACAATTTTCTTGTTACTTACATGTTTTCTTTAATGTTTCTATTTTTCACTTTTTTAGCACATTATCATGTCACAATGATCGTTGAAAACAAGAAAAAACACATATATTTCTTCAAAATCACGTTTCTCCCAGTTTTCGGTCTTTTTTTGGTTAAAGATCTATTCCGAATTTTTTCCATGTTGAAAAAAAACCACTTAAAATTGATAATGTTATCTTCAAAAGTTCAATGGCAAGAAAAAGTGCAAGAAAATAATTAAAAGCCATTTCAAACATCTTTTTCTCTTTTTTATTCGTTTTTTTTTCTTCAGATTGCGTACGGTCACATGTACTAGGGATGTCAGGCAGACCTCGGTCTTTCTTTTTCATTTTTCTATGTGTCTGTTTGTGTGTGTGTGGGGTTGTGTGTGTCATCACGAGACTCCTCAATGGACACAAACTCTTATAGTATACACATATGACAATTTTTCGATCTCAAGTTTTTTCATGTTGACTGTTTTTTCTGGCGGTTAATAAAAATATATTCTAGTTCTAGGTCTAGTTTATTATTTTTCCATATGACGAGGGCGAAAAGTTAGTTTAATGATAACGATAACACTTTCGAAATATTTCAACAGAAAAATATTTTTCCTCATTTTCTGAATATCACTTCTATTCAAAATTCGGTTTTTCTTTTTCAAAAAACAGGTCTGAAAGAAAGACGCAATAGAAATTTGTTAAAAAAACGATGTACTTTTTTTTGCTTTGCGTATTTTGACCGATTTCTGACCAACTATTCTATTTTTCCATCTCTATTCAACGCTTTTTTGTCTCGGGTTTTTTTCAAATTAAAAATAATGATATCAATCGAAATAACGGTCAAATGAAAATATTTGACCCAAAGATTTTCTTCTATCTTCCACCATAGCAACAAGAAAAAAGCGAAAACTCATCATCACGTGAATCGCTGGTTTTAGTCATACGATTTGAAGCAAGGATAGATAGTTGAATGAAAGACCAGTTCATTTTCTTCTTGTTTTTCAACTGCGCTTATTATTATTATTGTTCTTAGGCATATATATTTCCATCTTCCTCCCTTTAAGAATAATAAAAGGAAAAGCCATATTTCATCACATTGTTTTCTCATATTATATATAATATGATGTAAAACTTGACAAAAATATATAAATATAAAAAATAATCCATATTTGTTCATAGTGCAAACATTCGATGCTTCTCCCTTTTTCCCATAGATTTATTTTTTGAATAAAATTTAGGAAAACGATGCTATTCTTCTCGTTGCCTGTGACAACGTTCCATTGGTACATATAATTAAAATTTTTTCCAAATTCTCTTGTTGAAATTGAAAACCGGAGATAGATGGTCAACAAACAGGAAGAAAAACTGAAAACAAATAAACAACAACAACACGATTTTGTTGTTTTCAAGATTAATTTTTTCCCCTTCTTTTTATTTTTCTCGAAAAAAAAACTGCTCTATGTTTTGTGCAAACTTTACTTCCCTAAAGTGCTATCTCATAAAAACATCTGCCTATTAAATCGTTGTGTGCATATCTAACACCTGTTGCTCGGGCCTATTTGATTGTTTATCGTATTGTTTTAGTTAGCGTATATTATTTTACCCTTTCGGTTATTTTTGCGATTATATTAGTTTACTATTTTCTCGCATTTCCCATGTTGAAATATTTTTTTGATTTCAGGAACGGGTCACGTCTCAAAACAATACAAAAATGACTTCGTTTTTCGATTTCTCCAAACCAAAAATGTTGGACATGAAAAAGAAGATCAATTTTATGACCGTCTCCGAAAAGCCAGCCGCCGAAGAGCAACAGACATTGGTCTCATCAAATCCATTTATCACTCCAATGACCGAAAGTACACCCGGTATGTCTATCCAAATCAAAAACCCCCGAATTTTTCAATGATTTAGGTATGTCAGAATCATGGGTTGAACTTGCGCCAAGTCGAACAAGTCTTTGCAGTAGTGTTGATATTAATATGGTTATGATCGATGAAAAAGACAAGGATTCAAGATTGAGGTATTTATTTATTATTTTATGAATTCAAAACAAAAAGTTTCTTAATTTTAGCCCAGTTTCAATGCAATCACCACATGTAGAATTTGAAAGTTTGGAACAAGTGAAATACAAACTTGTTCGCGAAATGCTTCCACCTGGCAAAAACACTGATTGGATTTGGGATTGGAGTAGTCGCCCGGAACATTTGCCATCGGTCACCAAAACTGTTCGCATGCGTCAGTATGGTTCAAATTTGACAACACCACCAAATTCACCAGAACCTGAATTGTATCACTATGTTCCAATTGAATCCGAATCGCTTTTCAATGTTCGTGTAGTTTTCGGATTCATCGTCTCAAACTTGTTCAGTTTTGTGGTTGGAGCAGCTGTTGGGTACGTTTCTCATTTTTTGCTGTGTTTCTAGTTCAATATTGATTGGATTGTTTTTCAGATTCGTTGTTTGCCGAAAATTGACCAAACACCGCGAACTTTAAAATCGACGCAGCTCGTATATGTATATAATTTTGAATTTTTCAAATCAATCAACAAATCATTCCATAAACAGAAAAATTGTACATAAATTTTCCGACATTCCCTGTCCCTCCCCTTTAAAATGGTTTCTGGTTTTCCTCTAACTTTCCTCTTTTCTGTCTGTTTAGGTATTGATATTGTAAATACAAAGCTTTATAAATAAAAAAAGCAACTATCCATTTCTTCCTCCTACTAAAATAATCGGACCAACGTGGACCAATTGTATATTATTTGTACAACACACATAATTTTTAATTTTCAATTATAATTCATTTATAATGTAAATAAAGCTATTACTAAATAAATCATGGAATAATTATGCAAAGTGAAACAAAACTCAAGCTCAGATATTTTATCTGTGATCCTAATCAAAAAGCCTAACATTAAAAATATAAATAAAATGAATTTAGAGACCTTTATTGAAATAAACGCGATCGCCTTTAATATCTTTCAATTTCTCATAAGCTTCTGGCTCGAATCGTTTCAAAGTCGAAAGTTTGATAGAGTTCTGTTGTGGGAACAATGCACAACCAATTGGAATCATTGCACCGTAACTGAAAATTTAACAGGAAACTAAATTAATTTCCGTTTTTCTGAAAAACTTACATCACAAATGTTAAAGCAAGTTGAGTTGGAATGTTAAGTTTATTGATATGTTTTCTGAATGTTGCTACTTTGTTGAGACCTTCCATAATAACCGGAGTTAAGACTGTAAGTTTGAATTAGAAATTTGGTTTAGAGTTAGTGATAGAATTTCAAACTTACTCATGCAAGGAGCTACAATAATGTTTCTAGAGAGAACGACTAGAGAAATTGCTTTTGCGGCAGCTAGTCTTGAAATACCCACTGTATTTCCATCTTCATCGGTGACACTCATACCATTCTTGAGCTCGCTGCAAAATGAAATAAAGAAATTTAGAAATGAAGGTTTTTCTGTTTCAGGGTTTTTTGAATGTTTTATTGTTCTTCTGAATTCTGTCGGTTTCGAATTATTTAAAACACTTTCCAAGTTTCAAAGTTGAGGAATTTCAAAATGGTTACATTTGTGAACAGGTTTTGGTAGGAAAATCTAGATATTCTTGAAACCGAAAAGACAATTCGTAATTTGTAGTTTGAAGAACACGACCCTCACTATTTCAGAAACTTCAGGAATTTTTTCATGAGTTATTCGAAAGTCTCTTCAACATCAAAATTGTTTAAATTCATCCAACCTATCATTGAGATTGTCATACTGTTTGTAAATACTTGATTCTTTCTAACCAATTTACAAATTTTCGGAAGATTCAAAATTAGTGAAGTTCTTCACGAGATTTTTCCAAGTACATTCTTCAAATTTCCATAATTTTTGCGAAAATGTTTTGTGGAACAAAGCGTTGATCGAATCAATCAACACATCTGACAAAATAATTTGCATTCCCTGCAAAATTCGATACACCTCAACATGTTTTCCCATATGAAAAGAATCATAAAAATTTGTTTACTTTTGTCGCATCATTGGAATATTGATCGCATTTGCCACAGCAACAGCGCCCAATGGAACAAGTCTCTGCGCCAATGGGCTACTTTGTTTCTTTGCAAAATATGTTTTTAAACCAATCGCCATTCCAAGTGCTCCAGAAACAGCTGTCGAATAAGACATAACAAGATCCTTTGTGGTTAGAGTACTTTTAGCATTCCGGTTTGTATAATTCACCAATGCGTTAAACGATTGATTTGCCCATTGCCAGAAAATGACGGCAGGTGTGGATTTGTACCTGAATGGTTATGGGATGATGATTATTCCCAAGAAAAATCAATAAATACTCACCAAATCATCATAGCTCCACATAACATAGTTCCACCCCAGACATTGAAGCACATTCGACCAGCGAAGTTTTGCAATTCTCCAGTGTCTGGATGGAAAGCTGATTGATAAAGGCATTGTGCACGATGAAGCTCTTCGAGTGTTGCAGGTGGATTTTGTTTTGCTCTGATGTAAGAAATTTTTATTTTAATTGAGAACAACTACATTTTTCTCATTAAATGAGTTATTAGTAGGGGTTTGGTTACAATTTCTCAATTTAAAAAATTTTTCAGTAAAACTTTCTTGATATTAAAATTATTTGAAACTAGGATATTCACGTTCTTGAGTTTCTGATAGATATTCGATTTTTTGGATCAAGTTTGTAACATAAGAAGTGATTGTTTGATTTTTCGAAAGTGCAATGAACAACTGTTCAAAACTTCAATGGCCGTTAATTGGTAACATTTATCAGATTAAATTTCTCATTCAAAAACGCACGAAGGTTTTGAATAAACACAACCATTTTTAGCAAGCTTTCTACAATTTTTGTAATAAAAAATATTGCAAGCTTGATGAAAGATGATTGCAAGATGGCGATAAGACATTTTTCAACAATTTCATTGTTTTTTCTCACGAATTTTTGACCGAGAATCTTGGAAAAATGTAGTTTTAGATAAATTTTGCAAATTTTTATTTTTTCAGTTATATTTTAATAGTTTTTTTTTCAATCGCAGTATGATAAATAAAAAAACAAACCTGCATTGTTGCATCAAATCCGACGCTTTCATCAATTCCGAAGTCGACGAAAATGCAATCATCGGATCTGTCATACCAGCAAAATGCCGTAATCTTCCATAAAAAGTAGATTGATCATAACGTGGACGATCAGGGTCAAACGACATTTTTCGTGAAATATGAGCAAAAATGAGAGCAACCACGTGTGCACCTCTTGAAAAATGATTGCTTTTGTGTGAGAGAAATGTTTTGCTCTTGCTTTTTTTGAAGCAGGAAGAAAAAAAGATAATCGAATTGAGACTTCCAACAATTTTCAGACACACATAAAGCATAACACAAAAATATGTTATAAATGTAAAATATTTATCTATTTGGTGAAAAAAAATATGAAAAAAAAGAAAATTATAAGCACACGAATACTTGATTTGTTTTGGTAAAAGCAAGAAGGCATAATGATGATTATCTAAAATACACAAAAAATGGAAGAAGATGAACACAAACACAAATCCCTGGTGGAATAAGAGAAGAATAAAAATGAAATGAATAATTTCTACACATTATTTGACTTTTTTTTTGACTAAAAACCGAACGGTATCATAGCACCGAAAAAATGAATGGAAATGGGGGGAAATGGGATGGAAAAATACAATTTTGTCAGTAAATTAACACACATATGAGAAAAAGCAAGAATTGAATCATTTCCTAGACAAAACGCTTTACAGATCCGTAGCTGTTGATATCAATATATCAATGGCAAACGCCCAAAAAATCAATCATTTCTGAACAATTTTTTAGATCAACTTATTGACAGATAAAACATTTGTATAAAGATTATAACTGATGAATACCCAATATTTTGATTTTTATAAATTAGAGTCGCTATTTTTTGACGATTAGATTTTGAGCGAATGAGTATGGGGAAATGGGGAATTTGTGAGTAAAAGTTAATAAAATTATTAAATGATCATATAAAGTTTTTTTTATATCATTTTATGATGCATAGGCTTGTCCAGTAACATTCGAATTACTCTTGTTGCTATTGTATGGACAAACATAGTTGGATGGGAAAATTCCGCGTCGATTGTTCAACATCCCTTCCCACCAATTTGCGTCGTCTTTGTTTTTCACTGAAAAGAAACAAAACATTATTATTGAATTCAGTTGGATTGCGTGTCAACTACCTATTAAATTATTTTTTTTGCGTGGTTTTTAGTACAAACATTATGATTTCATTTTGTGTTCACTAATCTGATGGAATATTGAAAATAATAGAAAGAAAAAACAATCTCGCGTGGGTTTTTTCTCGGTGTTCAATAACAACTTTTTCTTTGTGATTTGTGGTTATTGAATTTGAAAAAATAATAGACTAAAGGTTTCTTGATCTTTTGAGAGCGTAAAATGGTAAGAACAACTCATTTGATTTTGTTTGATTGAAAAGGAGCTTAAAAGTGATCGGAAAACTACTGGAAACGTTTGTTTTCGGACTTATTCTTTCAGTAAATTTTGAAAACTCTGCACTGTGATTTTATGAAATGTGGCCATTTACATGATATTGATTTAATATTCAATTTCGAACCTCAAAAAAAACTGTGCTTGTTGTTTTGAAACAGATCTAACAGAACTTTCAAAATGTATATTATTTCTAGCAATGCAGAAAAATTATGGATTGTTTCAATTCAGTCAAAACGTGTGGTAGTTCATTCTCAGGAATCGAAATTTATTTGACTTCATTCAGGATGCTTGTCAGGTAACCAAACCAAGCTCTTCGGCCCAGTTTACAAAATATTCTAGTCTCTATTTGCAAGAATTTTATATTTTTCAATAAATATTTTCCCATCTCAAAAAACTCACATGTGATGACATCTCCTCGTTTGAACGCAAGTTCTCCTTGCTCCTGTGGGTTGAAATCAAACAAAGCTTGAACAAATACAGTTTCGACAACCAAATCTTGCAGTAAAATTGTATGAGTTCGTGAGACAGATGCAGTTCGATGATATTGCACAAGTTCATTCAACGATTTGAATTTCACCACCCATAGATAATATTTACCACCTTGATCACGAAGAACTTTAAAGTGTTGAACAGTATCTTGAAATCTGAAAAGATTACAAATAAGTTGACTCATTTTTATTTAAAAAAAACAAAATAAACTCACTTGACACTAATCGAAAATTCACCAGGACTACTTTCACATTGTCTAACAAGAAAATTGCCATCTCTAACAGTTGGTTTTTTCAAAAGCTCTTCAGCGTCATTTCGTGTGATTTTTCCGAGATACCTGTAGAGGATTGTGTAAATAATTGAGAAAAAATAAACTTTGGCCAAAAAATGAAACTCACCAATTACATTCATTCATTCTGATATAATTTGATGGAATAAACCCTTCATTTCCTTCTAGTTCAGCTTTATACCAATGAGGATCTTCATCTTTATTCAATATCTGAAAAAACATCTAGTATGTTTTAGCACCTATGTGCACTGTCAAAAGGGTCTTGTTGTGAGATTGTATTGGTGGAACATTTGATACCACCAAAACAGTGCACAACAAACTTTTTACAGGATCTTTTAGTATAATTTGAAGCCACGTTTTGACAAATACTAACCTTTAATACATCTCCGCGTCTAAATGACAATTCATCTGGTGTACTGGCATTGAAATCATGTTCAGCAAAGGCTTCCATTTAGGCCTTTTTATTTTGAACCTTTAATAATGGAAAATACTAATAATCGTGTAGTAGTAATAAAAGAATGACCAAAATAATAATATATAACTAGAGAAACACAAACAAATAAATGCCTGTAATCGAAAAAAGCGAGAAAGTAGTCGTCATATAAAATGTGTTCACATACACGCTGACATGAAAATGCACACAAACATAATCGTTTCCCCTTCTAACTAACCTAATGTTCTTATTTGTTTTATTAACCTATCCAAAAAAAACTAAAAACTATATGAGATGAGATTTTTTATATGAATAGAAGAAAACCGATAGATTTTGAAGATTTTGTTGAAAAAAAAATGACAAACAAAATAAAATAGTAAGGCGATAAGAGGAGTGTCAACAGAGAAAAGGCGGCGGTTGAAAGATGACTAATACAACAAAATATGGTTGTTTCTTTTGATTTACAAGAAATTGATAGGTACATACGTTGAAATTTAGTTGTATCCTTGACAAAATCCTAAAGGTGTAACATGAAATGCAGTCATGCATAAACTTGAAATAGCAAAATGAGAGAAAAAAGACGGTTCAGTGGCTAACGATTGTTTTTATTATAATTATTGGAATAAATTCGTTAGATGAGGTTTTGTTTCAATATAAATTATAAATGAAACAAAAACAACAAGAAAAAATATTTCGAAATAACGAAAAAACTTTTGAAGGATAAAAATCTGAATGAATCATCATAATAAATCAAGAAAAAAAGAGAGGGTGGGGACACAAAACTAGGAGGCCTAAATATTTTGTTATCTTGATCAAAATATTTTTTTTGTTTATTTGAAAAATTCTTATATGTATAATTTATGCAAAGAATGAGAACATTTGGGAGATAAAAGGTTTGGGAAATATCGAAAAAAAAAACTAGAGAGAAAGAAAAAAGCAATTGTGACCACCTGTTGACGAAATCGGATTATGGATCGTATGAGAGAAAAAAAAACGAGACGAATTTTTTTTGGCTGTTGCAAGTTGTTTATGGTCAAGGATTAAATGGAGACCCAGCATTTTTTTTCCTGATAAAAAAAGAGTCGAAAAATTGGATCCGAAGAAAAAAAACGAAAAAATGCAATATATTGGATTGATAAGACACACAAAAATGCGTTTATCAATGTCGAGAGGGAAATTGTCCAAATATTGATTAGACATACTGAATCATAAATAGATAATGATTGCTCATGAATCTATTTGTCGAAAAAACATTTTAAAAATTTAGAGGAAAAATGTTGCTTATTTGAAAACTTGATTTATATCGAGAAAAAATTAGGAGAAATGCGTCACTTCAAATTTGTCACAAACAAATGTTCAACTCACTCACTCTATTCAAAATTATGTGAAAAACGAGAACCAGCCGGTCGATTGGTCACTAAAATGTTTTTTTTCGTTGAACCAAACCTTGGTGTAAAAAATCATCAGCAAGATGATTTGAAAAAGATGAAAAAATCTCACAAAGAAAAAAATGTTTCGAATTTCGAAAAAAAACACAGATAATCACTTTTTGTGATGATACTGATCGATTCATTCAATGAACCGAGAAAAAAGAAAAAAAACCCATTTCGAGAAATATTGTTTTTGGAGAATGTTTGAAATCCATTTGGTGTGTAAATATATATATTTATGTGTACGAATAAGGTTGGAGAAAAAGGAGCGTGGCTAGTGGTTGAACGGGAAAAAAAACGAGGAAGAAGAAGATGGACTAAAATAAATATATGTAGAGTAGTATGGTGAGAAATTATTTATTGCTCATACACCGCATTTTTTATGAACTCCTACATTTTTTTTTTGATCTAACGGAATAGATTAATGAGGTTTGAGGAATTTTGGACACAAAAGAAAATTATTCAAAGCCGATTATTGTGTGATGTAAGATATTTCTACGCTATTCCAACATGTTCAGGAGTCTGAAAAAATGATATGGAAGAGACAAAAAGATATTGAATTCTTGCGTGATCTACAGTGATCTACACTATTGGGTCTAATTTAAGATTTTAAATTTTCCCAACATCAAAATTTAGAGATTTTTAAAATCCTTCTATCAGAAGCTCATCACTCTCGTCAGCCTTGTGATGATTTTTTAAATGAAAAATTCAACATAATTATGATTTCAGATTTAAGATGTTCCCTGTATTTTTTTGATGTACATATTTTTCGTTTTTTTAACAAGTAATCGTATACAAAAAAACATGAAATTTTGTACTTTTCTACGCACGAGCATTAGCTTCTTCCTACGTTTTATTACGAATTTGTTATCATTGATGTATATTATTTTCAACAAACGTTTTTTGAAAAATGACGGTTACTTTGAAATGCAGGTGTTAAATAGTGAAATATGTATTTTGGAAAATAACAATTTCACAAAATCATATGGAGGTGAAAACTTCATTCTCATCTTTTTTTAGAAAAATTTTTAAACAAATCTTTAACATGATTTTTGAACAATAAATTCAAATGTGCCCTTTTTCTCAAATTGAGGAAGTATATCAAAAAGTTTGCGATTAATTGAATATGTGTGTTCTTTGATTCGAATCAGAACAAGATTTGGCCCCGACATAAGAAAGATGCAGTGCACTCACTGCATAATCAATAAATGTAATGTCTATGAGAAAAAATGAATACGCTTTAAATGAGAAAACAGAGCAAATAATTGACATCATAATGAGCAAAAAAGAAGGAAATTTGAAATCGAGAAGGCAAAAAAAGCTGTGAGTGACCATTAAGCTTTTTTAGAAGCTTGACACACTAATCTACCGCCTAAACCATATGGCAGCATGACTTGTCAGAATAAAAAATGCACGTGGATATGTGTGCATAAAGATGTCGAAAATACAGAAGATGAAGGGGGAAGGGGGAAAGGGTCAATAGATAATACATTTTTGTTTGATGGACACCGAAACCGACTGCCGGAATTGCGCAATTTCCTCAATGTTTTTGTTTGTTGCGAAGACTCTTCAAAAGATGCTGAATAATAAAAAGCACAACAAAAAGATGATTGATTGACTGAATGACTGGATTAATCCTTAAAATTTTAATAGAAACTAGCTAAACATGATTGATGCTTTTTCTTTTAAAATGAAATTAAAGTCAAATAAATCAAAACACAACATTTTATACAAATTTGAATTATCCGTCCGAGTGAGTTCATACTGACGACATGTTTTTGGCACAGGGATTTGCGTCAATCTTTTTAGACTTGTTCTAATCTCCAACAGAACACATATTCAGCAAACATGCTGAAACATATTTATACGAAGCCCTTTCTCTCTTTTTGTTCAGCTTCCTGAATATTGAGTGTCTATTCAATTTATATTTCTTTCAAAAAAAAACCTAAAATAGACTGCTGGTTCATCTCATAAATGTGATGTCTTGTCAGAGAAACGTGAGGAACAAGATCTTATATTATATTAAGAATAAGTGGAATTTAATTCAATTTTTCATGTTTCTCTGGGTTTTCTCACATTCTTTTTGGATTCTTTTTTAGTTTCTCTTTTCCCATTTTTTTTTCTAAAAATAAAATATTTGGTTTCATCTGGTTGCACTGTAGATTTTTTCCCATAAAACGAACAGACATCTTCTTCTTCGTCTTCTTAACGAACGCTAAAAAAACATCCAGCTGTCCCGTCGTCTATATAAATATGGTTTCAAATTTCTGTCTATATGTATGTACATATATTTTCAAAAATGTCTAGCTCATTCTGTACACCAGAAATCTCTCAAATGTTGATTTTCAAACGTAAAACGAGAAACTTGAGGATTTAATTATATCTCTTCTAGGTATTGAGTTTTTCGTCGTCTGCTTGAAAAAAAACTTACCATAGAGTGTCTAAAAGTTCAATGGGATTTACTATACGAAATACAATTTCGAATAAAAAAAATTACTAAAAAACCACCAATAAATATTTATGATGTAAATCGGCGTAGTACCTGCCTGATACGTATTTTGACGCCTTTTTTCAGTGAAACACTCAATATTCATTGAAGAAGAAGAAAAAACGAGCAGAAGAAGAAAAAACGCGAGTCTAGACGGACATCCGGAGAACAAGTTCACAGATGAACATGTTCCCATTCCTTTTTTCTATTTTGGACAGAAAGAAAGAAATTCTCTCATTCTCTTTTTTGCCTTCTTCTTCTTCTTTTTGCTCAAATAAATGTTTATGAGATGAATGAACATCTGAATTCTTTAACTCGAATATGATTTAATATTCAAGCTAGAATAAACATTCAACTATTCAGTTTTGATCAAAATTCAGAGGCTGTCTAGACGTTTTTTTCTTCCTGTGTGGCCATCAAATGCAGGTGTTTCAACCGATTTCTCTCAATAATTATAAGGTGTTTCAGCCGTCGTACTGAACAACTTTTTTTTCAATATTTTTTACTGCACGAAACTCCAAAAAAAAACCTACCGTAGCCCGATTTAGGGGCGTGACACACATTATTTCTTAAAAATGAGACCGCCCGTTTTTTTCGCCCGCCCTGAATTCACACTTTCAATTTCATTCATTCATTCATTCTGACAACTTTTCCATTTTCAGCAATGCTCTCTTTCACAGTCGCTGAATACTTGGCTAATTCAATTGTTCCATTAGAACCCTTCGAGTTGAGAAGCTATACACTTCTTGTTGGAACCATTGATCACTCGCAAATTATTCCAAGTTTGCCTGATTTTTTCAATGAGACTCAAAAGAAACTTCTCTCCGACCCAAAAGTTGTCGAAATTTTGAGAAGTATGGATGGTGATACAATTGTCACACTTTTTGATTCTCTTCCGAGTGAAAATAATGAACTCGTATGCTTTCCTGATCGATATTCGGGAACTAAAAATGTCATTATTGTTCCCGATTTTTGGATTTTGAGAAATCGAAAAACTTGTTTGATTTGTAGAGGATCTCGAAAACGAGCTCAGAACAGCCGAAATGGCAGTGATCGAGTAAGTTTGATATTCAGAAGTCAGTACAAAATCTATTTTCTCAATTAGCAATCCGACGGGCCAGCAGACAGTGCCGATTTCACACTTTTGTCTGAAGCCGAAGAACAGGACGAAGATTCACGTTGTGAATGTTCACGATTGTCCGATGAACCTGACCAACTTCCAGAGCCTGTTTTTGACATTGAAGGACATCATCGAAGAATCAATGCTGAACGAAGAAGACGCAGATTATTGAACGAACACAGACCACCAATCTCACGTCAGGTGAATCATTTTCTATTTGATTAACAGAAGCTTCATTTTAATATTTCCAGCGAGCTGAAACGCCAGAAACTCCGGAAGGATTGGAACAAGAAACTGAATATCTTCCAAGAGAAACATTGAAACAAATCAAACGAGAACTTGTGAGCCAAAACTTGTATTTCGAAGCAATTTATCGCTGGCAAAAAACACCAGAAGAATTGGATGTAAGCGAGATGAAACTGTGATTTTGAAAAAAACATTGAACTTTCAGGAATTTGGTCATGTCAGCATTCATCTTCGAAAAACTCTTACCAAAGTTTTTCAAGACGCATTCAACACTATTCCTGATTATGACGAAGGGTTCTACATTGTTGAAGTGTTGATTCCATCGTAAGTTAACACAACTTTCTAATATTAAGAACATTAAAACAATAAAGTGTTTGTTTTTCAGATACAACAAATCAAATCGTAAATGTCAAATCAACGTTCCAGTCAAGATTATCAAAGAGCAACAAGCTTAGACAGCCAAAACATACATAATTCTCCCCAATTTAATCTTAATCCACTTTATTTTGATTTTCTTTTTTAAAAATTACAATACAATTGATGTTAGTTAGACAATCTTGAATAAAATTTTGGGGCAGCAAATTTGGTTACTAAAATTCACGCACAGCATGTTTTTGTTTTCATTCATAGGGTGATCATACAAAAGTAATGTTAATAGTAATAATCGGGTAAGTTAGTTGAGATACATTTCAAGTTGATTTATACAAATGGAAAGAGGAAAGAAGTATTGAGGGTATGAAATTAGGCACGTTCTCCACGGATACGTCTGGCCAATTGAATGTCTTTTGGCATAATGGTGACACGTTTGGCGTGAATGGCGCAGAGATTGGTGTCTTCGAAAAGACCGACGAGGTAGGCTTCAGATGCTTCTTGAAGAGCTCCGATGGCAGCAGATTGGAAACGGAGATCAGTTTTGAAGTCTTGAGCTGAAAAATTACAACGTTAAAGATTTTCCATTAATACCTGATTTTTTACAACATACCTATCTCACGAACCAAACGTTGGAATGGAAGCTTGCGGATCAAAAGTTCGGTGGATTTTTGATATCTTCTGATCTCACGAAGAGCAACAGTTCCTGGACGATATCTATGTGGTTTCTTGACTCCACCAGTGGATGGTGCTGATTTGCGAGCAGCTTTGGTGGCCAATTGTTTTCTTGGAGCCTTTCCTCCAGTTGATTTACGGGCGGTTTGCTTGGTACGAGCCATTATTCACTGCAATAATACTGTTTTTTTTTCAAATTAAAATTGAAGTTTTATTTATGCGAAAAACACCAACGCGCGACATTGAGAAAATCAATAAACGCGAGCGATAGAGGAAAAAATAAACCGCGACGCGCTAGCCGCGTCGCAAAAGATTATTTGGATGTTTGCCAAGTATTTCTGAAAAAGGAAGCTCGAAAAAATAAAATAAAAATGGTTTTTGTCACAGCCCTAAACATTTCTAAAAAAAACTGAAAATTAGTGAAAAGTTTTGTAAACTCTAAAAAAAGCAAGAAAAATACATTTCTAAAGTTTTTGGAACAATAGCTTTCTCTTTGAAGAAAAAACAATTTTCGTTATGCGAAATGCTTTTCTAAATAAAATATGAGTGGCAGAGTGAAAATGCTACGGGAAACGATATAAAATGTTTGCTCATATAAACATACAAAAATAAATTTCACAAAAGTATACGAATTATGTGAAAAAAAAAATGAAATTTACAACAAAGAGTAATCGAGAAGAAAAAAAGCGGGTCAGCAAGCAACTTGTTGTTATGTTAGAGATGCAGACACTAACACACCCAACACTTATAAATAAAATCGCGCCTTCGTTTCGAGACCTCGTGGTTTGAACACACAGATGTTATATGGGAAAAAGAAAAAAGAAGATGGGTATAATTATCTGAAATGTGTAACAAATTGTGGAGCTTTGTATTTACAAGAAGTAAGCGCATGAAAATTTTGAAAAATATGTTGGTATGAAAAACATGGTGTTAACTGGACTATGTTACTGATTTTGATCATATTGAATTTCTGAAAAGTAAACACATTGAAACTTGTTAAAATTAAAAAATCTGAATTAAAGGTTTTTACCAATTATGATGTCTGAATTCTATGTTATTGTTTTTTCGAGTATACAATAAGAAGGTGCATATGCAAATCAAAATATCCAATTGTTTCTCAAACATCAGATTTTGTTGGGCTGAATTTTCAGACAAACCAAAGAAATGTAAACCTATGATCGTGGCAACCGGATTTACTCATGCTTTTCTCGGTTTTTGAACTCTCCGAGCATCTATAACTCAAGTACAGATATTTTCCTAATTTTCAAAATACTTTCTTTATCGCTAATTTCCCAGATTTCTAGAAAAAACTTTCTTGATCAATTCTTGAAGAAACATTTGTTTTTGGAATTTATATTTTATATTTTCTTGTATACAAATTTTCAAACTCCATTCCCCGTTTTTCGGTAATACAAAACCCATTTTCCATTGATATATAAACACAAAATTATAAGTATTTTTCGAAGAGAATTAGAGAAATAAACGCATAGTTATATCTAATAGAGAATTAGAGAAAAATCAGTGCGAGACCCATTTTTCTGTCCCTGTCATTTTCTCAACTGCAGGAAAATAAATATTATAGAGGAGATGCTTTTTGATAGGAATGAGACATGAAAAAATGAAAATTTGATTTATCTTTATTTTTTGAATATCAAAAAGTGCGAGTACATGTTAATATAACAAAATATGTGAAAATATATGAATTTTGTGCCGTACTGAATAGATTCGTTTCATAAAAAAGGTACAAAGAGAGAGAGAGGGAGAAGGGAAATCGAAATAAGATCAACAACATTTGGAGATCGAGTGTATGCATAATTAATTATCATCCAACAAATCAAAACGATTTTTGACTTGAATCTTGGGCTTCTCTTCTTCGATTGCCCTTTTTGGAGTTGTTTCAACTCTCGAGTTCGATCTGTAAAAATATGATTTTTCAATACAATTTGTGACGAATCCACTTACGGTTTTGGAACAACCCATTCGTTTGTTTTTTTCTTCGAAGTTTTCTTGGTTTCCTTAACTACCTTTGGTTGTTCGACATATTCCCTGAAAATAGAAAAGTAATTAGATTTGTTTAAGAGTGAGATAGAAATTCATACATAGCATCAAAATACTCCTCATCGTCAATTATTGTTCTAATGACAACTGGATTGCTATTTTGTATTGGGAGAGGAGTCGAAGACGATGGAGATCTGAATTTTTATTTTTAGAAAAATCCAGCAATGTATTGTGTTTAAGAACTAACTGATCAATTTCAACATTTTCGTTTTCAACAGTTTCTCTTTCCAAAGCAACTTGAGTGTTGGTACTGAAAAAAATAAATTTTTTTGAATTTTTTGTTGCACTGGTATACCTTTTTATTTGCACGTTGTTTTGATTTGCAATTTGTTGTTTGTCTTGATTTGCTTTAGCCTTTTCAGCAAATGTGATCCTGGTATTTTCAATAGTTGTGCTAAAAAAATTGAATTTGATCTAACACTTGGAATAGTTCAACTAACCAATTTGCAATCGAAGTGATTTCACTTGATGTATCATTGCTCGAACCAAACATCGGAAAGCTAAATCAAAAATTGTTTCAGAATATTAAAAAACAATATTGAAACATACTTTTCTTCTGTGAATGACGGTGGCTTTCCACTTGTTTCACCAGTTTCACCAGTTTCAACATCCAATTCACTTTTATTCTCTTGCACTGAACAACAATCCGATATTCCTGTGTCACTAGAGGATCGTTTTTCAGTGCTTGGTCCGGATTGGAATCTATCAGCCGTTGCAGGTTGCATTCCTTCAGTTCTTGGAACCAGTTCATCATTTTCTAAAATTAAATATTTTTTCTTAATTGATCAGTTTTGAGTGATAATTACTAGATTGTTTGAAATATATTGAACTTGAATTATTTAAATTTTTTTAATTTCTTACCATTGAATGCAAGAAGAGATGCATTTGGTTTTTTCTGTAATGTTTGGGGTTGATGAACGTCATTGAAGCCATATCCACGTGATATTATAGAATCTGTTAATACATTATTGTGAGGTAAAACAGGTTGCTCTATATAGAATTGATTACCAATCGGACCACGGATTGATTGTTGTAAGTGTCTATAAGCTTCGCCTGAAATAGAAACGTTTATTGATACATTTGTAAATTGATATAATTGTAAACTCACTGGTCATTATTGAATTTTGAGGAACTGAATCATTGTTTGTATAAACAAATGGCGGTGTTGGAGTAGGCATTTGATATGTGGGAGGTCCCATATTTTGTTGCAATGATGGAGGTGGATAGGAAATATTTGGTGAGGTGACATAAACTGGTGCAAAAACGGGTTGATTTTGAACTGTTTGATAGTATCCTAAAATTATTTTTTTTCGGAAAGTTGTTATTATTGATAGACGTTTACCTTGAGGAGTTTGATTCTGAGGTTGATAATACATTTGCATTTGAGGTGCTGAAAAAATCATCAAAACTTATGATGACAAAAAATTTCAAGAAGGATTATTAATAATTTGTCTTTTATGATACATTTTTATCTTGTTTTCAAGTTCAATTTTTGTCTTAAGTTTTTGTATCTTGAGTGCTAGAAAATCAAAGTTCACGAGATACAAAATCAGAAAAATGAAACAGAAAAAAAAATAGGAAAAAAAATTCTAAAAAACCAATGTTGCTTAAATCTTCTTATCTATGCTCAAACAAATTGTCTGGAGTTGTGTTTTAGATATTTCGGAAGGTCGTGAAATTATCTTCAAAATGGTATCAAAATCAAGAAATTTCACATTTCTGTTTTTCTGTTAGAGATGAACGATTTCAAGGCATGTTTATGAGGAAAAATCATCGATTTTTCAATAAAAAATGGATTTTTTCCTGAAAAATAGTGTGGTACTTACCTTCTTGGTTTGGTGAAGTAAAGTAAGACATTTTTTGGCCGAAGTTTGTTTCCGGATTTGTAAAATGTGATAATCGAACGATCTAAAGAAAAATGAAAATATTACAAGATAAAACACGAAGAATTTTAAAACAGTAAAAATCCTGAACTTAAATTTATGAAACATTTAAAATTAAAGATTTTTGTTCAGAAATAAAGTTTCCAAAAAAGATTAAAAAAAAGAAAGCTCTCTCAAAAAAACAGAAAAATGATAAATGATTTTATGAATAGGAAAAAAAGTAAAATAATATCACCATCTCCTAATTGGATTTCATGAATTTTTAATAAAAAATGAGATTTGGAGGAAATAAGTTGGAGACCCCGTGTTCAATGTATCAAAGTATAAACATATATGTACCAATTGTGAGAAAAAACAAATTTGAAAATACAAGCGTCTCAAAACATAAATGAAAAACACCAAAGGTTTCAGACGAAAATCAATGAAAAAAAATTTCGACTATGGTTCTCATTGTGTTTTAGGATGACAAGTGACAAGCTGAAATAAATTTTGCAATTTCAATATCGCGTAATGTCGACGTCACCCAAATTTATCCTTGTTGTAGGTACACGAAATGAGTCAATTCGTCATGATTTCTGGGAATCTAATAAATAATTTGTTTTTCGAACTACTTCTGAAAATCATTATTGCAACTTTTGGAAAATATTATACAAATTAGTTTTTCTAGAAAATTTGTATTTCATGTGGATAAGTACTCACACATAAACATAAACAGTTTCAAAATAGAATAAAAACAAATGGAGTTTCATATTTCTGAAACTAAAAATTATCAAATACACTTTCCCATTAATTTTATACCCAACAGACTCTAAAACACACGCAATTTATTGTTCTTTGTTTTGAAAATATTTCATAGTACAAATTTTTGTGACGCAATTACCAAAGTCAGCAAAACTACGGTCTATTTAAATAATTTTTGAAAAATTCCCTTCTGACATGAATTGCATCTTTCACATGCGTGTTACGTGCAAAATGACAACAGACACGATTTTTTGAAGAACTAGGAAATGATAACTCTGAAATATTATTTTATAAAGGACTTAACAAGTTTTGTTCCAAATTTTTAAAACTATTGAAAATTAAATATATAATAAATAGTTTAAGAGTTCTGATTGACGTTTATTCTGAGCTCAAACTTCACCAACGTTTGTTTGCCTCAGTTTTTAATGATAGCTTTGCAAAACTCCCCCACTGACTTTCAGTTCTCATATGATTGTTACGTGCAAGATGATATACTTGAAATTCAAATATTTCTCAACTTTTTGATGATAATTTTATTTTGACAGAAATGACTCAGCAGATCAGGAACATTTCTAAAAAAGGATTTTCGAATAAAGGCAAATCCGTGATAAGAACTTTTTCTGTTTTTTTTTTGCACATAATAGTTCAGAGTACAAACATTTTTTTGGAGTTTTAAAAGAAATAAAACTACAATTTTCAAATTTTTTGTTTGCGAGTACATTCCGAAAAATTATTGAGAAGCAAAATTTGTTAAATTTTTTCCTAGCTACGTGACTTTTTGTATATTCTTCTGGAAATGTCTTTCACGTGATTGTTACGCACAATATGACATATTTGGATATCACACAATCTCATTCTTCGATTATAATTTTCATTGAAATATATCACTGTGTTTTCTCGAAACTTGATGTGACAAACCAAACATCAAACTATTGGAATCGTAATAAAAAACAATATATCGTGGGGAATCCCATATGATATGTTATCAGTATTTGTTCATCTCTCGCATCATTATTGACTTTTAAAAGTCATCGTATAATACATGTGTTTTTCAATGACAAATCGACAATCAGCGTGGATTTTGACTGAACTTATTATCAATTTGACAAACACCAAAAATTCATCAAACACTCGACTCAACATTTCCTGGACAGATCTAATGATGTTTCAGGTGGTATAAAGATCAAAACAAATGTGGGTGGGTAGAAATGTGTTGTATATAAAACCGGCTGGAATCGTTCATTTTTGTGTTTTGTTTTTTGATTTTCTGAAATTAAGGGTTCAAAGATTGTGTCTGCTTGACAAACACAATTTTTGAAAAAAAAACAAATTGTAGTGTAACTTGCCATTTAGAGTTTAATATAAGAACCCTTTTTCCCCAATTTTTCTGACTGTGTGGTATTGTTCATTTGATTTTTTCCGTTTTTCCAGTTCCAGTGAATAGCCTGAAATTCAGCAGTTTGACGAAGTGTTGTTCTCTTTCTTTAGTTTCAATAAAAAATATTTCAATCATCACTTCAGAGGTCACAAAAAACATCAAAAAGAATAAAAAAGAAGAAATGATACCGGTCTAAAAGTCAATGGGACACAAGAACCGCCTTTTTGACAGATACACATAGATACTTTAAACCCTTACTGTCATTGTTTGCTTTTTCGATACTACTATATTTTCAGAAGACACAAATGAATCCATCGAAATTTCTTGCGTCGACAATCAAAAATGGTGAGTTGAAACAAATATGGAAATGTTTGCCTTTGAGCATTTCTGATGTGAGCATCTGTTTCATTACGTTTTTGAAAAAAATTATATTTGTTTTGGAAATGATTGACAAAAAATTAGTAGTTTTGTTTTAGAATTATTAAATTTTACCATTATTCAAAAAATGCAAATATGAAGTCAAATGAACTTCCTTGGATTGCTATTTTCCACAGTTTCTGATAATCCAAAACACATTTCAGTAATTGGACAACAAATCCGATTCTCCGCTGGAATGGCTGCTACTTTACCCCGAACATCTGGTGTTTATTCGACTGTTGGAATGAACAATGAATCTCCATCTTTGGTGATTTTTGACAAGGACGGTACACTTTTATGTTTTCATACAATGTGGATCCCTTGGGCACAATATGCATCACAGTCTATTGAAAATGCGACTGGAATGAAATTATATCAAGATGTTGCAAAAGTGTTAGGTTTATGTACAATTGAAAACAAGGTGAAGCCTGGATTGTTGGCTGAAGGAACTATGGGTCAAATAACCACAGAGATTGCTGATATTTTGATAAGAAAAGGAATTCCATCTTTTGAGGTATATCATTTTCAATTATTTTAAATGTTTAACTGTTAAATGTTAAGGCAAGAATGATGGCTTCTGATAGTTTAAAGTACTCAAATGAAATGACAATAACTTCTCAACTTGTCAAAGAGATTTATGATACGGTCGCATTGTTCACAAGACTGAAACAACATGGGACAAAGATTGCAGTTTGCACAGCAGATAACCGGTTTGTAATATCATCTTCTTTCATTTTCCAAGTCACAACCCATAATCTGTGATTTAGAAAAAGCTCGATGGAAGCATTGAAACGAATGAACGTTTTACATCTTGTTGATATGGTTGTTTGTGGTGATGATAAGAATTCAAGGCCAAAACCAGACGCTCATAATGCTTTGAGGATTTGTGACCATTTGAATGTCCATCCATCGGTAAATATTCTTACCCTGACTTTTCAAAATCAATAATACTCATTTTTAGGAAGCCATTATGGTTGGTGACACTCGAGTTGATATCGAAATGGCTCACGCTGCTCGACTTGGTTCGGCTGTCGGTGTTTTATCTGGAGTTGGATGCAAAGATCATCTTCATCGCGCCGATGTTCTTCTTAATAATATTGGTGATATCATTGAAGTTTTCTACGAAAAATAGCGATTTTCTTTATAAATTGTAAATTTTTATTTTTTCAAGTTTTTCAGTACTACGTGTAAAAAGACATATACGTATTAATTATGTATACAATTAAAATGAAATAAAACACTTTTTTTTTTGCATTTCATTTCACAATCAATGGAACATGGAAAAAACAGAAGAAACACCGAATGAGCATAAGTAATCATTTTTGTATGAATTTAAAAAATAGACGAATTATTTAGAATTTTGACACTGCACATAACTCGCTGGGAACAATCCGACTTTATTGTTCGATCTTCCTGTGCACCAACCAAGAGAATCTGGATCAGTGAGAACTTCAATCATATCTCCTTTTTTCAGAGGAATCTCATCTCCTTCCGCTGGAGCATAATCATATAACACTAATGCTTGTTTGCTTGTTGTGAATTCTTCGAAATCTCCATATTTTGCAGAATCTGGTGTTTCAGATGATAGAGGTGGTGAATCAGGTGCAGATGCTGAAAAAAACAGTTTCTAGTTGGAAAACTCAAAAACTATTCTAACCTGGATTCCAGCCAATTGGAGGAGCAGTTTGATGATTATTGTTATTATAACTACTTTTATTAGTTGTATTATTGTGTTTTCGACTATCAAAAGTATTTGTATCTGAATCACTGCTACTTTTCGGACTAGTTTTTCCAACATCATAAGTGGTTGTTGAAATAGTTGTATTAACTGCAACTGATGGTAAAGTGTTTGTTGTGATTTGAGTTGCTGTCGCAACCGGAATATCATCACTTTTATTGATTTGTCGAGTTAAGATAACACCACCGGTATCTTTTGTTGACCCACGTGCCGCAATATTACGATGTTCAGGTGAGTATTCCTTAAAAAACAAAACAATTTAATTCAATAAATAAAAATATCAATCATTTTCTCACGTGGAAACTTGGCCAATTACAATGCGCATCAACACCGTTCACACTTGACCATTGGGCAAGATCGCGTTTGATTGAATCAGCATCCGAACTTTTGATTGTTTGTTCGAGTTGTTGATGTAGACCAGATAATCTAGAATTTGATAAATGTCATGTTGAAAAAGGGAAGTGTTTTTGCTATTATATCAATCAGTCAATCTACACACAACTGTTCAAAGAAAAACTGTTATCACGAAAAAAAAAGGGAAAAAAAGATGAAAGAACTTACTGACTACTACGAATCAGTTCGGCGTGGAATTTCTGTGTCTTTGAAACAACGGCAATTAGAAACTGTGACCTGTCAAATTCTTTCTCTTGACACATTTTGAACACATGACTCATAGCTTCAATATATACATTTCTGAAATTAACAATCCATTTAGGGATTGAGAATTTTTGCGGGGTTTCGCTCACTTGTATTCACTCAATTTATTCAATGAAGATTCATAATCTACTCGAGTTTTCTGAACTTCTTCTCTCAATTTTTCATGACGATCTCTGAATTTCGATGCATGATCAGCAGATATTGAAGAATCTGTCTGAGAGTTTTGCAAATTAACCATCGCAGATTTCTCCTGCCGACAAGCACTATAATATTTTGCACGTTTGTCCTCCATTTTATCAATCAACTTTTTCCACGGTTTTTGTGCCTGAAAATTTTATCGTAGAATGAGAATAAGCTCATGAAAAACAAACAATCACATACCTTTTCAAAGAGATCTTCGATTTCTCGAATTTCTTTAGGCCCTTTGAATACCGAGGTGTGCAAACTATTTTTACGGAAATTTGTGGTGTCTTTGACAATCTATAAAACAAGAGGTTATCTTTGAAAATCCACAAAAAATCTCACATCTTCTAGTAGATGATCTTTCAAATTATTGTGTATTCTAGAAATAGCAGACGATTCTCCAATAAGTTCATTCATAACAGTTTTGACACTTCCAGCCGGTATTGTTCTATCAACATGACTTTTCCATTTTTCCGAATATTGTGCCAACATTTTACTATATTTTGCCTCAATTTCCGCTCGTTCTCTGTTCATTTTACAAAAATCATCCAATTGATCAATGCCATCCTGGAAAAAATGATTTACTTATGTATGTAAATATGAATATTGCGGTCACAGATAAAAGATTGTTGTTATCACTTGAAAATGCACGCTTTTTCATTCATGTATAAACAATATGCGTATTTGCACTTTTATTTTAACAAGAAAAAAAATCGATATTTCTTCTGTATGGGTAGATAATAACTTTGAGATTTAAAAAAAAATGTTGCACTTGGAGATTGAAAATATTTTGAAAACATAGTTTGATGTTGAATTTTGATTTTCGTTCCAAGATCTAGGATGTGAAAATCTCAAGAAATAATTTCGGCCCTTTAGACTAACCTTGATCCGTTTTACATTGTGTTTGTAACTTCCGAGCTCCCAGAAACCAGGTGCCAATACATCTGCCGCCATGCTGGAAAAAATATATTATTTAAAAAGAACAATAAATTGTTTGAAAAAAGTTGCAATAGAGAAATGTGCATTGAATTATCGATAAGCAAAAATGTAAAATGTTTTATCAGCTCAAAAAGATCGTTGACAACCAAAATGCAATATTTTTGATTTGACAACGGAAATTGAATTGACATTTTATTTTCCATTCTTCTTGAATGATTGAAAATGGCTCAACAAAACAGAAAAGCAATTTTATGTTTCCCAGGAAATATTTTTTTTGTATTTCCTGGATTTGATATTCACACACCTGTGAGACAAATCAAACAGCCAAAAAAAGTAATTTGTAGCGAAAGAAATACAAAAAAAGAAGAGAGAATGGGAGAAACTAAAGGTAACAATGAATCAGATAAAAAATAATGAATCATTCAAGAGAACATTTTTTCAAATATTTTTGTGTTGCTTGCTTTTGCATGATGAGCTTCCCTCTGGCCTAATCGTCCCAACGCACTTGTGTAAATAATAAAAAACCGGCCTAGCGGTGCGAACAATGTTTTTCCAATCAAAAACAACAACAAAAATATTTTTTGTAACTCATTTTTTGAGCTTTTGAATAAATAAATATGGAAATTTGAATATAACATAGTTTTTTTTGGTTGGGTCAGGTGTTGAATTTCTTTTTGAAAACGGAAAAAGGAGATGTTTTCAATAATGAAGATAAATGTTTTTTTGTCCTGTTGGGAAGAAAAATGAGAATTATGTACAGAGATTTAAAGGAGAAGTAGAATGAGAAATGAGAAAATGAGGAAATATCCTGGCATTAGTGAAAGCTCAAATGGATTTATTATCAAAGTAACTAGGGAAAATCCGATGTGAGTTCTAAAGAGATGAAGATTAACATTACTATACACAATTTTTTAAAAAATCTAAAGAATCTAACAATAAATAAAATTTAACTAGGCCTCATTGACCTTCCTTATTCTATTTATGAATTCATAAATGAATGATTTTCAAAAAAATATACTAGTGTGACAAAAAACCGCAACAAGTACTTGTTAATCCTCTCACATTAAAACAAAAATAAAAGAGGTATTCATCTTCACATCACTGAAAAAACCAGACACAAATGGCAGAAAAAATGACTGTTGTTAATTGTGAACAGTTCTGACGAACGAACGAACGAACGAGGCGAGGCGGACAACACAGCAAACGAAAAAAAAACAGAAAACAAAACAAGGCAATAGATGGGATGTGAAACTGCTCTTGAGGTGGAGCCAAAATGCTCCATCTTCTTTTTCAATCTACTGTTTCTGTTTCTGTTTCTGTGTTGGATGCTGGTGGCGGACACAGTGGGCGCTAGGATGACAATAAGTTGTGCAAACAACAAGTCTTCCGAATTGAGCAGCCCAGTTCATCATGTAAATATTTTGGGCTTCTCTTTTTTTGTCTTCTAACAGCGATCAAAACAAAGCATGGCGAGGCTTAGAATCAAAAGGAAGATTACACGAAGAAACACAAGCTGGTGGCGGTTTTCTATTTGATTATTTGTTTTTTTTTCTTTCTTCTGCCGTTTCTGGACTTTTGTACAGCTTTTCACAATGTTTCTAATTATTCGGATTGAATTGCAAACTAGAGAGAATAAAGATTGAGTTGCAAAATGACAGTGGAAAGATTTTTACATAGGCTGTGAACGAAGATAAAGGATTTTCACAGTTGCTCGTTTGCCACCGATTTTTCTTATTGAAATTGGTGAAAACATTGTTCAAGAAAAAACCTATAAAGTTTGATTTCGAAACGATTTGGAAAATCCAGAATGACAACTTACGAGAAGTTCTCGACCCTCAACCATTTTAGAATAATGTGTACGTTAATATTCAAAACTAAACATTACGGAAGTTAGGAAGTGATGTCTATGTTAAGGTTAAGCAAACGGGAAAAAACAACTTCCGAACTGCTTTCTCGCAAACGAAAATAAATATTCTACACAAAACTCTGATCATTCTAACAAGCGGAAGTTCCTCACATCATCAATTTATACCTTAAAAAACAAATACATTAAAATATGCTAGACTTGATTTTCTTAAGGTGATGAATTTTGAAAATTAAAAAGTGAAGAAAAAAATTAAACCTATCATTTTCTAGCAAAAAATTAAATCAATTTTTTTGAAATCTGAGAAAAATGACCCGGATCATATGATCATACAAACTTTGTTTTTTTGTTCATAGTGTTTGTATAGATCGGATATGAAATATGATCACCGCGTGGACAACCAATTGAAATTAAAAACTTCTGAAGAGTTGCATCCCTACAAAATACTTTTTTTTCAAAATATAAAGTGCAGAAAGATGAAAAGTTGAATGAATATTCACTGATAACATTCATAATAACACGAATGTCTGAATAACACATAATTACCATAGAAAACGAGAATTCATAATTAATTGAGAATAAAATGAAGATAGTGCGATGAAAGTTTGTGTTTCTCATCGGCAAGATAGGTCGGTCACATCGTAAAAATATTCATATCCAAGGTTGAACATGCATATTTGTATATACACATCTTATAAAGGTGTTAATAAAAATTGGTTTCGGAAAAAGTTGAACAAATATTTGGGAGGAAAGTGGGTTGAGGCGAGAACAGATTAATATGAATAAAGTTGAGACTAGTTAGTGACTGATTATAATATTCAGTTTTCGGCGTTTGAATCTCTAGAAACAAATGTTTTTTTTTGCTTCAAATGATGATGAAATAAAGACATTTTTCTCGCTAGCTAGATTCGAAATTTTTGGATGGAAACCGGTCAGTCGTAATCAATCTGGGCACCAAATTGATATATAAATGAAATGAAATAAATGAATAAAGAAAAAAGAGGATAGGAAGAGGAAAAATGAGAATACGGTTATGTGATTGGCCTCATTCGGATGCGGCGTCGGCAAATGCATATTGTTTTGGTGGATATCTCATAATGAAACATAACAACAACAATAAGATTTGGAACTGCCTTATATATGTGAAAAAATATGAATTGGAGATTTTTGATTTATTTACAGATTCTGGTTATTTGTAGAAAATTGGTATAAAGGAATAATAAAGAAAAATTAATTGCGACTTTGACATGTGTAAATAATGATTTTCTTGTTAGGAAAACAACAAATCTGATTTCTGAACACCAGAGAAAAGCAATCATATTTATCAGAATAAGGAAAATCATATTTTTAATTCTGCAAAAAAATTCTGATTCTACCATCGAAAAAAAAACAACAAAAAGAAAAGTAAGTATAATACGTCATTAAGCATACAAATTTGAAATCGGAATGAGAGAAAATGTGAATGAGAGAAATTAGGAAGCAAAAGATGGTCGATTGCGCATACACCCAAACACACAAAAAATAGACACCAGCTGCCAATTTTCTCATTTTTTTTGGTCGATATAATCAACACAAATTTTCGAAATCTTGTTTAATTATAACTTTTTGGAAGGAGTGTGAAATTAGTAATGACCTTGAAAATTAATGAAATAGATACATAATATCTGGAGCAAAAAAAATGAGACTCCACTTTGAACGAATCAGATACCTACAAACCATAAATAAACTTCTATCTGAATGTGAGTTGGTTATGAAAAAAAAGATTTTCTGGATTTTAAATTTCGAATCTTTTCTCCCTTTTTTGAAATGTTTTATTAATTTCCTAGTTAGAAGATGTTTCGCTTTTCAGAAAATAGAAATTTTAGGTTGACACATTTTAGAAATCTTGAATATTGAAGTTTTATGATACTATCCGGTTTTCAAACCAAAAAAGCGTAGAAATAGAACTTACCATGGAGGGGTACACATTTTGCTCTCAATGTTTTATAGATGAATAATAAAGGGTTCAAAACTTGAATCAATAAAACTGAACAGCGATAAAATTGCTATCTTGTCTAATTGTTTTGTGCATGCATTTTTGTACACATTCGAAAGTGTACAAAACTTGAAATGTCTTTTTTGGGTATAATTGTTTGTCTTTCATTTTAAGAAGCAAAGAGAAAAGGATGAAAAAAACGAGAAGAATTCCAGAAACGAGGTGAAACGTTTTGGAAACACACATCGAAAAAATGAAGTGAAAGTTAAAATTAGCAAGGAAGTGAAGTGTTTCTTTTTGCAAGACACCAGAAAAAAACGATATTCTTTGGCGGAAACATGATACCCTAATAAAATGTCATAATACATATTTTTAATAACATAGCAATTTAGAAAGGCATATTACGCAAAAGAGATGCCATCGAACGGTTGACTGAAGGAGAAAACATAACAAAATAGTGAAAAAATATTGAGGAAGAAAAATGACAACTGAAAAAAAACTAGACAGACAACATTAGAAAATGTTTTGTTACTATATGCATATTTTTTCCTATCCTTAAGTGACACTTGATGCCTTATATCATATATAATATGATTCATAACACACAAAAAATATTAAAATCAGAATATATTTGGAAAGACAAGTGACCCTGAATCATGGCACTCAAGATATTTTTATTGTATAAAATATAATTATGTATAATTTTTTGTCTATATAAGTAAAGTTCAGTTTCTAATTTCGACAAAAAAGTGTGAATGAAATGGTAGCTACCAATTTTCCAGTCAGTCACACTTTCAAAACTAAATGAATTGAAATGAGAAAAGAACAGAAAAGTTTTAAACCAGAAACATCAGAAAGTGATTGGAAAAAACTAACGGTGAGAAAGAAGATGTTCATTTCATTTTATTTTGTCAGCTTTATACATGAAATTACCTTAAAAAAAAGAGCGAAACAAGTGGAAAAGACCGGGTGGATGAGTGGTTTGTAATAGGATGAGAAAAGGAAGAAGAGGATGATGAAAAAAGAAAAAGAAGAAGAACAGTATTCGTATTCAAATTAGTAGAAAAGATGAGCACTGCATTGCGACTGTTTAAATAGAAAAAGGAGAGAGCGGGAAAACAATTTGAGCATTGATAGTATAAATATATTAATAAATAACTATATATTTATTCGGAGCATTTCAATTATCAGTTTTCTAATTGATGTGCACATAAGTTGCAATCAACAATATCATTTTTATTTGTCAAAATAGTTGTGAAAAAAATGTATGAAAATGAAACTTTGAACGGGTTAATTTAAAATGGAAACAATTATCTACGGAAAAAATTCAGGAAGTAACTTTTTCGAGAGGAGTAACAATGAACAAGCATGTTGGATAGATTGGGCTTTGACCAGCCAAGTCTGGAAAATATGGACGGAGTCACGGACAGCACACCCTTTTAGTCTCATAATAAAACATCAACGACGAAACACACACACACATTTTTGAGAGAGCGCACTAGTGCGAGACATGCTATTTTTTTCAATAGGGCGCACTTCCATTTTTACTTTTATTTTCTTGTGTTTGTTTTTCGGAAATCTTTAGGTTTTGGATTTCATTCACGTATTTTTTGTTGTTTTTTCATGAATTTGAATGAAACTTGTTTTAAAATTCATATTTATCAATTTTTCTAGTACAAGTAACACAAATTTAGTTGATTTTCGACAGTTTCATACTAGAACTGGTCCTTAACAAATAGTTTTATGAAAAATATACATTCTTGAATTTTTCTTTAGTTTGGAGTACTTATTTAGATTTCACTCAATTCTATTTTACAGAAAAAAAAACGTCAGCAAAATGATGAAAATATCGAAACAATTGATGAGGCGAATTTTATATGAATGGTTTTCGAAAACGAGGAAAACTGGAGGAAAAGTGAGTTTTTCAACATTCTTCAAAAAAAATTAAAGCAACTTGCTACATTTTCCCCGAGACGTGATTAAGCGCTGGCAAGAGAGTTTGAGGTAACTATTTTAGATATTAAACAACGAATGTTCGCCCTATTGACAAATATTTTTCCTCTAACCGTCTCTTAAATATTTCGTCGTTGTCGTTGCGGAAGGATGTGGACAGAACCATAGTCAGGCTCTAAAAGTGTGATTTTAACACCCAACAATTTCCCCGCACTGAAACGATTTGTGAATAGGACCAAAGAAATTTAACGCGAAACTGAAAGATTTAGAAAGAAATATGAGACAGACCCATTTATGACTGGTATCATTCCTTTAAGCCATCAATAGACAAGAAATTATTTATTAAGTTCTTTATTAAAAAACAGATTCAACCAAGAAATTCCATTTTGGTCACATTCTTAAAATAAACATCAAAATTACATCCACTGAACGGCAGGAAGTACCCTGTCAGAAATATTGGTTGATAGTTCAATTTTGAAAAAGACAAAAAATATTTTGAAAATCGTCTCACGGTTATTTTCATAGTTAGACTTCTCCAAAAAATATCGCAGACCATGCAAGTTTTTTTTCAATCAAACGAAAGTACTTTTTCCTAACCATTGACCGTTTCGCTTGGAAAAGTTCAGCTATTATGATAAATATATGAAAAATTTCAAAATAATTTAGCCGCAGTAAAACTTTTTACATAGTAGTACCTGGAACTAATTTTTAAACGTCTGCAATATTGGTAAAAAATCGTAAATTCGGTGCACTAAAAGATATATAAGATGGGATTTGTGAATCAAAAATTTCAATTTCAAATTTCAAATTGGTTTTAATAAATTTTAGATTGATTTTCCTGAACTTTTTTAAAATTATTTCAAAATGGATATTATTAAGCTTTTTCTTTTTCCCTAAACTTTAACCAAGTTCAAAACTAAAATAATTGTATTTATCCAAACTCTGAGTCTTGTATATTACATCAAACTCAATTATATAAACATTAATATCAATGTCCCTTTGACCTCTTCCCTCAAATTTCTAACAAAAATGTCACACTGCACAAATGTTTTTTATTTTATTATTAAAAACTTTTCCGATGTTTTCTATTAATTCTTACAATGTGTTAGCTCTGTCACATTTTTTCACAACATTGTAAAATGAGTCATCTACAGTTTTTGATCATTATAGATATTTCGAAAATAATGGCCTTTTTCTCGAAACTTCCCGCCTAATTCTTCTTTTGCTCTCAATTTCTCTATCTCTATTCAATTTTTTGAACGAAATTTCTTTTATTTCAAAAAATAGACGAAAAAATTACGCTAACCTCCAAACGCCAGTTTGTCTTTCTTTTGTTATTCACAAAAGCTGTCTACTCCTTTTCAAAAAAAGACAAAAAATATAAAAGAGAGTTCCGATCATTCTCACTTTTTTTGCGAGTTGTTCCTAACATGTGTATGTATATACAAACGGCAAAAACTTTAATTTCAAAGGTTTAGCATCTGGATACTGTCTGATTGTAAACACCCTATTTTTTGACACATGTCTGCTAGAAGGAGTCTATCCCCCGCCCATTTTTTGTCGGAGTTATTCATTTTTCCATCTTTTTTCTCTTTTATTTTCTCTTGTTTTGATCTCAATTTTTTCCTTTTTTTCCAGATAATTACTTCGACTTGGCTAAAGTTTCATTAACAAATATGAATCCAAACAACAACAAACAAATGTGTAATAAAGGTATTATTTTGTTAAAACACGTTAAATAATTCAGATTGATTTAAAAATCCTGAAAATGATATATAATATTTCAAATTACTCATAATTTGTTTTCCAACAAAAAAAACTAAAATTCTTCGCTTGTCCAAAAAATGTCAACAGATATTGTGAATGTGGACCACCCACGACGATTTTTTCTTAAAGTTGTTCAAACTTCATTATTTTTAACGATAAAAACATACATTTTTCAGGAAAAAATTAAAAAAACATTTAGCAATGTTTGTATCGTTTCAAGCAAAAAATTGATATCATTTTCATGGCACATTTTCAAATTATTGCAGATCGACGAAGTCAACACAACAGAAATCTTCGAAACAATTCTGGGCAACCCAGAAATCACTTTCTGAACAGTCCACCGACTTATCGCTATCAGCAATCACCGGTTGTGCCACAATATCAACCGCCAAATTTTAATCAGCCGCCAATGCCTGCACCCATCCCAAATATGATGCCACCTATGCAAAATATGCTGCCAGCTCAACCAAATGGTTTTGCGCCACCGATGATGGCACCGCCAGCTATCTATATGCCACCTGGTCCACAAAACTATCCGCCTCCAATGCCACAACCACAGAATATACAACAATTTGAGCAACCACCACCTCAAATTGTTCCAATGCCTCAAAGATACTATGTACCAAATAATGCATTTTTTTCGCCTCAACCGGATCAGTCTCAATTTGTTCCGATTAATCAACCACATTTCCAACCAGTTCCGCAAGAATTTCCATTGCCGAATCCTCCATATCAAAATCAAATTGTTCAACAGCCACTTCCAAGAACAACACCGACACCAGCACCACAACAACAACAAATGGTGGAACCAACATCACAAAACTCAAAGCAATCACCAGAAGTTGAAACTGGTTCGAGTATCACAACATCAGATGATGATGGTTTATGCGACTGTAAAGTCATTATTCTGAAAGAGAACCCGAAAATGATGATTTTGAGAGGACAACAAATATATTATCAAGAATCCTTGTTCTACATTCGCGATCCGGAAGACCGTATTCGAATCATCAAACCACCAAGTAAGTTGTTTTTAACTAGAAGATTCGAGTTACAGAGAGAAGGTAAATATTCATCCATTTTTTATAAGATTAAACGTGTTTCTCTGTGTCAAAAAGTCTACAGTAATTGTTCGAGAAAACATATTTTCAAAAAATTCAGTGAAATAAAAATCGTGCAAAAAATAATAAGGTCTCATCACTTTCAGACGTTATTTCTGTTTTCTGATCATAACAGACAATGAAGAGGTATGTTTGATCTATTGTGGTGTGATTCGTTTTTCTGCAGCTTATTTATAAAAGCTTTTAGCTATGTTAACCAATATTAATTTCATTTTATCAGCGATTTTAAGTTAACGATAATTAATTTAACAAAAGCAACAATGACTAGATTTTTTAGGTTCTGAAAAATCTGAAGGTTCCGGAGACGCGGATGAAAAAAAGATGTTTAGCGAGAAAGAGTTGGCTCAAATTATCAAGGCATTGTAAGTTACTGTTAGAAAGATACATATATGCATAGATTGATCATTTTAGAACTGGTGGGGACGTTCAATTAGATCAAGTCGCTGAAGAGTCGAGCAGTTCGAATGTTGCAGTTGTGGCTGACGTTGAGGAAGTTGGTGAAAAGTGAGTGATTTTCAAGCATGATAAGCTATCAATTTTCAAATTTTCTACAACATTCAGTTACAGAGAGAAGGTCGAAAAAACAGCCGATGCTCTGCAAAACGACAATAGAGAATCGGAAAAAATCGAATCTGAAGACGATTCAGACAAGTATTTTGATGCAGTGTTAGTTTCTGATTTAGCTTTGTATTTGTTTATAAAATATATTTGTTTCAGATCCGAATTTGAGAAGATTGATGGTGATGCGGAACAAAAAAGCATGGCTGAAGGAGAAGGACAAGATGCAGTAGCACAAGTCCAACTTGCGGAAAGTGGAGAAGGCGGTGAAGACTCGAAACAAAGAAACGTCGTGGTGTCAGATCTTGAAGAAAATCAAGACGAAACCGTTGAAACGTGAGTTATTTAGTTCGGAATAATTGACTTTACAAAATTTACATTTTTCAGGAAACCATCGACTTCTGCCGGTGTTTCAAAAAATGAAACAAAGAAAAACAAGAAAAACCGCAAAAATTCGAAAAAAGGATCGAACAACAAGAAGAAATAATGGTTTTTTCTTCTTTTTTTCCTAATATTTATTGGTAATTCATAATTTTTTTCGATTCCTCATTTCATTTTTTTTATTTAAACGTCAATGTTCGCAGATATTTCATAATGATTTTTTGTCATTTTTGATTTATTTTTCAGTTATTTTTTTGTTTTTCTAATGAAGTAATGTTTTCCAAATAGATCGAATTGGACATAATCAGTTATTTCAAATTGTCATGTCTTAAATCTTTTAAAACATTCTGCAGTAGATCAAAAAAAAATTCTGATATTTCTCCCTTTTATTCTAGAAAAGAAACACCATCATGTAGTGTTTTTATAAATCTCAAGAGAGTTATCCGGAAAATGTATGTACTTTATCTTTTTTTCGAAAAAAAAAATTTCTTTTTGAAAAAATCCATATATTTTTCATTTTTTAACGACTAACACCAAAAAAAGAGATGTTCTCAAGTTTCATATGAAATTTAAGACTATAAAAATTGCACTTTTAGTGGTCCCTTTCATTTTTTCATACATTTCTGGTTTTTCTCCAACTAGTTTTTGCAAAAGCGACTTGTCATGTCGTTTTCTTCAATTTTAACTGGTTAAAAAAGGAAAAAGAAACCCGAGAATGATTTATTTATTCATTGTTGTTATATGATCTCAAATGTTTGTTTCACACAGAATCTTACATTTGTTTAGAATTTTTCCTAACATGTGTCTGAATTTTTTCATTATTTTTTTCGAGAATTGTACTATTGGCTCTATTTTTGGATTTATTGTGTCGAATTTTTCAAAAAATATAGGATTGTTAGTATTAGATGGTTTAAAAAGTATTAATTTTTTAAGGGATTAAGTTTTCTGGATACTATTTTTGTTACTAAATTTTCGTTATGGGCCTATGCAGAATAATATTTTGTAATAAAAAAACATAAAAAAACATTTTTTTCCTATGCAGAAAAACGTCGAAAAAACAAAATAAAGACAACGTGAAATTGAGAGAGCGCAGACATAAAATGGGTTTTTTTTCTGCACTCTCTCAATTTCACGTTGTCTCTACTCAAAATAATAAACTGTATATTTTGTTTTTTCGACGTTTTTCTGCATAGGAAAAAAAATGTTTTTTTAATGTTTTTTTATTACAAAATATTATTCTGCATAGGCCCATTATCTATAGAAAATGATGACGTTCAATTTTTAATTTATTCTATTCATTAGATTTCCAAGATTTGTGTACTTCACAATAGCTTATCAAAATTAAAACAACATTTGAGGGTAAAAACTCTACAAATAATCACTCTAAATTTTCCAGAATTAGAAAAAGGTTCTAAATTCTCCCAGAATAAGAAAAAGTGTGATACTACACTTTATTTAATTGAAAAAAAAACTCCTGAAATGTTTTCTGGTTCTTTACGTCCTTTCTAAAAGTTCAATAAAGTTTGACAAGTTCCGATGTAATCCGCGTGTCATTCTGTCTTCTCTCCATCTTCTCCGTCATTCCAAAAAGACATCAAAAAACCAATAATCGTAGTTCAGTAACACGAAGAGCTTCCGAAATTTTTGTCCTAATTTTCACAGCTCTCTTTTCTTTTCCTTTTTTGTTCGTCTATTATTTGACATAGTAGTACAATTTTGACGAAAGGGTCATCCTTCGTTTCTTCTTTTTTTGGGAGGCTTTCTATCTATCCTTTTTGTTCTATAAAAGGGAGCAGCTGCAAAAAGGACCTATTTTTGGATGAAAAGATAGTCATAAAATGTCTTGTGTTTCTTCATTTCATGTTATTCGTTTTTACACCCATTTATTCACCCGGGATGGAAATTGGATAGGAAAAGGAAAACATTACCATATGTTGTTCATTTATGATTATCTTATTCTTGCTTTTTTCCTCACTTTCTATTTAAATGAGAAAGAATTATTTCTAGAAATGTATTTTTTCTTAATCCATCAAAAAAATCTGGCAGAAAAAAAAAAGTATTTGAATGCATTTTGAATGAGTCAGAATTTTTTTGGATTTTTATTTGTTTACGATTCTGTTTTGATATTTTTGACATTTAAGAAAGTTTTTCTTGGTTTAATTTATTATTAGAATTTTCTTATTCTTGTTTTTTGAGAGCATCAATCGGAAAAATTTATAAAAATGCTTTAATTAGATTTCCAAAAATACCGAAATTTCGATATGAGACTTTGCGAGACCCCATTTTTGGTGAACAAAAAGCCCTCCATGAACAAAACCATACTTTTTTGCTCTATTTCTCATCAATCATTTTGTCACCATCTCCCACGCTACTAAAAATTAGCATAATCAAAGATTGTGTGGCAAGCAAGCAGCAAACCAAAAAAAAACCAACCGAAATGTGCAATTTCTCTTCTTTTTTCCCTTCTTTTTCCTCTTTCTAATTTGGATGATCGCTTCAAGTTTAATTGAATTTATTTATTTCATTTCGTATGCAATTTTATCTTTCGGAATCGCCCTCTTTTTTCTCACTAGATATATGTATGTATACTTATATGGGTTCAATGTAATTTATACTTTTTGAAACATGTTTTTTTCTTGGGAGACTTGGGAAAAAACACATTTTGGATTCAAATTTTCAGCAAAACCTCTAAAAATTATTTTATATAACTATCGTGTTCCCATCATTTTTTTGGAATTCGCCAAATTTTCGAACTTTGGAGCCCTCACAATTCAAAAAAAAAGTTTCAAGGCTTTCCAGTCCAAAGACTTTTGGGGGTCAATCATATCCTTCGGATAAAGCTAATTTCAGTTGAGAGTGGGTTAAAGGGCAAAAAGGAATAAAAAACAATGTGAGAAACGAGTGTGCATAAGTGGTTTCCGCAAATTCTGTTCTTCTACTTGTTCTTTCTCTTCATCACTCATTTTTTGTTCTCGTTTCACCGCGCTATTCGCTATTCTTTTATTGATGGAGGTTCGTTTTCAGACTTCTCTCAGTCTCGATATGACTGAAAATGGCCATATTGCTAGACGCTCAAAAATTGATGAATTGATAACAAACAGTTCTGGAAATACTCCGAGAAGTAATAGCTGGAGTCGAGAACATCCGGATGAAAAGGAAGGACGACTCACGCAATCTGCTAGATCGCCAAGAAGCAAGGCAAGTTTTTTTGGGTTGTTTTTTTTATTTGAGAAAAAACTGATTTTTTTTTCAAAATTTAAAACTCTAAAATTTATTTATTTTAATGAATTCTGTCAAAAAATCGCCAAGAAGCAAGGTAGGTTAGCTCAAAAAAAATAACGTGTTTTCAATTATCTGATATTCAGAAATTAATTCTGCGCAAACCCCCACATTTAAATTTTTCTCTCGGTTCACTATTTATGAATACAATGTGGAATAATAAAATTATCATTTATTGTTCAAATTTTTCTATGGAATGCATTTTTGAAAGAAAAAAAAATCAGTTTTGTTTGCGAACAGTTTTGAATTTTTTGCTGAAAACTTTTGCTCTAATATTTGTTTAGGAACGGCGTTTTATTGTGAAGAGTTGGCTGAAAATTTTTTTTTTTGGAATGTTTTAGTTGTTTTCATTCTGACTTTCTGAAGAATTGGAATAAAAATCATTGATCAAATATAGAACGATTTCAATTTTGAAACGAATTGTCAAAAATTATATTCCTCACTGAAAAGCTTCATAACTTTCATTAATAAATTTTAAAGGTTTACTTTCAATTCCGCACCTTTACCCCGTCTTTCTACCTCCTAATCCCCGGTCTGCCAATTTCCCGACAAAGGCTAGTAACTTCCTTTCATTTCTTCAATTATTTATTAATAATAAATGCATTTTCGCACCATTTCCCGAACGAACTAGTTATTATTTTCATTTTAATATTTCATTTATATTTTTCAAAATATTAATGTTTCTCACCTTCCCAACAAAAAAAGTACAATAACTTTTTACTTTTGACAGTAAAACAATAGTGTTCGGGGTTGGCTAGGCTAATTAGGAAACGTTGGGTGTGTCTTATGACTAACGAATTAGGAATTTGGATTGGAGGTCACTCGATTTTTGAATGACACGACAAAAAACGTGTATTCTTCATATGATTTTTTTTCATTCGACAAACTTTCACTTTGAAAAAAAAAATGTCTGCTTCAAAATGTTATTTTGTTTTTTTTTTCTCTGTGTCCTTAAAAAGTTCAATCCTTATCATCTCCATTTCAGCAAATTGAAAAAAAAAGAGAAAAATATTTCAAGGTGAACAGATTCAATATCGAATTTCTATTCATTTCATTCTATCCATATGTTGTTTCTCTTCTTTTTATTCTAGACCACCCATCCAGTTAATGTATGCATATGAAGCACCAAACCAAAAAGGGTCCAGGTGTATATTATTCTATTTCAGAGAGAAAGAGAGCTTAGAAAGTCAACAATAGAAAAATAGAAAGAAAAAAGAAAAGAACCACCTAATTTCGAATTCGATCGTTGACTCGTTCTTCCTTTTTTCTCTCCGTTTTTTCTCTAAATCTCGCACTTTTATGTTGTTCTATCATTCTTTTTTTTTTGCTACCACTACATGACATATATGTATATTTTTGCCAGAATTCACACTAACTTCACTATTTTCATGCTCATCCTTTTTTGTTTTGTTTTGTTTGTTCATATTTTGAGACACCCATATTTAGAGTTTTTCTAGTGCTTTTTTTTCGACACAGGGGTGAACTTTTTCTAGATTTGACAAAATCACATGCTTCAAGTTTTGTTTCTATAATTTGAAAACATTTCAGTTTTTTTTTTAATTTCACAATGTGACTTAATTCGAGATATAATCGATGTTCCTATTAGTGCGTTGATTGTAACAAGGAAACTTTTTTATTGAGATCAGCTGATAATCGAAAAACTTTTCAATAATAAACTTATCAAAAAATGTAGGACGTCCTACATTTTTTGAGTTTCTGAATTTGAGTAGAGGAATAAAGCTCGTCGATAATTTTGAAGTTTTCTAGCTGCTTTCTAAATAATTTTTTTTTTTTGACATACCGTGTCTTCTAAACGTAAGTTTCAATTTTTTTCTGAAACCTTCTAGAATCTGAAAATGTCTTTTAAGTTCTTCCGAAACTCAAATTCAAAAATTTTGAAAAAACATGCTTCTAATTGTTTCAAATAAGTGATGTCAGCTTGTTTTTCAACAAAACCAAAAAAATCCAAATTAGCACCTGCAGATTTTGTTCGGTTTGGTTCTGTTGAATAATAATACCCGTTAAATACCAGAACAGATGGTCGACCACCCCAATATATTTCTTCTTCTTTTTTTATTCTTGTTCTCCAGAATATTTTAATTTTCAACCATATCGAAAATAGTCTTTGTCACAAAAAACATTTTATTATTTCTGTTTTTTCTCATTCAAATATAAAAAAAATATTTCTTATATTATCTTTGAACCAGAAAAATAGAAAAAATGCCATAATTCTAGCTTTCAACAAGAAAAAAAAAACAAATTCTCTGGAGGATTTTAAATCCGGATTGATTCTCATATTTTCTAGCAACTTTTTTCTCTCGTTTCTCCTGAAAAAATACATTTTCTATCGGAAACAATATCAATTTTATCAATATTTTCTCAATATTTTGCCACTGTTTGGTTTTATTATTACGATTTTTGCAGAGTATGAATCGGCCGAAATCTCGCGATTTCGAAGATGAAGATAAAGAAAAACGAGATAATGCTGAAGCTGCATTCCGTGAATGGTTGAAACGAAAAGCTGCGGAGCCACGGACACCAAGAGCATCACCCTCAAGGTTAGTTCTTGTTTTTGTTTCAGTGGGAGAAAGAGGAAAATTGAAATTTGATATTGTTTTCATAAATCCCATGTTACTCATGAAACAAAATATGAAAATATTTTCGATAAATAGAGTTGACGTGTAATTTTTTCACCTACAGAAAACTAAAATTAAAAAAAAAATAATTTGTTTTTGTCGGAACCGAGTGAGATTTATGATATACTGAGCTTTTGATCATAGCAAAAATCAAGTTTTTTTCTGAAATTGAATGTTTCAATATTAATTTTGAGTGAAATTTGTTCGAGTTTTATGGTTCATAGTTTTTAGAGAAGGGTCTGGGAAGAAAAAATTTTTCAAGATAATTATTCAACTTTAAAAGTACAAAATAAAACTTTTCTGAGATCTGTTTTTTGTAATTTTTAAAATAAAATATTCATTTTATCCCTTAAAATAATCTGAAACTATAGATACTCATGACTATGATTTTATGTCTGTGGTGGAATCAAACTAAACTGTGATCAGAAAGCTTTTCACATATTTTGTAGTGGTTTTCAGACAAAGAACCTGCACCTTGTGATTAACCTTCAAAGTTGAGTATCTCAAATTTGGAAAAACATAGGATTTTTCTTCAATATTGTAAATTTTTCAACACGAGGAAGTTTTTAAAAGATTGGTTAGACCCTCTTGAAGCTGTAAGAATTCAATACCAAAAAATACTGAATTTATGAGGAAACATTCAGATCTTGTGTTGGGAATAATATTGGGATCGTAATCTTAAAACTCAAAAAGACAATATGAAATCTCTATTAAATTTGAGCCCCAGAAAAAATGCTGTCATTAATAATATCAATTCAAATCGTATTCTATGAATTCGTTTTCCCAAGAGTTCATTAATTTCAGAGAAGCAATCTCACGTCATTTGAAAGACGAAGCTCGACAAAGAGTCATCAATCAATGGCACAATAATAAACGATTCCACAAAAAACTCGAAGCATTCGTCCAACAAAAAACTGAAAACGGTTCAAAACATGATAATAGTAACACCCTCTAATATAGCTTTACATACATTTTTTTTCGTTTTTTTTTTGTATGCAACAATTTTTTTGTCATTTTTTGAATATGTATAGGTATGACTAATCTATTGATTCTATATTCCAGCTATGCATCTTGCCTTGTTTTTTTTTCATATTTTCCCCATATTTTTAACTTCCGTCCCTTTCCAATTTTTTTCCATCTCTCGTCAATTAATTTGCAGGTTCCAATTATTCTTCTTCTCCCAAGTTTTCCATTTTTTGCTATTTTTTTTCTTGTCTTCCCCCTACATACAGAACATTCCAGTTGTAAATAGTGAAATCTTCAAACACATAAACTATAATTCAAATTCAAATTCTCTAGTCTATGAGATTATCGCAAACCAATAATAAATGTTATTTTCAAAGTCAGCTGAGTGAGAAACATAAAAACGAGGCAAAATCACATGAGGACGCGCATCGTCATAATGAATCACTTGCTTTTTTCTTTCGCTCGGCATAAACATTCCAAGGCTTTTTTGTACCCAGGTTTTTTGTGGTTGGGGTTTTTGAAGGCTTTTGAAGGTTATGATTGAGAAATGTTTGAAATGGGCTTGGCTGTCAGTGCTTTGGAGTTTCAAATTTTTGAATTTCTCAGAAACTTTCTCACCTAGTAATATATAATTAGTCAGCAAAAGGTGATAAAAAACATCAAATCACTTTTAATCAGCATGTTAGTCTGGCTATGTTTTCAGAAATGTGTTCTTACTGTAGTTTTTTTCAGGCTAATTATAGGGTGCCTTTTTTGCGAAATGTTGGTGGGTTTTTTAAATGGGAGAATATTTTGAATGCATAAAACTTGTGAGCTCTCTGAAATTATTTGGATTTTTTGTATTTTTAAAACATGGATTCTCTGTCTTCAGATTGTTTTTTAATTCGGCTTAAATTGAAAAAGCTCTGACATTTTGGAATACTATTTTGGAATTGAAAAATAAACAGATTTCTCACGTTTCTCAAATTTCAAAGTTGAAAATCTTTGTTTTTTTTTGCGAACATCCCCTCCCCCATTTTTTTGTCAATTTTTCCCTTTCATTTTCAGTAACATATGTGACTCCCAAATGTCATTGTTAATGAACTTTCCAAAAAAAAAATAATAATAGAAGTAAAAGCCTTCCAATTTCCGTTCCACATTTCAAAAATGTCGCAAAACAAACATTTTCCATATTTTCTCGATCGAGAAAAATATAGTTTTGTTTTTCCACTTTTTTTTATTTTGAAATAGTATAAAGAATACACAACGACACTCAGGAATAGTGCACAAAAAAGTACACAAAAGCGAGTTTTTTCGGCAAAAAGCGATCATTGATCGACAGCAGCCATAGGGGAGGACGAAGACGAAAACTGCCTCAACTATCCGTTGTTTTGGTTGGCCAGACGTCTGTTTTTTCCTTGTTGTTTTGGTTATTTTTCTATTTCTACTCATGGAAGTTGAAACAGATTGCCCTTCAATTTTGTTGTTTTCTTGGTAAATCGCAATCGAATAGAAAATTCGAATATAATTGAGAAAAAAAGGTGCGCGCGCAAAGAAAAAGGGGAACGATTCATCTGACAAACAACACACTAGCCAAACTAGACTATAGTTTATGTAACATATGCGAAAGGTGCAAAATGTTTCTAGTTTGTTGCTATTGTCTACTACAAATAACTATCATAATAGTGTTATATTAGCAAATAGTTGTGCTATTCTATTTTTTTCTATTTTTTTTATTTCTCTGTGGATTAGTTCTAGATTTTTCAGCAATACATATGACTTTTCGGCTGCATTTTCTAGTATTGATTTCTTTTCGTTTTCATGGAATTATGTAGTTTTTGGGTACACCTATTTTTCATTGATAACATTATGTTTTGAAGTTAGGAACTAGGCTAGATTATATTTTTTCTGAAAACTTTAGCTCTCTCAAATGTTGTATATTCTAAAGTTGCAGTTGTGTTGATGAGTATAACTTGTTAATAGTGTCCACCAGGAAGTCTTTCTTGGATTCACCCTAAAACATTGATTAATATTACATATTTAGTTTCGCAACTGATTTTTCTTCTCAAATTATACGTATTATTTCCGAATAGAAAAATAACCTTTGGAATTCTATAACTCACAGCAAATGTTAATCCCATTAAAACGCATTAGTATTCTTCACTCAATTTTTATTTTTTTTTTCGAAAAAACAAAACAAAAATCTTATTGTCTAGTATTGATTCATTTTTCCATAGAATTGCCTTCAAAAACATGACATCACTAATAATATGAGAGGTCACTCTCCCTTGTTCTCCTCATTATAGAGAGCTCGGGAAAGTCCCAGAAGAAGTGACGTCACATTTTTTTCGCGGCTGGTTTACGTGCGTTCTACAGTTTGATTCATTTCAATACTTTTCCTTCTGATTCTAACATAAATAGAAAACAAAACAGGTGGTGCGCGGGGCGGAATCTAAGGGAATCGCGAAAAAAATCATACAGCTGTTTTCTCATAGATTTTTTTCCATTCGTCCCTTCGCGAGGCCACCAGCCATAGGTCATTTGTTTTATCTATCTCCAAGATACATTACTTTAATGTTTCTCCTCATCTCACAACAAAATATTCTTGAAAGTGTTGTAAAAAACGAATGCATTAGATTTATTAGATTTTTTTTTCTGCTGCTGCTAACTAAAAATAAATAATTCACCTCGTCTTATCGCTAGTTTCGAACAAAAAAAAACAATTTTACCCAGCTGATAACATCGCACTCACATTCAGTTTCAGTAAAAACAAGGATCTTTTTCACTCTTTTAACTTTCAAAAATTTTGAAATATTATTTTTGTGGTTACAGAATCTACTAATCAAAAAAACATAAATCAACGAAATGGATGGCTTGGAAATGAGCACAGATGAAGGTTATTTTTTTATTCTGTTTTTTTTTTGAATATTCAATCCTCTATGCATATGTCTTTTCATTTGAGAGAAAGAAAAAATCTTTTGGGTTTGGTTTACTGTAGCTATTTGTTGTTGTACTCCGTAATGTGATGCAAAGTGATGTGATTTCTTAGGGGTTTTGAAGTGTGTGGTAATTTAATGTGGACCATGGTTTCTGAAATTATGATTTTTCGAAAGACCTACTAGTGTGGACCATTTTTCGAAAAATTCAGAATTCTGAATTTTTGAGAAAAAAGTTCAAATATTTTTTCGAATAGTACTTGATTCATAGATTATTAAGGATTAGTTTTTTCATTGTTGATGACTGTTTTGAAATTTCTGTTAACTCCTCAAAATCATTTTTCCAACAAAAACCTCTCGAAAATCGTAGTACTGTAATTTGTTACGTGTTGCTGTTCCATTCGTTTCCATTCCCCAATTCCTTGAACTAGTGAGTTTTTGTGTCCATTCCCAAAATGTTTTTTTTTCCCGAATTTCGGACCAAATAAAGTCACGCGGTTCTTCTTCGTTTTTCTTCTATTTCTCTTTCTTTTTTCTTCATAAACAAGAAAAAAAGAGGCGGTGACGACGTGTGAGCTAGAAAAGGAAAGAAGAAGTTGGAACGACGGCGAGAGCCAACGATATTTTTCGCATTCCATTCCATTCCATTTTTATACCAGAAGCAAATTCAAGAAACTCGCAATTCTAGCAGATAACGAGCAAATTTTTGCCATATGACATGTTCGTGCTATGAAAAGAGAGCAAATGAAAAAAAAACTAATTAGTACAAGAAAGAAAAGAATTTAATTCGTTGTTTATTTATTTTGTTCCATGAATAGGATAGATATATATCAATTTTTTGATGAATTACTTTTTTCCGTCTTTTCATATACCAGTCTTTATTGAATGTTGCATGCTTGATTGGTTCTTGCTTATTCTCTTTTATTTTTTCAGTCGAGTTAGATTTGAGCCTTTTCAGAACCAGCCTAATTGGACCGAAAAAATTGATGCTAAAAAGTGCATTCTAATTTGTACGTCACAAAATCTTTGAAATTTTAAAGGACGTTTTACCGTATTTCTATATTTTTGGAGTTCGAATGTGTTCTATTTGAATATATTACTGTAGATGAGCGGATTGGATTTTAAGATTATTCTGATCATCTTTGGATTTTCGAACACTTTTTTATGAGTTCCATGTTTGCCTAGTTATCAAAAGGAACGATTTTTTTCTAATTTGACGCTTGAGGAATTTTTTCTTTTTGCTTGGAAAAAAATGATAAGACGAAGGACAGATGTTTTTCTCAATCATTAACCGATCAGAAATCACGTCATGAATATTTTTTCGGAAAATAGAAAAGCGCTCCCCCTACAGAAATGTTTCGAAAAAAAAAACGAGTTTTATTAGTTCGATTTTTTCCAGCCAAAAAAAAAAAGTGTATTTGTTGTATTGTGTATTTATTATTTGTCAATGTATGTGTCCACAACGATTTATGTTGTCTTTTTTTGCCTTCTTCCTTCATTTTCGTTCTCATCCGATTCCCCGGCCATATACATACACATACTATTTTTGTGTGGTTGTCGGGCGTCCACAGCGCCTCAAGGCGCCTTTCGTTTCTCCCTCGCCTACTACTCCCCCTATTTCCCTCCCCACTCCCCCTGTGTCGCAGCCACTTTTTGTCTGTTCCCTTGTTGTTTTGCATCTTTTTTCTTTGCGACTCTGCGCCTACAGCGCTATTTTCCATCATCGCCACCATCGTTTTTTTTGTTGTTGTTTCGCTATCGGTTTTTTTCTGTTCTGTCGGTTCCGATTCCTTCTGTCGATCCAATCCAATCCCATCCCTCGCCATTCAGTGTTTTTTGTTTCGGCCGTCGGTAAAATACTAGGTATTTTTCAACAAAATTTTGCCTGGTCACAAGATAATCGACCGACCGAAATTTGTTTCTTCTCCCTCGTTTTTTTTGTGTATTTATGTGAGTGTGTGTTGGTGAAAAATATTGCATTCTTCTACTCTAAAAAGATCAGAGTTCGACAAAAACTTCAACATTTTGCAAACTCGACATTCCCTGCTGATAATTTGTTGTTTTTGGCCGCTGAAACCATGTTCTATTTTCAAAAAAAATGATAACAAAAGATACACTCTAAAAAAATGTTGTTTATTCATTTCATTCGCTTTTTTTTCAAACAACTGCCTGCTGATAAAATGAGACCAATTGTCCTCCATTCCTCCCTATTTCGTGAAAAAAAATGTTGCCGAAAAAACACTGTATTTTTTCTTTGATTTTTGTTGTTGTTAAAGTTTCGAAGCCTGTAAACATCACGCGACTAATAAAAAAAAATATTTATTCGAAAAAATAATTGTTGTCATTTTTTCTCATGGGTGATCAAAATTGATTTTTTTCTAGACGAATTATTTTTTCAGAATCAAATAGAAGCGACAACGATTGGTGTCAGCCGGTTGCCAACCGACGTCGATCGATGACAGAGAATCAGCGTTCGAGTGGGGGAAGTGGTAGTGTATCATCGACAGCAGCACAAGAAAAGACCAATCATCAACAGTCAGTTTGATAAAACAAAAAATTTCTGCGAGAAAAACACGTTTTTTTTCGAAAATTTCAAAAATTATCAATATTTCATACCTACAAACATATTATTTCATTATTTCTGTCTACTTTCTTTTCCACACACATCTATCGCGCCCTTTTTTGACGCTGCGACAAGCGACGTCGCCTATGGGTTGTTTACCACTATGCGCCCACTTTAACTCGTCTAACACGCTCTCAATTTCATACACTTTTTTCCACATCAACTGGTCATTGTCTGAAAACTCTCCTCACATGTCTCGCTATTTCGATATCCGTCCGCATGACTCTCGCTTTTTTCTTTCATTTTCTTCTTCTTTCTATTTATTTCTCCGAAAAAAACGAACGATTTTTTTTGGCGAGAAAGAAAAAAACGAAAAAAAAAGAAGATGGAAAAAATGGGCTCTGAAAATAGTTTGTCCTTGAAATAAGAATTGAAAAAAACATACACACTCACACACATCACATGACATTTTCGTCCTTTTGGCGCGGCGCCAAAAAAGGGTGTTGGTCACATGAATATTTATGGATTACTGTAGCTGGGGATGTTTGGTGTTCCTGAGAAGGCGCATTTTTTTTTTACATAAAAGGGGTGAATAAATATATTTGTGAGAGAATGGCAAAGGGAATATTTTTAGGAATTACTTACCGTGACGATCAAAAAGCGGAACTTTTTTTTGATGATAAAGCTGAAGATGGAATTTTTTTCGGAAACAAGAATTTTCTGATTTGAACAGGGGAAACATATTCAAGAAGTTTTAGAAAAAAATATGGATTTTTATGTTTTTTTTTAATGTTGACATTTTAAAAATTAATTCAAATTCTGAAAAGACTTTTTTTCAAAAAATTTATGTATGTCAGTTTGAAAACTTCAAAAATTAGTTGAAAAAAATTAAATTAATAAGACTGATCTTGAATTTCAGCTATCTCAACGAATTTCGGGTCGATTCTTGCCCGTTATTCAAACAACATCAATGTCAACAACATCGACCATTCACATGTTTCAAATGGCATTTTGCCAATCAACGACGACGAAAGCCAATTAGAAAATCGGACGGTTCATTCAATTATTCACCGGATATTTATTGTGATAAATATGATGAAAATACGGGAATTTGTCCAGAAGGCGATGAGTATGTTCTTTTTCGGAGATTTACTTAAGTTATCAAAAATATATCTGAATTATTTAGATGCATTTATTTGCACCGCGTATCTGGTGATGTAGAACGAAAATATCATTTGCGATACTATAAAACTGCCCAATGTGTTCATCCAACTGATGCTCGAGGACAATGTGTGAAAAATGGTGCACATTGTGCATTTGCTCACACATCTACTGATTTGCGACAACCAATGTTTGATCAACACGAAGTTGGATTTTCAACAGTTATTGATGGTGATGGTCGAGATAAAACAAGTTTTGTTATCGAAGATCCTCAATGGCATTGTAAGTTGTTTTTATTTCAACCGCCTCCGCTTTCAATCAAATCGCGTGTTCAAATGTTTTTGTGCACTATGTTTTTCCACATTTTTCTCTTCTTTTTCTCTTTTTTCCTCTTTCTCTCACTTTTTTTTCAATCAGATGGTAATGACACTGAAGAAAAAAGAAAAAAAAAGATGAGAGTGGAGGAAAAAGGGCAATTAAATTCGAACACACAAAAGAGGATAAATCACACAAATAAATAATTGTTTTTAGCACAAGATCACGTGTTATCATGCTACAAAACGGAACAATGTAGAAAACCAGCTAGATTATGTCGACAGGGTTATGCTTGTCCATTCTATCACAATTCAAAGGATCGACGAAGGCCACCAGCGGTTTTCAAATATCGATCGACTCCTTGCCCAGCGGCTAAAACAATTGATGAATGGTTAGATCCTGATATTTGTGAAGCTGGTGATAATTGTCAATATTGTCACACTAGAACTGAACAACAATTCCATCCAGAAATCTATAAATCGACAAAATGTAATGATATGCTTGAACATGGTTATTGTCCAAGAGCTGTGTTTTGTGCGTTTGCCCATCATGATTCAGAACTTCACGCTTCTCGAAATCCATATATTGGTAGCACTCAAGCAAGTCCAAAAGAACAATGCAGTCCTTGCCAATCTGGAAATAGTCAGTTTTTTTTTTTACTTTTTCAAAATTCTTGATAGTAATTCGTCAATTTACAGTTAGCGCTTCAAATGAGCAACTTCGCTTTGATTCCCCACAAAATGGTGCAGCTCCAAGTTACTCAGCCGTCTTGAAACAACGCCAACCACCAATCAGCACAAATAAACCATTTGCAACAACCGATTCGCTTTCAAGCAGCTATCCAAAAGCTCCAGGATATGAAAGAGGACCAATGTCGGTGACAGGATTTGATGCACAACGAAATGATCAAACTGGACGATTCCGAACACATTCTTTGAATATTGGACATTTGGACATGCTTCAGAGTTAGTTTCATTTCAAGATTATTAAAAAATAATCGATTTTTATAGGAAACCTTGTTTTGAATGGTGGTTTGACAGCAATTGATAATACACTTGCTTCTCAAGCTTCACTTTGTCGATCGGATAGTGGATTCAATGTTGTCACCGAGGCATCATTAGGAACTCTTGAAGAGCTCAGTCTAGATCTTCCGCCAATCGATGAACGTTTCAACCTATTTCAAAACAGTCAGTTATTTAAGCTTCACTAAATTAATGACTAATCCTAAAAAAAAGTTTCAGTGTCACCAATGCGAAATCAAAACCCAGAATTATTTGCAAATCCATCATTTTTCGGACAACAAAATGGTCAACTCAGTTCACCTGTACAAAATGAATATTTCCAGAACTCGTTTGACCCAAATATGGTAAGTTCAAACACACATAATTTGTAAAATAAAACAAAGAATTTTTTCAGTTCGGGTCTGATCTTCAAAATGGGCAAGACTACGATGAGATGAATCGAAGTAGTGCTGATGATGAATTGAAAAAAGTGAAGAGCGATTGTGAATTCTGGAAATCAAGAGCCGAACAATTTATGAATGAGAGAAATCGATTGGCCGATCAATTAAATGATTTACAAATTCATTATGGATCACAAAGTTATATACAACCACAACTTCAACCAATGTCTTCTCCACTTGCTATAAATCCAGGTGCTGAAAGTAATATGGATGGAGTTATTCGACCATCAGCTTCACTTCAACACAGTCCACCATATAATATTTTTGGGGTTTGTTTGGAATTTAAAAGTATTCAGAAATTTTCATAAGTATATATATTTTTCAGAACGATTGTGATGCGGCAGCTCCAGCTTGTGCTAGATGTGGACGAGATCGATCTCGATCTGGCTCAGATAGCCAAAGTTCGTGCCCAGTCTGCTCGAATTGAATAGTTCTTCCTTTTTTTCTTTGATTTCTCATGTTTTCTTTCTGTATGTATATTTCAATTGTTTTATTTATATCTACACTGATCTACACTAGTTCTTATGTGATAACAACTATGCAATTTTCTATGTAGCCTCTTGATAATATCAAACTCTTCCCGCATCTAATTTCCTCACACTCATTCGTATTTCGTTTTTCTAACAAACAAACAAACATACAAAAATATCCTGTTTACGCCAAATTTAGTACCCGCTGTTTCGATTTTGAATCAATTTCATATATGTTTTTTTTTTACAAATCTCAAGGATTTATGATGATTTTCCAATTTCCTAATTATTCAATTGTTGAGTTTCACAAAATCTTCTCCGAAATTTTTTTGATAGGTCCCAATCTTCATTATTTTTCAAATTGTTGCTAGACTAATCTATTATTTTCTGCAAAATTTAGGTTGACGCGGAATCATAAGTATATACAAAAATGTTTTTGAAAATAATTGAATTTCAAAAATATTTCAATTTGTATATTTTAACTTTATTTATCAATACTGTCTAGAACAGAAATATTATCGTCAAACTTTAAAAAGGTAATATCTTCTTTCTTAATGCAAAAATGTCTTATTATATTATTCTTTTCGAAAAACAACAATCAACTCTCGGTTTTCTAGAAGCATTTTTGGGTAGCAAAATATAACTATTATATCATGTTCTATTTTTAAATTCTTATTCTGACTCGAATACTTGTATAAATTCCAATTTTTCCTCTGTGGTAGGATATTTTTCTTTTTTTTTCTTTTTTTTTAAAAACGCTAAAATACAAAAAAAATCCGGTGTATTCTTCCAATACTTGTATAAATTTGATTGTTGTTTTGATTTAGAGAATTTTCATGTTTCTCATTTTGATTTTTCGTACCCTACTCTACTCCCTCGATTTTTCATGTATGTTTTACCCTGTGTTTTCATCATTTCCTCTTGAAATCTAAATTAAATCTCACTGGTTGTTTCCCACAAAAAACTTGTAGTTTTACTCTGTCCACTGGTAGTTTTTTTTATTATTTTAAAAGTTTATTTTTGATTTTCTCCTGTTTTTTGGGAACAACTCTCAAATACATCCATTTTATAGGAACATTTGCCTTTTTCTCCTTTTTCATACGGTAGTTTTATTATGAAATTTAGTTTTTGGGATCAATGCAATCATTCCTTTTTCTCTATAAGTATATGTTTCAAATTCAAGTTTTTTTGTCCGTGATTTTCACAGATTGTAAACTTTTTTATAATAAAATAAATTAATATTTTTGTTGTTTCGTTTTTTTTTTAAATTTTCAGGAACATTTTGCAAAATTTCGAAATGTTTGAAAATAGAAGAATCGATCACACGTCAATCAAATGATGCGAAAAAAAACGTTGTTTTCCAGTCACGAGGCATTCTCAATCATTTATTACCTTTTACTTTTATATTTTCTCTTTCTTCTGCTGTTTTTCAAATCTGTTGTTAGGTTTTATGAGTTTTTTTTTTTTGAAATCGGATAGGGGAATACAGAGTTGTGTTTTGTTTTTGTTTTTCTCACATGCCCAATTGTTTCAGAATTTCTAACTTATTAGTTCAGTTTTATAAATAGAAATCTCATATGATCGTTCAAAATTTTCACTATCTATATTTTTTGCAACTCAACGACTGACACGCTTTGTGTTCAGCTGTTGGTTCATTTTCAAAGCTTATTTGTTATCACCAAATTCCGAGAAAAAACTGTATACACGGTTGATGAAATAATTTCGAAATAATTCTGTGGTCTATATTGATATTCGCAATAAGCAACTATGTTTTCTTTTGCTTTAAAAGCCAAATATGGCATTTTTTTCTGCAATGAATTTTCAAAACATTTTTTTAACAATTAGAATAGTGAATTCAACTAAAATTATATTTCATTTGTAAAAAATCCAAAAAATAATCACTAATAGCTGAAAAAAACGTGAGAAGAATACATTTTCCAAAAAAAAATAATTAAAGTATTGATTTATTTCTCTTCATCTAACGCCAGCATTTAAAAGATTGACGCACTTTGTGTGCAGCTGTTGGCGCATTTTTGAAAGGAAGAATTTTAACTAATTTCAAGAAATAGCGTATTTACGGTTGATGAAATCTCTTCGAACTTGTTATATGCCCTAGAATTAAGATTTGTTTGATGTTCAGAGCAAGAAAACACGCCTTTTCTTGGTTTGAAGGCAAAATATTGAAGATTTTCTACTATTTTGGATTTTCGAAAAAATTTTTAGCATTCAGAAGATAGCTTATCAAGCTGGAATCACATTTCATAAAGACATCTGAAAATTATTCACTACCAGCTGAAAAAAACGTGAAAAAGCTAACTTCTCTGGAAAAAAATAATAAAAGTATTGATTTATTTCTCTTCCTCAAACGCCAGCATTCAAAAGATTGACGCATTTTGTGTGCAGCTGTTGGCGTATTTTTAAAAGGAAGAATTTTAACTAATTTCAAGAAAAAGTGTTTTTACTGTTGATGAAATACCTTTGACATTTTTCTATGACCTGGAATTTTGATTTGTTTAACGTTCATAGCGAGAAAACCCACTTTTTATTAGTTTCGGGGCAAAATATAAAGTTTTATTCATAAAAATTTAATTTCAAAAACCTCTTTTGAAAATTAGGATAACGAAGATAACTAGAAACATATTTTGTGAAAAAAAATATTGAAAAATGAATCATTAACAGCTGAAAAAACGTGAAAAAACAAATTTCCTCAAAAAAAATAATAAAAGTATTGATTTGCTTCTCTTCTCTGCACGCTAGCGTTCAAAAGACTGACACATTTTGTGTACGCTTTGTGTGCGCTTTTTAGATGTGCCGTCAATCAATATATCACACTATTTGTGTATTATTTTTCGCGTTCACAATATTACAATAAATAATAGGCTGTTTTTGTTGTTTTCAGGGAATTTTCACCCATGGCTGCAGCAAATGAAGAGTCTGTACCAGTATTTGTATCATCAACAGAAGTGAGTTGCATATTTTTAAAATTGAGAAAAATATAAATGTTCAGCTAATTTTCCGTATCAATGAAAAAACTCCAGCCAAACTCTTCACATTGTATAATCCTTATAGTTACCCAATTAGTTACAAAAGTAAGTGAATTTGAAATGTTTTTAATTTCAAAAACATTGTTTTTTTTCAGTTCTATGTACAGCTACTCGAAACTACACAGTCAGCGAATCAACAGGATCACTGTTAGCTGATTGTTGCAAAGATATGTGAGTATTTTCAACTATCACACAATTTTCAAACAACAATACATGATTTCAGCGTGGTTCGAAGTATTCAACGTTCTCAAGTTGGTAATCTTGATAGGTTAAAAATTGAAATGATGAGAAAAGGTTCATCAAAAGTTATCGGATCTCGTGAAATCAATCTTCGAACAGTTCCTGGTGATTATATTGATAATGTTCCACAAGAAGAAAATGATCGGATGCGTCATATGCCGGCAATGACAGCTTCAGTAACAAGTGTTGAGAAAAAAGATGTTCGTTTTTTTTCTGAATTTTTGTTTTCTAACAGATATTTATTCATATCAAATTTGTTTTTAGAATCATTCTGCAACTTGGGCTTATCTCATTGCTGGTATATTCTGTGCAGTTGCTCTTGTTTGCCCAACTGCGGGTGACCCGACATCAACAAACTCATCAATCCCCCCTCTATTGCATATAACTCTACCTCAAAAACTGGTCGCTGCATATATTCTTGGAATCGTCACAATTTTGATTCTTCGACCGCTGTAACAAATGTATATTCTTCTAATACTGGTATCCCAAAAAAAGAAAACGGTTTCAAATCAATCATCTATTTTACGAATTGCGCATAGTTCAGGATTAGCTTTTAATTTTGTCATTTGAAACATGTATATTTGATTCCTACCCTCAATAATCCTGCGATTTTGTAAACTCTCAAAAAGAAATTATATACATAAACCTTGTAATTATTGAAAACAAATGTGTTTTTTTCATTTCTGAATATGAGATATTCGGTTTCGATTATGTTTGCTTTTTCGTTGAAGATGATGCTACTGATCCAAAATTCCAGGGCTGGCCGTTTCATAGCTTGGTGAAAAAAGTTTCCTGAAATTTTGATATAAAGCAGGCCTGTGCCGGAAATTTTCCGAATTTTCCGAATTTCCGGATTTTCCGGTTTTTTCACGGAAAAATCAATTTTCCGGTTTTCCGGAAAATGTGCTCGGAAAATCCGGAAATGATCTCTAGTAGTAATATTTTCAAAATTGCCTAAATTTTGGAAAATTTTCATGATAGAAAAAATGAAATTTTTGGAAATTTTTTTTTTCAATTTTTCAAATTTTATTATTTTTTGAACGTAAGACGTCTCAAATAGTTACTAAATTACCTGTGAATAGAAGAATTGTAGATAAAAATAAGTTTTAGTGCCAACGTAAGGCTGGAAATCGAAATTTCAGACTTTGAAAAATTTTCCGAATTTTCCGGATTTCCGGTTCAAAAAATCCGGAAATTTTCCGACTTTCCGTTTTCCGGGTTATGATTTTCCGGCACAGGCCTGATATAAAGTTAGATTTTTACAGACCTGGAAGAGATCGGGAAACATTTTTTTATTTGAAAATTATAGGATGATTTTTTTGGGTAATAATTCATCACTTTTTCATAATTATTTGAAAATTTCACTAATTTTTAAATTAAAACCTTAAAAGGTCGATGAAAACATTCAGATATTTCGAAAAGTTTCGGAATGTGTTCCAGCGTTAGTCTCATTCCGAAAAACCCATCGGTTTCGGAATGCCGAGATTCTGATTCCATTCATTCTTGATTCCGATTATTTCTTTTTGTTGTGTTTTCACAATTACCCAAGAATGCTCATCTTCGCAAACTTCGGAAATGCTACTGTAATTTATATTTCACAAGAATGATGTGTTTTTTTCTGAAAGCATTAAACTAACAATATGAAATATAAATTTATTGAGTATATATGACAAAAAAAATAAATATGTATCAAAATCTTTACATATCCTATTTGAGATGGATGAAAAAAGGTAAAAATACGCCGTAAATCAGAGCAAATTATTGATAAAAATAGTTGAATTATTGTTCCTCTTCCAGATCTCTCGCAGCTGCTTTAACTTCTTCATCTTGATTGATCATTTGAATAGTTGGTTTCATTTCTGATGAATATTGTGGATATGAAAATGAAGCTAACGATGGTTCTGGAAACGTATATATTTTAAAAAATTTTGAAATAAAACTTGCGAAATGATCTCACCTGTATAATGCAATGGGTTCACTGGATATGCGAAATGTGAATTACTATAAGGATTTTGGCTTTGTTGATGAGCATTCAAAGCAAATGCGTTTGCTTGATATTCAGTTGTTTCTGTTTTTGTTCGTTTTTCATATTTACGCTCTTTTGGTCGTGTCGGAGTCATTGATGATTCACTATTCTTCATTTTTCTATAATTTTTCAAGTTGTTCAATGTTTTCATTTGAAAAATAAATACCTTTTTCTTGTTTGAAGTTGTCCCTCTTTTTTCATTGACACTGGCCGATTTATACTATGCAATTTGAAATACAGACCACATGCGCTGAAAATAAGCTTTCACATTTCTGATATTTCCAATTTAAAATTTGAATAACTCACTTGCAAACTGGTTCACCTTCAGCATTTCTTCTCCAAAGTGTAGTATTTGTACCATTACAATTTGAACAAACCAATCCTTGTCGGCGATTTGTGCTTCCAGCTGATCCAGCTTTTTTGTTACTTGATGATTTTGGTGGTTTTGATGGTGCTGGTGCTGGAGGTGGAATTTGTTCAATTGGAGCAGGTTCAATTGGTTGAACAAGAGAAAGTGGCATCGAATAGTTTGTTTGAATTCGTGACAAATCATATACATTAGAATTACTACAAGTATCACACATATATCCACCATCAACTTGTCTTCCGGAAATGACTGGATTTGCGCATTTGACACATTCTGGATTTGCTGGCGCGAAAGGTTGTTGTGGTATAAATGCCGAATTATCGTAAAATCTGTTAAAAAATTGGAGTTTGATGTCTTGAAAATATTTTCTTATTGTGAAATCAGAAACATTCAAGAATTCAAAATTTCCCGGCCAACTTACGATGATGATAAAGTATGATATTGTGATGGAGGCGGTTGAGTTGAATATGTGTTAAAAATTGAAGAAGTGTTATACAAATAATCTTGATTTGTTCCAGTTGCGAAAGTTGCTGGAAAAATGAAGATCAGTATCATTATTTTTCTATTAGTCGAAAACTTACATTGTAAATCAAATGAGCCGATAACACTTTGCCTATCCATCAAAGGATCAGTTCGAACTGAAAATAAATTAATGTTGTAAAAATGAAACATCAGAAAACTAGTACCTCTAGTTAGTTCACTCATCGAACTCTGCCCATCATCAGGCATAAGAGTATGTGTTTGAGTTTGTTGGATTGGGAGTTGCAATGTTGGTGGACGCATACTATCGATCCAGGGACTCTCGATCGAATATCTTGGATCCATTTTCTGAAAAAAAAAAGAACTTGCGAAATAGATTATGAAAAAAATAGAGAAATTCAAGATATTCGTTAGAGATACCGACAAAAAAGAAAGAATATGCTCAAGCCATCAACTGTCTTCCCAACGCCAAATATTCTGTCGTTATCTTATCAGTCATTATGAGCCCCGCACACATTGGAAAATGAAGAAATGAGAAAAGGGAATAATAGTGCTCTTTCCCTCTCCTTATATGGCCTTTTCTAGTCGCGAGTTGGTACTGTAGCTGGCAAACGTTGTTGATTGGCTCTGGAAAAAAGGGTTTGGGAAATTTTCCCAGAGCTTTGAGGAAAATAATTTTAATTCGAAGTTGATTTTCGATATTATGGAAGTTGTGATATGATTGAAACTGATTCTCTCAACTCCTATGAATTTTCTGAAAAAAAAGTTATTTTGGGAAAAATACATGAAAATTATCAATGAAGATTGTTTTTTGGAGCTTAGCCTTCAGTTTTCCAGTCATAAATTTTCAGATTTCAACAAAGTATGCCAACAAAGAGTTACCGTTGAACAAATGTTTCCTAACCTATGATTCTCCACTAAAATTTTCAACCAAAATTCTTCATTCTGGTAACGATTCATGCATAGCACTGGAAAACTTGATTCAATTTCTTATGACATGAAAATGAACTACGAAAATACTTATTATCAAGTTTTAGAGTTTATATGTTCCAGTGATAGGCGATATGTTGAACTGACACCTTTTTATATCAGGACCGCGGACTCTACAAGTTGATAAATCACTCCAAGTATTCGATAACGTAATCAATATATTTTTAATCAGTTTTTTTCGCAACATTATTTCACATCATAATTTCATTCTATTTTTCTCTAATTTTCGAAATCCTGTTCTCGAAATTATTTCTCATTTTTTGTATGATTCAGAGGTCCAATGTGCATTGTCGTGGACACAAAAAGTTGATGTGCATGAAAGTATACGGTATTCTTATCAGTTGCCTATATGATGCCGGTCAACTTTTTTCTTCATCGACTTTATACTACAATGTGGGGGAAGCAAAATTGGGGAATGCTGAAATTATAGGGGACATTCGAAACATTTTCAAATTTAAAAAAGCAATATTTTTATCAATAAAAACACAATTGATTGTCTTGATATGGTTCAGATGAATAGAATATATCAATTAAAGATAACATTATCTTTTCAATATAAATACTGAGTTGAAGGTCTGATATTTTTATTTCTTCTGTTAGAATTCTAAAACCTTTTTTGGTTGTTTCTTTCCATTTCAAAGCATTATCTTCTATGAATTTCTTAATCAGTTTTTAATTTGGTTCCTTTTAGCTTTATGATTATCCCAATCTGACAGTTCGGACGTTGTTCACGAAGATCGATTTAGTGAAACTGGTGAAATTTGATGAATATCCAATTTTTTTGGTTAGGCACTAAAAACTGATCCAGATTTCAGAATTTTGGAAAACTCTGATGAAATTAGTGAGTCTGAATATAATGAATATTTTTTTTATATATTCGTCGGGTAAATTTAACAAAGTCGAAAAAAAAATCTTTTAGGCTCAAAACTTAACGGTGGCCTGAGAAGATTAGTTTGTTAGAAAACAATTATTTTGGACTGTTCTCCTGACCCTAAAAGCTTTAACTTTTCTTGGTTTTTAATTGGTAAATCATTGTTTCAAATCTGGTACCTTATTCATTATTTGGCAACCTACACCTGAAACATCAAAAATCACAGATTTCTTATCGAATTGAGCTGTATTCATAAAAAAACCTATAATAATTCGAAGTTTAAACCAAAGCCAGATTTCACTGTTTATTGTAGTGAAATGTTTTGAAGAATTTTTTAAAATAAGATTGTCTCGAGTCAGCTAAAAACCTTCTCATTCTAAAAATTCCGTTTTTTCCTACCTCTGAATTATTATGTAGGCTTATAGTTTTAGCTGTAATCCGCTTATACTTTTCTTTCCTCTTCTTATCGATACATTTTATTGATTGAACTTTGGGACACAATTCAAAATTGTTTTTCTCTTGTTCCAGAAATACACAGTTTTGTATAATGCCGAGAATTACAGGGCCAGAGAGAAGGATAATGAGGAAACTGAAAATTCTGATGTTTTTCATAAGAAAAACTAAACTAACTGTCCCCAAAAAAATCTAATAGAAATGAAAAATTGAAAGCTTTTAGAAAATTTCTAAATCTGAATTTTAGATGTTTTCCTAGACTACTCAAATTTTTCCAGGGAAATAAGAGACATCTCACAAATAAGGTGGAATATTCGAAAGATAGTTTGAAATTGAGTTCAAAGTAAGTAAGTCAATCAATATTTTTCGAAAAAAAACTCAAAAACGTGTGGGAACAACTTTATCTGTAAAAAATTGGTATCAGAACCACGGGCTCTCTGACAATGATAAATATATTTATACACATTATTCTGACGATAACATAATCATAACCAACTTTTTGATAAATGTTTCAAAAATTTATCTTATTTTCAACAAAAATTCTATTTTTCCTGTTTTCTAGTCTGAAAATGAATTTATTCTGTTTATTCACGTATAATACATATTTGACAAGCCAGCAATATAGAAGTACTGTAGCCTTATCAGTAACATCATGACGCCAAGCCTGCCCTACATTTATTAGCAAATTATATTCGATCGTTTATATTTGTTTGGAAAATAAAAAAAGAACGAAAAGGGGTTTGGAGGGAAGTTTTTTGCATTTTTTTTGAATGAGTCAGAAAAATAACTTTATTGAAATAAATAATTATTTTAAATGTTGTGTTGGTTCAATTGGATGTAAAGGTGTGGAAAGTTGTTGAGAAGGTTGAGTAACTGGAGAAGAAGTTGTTGTACTAATTGGAGAGGAAGAAGTGGTTGTAGCTACTGGAAAAATAAAACATCTGAAACTTTGAAAGATTTATCATCATTCACTTTGATCAAAAAACACAACATGCTTTTTATATGTTTTTTTCTGTTCTCGCAAATTCAAACTAACGATCATGTGCAGTTGTTGTTGGTGTTTGATGAGCGGATTGACCAAGTGGAGATGAGTTCTGAAATGATTGTGAGAAGAAAAAAATCAGATGACATTTTGAAATATAATTTATTACCTGGAGATGTTCCATTTCGCCATCAGCGGATTGCATCGAAAATGACGCAGGAGTAGTCGGTTCTTCGGTGGAAGTTCCAAAGATTGAGTCAGTGACACCCGGGTTTCTGAAAATTTCAGATTAATACAATTTCCTTTCCTATTGTTCATACCTTATATAGAAAATAGCAACCAATGTTGAAACAACGAGCAAGACAATGAGTCCAACAATTGGAATCGCAACTTTTGGAGCAGTGAGAGACTTGAGCTCAACCATTTTTCGTTTGACAAAACAAATCAAACCAAAATAAAATGAAATGAGATGAGATGAGATGGAATAAATAGTCAGGATGAGGTGTGGCTTGCTTGGACTACCAAACAAATCTTCTTATTTACGTCGACACGATTTTAGGTAGATTACATATCCTTACGACGTCGATGTTAAGACGATTTTTGGATTAGTAATATATGTCGATCCCTCGAACATGTGGATATTTGTTTATGAATATTAGTATTATTATTTTTAGGAATGAATAACGAATAATAAAGTTGGGAAATGTAGTTTTATTAGTACAAAAATACAATTTTTTTGGGAATATTGGATTAAATACGGTATCGTATAATGTGAAGAATATAAAAAACAGATTGGAATTTGAGAAAATATCACGCGGTGTTTTTGTGAACTTTTGAATAGTCTGAATAAGACAATGTTCTGGCAAACTTTTGAGAAGTCGGAAAACCTGGAAAAATCGATACAGAAAATAAAACTATTTGAGAGTTATTAAATTGATCTCGAAGAGTCGGCAAGAGATAGAAAAATGCCGAAAAAACCAACCGCGTTTTTAAGAGTTTATATTTTGAAGTTGGGCCTTGCCTGATTTCAAGGGTCCGATTCAAATTTCAACAAAATAATCTTAGGAAAAATTTTTAACTTACCAGGACGATTTCTTATTTTTTTGTAAAATTTGAAATCTTCAGGACGTTCGTCATTTTTTTTCAATGTTTCGTTCCAGGGATTTCAAAAAACTGATTTTCCTTCAATGAATTTCACACACAAACGTATTCCCTCAAAATAACGAATTCCGAAAAAAACCCCAATTTTGTTTCTCTTTTTAATTAGAAGTCATTCATTTCCAATGAAAAATTGGGAAAAACCTTCCATTTTCAATGTCACAACATCAAAACACAAAAAACGTTCAATTGAGTGTTAGAAAAAACTAGACAAATTAATTGTTTCCCACATTTTTTCAGATGATTTGCCCAATTTGCAATTCTTCAGTTTCAATTTGCTCCATTTTTTCATTAAACGGAAAAAAGAGCACAAAATAATTTCAGCCCTCATTCCATATAATTTGAGTTTTTTTTCTTTTTTTCATTTTTTTCATTCAAACCTCGTCTGTTCAAAAAATTTCAATTTCCAAAGAACCGAAGAGACGAAAAATCTCACATTTATTGTCAACCCTTCCTGTTTTCGAATATGAGATTTTTTATAAAAAGAGTAGGAGAAATGATATTTTGAAGTTTTTTGAAGAAAAACGAGGTGATCTAGATTGTTTGATTTGTGATAAAAAATGATTTGTGCCAAAACACAAAAAGCAAAAACCGGAAAAAAGCGTTTTGGCACACGATCTGTATGTATTGCCAACCGCTAAATTGTCGTTGCTTTGTTTCTTTCTCGCACACAAATTTTTCGCACAGTCTGTCAAGTTAGGCAGGATATGACGAGATTTTGATATTTTGCCTTTCGAAAAAGACAGGCAGACAGAAAACAAATAATGCTTCACGTCGCGTCGTTTTCTTTCTTTATTCATATATGCTGTTTCTTTCTTCTTTATCGACCGATTTTCGGTTTTCCGTAATGACATATAATAAATGAATGAATAAAACTTGCGCATTTAACAAATAAATATGAAAAAACTCACACATTGTCTCGATTTTTGTTCATTTTCCTCGAAGTTTTTTTCTGTTAAATTGCTCACTCCTGTTTTTTTTCGACTGATGATTCTTCTTTGAGACGGGAAGAAAAGAAAAAGAGAGCAAGAAGATAACGAAAAATGAGAAAGAAAAGGTTGTTATGTTAGATAGATAGATCAACATATTTTTCAAAGCTTTTCGAAATAAAAATGAGAAAAATATTTCAAAAATTCTTTGCCTGGTTCCTGGCTTTTTACCCCTTGTTTTCTTGTTGTTTTGTTTTATCTGTTCTGATAGTGTTCATCTTTCTTTTGCTATTTGTTCTCGGATTTCAATTCATCTACTATATTTATTTACTTATCAAAAAAAACCACATTGTTTTCCAAGAAAAACGTTTTCAGAAAATTCCGAATACCCTCATTTTTCATAGAACCCTTGGGACTTGAATTAATATATAACTATTTCTAGAACTTGTTTAGATCAAACATCGAAATTCCTCATTTCTTTTGTTTGAAAAAATGTTCGCCTATAAACTTTGATGTGAGAAGAAATAGATAAAAATCTCATGGAACCTTTTCTCTGAAAAAAGAACAGTACACTCACTAACGGAAATTTTATTTGACATTAAAAAAGCAAGCGATTGCGTTTATTTGCGTAGCATTTAAACGATTCGGTTTCACACACTGCTTTGCAGAAAAATGAAACGAAACGAAAAAAATGTAGACACCAATCACATATGGATTTATGTACTTATATACTTGCTTGTCAAATTTCCTGTTTTCTGAGGCATACAAAAAGTGCTAAACCAAAAAAGAAATCAGACTAAAAGTCAATGTCGCTTTTTTTCTATAATTTATTCTCAAATACCCATTCTAAAACCATGGCTGTTCTTTTTTTTTGCAGAATTTTTTTTATGGAAAATACGTATTTCATAAAAGTTATTTTCATAGTTTGGTAGGCATAGATCAAACTGAACATTCAGCTGTCTAATAAAAAATTCGAAAAAAACATTTTTTTATTAGACATCACATCATGTGAGTTATATTTATGTATTTTCCTTTGTGTATTTTGAAATTTTAGAACAAAATTTCAACATTTCCTAATAACAATTAGTCATTATCAAATGAAAAAAAAAACAAAAATCCGCTTTTTTGATTTGAGCTAGTTACTTTTTGTCTAGAGACAAACAGAGTTAGAAAAAATTCAATAAGTCAACAATATCATTTTACATTTATTTTATGTTAGTTCACAGCTCTTTTTTTATCAACCGGAAATTTTTTATGTCTTTGAAAATAGAAAAAAAAACAATAACAATAGATGTATGTATGTATATAGTGATAATAATTAGAACAATAGGATTTTGGATTACACGCAAATGTTTCGGCTCAGACTCATTTAATTCTTTTTCCATTTTTTTCGAACAAAAAGTCACTCGCAACGTTTTTGTTGATTCATTTTTGTTTGTAGCAAAATGGCAGGCAGGCAAATGTTTTAAATTTATATGTTTATTCAATTGTTCCCCTTTTCCCCATTTTTTAATCTCATCTACAATTAATGAAAAAGTTAAACTTTTGAACTTCTTCATTTATTTCTTCTTCTTTCTTTTTTCTTACTTTTGCCATGTCTTGGATTTCTTTTCGGGAAGGAAGTTATGTTTTCAAGCAAGCAAGAGCAATATTTTTCTTGTTATTTTCCCCTTGGAATAACTTTTCTCAAATTTTTATGTTTTGCTTTGTTCACCAAACTATTTCGATTTTTTTTCGCTGCTCAAATAATTCTTGGAAAAATAAAAAACTCTCATGAATAACACTTTATGAATATAAATTTTTGTATTTATTAATCTCATTTGAATTTTTCAGTTATTTTTTTCGAACACTAATACACAACCGGTTTTTTGAAAAAAAAAGTGTGAATAATTTTGAAGTCAGACTGTTTAATCCTTGTATTTTCATTTCAATCAATCAAACAATCAATAAAAAAAAACATAGTCAGTCAGTCAGTCACAAAACAAAAACATGATAATCTATTAATTGACCCGCAATGAGAAGAGGCAAAGGAAAACGTCGACCCTAAACACCCAGGCAGGACACATCATCATAAGGTCTCGCGACGCGTCCCTTTCTTTCCCACTCGCTCGCTCATTGCGATGTACCCTCAAACAGTCTGTTGTCTCTTTTCTTTTTCTTCTCTTTCTCCCGTCCAACCTTTCCCTCTTGCCAAACACAACGCCGTTCAATCCGTTTATTTTTGTCAATTAATATTCTCATATATATTTATATATATATCTCTTTTACATATTTTCTGTTTATCAATGTTGCCTTTTCTATTATTGTTTTACTTTTTGACGTTTTACAGTTTCTTTCAATTGTTTTCCTAGTTTTCTTTCACATGATGGCGAATTTTTATCTTTGAAAAAGTAGAAAAGAAATTTTAATCCGTCCGAAAGTGTGAGAGGAATTTTTCAACTCGTGAAAGAATAGGTTTTTTTCTCGATATCACAAGTTGTTTCTCGCTTATCAGTCTCATTTTTACGATATTTCTACCTCAAAAAACGTCTAAAACAAAAAGATTTGTTTTTTTTTGTTTTGGGTAGTCTAGAAATTGAAATAAATTTGATTTAAAATGAAGAAAATTTAAATGTTTTTCCATTCTTTCTATTTTCCATTAGTCATCATCAAAACACACAAAAACCAAGCAATTTCAATCAAACGGTATACAGTTTTCTGCATACACTTGCAAAACACTGTGCGGACTATTATTTGGAGCGTCCTCCTCTTCTTCCTGTCGTCTTCCTCCCACTAACCTCCCTTCTTTTTTTGTCATTCCCTTCTCCATGTTTTTTCTTTGAATTAATCCTTTGTTCTAATTTCCTCGTTTTTCGGTTCTTCTAGTGTTTTTATTATCATCATCAAATGAACCGGGACAAGGCGTTGAGTAAAAGGAAATTTGGTTTTTTGTCGACTTTTGACCAGAATTGTTTCTCAAAAATATTTGATTACAAGACACGAAATTCGATATTTTTCGCCTTTAAGAGTAATTTCTGTGAAAACGAACTATTGAAGAGTGCATTTTAGTTATAACAGTATTATGAACAATTCGTTTTTATGTCTTGTTTCCGTTTTTTTTTCTATTCTCGTGTTGCCTCTTGCACTCATTGTTTGCTTTTAAAACAGTTCTTCTTCATTTTCGCTTTTTCTCTCGTTAAATTGATTGGTTTTTTTGGTTGTGCCTGTTATCAATTGAAACAAAACCTATGTACAAGCAACACTCGAAAAAGCGACAATTCTCATGTCATTCTTTTTTTTTTGGACATTTTGCTCCACCCATTATTTAGGGCGGAGAGTAAGCTTTAATATCCCAAGGGTATTTTCTCGGAATCTTTAGATTTTTGTTTTGCTCTGCTCTGTTCTGCTCTTATTCCTCCGATTACATTTCTTCCAAAACGATATTGTTGATAATATTCTTTTGTTTTTGTTTCAGAGCAGCAAAGTCTCGTCAAAACCTCCACAGTCATCAAATGGACCATCAACCAAATGGTAGTGGTAGTGGAAGTGGAAACGGTGTTGCCGAGCCATCAAGGTACAACAAGATTAACCCAGTTAAAATAGATCGTACTCATTCTGTTGATCCATCTGTACCATCGCTTGTTGGTATTGGTGGTGAAAATGTGCTTGTCTCATTTACCCGTAACATGTTTCGTGCGAGTGCTAAAAAACTTCGACAATTTCGATTTGGTCGCGATGAGGATAGGTTTTTGCAACCTGTCAGAGTTGTGCCATACCGTACTCCAGAAGAATCTGAAGATGAAGATGAAGTAGAAGAAGCGAAAGAAGTTCGAAAAGAAGTTTCAAAAGATATCGATGATACAACATTCTTCAAAAGGCATGCTTTTTTTTTGCTTAACCCACTTTTTTTTGCTCACCCTTTGCTTCTTATTTATGCATGACTTTTTCAGATAATTAATTAAAGCTAGTTTTAAGAAAACAATTCTAGATTAGTGCATGAACCCAAATCTGTCTGCATGAATCCTATTGTGTCCCCATCCCCATTTCAGATGTTCCAATTCCACAAAAATGCAAACCTTTTCCTCTTTTAGCTCTTATTGGGATACAGCGCCAATGGAAATTGTGGAACTAGCCAACAAATATAGTTATACAATTCTTGAAGAACGGAGTATTCAGAAGGAGGCGATCGAATTGAAACGAATTATCAGAGAAGCTCTGAATAAAAAGCTAAAAATCAAGGCCGGATATGCACAAATACAACGACTCACGCATGACAAACGACAACAAGATTATCTTCGAAAAGAATTTCGTGAACTGAGCGAACAGATTTCGGACATGCAAGAGGATATGCAAACGCTGGACGTATATGATACGGGAGCGTTTGATGAGGATATGCACGAAGGTGATAGTACAACAGTATGCACTGAAAAAACAACAGATTCATCGGAAAATGGCGATAATGCAAATCCAAGATTGTTGTCACTTCAAAAAGAACTCGAGAAAGAAATGAAAGTGAAGAAGGGTCTTGAGAATTATTTGAGAAGTGCTGGAACACGTCAACAATGTCGGATTGAGTCACAGAGTTTGTTGGATGATAGTAAAGCTAAAATTGCGATGCTTCGGATGCAAATTGATAAAATCAGTCAAGATCAAATGCTGGCTCTTGGTGAGTTTGAAAAACAATTTAGAAAGGGGAATTTGGAAACGCAGCTATATTTTTGATGTTTTTTTTAATTTAAATAGAATTAGGTTTTCAATTTTCAAGGGAATATTTAAAAATTATATTTTTCAACACTTTCATCAAATAAAAACAAATTCTGCAAACACATTTTTGAAAACATCAGACTTTACGCGCAGCAATTTCAATAGTGTCAGTAACTAGCGACGGGTGTTCTTGGATTTTAGAATAAGGAAATATGGAAATCAAAAAAATCAGCTATTTCATCAAAAGTTAACTGGAATACAATGTTTTTTTTTCAGATCCGGAAAGCAAAACTGCAATCGAATTAGCTATTGAAGACTTGTTGTACAGATATCACAAAGAGAAAGCGTTGATTGACGGTGCTCGAAATATGCTTCGAACACTTCGAGCACAAAAGAAAACCGATTCAAAAAGTCTCAACGATGCTTCGCAAAACTTTGTGCAATCTGCTGAAAAGACTGATTTGATCAGAATGGCATTGATGAAATATTGTGCTATGTTACCTGTGGATTGCAGCGGACGCAAAGATTTGTTAGACGAGATTGGTGAATCAACCATTCCATCACCGCCACATGTCAGATATTTGGAACGATTCAGTCCACCAACATCGTCTTCAACATCTAAAGATAGTCATACTGGAAGCTTGCCAAGAAACATTCTTGGTCGTCGACATAGTGTTATGCCACCAACTTTGGCTATTAGTGGACGTTTAGAGGTAAGTTCTACAAAAATTAAATTCGTAAATAGTCATAATATTGGTTATTTTAGGTTCATCTTAATGGTTTAGTCGGTGTTGTAAATGAAGTTGTTGATCGTGCTCATAGAACCGAAGCTCTTGGAATATCAGCATCCAGTGGATTATTCAACTCTGAATCATCTTCAAATGGCACAAGCTCAAAATCAAAAAATCGTCCAGTCATGAAAATTAGCGGGTATGTTCTATCGCACCAATCCCCTCTTCCTTTCATAAAAATGGTTTATTGTTTCCAGGTCAAGTTCTAGTCAAAGTGACGATGTGTTCCTTGTGATGCGTGTAGATAGCAAAATTGTTGGACAAACTGAAATTCATACGCTTGGACAAAAAAGCTGGGATGAAAAATTCGCATTCGATTTAGATAGGGTAATAATCCTCATTTAATTAGAAAACACGTCATATTCTAATTTTCCCCCGCATTTTTCAGTCAAAAGAACTCGAGTTTGAAGTATTCTACCATGATGAAAGATCAATGTGCGGTTTTGCTGTTGTGAAATTGAGCAATTTGATCGAAACCCCACTCAAAGTCGGAGTTCTTGTACCACTCGAACCACAAGGAACATTGTTTGTTCAATTTCGATATTTGAATCCAGTTGTCAGCCGAAAACCAAAACTCGAACGTCAAAAACGTCTTTTCCGTGTCAAAGGTAAGTGTGAAATTGAATTTTGAGAAACTAATCGACTTCTAGAAGGTGCGGAAAATGCTGGAGCCAAAAAACAACTCGGAGTATTTGCGTTTTCTCGTTTAATCAAAAGTCGCGGTAATGAGCCGGTGGTTGAGTTCAATAGTCGTACGAATGGCAGCACGCCTTATGGTTAGTTTTTGCTTGTTTTGAATTTTTGCACGTTTAATGGCTGTTTTTTGCTTTAGGTGCTAGTTCAAGCTCATCAACATCAACCACTTATTATTCACAAATTGGTATGCCGTCTTCATCGGCTTCTTCGTCTCAACCATCTTCATCAACATCATCTGCGTTCCAGAATTCAGTAAGTTTGAAATAAGTGAATTTGTAGTTGTGAGCTTTTCCTGTAGATATGTAGAGAATAAAACATAGAAATTTAGAAACAATATAATTTTGCAGGTTTTCCAACCACGAAAATCTACAAAGAAGAAGGATGTTGTTGCGCCACCATCTGCCAAAGAGCAACTTGCCGTTGATACAATTCCAGTTGAACGTGTTCAACCACCAGTTCCAGCTGTTCGACAACAATCATTGGATTATTTCATCAATGGACAAGGTGCTGCATTGACAATTGATCAATTCAGATTGATTAGTGTTCTTGGAAGAGGACATTTCGGAAAAGTCATTTTGTCTCAACATAATCCATCCAAAAATTATTATGCATTGAAAATCCTGAAAAAGGGTGATATTCTTGGACGTGACGAAGTTGAATCATTGCTTGTCGAGAAACGTATCTTCGAAGTCGCATCACGAGCAAAACATCCATTCCTTGTAAATCTTCACGGTTGCTTCCAAACTAATGAACACGTGTTCTTCTGTATGGAATACAGTATGGGTGGTGATTTGATGCGTCATATTCACGACGATGTTTTTGATGAGGAACGTGGATGTTTTTACGCTGCTTGTGTTGTGCTTGGTCTTGATTTCCTTCATCGTAACAACATTATCTATCGGTAAGAATTTTCAAAAAAAATCATTTCAAATCTGTAATTTTCAGTGATATCAAACTCGATAACTTGTTGCTCGACAAAGATGGTTATGTGAAAATGGCCGATTTCGGACTCTGCAAAGAAGGAATGGGACCATTTGACAAAACAAGCACATTCTGTGGAACTCCAGAATTTTTAGCTCGTAAGTTCAACAATTACCAATAGAGTTAATGAATCTTCATTATTTTTCAGCGGAAGTATTGTCGGATGCCGCCTACACCCGTGCAATTGATTGGTGGGGACTTGGTGTTTTGATTTTTGAAATGCTTGTTGGTGAGCCACCATTCAATGGTGAAGACGAGGAAGAGATTTTCGATTCAATCATCTCGGAAGAAGTCAGATATCCAAGATATTTGTCAGTTGAAGCAATTTCGATTATGAGAAGAGTAAGTTTGAAAAATCTATAACTTTAAATTTCAAATTTTTTTCAGTTGCTCCGCAAAACACCAGATAAACGTTTGGGATCTGGAGAACGAGATGCGGAAGATGTCAAAGCGCAACGCTTTTTCAGACACATCAACTGGGATTGGGATCGTCTTTTGAACCGCGAAATTCGCCCACCATTCCAACCACAAATTGTGAGTTTTATTTAGAATCTAATCTCAAATATTTAATAAAACCTGATGTTTTCAGCGTGACCCAGAAGATGTTTCAAACTTTGATGAAGAATTCACCAGCGAGAAGGCTAAATACTCATCGGCCACCAATAATCGTGAAATCAGAGAATCTGATCAACGTCACTTTGCCAATTTTGATTTTTCGCTTTTCTAAGCTAACGCGGGCCTTTTTATTCATTCTTGTAAACAAAAAAAATACAAAAAAAACCTTTTCTTGTGCAATATATTTTTACTAACTAACTAACTTTAACTAACTATTCCCCCATTTTCCCCCTCTAATTTTTATCTTTGAAAAAGTCCAAAATTAGATCGTTCATGTGTCGATAGTTAAACGCAAACCATCTGCGGGTCCTGAAAAAAGTTTCCCATCACTGTGTTCGAATTTATTGCCAGTAGTATGCGGAATTTATATTGTCTATTCTTGTTCCCATTTCCAACGATTCTAACCCCCATTTTACCCCAACTGTGAATTATTTTTATTATTTTTATTTCTTTTTTTTCCTGAAAATACCATGACAATTGAATTTTCCCCTTATTTTATTTTGGTCACTGTTTTACTTTAAGTATATATATTTTTTTGAAAAAAATCCCCCAAAATCTCAACATTTGATGTATTGATGTTCTGTACTAGTAGTAGAATAAAATCATTTTTTTTCAAAAAAAAAAACTGGAAAATTATTAGAACTTTGGTTTGATTACTAACATTGACGATGAAGTATCATGACATGTCGCATTTTGTTTTTGACGTTCGGCATCGAATTGGACAAGAATCAAGAAATATGTGAAAATCGCAGAAAACAACTGCAAATATTTATTTTTTTTTTGAATTTAATAAGGCTTACTTACGCTAATCAGAATTTTGCGATTCATCATAAAAAAGTTACCAGCAGACAATGTTAATTTGGTTGCATGCATTTGAAACGACAAAAAACTCATTTGAGACTGAAATAACAACATTATTGATTTAATAAATTAAAGCAAGAGTTCACCAAAACAAGCAAATCACGTTCTTCACACAAAGTTTCATGATACATTTTGAATGAAGCGACAAGTAGTTTATCTCCCTCTTCAGCAATCATAAAAGCTGGAATACTGAAAAGCATAAGAGCAAGCATTGCATTCACAAGCCAGATAATTACTGAAATTGATGCTGCCATATCGGTCTGCAAAATAAAAAAGTTCTTTTTGTGATGTTTGATTGTTGAGATGCTTTTTCGTGAAAAGCTGTCTGTCTGGTAGAACTTATTTTTCATATTTTTTTCTTCGAAAAAAACTGAACACTAAAAAAGTACCTCTTTATCACTACGAAAAGCGATATAACCCAAGAGACATGTTAATGGTATACAACATCCATATGTGTAGAACAATGAAAACGAAAAGTTTTGCTCAATAAAAACTTTTGCATTGGAAATTTCTTGGTAATGCATTTGAACGTCGTGAATTTGTTGAAGAGATTGTTCGGGTAAAGGACACTCTTCTTTCTCCTTGGGGACCATTTCTTCAATAAGACGAGCAATTGAGAATTGTAAAATTCGACACAATTGGAAGAAGAGAATTGCAAGCAGCGATATTGCACTTGATGCAATGAATATCTGAAGTGAAGTGACATTTTTGAAAAAAAAAGAAAGGGGAATAAGAAAAGAATTACCACATATCCTTCAAGAATTATGGATGGCAAACTTCGATCAATCAAATCTGGTGAATCTGGTAATGCAATATAATTTAATTTGGTAAAAATTTGAACGACTGCCAAAGCAGTGGCAAACAAAAAACTGATTGTGATGAATAATTTGTTAAGTCGAAAATGTTTTTTATCATTTTCTTCATTTCGAGTTCTATTTATTCCACGATCCAAAACCTGCAACAAGTTATTTTTAAAAAATGTAATCAGGGTTTTTGAATCTTCTTACTCTATACATCTGCTCCTTTCTTTTCTGCATCTTCAATAACAAAAATGCTGCCGCCAGTCCACTGAAAACAGATCTTTGTATTCAAAAAAAAAATTCGTCCTTGTTGAATATAATCATTTTAAATTTTGTTTTGGTGACGCTCTGCCTACGCGTTCTAACACGTGCAAAACGATGTTTTCTCATTTAAATAATCTTGGTGAAAAAGTAATTACCTGAACATGAGAAGTGCGTGACATAAGGTCAGGACAAAATTAGGATTCAAAACATTGAAGTTTTCCTCGTTTTTTCCACGACAAAGTTGAGTAAATCTGCGAATTGTTGTAGAAGTCATTACAAATACAATGATATAATTATAAATTGTCAGAGGCCATTTCAAAATTGATTTTTGTGCACTGCTATGATTATGATTCAACCCCAAAACCATCATATAAGAATACAACGGTCCCAAAACTTCATCGCAATATGTATTTCGCATATCTATTGATAAGTTGTCGGATCCTAAGAAGCACAGGAGTAAAAGTAGATCTTACAATCAAACTTTATGAGAAACTTACGGAATGATGATCTTGCCGTTGATTTCGGAGAAGTCCATTTGAATTCCAGTGTATTTGAAGCTGTTATAGTCATTTTTATAAAAAATAATAATGCGAGTTGAAACTTTTTTCAGTAGGCAAAGTATTTAATTTCTATTTTTTTGCCTTATGCCCTTTTGAACTTTTTGCAAAGGTTTTTGGTGTATAGAAAATGGATACTGAATACTGAAAGCAGTAGTCAGACTAAGCAAATATTCTTTCGCTTTATTGCTTTTATCTCGTGATTAGTTAGTTAGGGTTTTCTTATCTCTGACGAGTTTAATTAATTAAACAAGTTCAGTGAAACGAAACGAAATGAAATAAGAAAATTGATTTCAGAAAATTGGAAAAAATTACTTTCATACGAATAATTAAAATCACATCTATAAGTATCATCGCGTTTTCGACGAAAACCATTACAACGATGTAGAGAATATGGTTGACTATATTGCATTCTATTGAACATTTTCAATTGACAAAAAAAGAGGAACAAATCAGAACGATGTTTCAATTTTTGTTGAACATTAGGAAAATTGGTTTGAAACTTAATTCAATTCATTTTGCACATAAACGAGAACTACATTTGTATTTGAAAAAACAAAACAATGACATAATGATGTTTTTAATACTCTTGAATACAGAAAAAAAAACTCACGATCTACATCTACATCGATTTTACAAGGCGGAATCATATAAATTTCAGGATGGACTTGAATGTTGATAGCAATGACAGTTCTATGAAACTGTCAACGAGACGAAGAATATATTTCTAGAATATATATGTTTTCAACATAAGATTTCGTTCTGAATAAGAATAATAATAATAAGTAATTATTTTCAAAAATATGGCTTTATGTATATAAAATATGAAAAAAAACGAGAACAAGAAAACATAAAAAAATCCAAAATAGAGAGTGAATTGTTTGTTATGGACAAGTAAAGATGAATATGATAATCAGATTGTGAAAAATTCTAGAAAACTACAAATAGAATCGTTTTTGGTTTTATTTCTTGTAATTGAAGAACAAGCATGGTTCTATTTTTTTGTAAACAATGAGACTTCAACAATATGCAAAATATCAAACGTTTGTCAAAGCTATGAAACATTTCAGGTATTCTGGAAACTTTCGGATTGCGTCACAAAAAATTGTTTTCTTGAAGCTCTAATGTTTGGTCTTTTTTTGACAAGTTTTATTATTATACTAACAGATTCATCAATTTTATGCATGATCTGCAATCAAATCTAAAACTAGAAACTTGCAGAGACCACAAAAATACGTGGAGATTCTATCGATGAATAATATGGGGCAATAAACATTAAAAAGGTTCAAATTGGAATTTCGAAAATCGCAACCGGGGAAACCCGAAACCTAATTAGTATCTGGGAGAGCAAGAAGTTTTTCAAAAGTTCATATTAAATAACTTTTCTACATAGTTTTGAAAATTTGAAATTTTTTTTGACATGTTCTATTTTTCCAAACCCAAACAATATTTTGATTCATAAAAATACTTCAATTAACTAACCATTTTTACTCCCACAAATTTCAATATATTCAAACTTTGTTTTCTAATGCTCCAATTCAGAAGGACATTCAAAGTTCAAAAAATATTCTTCACTCAAGCGATATTTATTGTATCGTATTCAATATTTTGCTCTATTTCCAAACTACGACGATCAAACAAAGAGTTCACAGAGCACAAAACGGTTAAAAAATTACGTCCATTAAAAGATATGCATGAAACGTCTGATGTTTGTTTACCGTGCGTTTTCATAATGTAATACCATGTTTTATTGACAAACTACGGATATTTTGTATTACCTAACAAACTCGCTAAATTTTCCCACCATAGTTTTATTTGTGAAAGCTGCTCTGCTCTTGAGTTGACTCCTCTGGTCACTCATTTTTTTCCATCGGCTATGATATCACCATCGATTTTATCTTTTTTGATTATTGCATTTTCGTATACAGCTAATTCGGAGAGATATGGAATTTTTGAAGGTTTGCCAGTTTTTTCTTGAAGCCTATGTATTTTTATAGAATATGTATTTCTAGATTTTTGTATTGATGGAACACTTGCACAAAAAACAAAAACTGGTACAACAATTTGGTGTGATAATTCAGAAGAATGTGAAGGTGGATGGGAATGTGTTCCATCAGGACAATTTCATTTTTCAAAACCAATTAATTATTGTTGTCAAGTGAGAGAATCAATATGTTCAATGCCTCCAAATCCAGGCTATGGAGAATGTTTTGAAGAACCTAGAACAAAATATTATTTTGATTCATTGGATTTAAAATGCAAGAAATTTCAAGTGATTAGTTGCAATAACAAAAATCAAAACCAATTCGATACATTAGATCAATGCACTAGGTTTTGTCAAAATACGGGTAAGATACTTACATATGCGCGATATGTATTTATTGAAACTTTTTCAGCATGTTTGGATGGTCAATCATTATTTCTAGCAAGAGATAATACACCAGTAGATTGCGAAAATATAAGCTGTCCTCCTGGATACAGATGTGTTTATGACAAGCTATTCAATAGGCACGTATGTTGTGGTCATTCTCCCACAGGTAAGTTTTGATATGACAACTTTTTTGAAAAAAAACTATAAGAAATTATTGAGATCTGTTTTTTTTTCTAGGTGTTTGTCCAATCGGATCAGTATCATATTCTCAAGCAAGATCAACTCAACCAATGAGATGTACACCTTCCACTGTTATAGATACCTGTCCAGCAGATTATGTTTGTACCACGCAAGGACTTTATAGTTTTTGCTGTTCTTCGCACGACGGTATGTGATAAAATCTTCTTTCATTACTATATTTCTTGTTTTTTTCTAGCACTGTGTCCAGCTGGTCAACAACCATATTCTCATATTGTATCAAAAAAGTCAATGAAATGTAATCCAATGGAATCATCATCTTGTCCTCCAACATATTATTGTTCAACTGCAGTACCAGGCGCGCAGTGGGGGTTCTGTTGTAGTGTTCATATTGAAGCGACGTGTCCAATCGGAACATCTGCATATATTGAAATTAACACAAGAACACCTGTTAGATGTACAGTTGGAGTAACACAGTGCAAGTGGGTTTTGGGAGAATGATAAGGGGGTTGATTCATAAAAATAATTTAATTTTTTTGAAATTGATCGGATTAACCCAAAACAACCAGATTGTTTTTATTTTCAAACATTTTTCATTTCAATTTCAGCGTTGGATATTCTTGCCAAAGTTCACAACTAGGATCACTGATTGGATTCTGCTGCACAGTACCAAAAATGATTTTCCGAATACCAGAAAGGTCAAATTCCAACAATTTTGCATATATTCCAACAACAGTTATAACTGAAGCTCCGACAACCAAAACACAACATGAAACCTCACACCATCCTTTTTTTATGATGCAGAATGAGGGGTTAGGTGTGTTCTCAACAAAAACACCAAAGATCACAAGAATAACATCTAAATATGGAGTGACTTCTAATTATAAACCTGCAGTTTGTCCACCGCGTGGCTCATCAGTTTTTTATCCAAATTCACAAATCAATGTTGAATGTACACCAGCTGAAGGATATGAGTTTTCATGTCCAGGAACTTCTTCCTGTGTAGATGCATATTTAGATCTAGCTGGTAGGAAAGTTTGTTGTAATATGCCAAAAACAACGCCGAGTCCATCATTTGTATACTTTGTCACAGCTCTTCCAAAAATTATACGATACCAAACCACAGGTAAAGTCTTGTTACTTCAAATTTTCAAAGTTCCAAGCAAAAACAATCATTTTTTGTTCCAGATATGTTCTGTCCATATGCAATTCAACATTCAAAGTGTCATCCTTCAAAATCGACGTGTCCTATGGGTTACTTTTGCCAATATCTTTCTGAAATAACTTCGTTTTCATGTTGCTCACTTTTCTAACAATATTTCTACTCCAATGAGCAATCCTTTTTAAGTAACTCACTAATGAAAAGTGTGTTGCTCATTCAATTCTTTACTATTTTTTCCTGGTTCATGTTTATTATTTAGTTTTCTACGATCTCTCAAGAGAATATTGAATTTCTAACCTGAATAAAACATTTTGACACTTTTTTTGCATTGTTAGAAGTGTTGGGTTACCAACGGTCCTGAGAAAATATTTTTTTTATTTTTGAATGTACTTTTAATTTTTTGACATCCACTATCATTTGTCATTTGAAAAGAGACAAATTGTGATAATAATTCGCCAAAAATCACCGGAAGAGCAAAAAGAAAGAAAAATTGGAAGAAAAGATAGATATTTGAAAAACAACAATTGAATTGAAAAAAAGAGATGAAATAAGATATAGAAGATCATTTGAAATGTTGAAAAATAAAAGAAAAAAGAGACAATGGAAGACGAATTTCGATTTGAAATTGGCAGCCGTCGATTGATTCTTTTTATAATTCTTCTTTTTTTTGCTCTCCCTATTTTTCTTTCAATATTTTTCACATTACAATCAAACTAGGTCTCCTAGTCAGTCATTCAGTCAGTCATTATGCATTTTTTTGTTCGTCCACCTTTTAAATGTGTTGCTCCAACGTCTTTTGCATTTTCATATGTTTTTTGTGGTGCTTTCACACATTTCACTTGTTCTCGTTTCGTTTTATTTATTCTTTTCTCATGATTTTTTGAGAAAACGAAAAAATGAGTAATATTTACTAGGAATTTGGGATAACTGTGTGAATTTTGTTGACATCTGCACTTTTTTCCGTGTTTTCTGTCTCATTTCAATGATTTATTGTTTATTCTGGTGTGTTACGCTTTTCTGTGAGATTTATTGATTGTTTGATAGCAGCAATTGTTGAAATGATCTCGGAATTTTTGAGTTTTTTAATGTTGACCTTTTTCTATTAGATTTTTTTAGTTTTAAAAATTTATGAAAACTTTGATTTCAGTTGAGAAGATCTTATGTTAGATTTTCATATTTATCAAAAAATTTCGTCAGTTTCGATGATGTTTTTTTCGGAAGTATACATTTTTCCTTTATTCTGAATGTATGTCACTTGACTTCTGTTATTCGTTACGTTTTCTGAATTCAAAAATAACAAAATTTTTTATAATTTTTTTCTGGCATTAAAGATTTTTTTAATTTTTTTCATATTTAATTTGATCTATTAACATTTTAATTGTGCACAACTTTGAGGTAACTCAGAACTAGTATTTTTCAATTTTTCCTGAAACATTCAGAAGTTTTTTCTACAACCTCACCTATTCAGTTTATTTACAAAAACAATTTCTCATGTTCCATTTCTCTTTTGAAACTAGTATACTCAAACAAAAACCTTCTAAATCTCATTCCACTCATTATCCAATTACACAACTCCGCAACACTTCTCTTTCTATATTTTTTCTGTTTCTTTTCAACTTGGACCTGATACATTTTTTTCTGGCCACTGAGAAAGCATTTGTTCCTCGTCGCCACTTTTTTCTTTTCATTTCATCTGATCACAAACTTGAGGTGCCAATGTTTTCTTAAGAATGATTAAAAAACTCACAATCAGATAGATATCATTTATCTTTTGCAGAACTTCGTGGTTGCTTCCATTTTGTTCTACTACTTTTTGATTTATCACAAAATTTACAATCAGGATATCCTGAAGATCCATCGATGAAAACGATGCCATGAAATTCGAACTGTTGTTCAAAATTGTGATATATGGTAAGTCTTTTTTTCAATTTTGTAAGAAAATCTGAATGTTATATAGCTGGCCTAATATTTGTTGCACATCCAAATCGATACGCTGATCAACTATATGAAGATCTACTGTATTATTATAACAAAAATGTTCGACCCGTTAAAAATGCCAGTGAAAGTGTGAAAGTGAAGTTTGGTGCATCACTAATTCGACTCATTGATGTGGTGAGTTGGGTAATCTGAGTGGATCACACATTGTTTAAAGTTCCGCGTATCACTTTACATATAGTTAGGCCAACTAAAGATCGTTCCAAATTTTGTTTTGAGAGAAGACCTGCTTGATTTATATATCGAACAATTTTTTGAAGAAAGTGGTATTAACGTGGAATAAAAAATGTATTCATGGAAGTCTGATACCATCCAATAAAAATCAGAAAATTCTTCCAAACTCTCAATTAGTTACTCGAAGAATGTTTTTTAATGAATACAATAATTTTTCAAAACTTATTTTTTTTCAGCGAACTTTTCTCGAGTCATAATTTTGTTCCAAAAAGTTTATGATTTTTGAAACATACCTTTGCTAATCAATATCACAATTAGAAAACAATTGTTTCATCTCAAAAATCAAAAAACAAACATTCCAGGATGAGGTCAATCAAGTTCTTACAACAAATCTATGGTTAGAAATGCAATGGTTTGATCATCGGCTAATTTGGGATCCTGTGAAATATGGGAACATAAGAAAACTTCATATCCCAGTAGATCAAATTTGGATTCCAGATATTCTCCTTTATAATAAGTAAGCTCACATTTTCTAAAGTGCTTTTATCGCAAAAACAATGATTTTAGCGCTGATGGAGAACCTCATATCACAATAATGAGTGATGCATTAGTTTATTTTAATGGGCTCATTGTTTGGAAACCGCCATCAATTTACAAAAGTTTTTGCTCGATTAATATCGAATATTTTCCATACGATACTCAAACTTGTTCGATGAAATTTGGTGGTTGGACTTATAATGGATTTCTGTTAGATGTTCGACAATTACCGGTGACTAATAATTGAAAAATGATGATTGAAAAATTATTGTTTTATTTTCAGACATCTGATTCTGAAATACAAAGTAAAATTGATTTAGACGGATCACATTTTCAATACTTAGAACGTGGAATGGATTTAAGTGGATACTATCCGTATGTTTAAACAACGTTATAAGTTTTTGCTTTATTTCAATATTTTTAGGAGTTTGGAATGGGATCTGATGAAATTATGTTCTGCAAGGCATGAAAAAGTATATGCTGGTTGTTGTGGTCAGGATTTCTATATTGATGTGACATTCACAATTGAAATTCGGAGAAAAACACTTTTCTATACCGTAAATTTGATGATTCCTTGTATGATGTTTGGTAAGACTTTTAGAATAGGAAAAATAATTAATATCAACTATTTTCAGCTATTCTAACATCAATTGTGTTTTATGTTCCACCAATTGAGCATAAAATGACATTTTCAATATCAATTCTTGTCACTTTGACTGTGTTTTATTTGATTTTAATTGATCTCGTTCCTCCAACTTCTTTGGTCATTCCACTTATTGGTAAATATCTGCTATTCACAATGTTTCTTGTTTCAATTTCGATTATGTTGTCTGTTATTTCATTAAATTTTTATAGAAGGTGAGTTTTTCTCTTTTCAAAACAAACGTTTTCGAAATTACCTTGATTCACAATTTCAGAGATGGTTCCTCTTTTCCAATGCCTCATTGGATGCGAGTTGTGTTTATATCCACATTACCAAAATATATCTGGATAAAAACAGCCGATGAAGATGATGCTAGTGATCGTGATTCGAGTATTTCTGACATCACACCATTTATGGATTCAAGAAGGCCATCCCCATTTTTTATATCAGTTCCCAATAATCTACCTCCAAATGTAAGCCAAACAATAACTAACTTCTTTCAATACATATAATCAATTTTTAGGGTCGATCAAATAGTCGTCGAAAAAAGGGTATGCATCCAGATCTTATTAGAAACATGATTCAAAATGTTGTATTTATTTCCGAATATTTTCAATCTATCAAAAAAGAAGATAAAGTAAGTTACTTTATTTTCGAAAAATTTGAAAAAAAATATTTGTTTTTGTAGATATCTGAAGATTGGTCGTATGTTGCCAATGTGATTGATCGGATATTTTTAATCATTTTCTCAATTCTGAATGTTGCTGGAACTTGGGCTATTTTATACAATGCACCAGCAATGACTGACACTAGAGACCCGCTTTCAATTGTAACTTGTTTTTAATTTTAAAAATCCCTATTATTTGAAAAAGTTTATTTCAGAACACAGTGGCTCAACCATTATCCGGTGATACTTTCGAGAATTCAATCAACGAAAATTTCACATTAATTTCATGGTGGTCAAATGATGATTCAGTACTTTTACAGCAAACCACGGGATTTTTCTGAAAATTTATTTTATAACTATGTTGTTTTTTTTGAATCGATAAATAAGTTGTTTTCTTGTTTTCAAGAATTTTTTGCAAGCTGGAAAAATTTTTAAAAGATTCCGAATTGAAGAAAATAAATTTATGAATGAGCAGAAATAAAATTAACATTAGAGAACAATAAAAGTATGAGCAAAGTTTCAGAAAACAAAAATAATTTTGCGATGGGATGGAATAAATTCCTGAATTCTGGACAAAACAAAAATGACTTTTTTCGAATTTTTTTGTGGCATGCTTTCAATTAACCAACATAGATTAATTAGAAAACAATATACTGTTTATGACAATTATTTAGAAATCTACCAGTTTGATAATCCTGGTTTGTTGAGAGTCATGAAATAGATTTGACAAGAGCCTCCACCTTTTGCCGATGAGAAGAACACCTGAAAGAAAACGTTTTTAGATTAAAAATAAGGGGAAAGTTTGGCAGCGAGTAAACTTACCTTATCATTTCTCTCACACAGGAATTTGAGTTTTTGCGCTTTTTTATGCATAAATACACCATCCAAATGACCAGTATCGACAGAGCGAATTTCAATCGCTTTGTTACCCCAACCCATGATTTGACCAGTTGAGATATACGCTGAAAATCAAATAGATTAAGGTCATATCACATTTTTCATTTTTTTTCATTTTTAGCAGTATTTCGTTTATTATTTTTTTTTAATTGAAAAGACTGTGATTAAAAATCAATAGGAAACTGCCAGATTGCAAATTTGTGTATTTCTCACTTCACCCTCTAGAAGACCGTGTAATTTAACTGTAGATAAAACTCACCAACACTACTTGGCATTTCACCCCACTGAAGTACAACATTTTTGGTCATTTTTCCATAAGTGTTCACATATACTCCTTCATTATCATAACATAACAATAATTGCATTCCATTTGAATTTGGAAGTACAACAATGCAATGTGGTGTGGTTTGTTGTTGTCCAGTCTGAAAATCCTCACGTTTTTTTGTTAACCCCTTTTTCTAGCATAGAAAAAGACCATATCCAAAAAAAACATACATTATTTGGTGTATAAATATCATAAACAGCGGCCGAGTCTAAATCAATGGCGTGGAATCCCTCATGAGACCCATAAAGAACCTTCAATCTTGCATTTTCCTCAACTGTCAAGTCGACAATAAGCGGCACATGAGTCAAACTTCCAAACGACTAAAAATCATAAATATTTGAATGTCTTGAAAAAGTTCGAAGAAGGGAAACTCACTTTGAAACTCATGAATTTATGATAGGGTTTTGGTGCCCAGGCGTAGATTTCAATTGAAGATTCGAGGCCAACGACAAGGAATTTGATGCGTTCATATCGCACAATTTTGAAATGAATTGCACCTTGAAGATCACCCACATTCACCCAGCCATTTCGTTTTTCTGTTGTGTTTGCGGTGCCAGCACCCTGTAAAAAATTGAATGCAAAATTTTCAGACATCATTTGGTATTTGAAAGATATTTTAGACAATTTAAAAATTCTTCAAACCAGGAAGAGAAAAACAGAGAGAATATTTCGAAACACACACGTGTGTGTACTTCTCTTGGAAAATGTTCTTCAAGAGAAGTACACAGAATTTGTGAAGATTTCATCATTTCCGCCATATGTTTTTTTTCTCATTTGGATAGCTATTCCAAACTAACCCCTGATTTTACAAAATTTCAAAGATCTTACCTCAGTTCTCAAAATTTTCTGTCTGAGCCAGCTCAAATAATAAACACGAATTCTTCGTTTTCTTCCAGAAATTGTAACTAATATATTCTGACCTTCCAAAACGGTCATTTGATCAAATCGTCGTCTATTGATCAACTGATATACTTTTCCTTGTCCGGATCGATCCAACAACATCAAACCGCTGTCGGTACCAATCAATAAATTAACACCCCATAATGCGGCGCACAAAATTTCACCGCTGAACTTCTTTTTATATTTTCGAATCTCTGGAGCATCATTTTCACTTGCAGTTCCATTTGAATTTGGATTCACGTTAACTTGAACTTGGTTGGTGTCTTGTGGACGTCCTGGTCTATTAACAGTTCCACCTCCATTTCCAGCAGCACCTCCACCAAAATATCCAACAAACGATTTTTCGCGATCTCTTTGTGAGAATGGTTGGGTTATGGAACCAGCACGTTCGATGTTTTGAGCAAAAGATCCATTTGGCTGCTGAAATTATCAAAGGTGAGGTTTTTTATTGAAAATTTCATGCTATAAAAACCAAGAAAAAAGTTTTTGTACCAAACACAGATAGATAAATAAAACTGAAAAGGATTTCACAACAGAACTTTTTCGAATATACTTACGTAAAAACTTCCAAACAGTGATGCGCTCTATATTTTAGTTGTTTTTTTTCAAAAATATCTGTCAAGAAAAAATATACTTACCTCATCTCCTCGTTCATCGCTGAGTTGTCTTTGTTGCTCATTGATGTTTCGGCGAAGTTGTGGAGATTTTGGAAGAAGATCGGGAAGTGCACTACGGCTACTTGATGCATTCTATAAGTAAAATCAATTATAAAATATCAAATAGAAAGTTCAATTCTAAAACTTACAATTGGTTTGAACATGAGTGGTTCATTTGCTTCTTCATTATCTGAGTCAGTGAGCTCATCATCGTCAAGATTAATAATTCCAGAAGGAACTTCAGAAATACTTTTGGCTTTAATGATTGATCGATCAATATTATTACCATTCGAGTTCCCATTTCTTCTAGTTTCTGACAAAATTGTATTTTCACCATCTGTTGGAGTTGGTGGCAACGGTTTATTTGGTCCTCGCAAAGTATCTTCACCATTCATAATATCTTCAACACTGTCAGTAATTGTTGAAATTGAAGCTTCTCGCGGTGGCGGAGCTGGTGGAGGTGGACTCATACTTTCTTCACGAGATCTTCCATTTCGATGACTTCCAATTTTGCTCAATTCACTAGCAAGGGCATCCAAATCTTCTGGTTTTGCGTGATGTCCGATTAAAAGTGGTTCACTCATCTTTCTTGATTGTTGTGGAGCAGGAACACTTGCTGATACTCGAGCAACTGGAACTGCGTGATGTTGACCTAAAATGATTTTTATAAGTCTCAAGGCTACTGTATTCAAAAGTCTTACTTCTATCACGAGCTTCTCGTCGTTCTTCTCTTTCCGATCTACGCCGTTTTTCATAATTTGCAAGATCAGCTAAATGTGGAGCAGCTGGATGAGATTGTTGTGGAGATCGTTGATGATGAGACACTGGACGTTGTCTTGAAGCTGGGGATTGTCTTGAACCATCAGCTGGACCGCGAGATGAAGCGACAGCTCGAAGCTTGACTTCAGCTTCACGGCGAGAATCTGGCGCATATCGATATTGAGATGAAGATGGGATAAGTGGTGGTTGTGCTGGTAATCGGCGAAGTTGCTGAGGTCCAGATTCTTGAAGACCTCTTGATGCTTCTTGTAATCGTTGAAAACCTTTTCTCAAAGTGTTATCCATTGGAATCATTGAACAACTTTCCGAATCATCGCGATTAACAATTGATGGTCCTCGTTGATTTGATGATTCTTCTTCATCACTTCCCGAATATTCATAATCAGTATCATCTTTTTTACTATTCACCCGTTTATATCTGTCAATATGCTCTTTGATTGATATTCTTACTGTTCTTTCTTGTGGTTGTTCTCTGATAAATGGATGTCTCAATAATTGATCTGTATATGGTCTTTGATGATAATCTTTGACCAAAACTGTTTCAATGAATCCTTCAAACTTTTTACTCCATTTTTTGGTTCGTTTCAGTCTTGGTGGCGGATTTCTTGGAATCAAAAACAATGCTCGCATCGGATGCATATCACAAAGTGGCGGATGTCCTTCGGCCATTTCAAGTGATGTGATACCTGAAATCAAATAACCCCTCTTAAAATTGTGAACGAGTGAGTGTGAGTGTGTTTAAAAACATTAGTACATTGTCTTCTATTTGACTAACATTGACTGACAAAATAAACATTTCGACCCCCACCGAAAATGTTACAATTTGCCATATTTGTTTGTTATTGAACAATTGGATAATACCTTTACCCCCCCCTCAATACCAATACATACCTAAAGACCATAAATCGGATCTTGAATCATATGTTGCTTCCGGATTCTCATCGCATGCAATAACTTCAGGAGCCATCCAATATGGTGTTCCAATAAATGTGTTTCTTCTTCCAACTGTTTTATCTAATTGAGCAGACACACCGAAGTCAACAAGTTTGACTTCAGCACTATCTGTCAATAACACATTTTGACCTTTGATATCACGATGTATGACTTTGTTTTGATGCAAATGATATAAACCCTAGAATATTAAAGAATTTTGGTTTAATTTACTCTCAAAAACTGACGAACCCTTAAAATTTCTCTACAAATATAAGCAATCCATTCTTCTTTCAATGTTGCTCCTTTACTATTTTTAACAAGATCCGTAACTGAACCACTTCCACAAAATTCCATAACCAACCATAATTGATCATGTTTACCAGTAGAAGAAGGTAATTTCTTGATAAACGCTCCATAATAAGTTGCAATATTTCGATGATGTGAGTATTTTTTCAACATATTAATCTCAAGTTTAATTTCATCTTCTTCCTCCTCATTTATGTTCATAATTTTGATAGCAGCAAGTTGAGCTGTTTTCACATGTCTTCCTTTATATACTTGACCATAAGTTCCATTTCCAACAACTTCAATAAGCTCGAAAATTCCCGCGGGATCCTGCAAAAAAATAAAAGAATTGTTTTATTTCAGCAATTGGTCCCTCTGGTGTTACACAAAAACTTTTTTTTCTGTGTTGCTGTTATATATTTTAGAGAGTGTACTCTTTTTTTTGTGATGTGCTGGATGGACATTGCGAAATTGTTTGGAAGCTTTTTTGATGAGTAAATCTTAGCTGAACTTTTTTGCGAAGGTTCTGTTAGATAAAAGAGAATTGATAAATTTCATAATAAGAGATAAAAGATAGCAACTGCAAAACTTTCTGAAAATATTCTGTTAATTTTGAGGATACATTTACTCGAAAAAAAACTTTGAAGGGATGCCGAAAAACCAGTGGTATTTTGAATTTCGAAACTATTGAAGTTCAAGACTGGCATTCTCAGATAGAATTGTGGCTGTTGTTCTGATATTTAGCCAATAAAATGCAGAACAGGTCCGTAACCCAAACATCAATGAGATTTGAGACCACCCCATGGACCAAATCAAAAATTCAAATTCAAATTGAAAAACAATATTGACAGGAACTTGATCTGTGCTTGAACTAATTTGTTTCTGAAGATCTCAATCTTGCGTTTTGAAAAAACTGGAATGCCATATATTTGATTACTTCAGTTTTTTTTCAGAAAATTTAAGAAAATAGAAATGTTCCAATCAAATTAGCATATCCCTTTTTGAAAAAAAGATAATAAAACAGCATTCCGGCCATTTTTCTTCTTCTTTCTTTTTTTCGTTTTCTTGGAAAAGTCTCATTTTTCTTTCTTCTCTTTTTAGTAGCTTTCCTTATGACTATATGTGTACTTTTCAAAAATGAAAAAGAATAAACGATGGGTTTCTTGTTTCATATTAATTTTTTGAAAACCAACAGAAAATGAATACTCACCCGCAAGGAATTCAGATCAATTTCATCAAGTGCTGCTGACATTGTTGAAGTTTTGGAGAATCAAATAGAATTTGATTGCGTGCGCGATGGCGCAAAATATTGCTCAAAAAAAGGAATAATGATGGCTGTTGAGATTGGAATATTTTATGTTATACAAGGAAAAATTGACCACCGGGGAAGATTTCTGGAAAAAAAATAATTGATTGAATGAAATTTTGTGTGAATTTCAATTGACGAATAGAGAAAAAAACGGTTGAAGAACAAAAGTGAGAAAGGAAGAAAAAGCACAAAAGTAATATGATATGTATTTGAAAAAACGTGCGAAAATAAGATGAAGTTTTTCCATCCATCCATACTTTGCAGCGGAAAATAAATATAAACTTCATAAAAAAGTAACTATGTATGAAATAAATATAAATTGAGAAAAAATAATAATTGTTTTTTGATTTCTCTTTTGAAATAATTAGGCAAAGATGGAAATTGTGGTTGCGGGAGAAAAGGAAAAACGAGAAAGGAAGAAATTGGGGGTAGGATAAATTGATGGGTTAGGGAAGATAACGGAAATTGACAATTTTAATCGAGATTTTGACAGATTCAACAACGCCTGGTGAGAAAAATATGCAGGCAAAAATTCAATCGACAGGTGCTTTATCGACCTTGACTTTTCTCAATTTCAAAAAATCTGCTAACAACAACAGAAAAATATCCATTTTTCTTTGAAACTGAGACTGAAACATATATAAACTTCATTTTTTGCCAAGGGTCCAACAAAAAGTAAAAAAGCAACAAGAGAAGCTTCTGCAATAGAGATGCCGCTACAAAGAAAAGAGAAAAAAAAAGAAAGAAAAAGAAAAGAGAAAAGGCTAGTCAAAATGTGAAACAGCAATTAGTCAGCGTTCCCAAAGGTCTAGTGATGACACCAGTTTTACTATACATTTTTGGATTTATGCATTCATGTTTTTTTGTTACATGTTTACTGTTTCATCATTGACAATCGTTTTTCCTGGTGGGCAAAAAAAAAAAGAAAAAAAGGTATAAAATTTGGACATCACTGATAAAACCTTCTCAAAGATTAGTTTCATCATAAAAATATCAAAAATTTGTCTTATTGAACGTTTGACTCATTCGATGATATCATTGATTTGTGTGGTTTGAAAAAATCGATAATTTCAAGAAGATAATAAAAAAATGAAATTAGAATAATGAAAAAGAAAATGAAAAGACAATAATGGTGATAATGATGATGATAAAAAGCATGACCTGGGTCGAACATCTCGCATCAGATGATAATAAAGAGGACAGATTTTCCGATTTTATCAATTTAGTCAAAATAAGTGTTTTTTTTGTATGAATCTATTGATTTTCTGTTTTGCTACACTTTTTTTGAGATCAAAACGTTATCACTGAAATTCGGATAAAAGTGTTCAATTTTTGCGATAATAAAAAAAAATTGATAAAAAATGTTCAAAAATAAAATATGTATAGTGAAAAGCGAGTCAGGAAAAAATCAAAGCCAGAAACATAAAGAAAATGAATTAGTTTCGTTTTTTTCTTCGTTGTGTCTTTGTGCTCATCTTTTTGCCATGCTTTTCTTCGTTCCTACACATTCCAACAAAAAAATAAACTAATGGGTGTTTAATGACTTTGGGTGTAATAGAAAAATGATTGGGTGAAAGAAATTAATATTCAAATTATTAAGATTTCTTATTATTATTTTTATCTTTTGAGAAAAAGAGGGAAAAACGAGAAAAAGTAGAAGAAAATGCGATATGCGATGAGCAAATATTGAAAGATTCTTATGATCAATATTGATCTTGGCAGGATCTGGTATGATCTTTGTGGAACAAAAAGTTTGCAAAAATTTTATGCATGACACAAAATTTTTTGTTTGAAGCTCTTTGTCATGTGTCCGGAAAGAAATCGACTTTGGAGTTTAGTTTGAAAAAAATGAAAAAAGTTTACGAAATATTTTTGGAAAAAAATCAAGCAGTTGACGCAACGGAAGAAACTTTAGCTTTTTGTTTGAATTCAATGAGCAAGAGTACATCAGCTGCTTTTTTCAGGATTTTTTGAAGAAAAATTGGGCTGAAGATATATTTCTAGAAAATGAAATAACAAAAAATCTTGACCTTTTTGAAGAGGTTCTATTGGAAAAATAGGAATCGTTTGAGAATTCACTGTAAAAAACAGAATACTTCAGACAAAACTTTCTATTGAAACTACAAAATTTTTTGAACATATATATAAAAATACAAACAAACAAGCAAACAGTGACAAATTCAAATAAGGCTATGCAATCAAAATCAAAATTGAAAACTATTACGATGACATGACATGAAAAATTGAGAGTAGGTGGTCAAATCAACCAGCCAAAGAAGAGGAAGAAGAAGAAGATATGTATGAATGTAGAAAAAGACAAGGACAACACAATGAAAGCGGAAAGTACACTATGGATGAATTATGGAGACGAATCATTTTGGAGACAAGAAGAAATAGAAACTGAAAATGTACTTTCTTTTATTTCATTTTTGATTTATGTTTGTGTGTTTGTACACTTGAAATCTATTATGAGGTTTTCCGGATTTCTCAAAAAGTCAAAAACAAATTAAATTAATTTATCTAGCGTAAGATGAAAAACGACTGCTTGCTTGTACATTAAAAACTCAATTTCCGCAAACTGAAAGGGCAAGATAATGCACTTTTTTAGAAAACGGAGAATAATATTTGTCCCTGTTTATTAGCGTGATTATTATTTTCCTGTTATTCAACATCTCATTTAGTCATAGGGAATCGGATGAATAGAACTAATAATATATCAAATGCTAAAAATAATACTGATGTGGACTTCGGAAAAAATATTTTCTTGGAAGTGGATTTATAAAAAATCTGTTTGTTTACATATAACTAGTAGTTCTTATGAAGGAACTTTTTGTGAAGGAGGAAAATTATTATAACTTATCAAATTCTCGTGGCTTTATTGAAATTTAGTGTTTTTAGGTAAGGAATAATGTATTGAAATCACTTTAAAGCACTTTTGAGGTGGTTGAATCGGCCAGAGAGCCTAGGCTTACAATAGAACAAATTCAAAGAAAAAAATATATGAAGAACTTACTACTAACACAAATAAAAAGTGAATTATTGAATTAACTTAATTTACAGATACCACGCTCAAAACATTCAAGCAAGGTCATCTCAGCTTACTCCAAAAAACGCTAATTTTTTGGAATTGGAAAACGAAAGTTCTTCCAGTTCTAGTAAACCAATCAAAATTGGAATGCTTTACAAAGAAAAAGAAATTTATATGATAATTGAAAAACTGTAGCAACCCAAAAAAAACCTATGATGTAAATTGAGAAAAAAGTGACCAACAGATCCGTTCGTCGTCCGGGTCACACACATACACTCTCTCACACACACACACATACAAACACATACAAAAAGGAAAAACGAATAAAAAGAGTGCCTTCTTCTCGTCAAAACGGACAGAGACCACCCAGACGCACTTACTATGCGTCTCTAACCCACCCAGTTTATTTTTCCGCGCACCAAAGCGAAGAGCAACGGAGAGCAGGAGCACAAAAAAAAGAGGAAGGCTCTTTTCTTTATGTTTTTCAATCAATGATTGAGTGACCAGCGGGGAGAAAAAAAGAAGAAGAAGAAGATGATGAAGAAAATAGAAAATGAAAATAATGATGATGATGATGAGAAAATAAAGAAAAAGCAGGAAAAAACACGGGCGGATATATCTATATAATAAATAAATATATCTTATTATCATCATCAAAAAATCGAACGATCCATTCAAATTGACCAACCCAAAACAACACAACACATGAAAAATCCGAATATGTAAATTAAACGATGGTCGCGCATAAATGTATTTATTCACTCTTCACTCATCCATTCAATCATGCAGCTGGATTTTGATTACTCAGCATGGAGAATGGGAGAAAAATTATATATGAAACCCAGAAAAAGTGCAGATTCTTTTTTCTTTGAATAGGTTTTGGTTCTGGGCGACGGATGTTTGAAAAATGCATGTACTTTGTTTTTTTTCGCGCTTTTCTATATTCATTCGACTTTTTTTTGTTCCATAAAAAATTCTGAATAAATGGTGAACGAGTAAGGGTTATAAAAATTACGCTTGTAAAAATTGTATCTGGCATTGAGCAAAAAATTTGTAGAAATAGGATGACCGGGTCATACGATACTTTGTTCCACACACGCACGCAACAAATTATTATTTATTATTATTATTGGTATCGGATTAAAAATAAATATATACATTTTCAACCTATCTTCATTGAAAAAAATCGAACATTCAAAAAGTACACACTGACACGGAAATCGAGATAGAAAATGCCGTTAGAACCATGTGGTCAACAATTTTTTATAGAGGGTAAAAGAATGTTCTATTTTATTTTTTATTCACCCCAAAAGAAACGAAAATATAAGTCTCTCACTGAATATATGAAGAGAACAGTTTTTTTTTTTTCAAATTATCATATTTTATATTACAATGTCGGCTAGATCTGAGAAATTCACACTCTCTCTCTACAAAACGAACCAAATGAAATGATATCACACAGAAATGTGTCGGCAAAAAGTCTTACATATGCTATGTTCAGCTGCCAGTGGCGACAGTAACCGACTGTCTCCAAAACAATGAACAATACCTAGAAGACCTTCTCAATAACCAGCCGCTCTACTGATCATCCATACCTCCTTCCAAAAACAGAACAAAAAAACCAAGGTTAAATTCCAAATACCTCACACTCGCATGTATACTCAATTTTTTCCTATTCTTTTTTTTGATTTGCCAATGACTAATGTAAGAAAACACTCTTTTTTGTTGAAAAAGTTCAATTGTTTCGGAAAAAATGAAAGATTCATAGGAAAATGATGACTTTTTCACACGCACTTTTTCAAGCAAAAAAATTGGTTTGGTTTCAAGAAAAAAAGAAACAATAGGGATATAAATTGTTCCATGAGTAATAAAAAAACAATATAAAATAAATGTTTATCAAATGAGCGGATCGGAA